AGCAGCATTAGCCGTCTGGTCAGCATCAATTGCTCCGGTCACTTTACCCCCTGACATGCCACCTGGGGTCATTTGCCATTTTTGCCAAACCTTCAAGGTTCTCTCAAAGTTTGCAGCAACTCAGAGAGGAGGATAGGACCCAGGGCGTAACGGGCTCTGAGTGGCCGCTGGGACCCTGTTCCACTAAAGTAGCTGCACAAGGAAGTTTGAAGTAAGCGTACTAGTCCCACAGAGGTCTAGCACAGAGCCCACCTGAGGCGCTCCAAGGCTACCCCCTCTCGCATTCTCCACTCTAACCACGACAGAGGGACAGCCGGAGATGGAACGAAAGGCGCCAAATAATCAGCATCGACTCTTTGGGCAGTGAGGATTGAGTACCTACCTTAGGCGATAATGCTAATCAAGAAATCTATAGTACTAGAACGCATATGTCGTAGTACAGGTGTCTATGCATCATGCATTGGGACTAATCGGTCTCCACTTCCATCCATCATAGCGCCTTTTCTCTCAGCTTCCCCCAAGGTCCAAAATCTCTCTATAATATTTGGATATCGCCTACCCCTTCAGTCTGCCCACTCTTCCTTCCCCAGGCGTAAAACGCCATTCTTTTGTCCTCGACCGCTTTTTCCTCGCGCCTCGCGTCTCTTTCCATCCTGCCTCAAACAAGGCAATTTTCTCGGGTCGTACACCTGTGAGGATGATACTCGACTTGTTTAGTATGAGGTGACTGCAGTGTCTAGACGCATAATCTCCCAACCTCTGAGCAAATATCTTCCCTTGATTGTGTGATATATTCTCCTCATTGCATTGGAGCTATAACTTCGCCGTAAACTCTGTTCCTACTTCCCACAGTCCGCCTCAGTTCAGCAACCGTTATTCTTCCTCAAGTCCAACAGCCGTTACATGGGATATCCGTCAGGTCTCTGGCCTTCTTTAATCTGAACATTCGCTTAGATACCGTCCGAGAGACATCTCCGTCGCTCTTATTGCGTCCAACTTCCTGGCCAGATAGTTAAGCGCGTCGTGCCATCCAGCAGAGTTTCCATCATGGCTACCGAATGGTCCCTTGACTTTTGTCTGGTCTGTGATCGTCAGACCCTGGGGGCACCATACTGCTCTCAGTCGTGCAGACTGGCGGAACTCGATGTCTCACGCGAAACATCATCTACCTATACACAAGATTCGAGAGAGGCATCTAAACAAAGTCCGAGTCCAGCAGGGCGCGGGGCCATGGCCAAGCCGGCACCCAACACGACTCAAACATCGTCCTGGAATTCATATCGACCGCATTATCAAAAGACACTGTCACCATCCTCGTCACAGACCTCATTATCGTCCCTCCGAAGTAACTCATCGCAAGGATTCCCAATATCGTCGCAGTCTCAGACCGAATTGCGTGATTATGCGAGCTCTTTCGATCATGTCCGTGATCTCAAAAGACGGCTAACATCCTGAGACTTGGACTTGTCGATTCTATATGAACACCACATTGTGATACCTCAAAGGCACTCTCAACTCTACATCTCTAACTCAATCTTAGACCATCTGCTCTGGCTCAGTGGTTCCTTATACCTATATTGCAATATACCCTCTTCCAGAATTCTCTATCCTCGCTTCGCATGCATCTGCCGCTTCACTGCCGCAAGTCTCGAATAAGGCTGAATGACATGGCGCTGAAATGATCAAGATGCGCTCAAGAAAAAAGAGGGGACAAAAGAAGACTACCTTCAGATATGAGAGAGCTTAATCTTGATCTTCAGACAAAACGGGGACTAGCGCAAAATCTACTGCATTTCCAGCGACATATCTTACATTGGCATTGTACCACCTTCTTTCCTCAACCACTCTGTTTTCCACTTCGCTTCCTTGCGTTGACTTGGGGCTCGATGAATTGGATCCTCTTGGTGTTTGACTCTGATGGCACGGTGTTCAGGGAACCAACTGTATACTATAATAACACAGCACAATCATGACAGTCTCAATCAAACTATAAGTATACTGGAACAGATGTATGACATTGTTTGAGGTAATGCTGCCATAGGCAGAGTCTAGTTTTGGAATGCCACTCTAAACACTGTTTGCAAAAGGAAAAGCAAAACATGTAGTTTCTCATCGCATATTTTGATTGTACGTGTATACACGGACCATGACTCAGGCTTAAGCTAGAATCAGGAGAAGCATTCTAACCAGGTTAACTCAAGCCAAAGCTTCTATAAGCGAATCCTCATTCTTTGGAACGAATTTCACCCTGTACTTCTTCGGTATCGCCACCAAGCTTGTTGGGTCAGAGTTCCCCTTTACAGGATGCCAGTCTATTTTTTCGTCAGTTGGTTCGATGCGGAAGCTGTTTAGAGTACGTATAAAAACGAGGTACAGCTCTCTATTGGCGAGGAGCGAGCCGGCACACATGCGGTAACCCATTCCGTAAGTAAACATGGGAGCATCGGGTTGCTCGAACCATCGCTCTGGTCTGAACTCATCTGGGTCACTCCAAACTTCCGGATCTTATTCAAAGGAACGAGTTAGGCATGATTCGTGACCCCACATAATAGACAAGCAACGGAAGGACAAAAGGTGACGTACCCATATTACAGGCCCATGAATTGAGGAAAAACACGGTTCCCTTGGGAATTAACTTGCCGTCGTAGGTTATATCTCTGATAGAGGTGCGTGGAAGAGCTAGGCGGAGCACGGTATAGTATCTGGAGAGATGTATTAGTTGTGATTCTTACGCAAATGCGACGACTGTAGGAAAAAGTAATATTGACCTGAGACATTCCCTGACCAGAGCAACAATGTAAGCGCATTTCTGGTCGTCACCAGAGTCACACAGCGGTTGGTCATCGCCGTACATTGACTGGATAGCCTTTGCTGCTTTGTCCTGAATGTCAGGGCGCAGAGAAAGTAAAGAAATACTCCAGGCAACTAGCGTGGTAACGGTATCCAAGCCGCCGGATAGCATGGTCAGACTGATAGAGGTGAGTTCCTCTGAGTTCAATCTGGCATCCTTGTCAAGGATAACGTTGGCCTGAATGCAAGGTTTATTCGTACCCTTCTCCATTCGATCATCAAGGTCCCGGTTGAGCAAATTGAGATACTTGTCCCGCCGGTCCCTCATCTCTATCGCTTTGTGAGAGTTGGTGTTGAATGGGTTCAGACGTAGAAGCGGGATGTAATCCTGCAAATTACCCGTGGTGCTTCTGAACCTGCTAATCTCCTCCTCGACTTCGGTGATCTCCTCGAATAGCTCTTCCTCTTGAGATGCTACACGCACCCCCCAATTCAAAGTAAGGGCAAGGCTCAAACTAAGCCGCTGAATCATAGCCATGGGGTCCACGGGTGTCTTCCCACCGTTTCCGTACTTGTAAAGCTCCGCCACGAACGATTTAGACTCAACGTCCAGATGGTACACATATGACTCGACGGACGGGCGATTGAGAGCTGACGCTGCACCCTTTCTGCGTCGCTTCAGCGATTCGCTGTAAGGTGAAGTACCAATTGTTGTACCGGCTGTATTAGAGACAATCTATATCACCTTGTGAGCATACAGTGCAATAAAAAATCTAGAAAAGTACCAAGTACCAAGTCCACCAACCTTATGGAAAGTATAAAACTCAGGCCTGGAACTTAGAGCTTGTGCGTTATGACCGAAAAGAACCTTGGCAGCTGCAGCAGAGTTGACCACCATAACGGGGATATTCCCTAGCTGGATCTGATATACGGGTCCATATGTCTTGGACCAGATGCGGTATTGTTCGGCAGCATTTTTCCGAATTTGCGCGAGATTACCTATTAGAGGCAATCCGTGAGGGCCCTTGAAGCCAGGGATGCGAGCCGAAGCCCGAACAAATTCATTGATAAAAACATAGAGGATAGGGACTGCGAAAGAAAGAAAGGCCAATGATTGCAGGGGATGTTCGGCTACTTTGCTGTTGATAAGCGATAACGCTTCGACGATAGCCATATTATTGCACGTCTTACTAAGATGTCTGGAAGTCTGTTGTATGCGAGTGAGTTAACATGGCCGGCGAAAATTCTTGTTCATATAGGATACCCGTGTTTCACTTCGGGGTATGTGACTTTGCCAGGTCTGCCGCTCTGGTAGGAACATTTCCGTCAAATGAAGAGCTGCCCCTCTGCGAGAAGGCCCTAGCTCCACCCCGCATTTTCATGAGAGGACCTGGGGCAACCGGTATACGGAGTAGCTTTGGAGATACGGGGTGCATGATTCGTTACCTACCTACGGCCACGCGTCGCTTCCCTTGCTGAGAGCACCCGAAGCCGTTCCGCACCCGGAAAAATTCCGCTTATGGGATGGGTAACACGGTACAATTCCGTGGTTGACCGATGCCTTGTGTTTGCGAATGCCAGGCTTCTCGACGGAGTATAAGACCGATCCTCTGAAAGGCAATGTACCTATCATGTTATCGGATTTTTCCTCGCAAGGGCCGTGGGCCACGAGGGACGACTGAGGCAGAAGCTTGCTAGGAAACTGGGAGAAGACTGTTGAGACAAATGCCTCCGTAGACTTGCACAGAGATCTCTGCTTGATTGACCTACAGATTGAGTCAATAACATACTGTGGCAGAGTGGTTTCAAGTATATCAAGTGAGATAGGAGTATGTGGAATGGGATGGTACAGAGGAATCACGACGCACATATGCCTAGTCTAGGAACAATGCTCACGTTAAATCGTAAGTTCGGTGTGAAGCCATTTCGCTGTAGTATGTCTATGATGTAGGCAGAGCAGTACCCGAACCCGAACCAGTCATCGGAGAGACAGGTGTATGTCTGTGCCGCGCGAGGCAATACAGTACACGCGCGTTGTTGAATATGGGGCAACAGACGAGGTTCCTGGAGATCGTCCTTGGAAAGTCTGGATGGCTTAATTCAAGTGCGTCACAGCATGCCCCATCGAATTGTTTAACAACAGTCACCATGGACACAATATCGCCAGCGGGACGATCCGCCTAGGTGCCTGACACTGGTCTCAGGAGATGCTCCGTGCCCCTTAGGTATCCTAATAAGAAAGAGAGGGAGGGAGAGGGAGAGAGAGAGCAGAAGCCGTTAACAAATATTATTATTATTACTCAGTGGGTGATAACATCATAACTTCCAAGATTATAGTCGGTGGGTCTGAATCCCAAATAAATCAGGTCCGGCTGCAAGTTTGGCAGATCATCTGTGGTCTCCCAGTAGTTCAGGATTCCAGGTGAAGAAGTTGAGTCTCGACCCCGACGGCAGGGGGTTGTCTCGACACACCTGCCTCATTGAACGGGCCGGACTGGTCACGGGATGGCCTGTCCTCCGAATATTCAATCGCGATCGCCCTGGTGTTCCTGGATGCCGGCCCTTGGAATCTGGCCAAAAATCCTTTGCTGGTCACATGGAGGCCCGACTGTCTGTCAGCTGGCTGCCGAGCGGTTGATTGGTGGGACAATCTGGCTTTACGCTGCGAAGCCGTCATCGCTCCACTTGCAATTGTGCTCCAATAAAGTTTCATGTTGCTGGAACTGCTGGAACTTGGCAGTCTGAAGGGGTCAACCGGATAGCGTTCACGCGGAGCATTGCTCAGAAAACGTCATGACGCAGTATAAGAGAATGGAAGGTTACCCGGTCATTTCCACCATGACAGCTAGCCAGCCTTCCCTTGCCTCCCGTCTTCATATTCTCCTGCGATTCCTTCTCGAGTCATCATTTCTTAAATATCCCCTCTCCTCAATATTTACTCGCTCACTATTCCTCCTCCGTTCTCCCTGCCCGGCGCCCGGATAACTTCGTCCGCCTAGGTACCTAGGTAATGGGCAACCCCAACTAACCCTCCGCATATTCCTCTCCCTCTCCAATTGCTTGCCTGCCCTTGATTTGCATGCAAGCGATGTTAAGTCTGACCTTGATTTTTCCTTTTAGATAAAATTTGCGCGCAAATTATTGCTAGAAAAGCTCACCAGCTTTCGCGTCTTGCAATCGCGCAGCCGCCCTCATCGCATCGGCGACACCACAACGTCAACTGAGGGTAAATACGTCTGATTTTCCGATTTTCGATTTTACACATACTCCCAAAATGGCCTCCCGCAATACTCGAAGGATACTGCGACCTCTCCTCTATGGTACCGCTGCAGTCACAACCGTGGGTGCAGGCGCACTCTATTTCTCTATCCGCCCCCGCAACATCCCCGGTCTCGAAGCTCCTGCGGTTCCACCACCGGGCTACCATGAAGGCAAACTTGTGCCTCCTAGCTTTCCTAAAATCAAGTCACGCTTGGAGCAAATTCAAGAACTTAAGCGCAGTTCTTCCGGTGACGATGCAGATGTGTATGACCTACTCGTTATCGGCGGAGGCGCAACAGGGTCAGGAATTGCACTTGATGCGGCCACTCGTGGATTGAAGGTTGCAGTGGTGGAACGAGATGATTTCAGTGCTGGAACAAGCAGTAAGAGCACCAAGCTTGTTCACGGTGGCGTACGATATCTAGAAAAGGCCGTGTGGGAATTAGACTATAACCAGTTAGTTCATCTGCATTTTGTCCTTCAAAAGCGCGATCGGAACTAACACGTCGGATTTTGTCATCAGGTACAAGTTGGTGAAAGAAGCCCTAAGGGAGCGGAAGTACTTTTTGAACACCGCTCCCCATCTTTCCAGTTGGCTCCCGATCATGGTACCGGTACAGAAGTGGTGGCAGGTTCCCTACTTCTGGGCTGGTACAAAATGCTATGATTGGTTGGCTGGCTCGGAGGGAATCGAGAGCTCCTACTTCTTGCCGAAGAGTAAGGCCATTGAAGCATTTCCCATGCTTCGAAAGGATAACGTCCTCGGTGCCATGGTTTACTACGGTATGTGCCTCACGGGTCGTCGGAAAGTGGAATGGCTGCGCTAATATTGTAGATGGTGCCCACAATGACTCGCGAATGAACGTTTCACTTGCAATGACGGCTGCACTATATGGTAGCACTGTTGTAAACCATATGGAGGTTACAGGTCTTACAAAGGATACGTCGGGGAAATTGAACGGTGCTAGGCTTCGGGATTGCATTCCCGAAAAGGATGGTCAGCAAGCAGAGGAGATTCCTATCAGGGCGAGGGGCATCATCAACGCCACTGGCCCATTTACCGATTCCATACGAAAGATGGACGAGCCCGATGTTCAGGAGATTGTGGCGCCCAGCTCGGGTGTTCACGTTATTTTGCCCGGTTACTACAGCCCTTCGAACATGGGTCTTATTGACCCATCCACCTCTGACGGCCGTGTCATATTCTTCCTTCCCTGGCAAGGAAACACCATTGCTGGGACTACGGATGCTCCCACGGAGATTACGCGCCAGCCTCAGCCGTCTGAGCAGGATATCAACTGGATTCTCAAGGAAATCAGAGGCTACCTGGCCCCTGACATCAACGTTGACCGGTCTGATGTACTTGCTGCCTGGTCTGGAATTAGACCATTGGTGCGTGACCCTAAGGTGAAGAGCTCTCAAGCTCTGGTCCGCAACCACCTCATCAGCGTTTCTCCTTCGGGATTGTTGACTTGCGCCGGAGGCAAGTGGACGACCTACCGCCAGATGGCTGAAGAGGCTGTTGATGAGGCGATCAAGGAATTCAAGCTCAAGCCCCGTGAGATGCACGATGCTCCGGATATCAGTGGAGTGGGTGGACGAGGCTTGGTTGCCGATCACGCTTCACTGGATGGCTCATGCCAAACCCATCAGGTGCGCCTTATTGGAGCCCATGGCTGGTCAAAAACTCTTTTCATCAACCTCATTCAACATTACGGTCTTGAGACCGATGTTGCCAGGCACTTAACCACGTCGTACGGAGACCGCGCCTGGCAGGTGGCAGCACTGTCCTCTCCGACTGAGACACGCTTCCCTGTCCGCGGACAGCGCATCTCAGCCCTCTATCCTTTCATTGACGGCGAAGTCCGTTTTGCCGTTCGCCACGAGTACGCACAAACCGCAGTTGATGTAATTGCCCGGAGGACCCGTTTGGCCTTCCTCAACGCCCAGGCTGCCCTCGAAGCGCTTCCCACAGTGATCGACCTGATGGGCGAGGAGCTGCAGTGGGATAAGAACAGGAAAGAAGTCGAGTGGAAAGATAGTGTGCAATTTCTGGCATCGATGGGTCTGGCCCCCGACCTCCTTAGTGTGACCAGAGATCAAGTTGAGGGTGGCAAAATCCAACAGTTGCTTGCTAGTGAGAGGGGAGCGTTTACAAGAACTGGTGAGTACAGACATGAGCCCTGAACCAGAGTTGTCGGTGGCAAGATGTAATTACTAACCCCCTTCGCAGAAGCTCCTGCAGACGTGATCGCAGAGACGCATAACCCAGTAATGGGTAGCGAGGCCGGAGCCAACAAATAGACGGAGACTAGCGACTTTCAAAATATTTTGTTATTATAGACAATGATAGAAATTGTACATTATAGTTTATATCAATAATTCAATACGGCCCCCCTGTAGCGCGCATTATTACGGTGCTTGTTGTGGATACTAATAGCGGGTAGTAAGCCTTGGTTCGCTTCGGGGCTGGCCCAGCCTTCTTCAATATGCTTATAATGGATAAATATAAATGTATCAGACGTGGCTTGCCACGCTATGTATGAGATTGAAGCGCTGAAAATAACAACTCCAAACTCCCCTAATCTAGGCTGTAGATACATACGATACATCCAGTCCTCAGGTCGACTATACGCGGATCGAGCTCCGCCCAGGGTGTTCGAATTTGGCTTGAACTGCTGGGCCCAGCCGATTAGGTATTCAACCTCGGCCGAAAGAGCTGGGGTGGTATGACGTCTTAAGCTCCCGAGGTCGCATCGATATAGTACATACTAACTCCGTAACGCGTCCTGTCACTCCTGTGTCCACCCAGCTGTCAGGAAATACAATATCTTCGTTCTTCAGGGCCAAAACGGCAAGGGGTCGCTTATTACTCCGTATTGGCTATTCAGCACTTATTTCTGTGCCAATGGGTATCTGATCATCTCTTCCACTACACAGAAGCAGCTGTCGGTGGACGTATCCGAAGTGTCTGCGACTTCTAGTCTAGGCGTAACACTCTATTTGAACCATTTTTCTCTTAGAACACATATCACAAGAAGCAGAAGACTTGAAGAAGCCTGAGATGGAATTCTGGACGAGCCCGTCCACGACAGCTATCGTCTAGGTATACAAAAAGCTGGACCGAGCATAGTGCCGCGTGCATACCCTGCTCGAAGTGCGAGTATCCAAGATTGGAATGGCAATAATGGTATAGGATACATTTTGTAAAGAACGAGAATAAAACAAATGGAAGAGATAAAGAAACCAGGACTCCTTCCAGTTTACAGCATAGATCCGCTGTTGTGCCAAAGACGCTCAAAGATTCAACCAAAGTGAGAAGAGGACCAAACACCTCAAGTCCGTAGTAGAAGTGCGATTAACTCGTTGTAAATGCGTAGCAAATTAGTCAAGACTACCAGAGTCTGTCCGATGGCGATGCTATAAGCACATGTCTTTTAGCGACTCTTCATCCTCTCGGGTGCAGGTGCTGCTAGTTTGAAGCCCGGCATCTTCAAGAAATCCGCGCTTTCGGACGCAATCATCAATTGAAGGATGAGCCGGCCACCGGCCAGAGCATAATGGCGAAGGCGAGGAAGAGTTGCCGGGCCTTTTTAACGGTGGAGATCGTGTTATGACTTGCCCGTTCCAGATCTTGACGGTCCTTCTGAATAATTGTCCCAAAACCGAGCAACCGCTTTGCGGACGATCTCTTTATTTTTCGCGTTCTTTTCGTAGAATTGTCGGTAGTAGTTGAACAATGCAAATTCATGCCGGGTGAGCAGGTAGTTCGGATTTCCTTCGATTTTCCTCCATAACGTGTCGCGGGCTGTTGCTAGGATCTCTCCATCTCGACCTTCCAGTGCACCTTTGTCGCCGTTCCTGGCGGCGTTCAAAGCCCTCATGTAAATGGGTTCATCATCGGATGACGTGGGGTTGGCCATTTAGAAGGTCTTATATATTAGAACTGCAATATTCTGGTAGGGCTGCGATGGCCTCAAGAATAACGGTAATGATACAGCTGAACAAGAAGAATGCAACTCAGGTTTCCTGTAGGAAGGCAGAAGATCATGAGGAAGAGAGAGAAGAAGAAGAAAGGAGAAATAAAAGTAATTGAAGCGAAAACCTGGTGGGCATGGTTCCTTTGCAGGCCCTTGCCAAATTAATGCACTGGAAGGTGGAGCAGGGGTGGTGTGGGCAAATCGTGGATCGAGTCCTTCCGTTACAGGAGCACAGCGGTATGAGAGAAAGAAAAAAAATGACATTGACCCTTTGCTGGGGTTAGGGAAGGTTTTTGAAATTTTTCTTGCTGCTTCCTGCTTGAAGATGGGTCCACAAACATCGTTAAGTCATGCAATATGTAGGAGCAACTGCCACATGAAAGAACTGAGGGATAACCGGTATACCACCATTTGACCCATACCTATTATAATTTCAGACAAAATGGAGATGTCGGGAAATAACAGGAGCAACCCCCAGAACCTGAGCCTCTGCCAGACTGTGAATGGCCATGTGGCGGGTGGGGTTGCGTACGGGCTCACCCGCTGTAGCAGCGCCTCGTAAGGTCCTTAATAAGGCCAAGTATCCTCCTTGGCGTAACGGTTTTGCATATGCTTTGGGAGATCCAACCCGGTGTTTGAGCTGCCCTGGGTCCAGTAGTACAGACTGGTGGGTTCAAGGCTGAAACCGGTTGAGACGAGCTACCGCCCATGCTGCTGTCTGGCCGGCCAACATGTTGGGATTGTTGTTATTAAGATTGTGCATGCCTAGAGAGGACATTCTTGTATGTAGCACAGCACAGCTCCGGGTGCGGCACTAATGCTTGCAGTCCAGGCCATGTCGAGCTCTTGGATAGGTCGAATTCACTCTTTGAAAGGATCAGGAATCAGCTAGGGAAGTATAAAAGAATATCAGACAAAGTGTATTTTCCTCAGCTGATGGGAGGACGCGGACAAACTCCCTTATTCATCTTCAAGTGGAGCAGCACGGGAGCTCCAGTCGCTCTCTGAGAGTCATGGCCAAAATGACTCGCATATATGAAGGAGCTTTTTAGCCAACCATGCGCGCGCAACTGTGTCCAGGGTTGCAAAACCAATTGAATGTCACCAATGTGGTGTGTCAAACCGCCCTCTCACCGATTTATGCATAATGAGTAGTGGTGCATCACGGCGTTTTGTAATTGTATAGAATCAGCCTTCGAGGATCAACCCTGCTCGGCAACATCGAGGCTTCGCATACTCGGTAGCCGTACTTTTGGTAGTGGCCAAAGTACGCCGTTGAGGTTGGATGCAATGCGTCCTCCTCCGCAGCGCGCTACCACTCACTACCTAGTCTCACTGTCATATTAGGTTGACTTTTTTTCTATCTCCATGCCTGCAGGTTAGTCTAGCGATGGTGTACATAACTACATATCGGACTTGTCTATCCACCGAACAACTCATAACTGTTGCATTTTTTTGCCAATGGTGCCATATTATTACAGCATATTCCGTTGGTCTGGCGTCCCTAGCATTCGGGGGCCGAGGCTTCGACATCAAGACGGAGTCTAAACGCTTTGCTCCAGCTAACCACCAAACTCTATAGTTTGAATAAGCGGTCATTGAGCGGGTAAATCGTGGAAGAAAATCTCGACGATATAACGTCGAAGGATACGTAACCTTATCCTCCTGTCGTTAGACAGGTAGTAGCTGCAGGAAATCCGCGCGTGCTTTAGATATCCTGAAGCCATGGTTTCGCTCCGATGCTCCACTAAAGATGCTGTCACCAACCTCGCGAGTTTGCTATGAGACTGTCGCTTTGTACCTACTGTCGGTGCACTCGGGTTTGGCATGCTGTTCTCTACGGTAGGACAAGTTTTCATGCCGACCTCGACACGTGCCGTGAAGCTCATGTTGTGAGCGGCGATAACCATGGTAAGCAACTAAGCTTGTTCCTAGCCATCGATGTTTTACGGCTCATTATTCTGTTCTGGTTTACGTCCTAATCAGATGCCGAGATAAATTATGTACTTGATTAGAAGGATTATTCATGGTTGCTGGCTGCGACGGACGGAGAGCTGGTACAGTCAGCGGAAGTTCTGGGCAACGCGAGCATCCAACCGCGCTAGTAATGTTGACAGCTATGGCCGCCGGCCCCGTTGCTACCAGTAGATAACACTATTCAACCGCCAGAGAAATCACCCGTTGCTGCGGAAAAAAACGTCGGAAAATGCCCGAAGGTACGTTGCTCCCCAGAAATATGTCACTGGCTTGCTTTCTTTCAAAGCAATGCTCTCTAACTAGTTTCGGGATCAGGGGGGAAATCAAGGAACAAGAAGAAGAACAAGGCTCAGGCCCGGCCCGATGCCATCATTGTGAACAACCCAGAGGATGAACCAAATCCGGGGGAAATCGACGTAATTATGCCATCTGAATTATCTTTTATTTCCCCATACTAAGCCTCAGAGTTAGGTCGTGCAGTCGAACAATCCTGAAGAACATAAGCCGGAAGAATCCACAAATGGAAAAGAGAATGACGCTGCTTCAACTGATGATGGACATGCCGATAATGACACCGACGATTCAAGGGCGAAATCACCAATTTTGGAAGCTCTCCGATCCAAAGACCGCTTTGATGCCCTCGTAAGGGACCGAGACTCGCTGCGTGCTGAAGTGACCGATATGCGGAAATCACTGGAACAGATACAGTCGAAGCACCACATAGATATGCAGGCTCTACAAAGCAAGCTGGATGGTGCAGAAAGCAAAAAGGAACATGCAGAGTCTCAATACCGTGGTCTACTCGAGCGGGTGAATACGATTAAAGCGCAGCTTGGCGAACGTCTCAAGGAAGATGCCGTACGTACAATGTATATTTATTATCCTTCATCTATGCGCTAATACGACATAGGAGGAGATTTCCCAGGCGCGGTTGAGGATAGAAGAGTTGGAGGAACAGAATTCGAGCACAAAAGAAGAATATGAGTCCAAGATCTCGGAGCTGACAGAGGAGAACCAGAGGATGTCGAAGGAGCTTTCTGAATTACGAGAACGGACGAATTTGTCTCAACAGAATTGGCTAAGGGAGAAAGGTGACCTTTTGGAGCAAGAGTCGTATCTACAGTCCGAATTCGAGCAAGCAAAGGAGGCCATGCACAATTGGGAGGTGCTCGCCATGGAGGAACGCTCGATCAGAGAGAATCTTGGGGAGAAAGTCATAGATCTAGGGGAACAACTGACTACCGTGAAGGACGCATACGAAAGAACATCTGCCGAGCGCGATTCGCAAGCAGCAACCGTGGATGGGCTACAACGGGCTCTGCAAGAAATCCAGGCCGGTGGGTTCTTGTTCCTCAGACTACACAGCTTTGTCAACCACTAACTTGTTGCAGCGCGTAAACAAGAGCTTCGTGAACTTGTGGAGAGCTCCGATACCCAGCTTGAGGAACTCAAGCTGGCACTCAACGAGGCCAAATCAAAAGAATCAGAGGCGAGGAGTTCTCTACAAGATATCCGACAAGAGCTTGAGAGAGTCCGGCCCTTTGAAAAAGAAGTCAGGGAGAAGAATCTTCTTATTGGCAAACTTAGACATGAAGCTGTTACGTTGAATGACCACTTGACAAAAGCTTTGCGATTCCTTAAAAAGGGAAAGCCTGAAGATAATGTTGATAGGTGAGCATAACCGTTGAGTAACATGGGCCCTTACCTTGCTCCCCGCTGTACTAATAACAAATAAATAGACATATAGTCACAAATCATCTCCTACACTTCCTTGCATTGGATCGATCGGACCCAAAGAAGTTCCAGATCCTACAACTCATTGCGGCTTTACTAGGGTGGTCGGACGGTAGGCGTCATCCAAGCTGCATTGAAAGTTATACTGACATTATTCAGAACAGCGCGAGCAGGCCGGTCTGGCCCGTCCAGGCGCGTCTGGGACATCTTCAAGGCTTCGGGTCCCTGGTTCACCTATGCATCGTACGCCTAGTACACCTACTCTAGCAACCGAGTTTATGGACAATGGGGCAACGAGCAAGGAGTCGCTAGCGGAACTGTGGTCAAACTTCCTTGAGCAAGAGTCACAGGCCTCATCCCTTGACACTAATTCATTGACGAGGTGAAGCTGGAGATATACACTAACTTGCACCGCCCTCCTTAAAGCTTATACAGCACATAATATATTTCCTGTCGGCTGGTACCCTTGTCCCCACTGTGTCTACTACTCCCTAGAGTCCCTACGCTAAAAGCGGTCAACTTCACTTACCGCCCCAAGTGGCCTCAGCTTGCGTAAAAAAACATAGAATTGCAACAATCCCCTCAGTTATCAGTATATGCATTCCTTTTCTAAGATCCGTGGAAAACTGTCATCTTTTGTTGGGCATCGTGCAACACTACCGCGCATCGCACTTTCTACCATGGCCACCAGTGCAGGTACGAGCTTCTGAAGCTTGAAATTTAAACTATCTCTCCACTTTTGAACATCTATATTAATGTGAACAAAAAATTCTAGTACAAAAGTATCGTCCTGTTGTAGTGTCTGGGCCCTCTGGAACTGGGAAATCAACACTACTCAAGAGACTATTCGCCGAATATCCGAATACCTTCGGCTTCTCTGTTTCTCGTCCGTAACCCCTAACCCCCGCCCCCGGGTTCATCAGTTGAGGTCCACAAGCCGCTAACACCTGCCAGACACAACTAGAGCCCCTCGACCTGGCGAGCAACACGCCCGCGAGTACTACTTCGTAACAAAGGAGGATTTCCTCGACCTCGTCAGCAAAAATGGCTTCATTGAACATGCCCAATTCGGCGGCAACCATTATGGAACGAGCGTACAAGCCGTGAAGGATATTGCAGCGAAGGAACGGATATGCATTTTGGACATTGAAATGGAGGTCGGTCGCTCCCGATTTATCTGCGGGCAAAATTGCGGCGGGATCTATCAGACAGCAGACTGACGAGAGCACCTCGAATTCATATAGGGCGTGAAGCAAGTAAAGAAGACTGATCTGAACGCGCGGTTCCTATTTCTTGCGCCGCCATCTGTCGAAGAGCTGGAGAGAAGGTTGCGTGCTCGCGGCACGGAAACGGAGGACAGTTTACAGAAACGGTTGACGCAGGCCACGAACGAGCTCGAGTACGCGAAACAAACTGGCGCGCACGATAAGATAGTTGTCAATGATGATTTGGAGACTGCGTACAAGGAATTGAAGGATTACATAGTTGATGGTGGGAAGTTCGGATTGGAGGCATAAAGATGGCGGCGTGAGGTTTTCTCAAAAGCAAGCATATTCCTCCTCATGTGTGTCCTCCCCCTCCCTTCACTGTGAGATTGATAATACCCGTTGAGCTAGTGTTTGGCTACCGCCTATAGGAAGCGCAACGAATCTGGAAACATATTTCCCTTGAACCTGAATATTAAGGAAATTAAGTACATGGAATGACGAGATCAATGCTAGCGCTTTCATGCTAGTTCTCTTTTCGGGACGCGCAAAACAAAATCGTAGGAGATCTGAGTAAACCCAGCCGTTCTCCCTGCGTTGGGAGAAGGATAACAATAAATATAGTGAAAAAGCATCGAGTTAAAAAGGGATATCTGTAAGAGCATGCTGGTAAGAGGTAAAGTGATATGGAGTCCGAGGCTAAAGAATAGAGCGAAGCGAATCTCTGCAAGGGCTGTCTTCCCCGGTTAATCCTTTGTTGGAAACGGCTGGTACCTAGAGGTAGTGATTAATGAATAATGGTGTGTTCGTCATTGTTCCTTGCTTAATCAGTAGCCGTTCATCGTCACTCGCTGTGAGTTGCGGCTCAGTTCCCTGTCAGCGGACGGGCTGATCGGCCGGCTGCCGCCAGTATGGCCACCTGCGGCGCTGCTCTCCTTCAATGCCAGAAGCTGCTTGGCACGGAAGGTTTCGTAGTGAATTTGGCTTGTTGTTTCGATGAGATCCTGGAGATGGGTACGAGTAAGGAAATTCCGCAGGGAAACAAACTCGCAGTGGCTCTCGTCTTCCACATTGATAACACCCCAGCGGTTCTGGCGCCCGCGGACGGGTTGGCCGTTCACGACGATAGTCCTCTCGCTTCCGACAACTGCAAAGGGAATGATATCCTGGTAGGTCATTAGGGAGGGCATTAGGGTCGAGCACCGCGGATATCCATACCTTGATGCGAGCGTTCACAGCACGCTCCTCGTCGTCAAGCTCGTCATTATCATACGGGTACATTTTGAGGTTGTGGAACGCAAACTCCTCCTTGATCCGCTCCTTGAAGGCCTGGCGTTCTTCGAGAGTCAGCGAATCGGCCTTGGCGATCACAGGTACGACATTGACAACGTCAGACAGCTTCTTCAGAACAACGATATCGATAGGTTTCAGACTGTTAACAAGTGAAAATATCATGAGCTCCACTGCTTTCCCAGGAGATGTTGATAGGTCTCTTCAAAACTCACGCATGGCCAGAAGGCTGAATGAAAAACAAGCAGCAGTGGATACGGGTATCTTGGATGTAGCGGTCACGCTGGGCAGTAAGCTCTTTGCGGAGGTACGCGGAGTGCTGGTCCTTTATATATTTCACGATTGGGTCCCAGCTAGCGATAGATTAGCACAAGTATTGCAGAGAAGCAATAAGTATAGTACAATACCATCTGTCATTGTTGACTTGGTCACCGTATCCTGGCGTATCGACAATGTTGAGTCGGAGACGGACGCCATTCTCCTCAATGACTATCTGGTGGTTAGAGAATCAAGCTGCCGATGGTACAGAACAACCACCTACTATGGGAAACAGTTTGAATCTCCGTAGTCGAGCGTACGGGTTCATTGGGGGTCAAGCGACCCTTGGAGTCGATCAGATGCGAGGCAAAGATGGTGTTGATCAATGTGGATTTTCCAAGACCAGTCTGGCCTATTCATCGACTTAGCATCAAGTACATCTGGCCGAATAGGAGGGGATGATGGCCTCTCACCAACACACATGACATTGAACTGGAAACCACGCTTCAGCAGCTTCCGTTCAATCTGAGAAGTAATGCTGTCGAAACCGACATGGCTTCGGGGGAAGACCGCAGATGGGGGGGAGCTCGCAGTGGCCATGGTGGTGTAAGGGAATTAGAGGACCCGAAAGAATGGCAGTCAACGGGAGGATTTCGATGGGAAAGAAATGGGAGAGGAAAAGGTAGCAGTAAAACTCACAGCGGGAACCTAACCCGCGAGAGAGATCGAGACTTTACCCCAAGAACAAAGCCGGTCTGGTTAGATACTCTGGTATCGAGTGAGAGGGAGAGAGCGGCCATGATAGACCCCTTTAATTGTTGTCGCGACTCAGGGGTGTCCTAGTTCTAGTTGGGCTTAGCGCCTGTCTCTCCAGATCCAAACCCAGCAAACCACTCGCAGGCGCGCCGGGAAAAGCTTCAATTTGCCATTGTTGTCCGGTAACCGCAGCACGTCCCCTCTCGCACCCTCCTGATCGCGCAATTCCTCCTGTCCAACATCATTTCTGCGGATACCTGGACAAATATCGCTCACGTAAATATGGCCCTGCGACTGCTTTCTTCCAGCACGATAATGCCGCAATTTTCCATACCGTCGAGATCTTTCACGACCGGTCTCTCATCGCATCCTTCGATCTTCCTTTCCGCCACTCTCCGACCGGCTGCTTTCTCTCTGAATGTGCCTGGCATTCTATCAGACATATGGGAGTCTGTCCTCCGAGCTGTTCCCAAGAAGAAGACGTCCCACATGAAGAAGCGACATAGGCAAATGGCTGGCAAGGCTTTGAAGGACGTCAAGAACCTCAACACCTGCCCTGCATGTGGGCAAATCAAACGTTCTCACGTACTATGTCATCATTGCGTCGAAAGTATGTAAACGTATACTTTTTAGGTATCTGATGCTCTAACATTTCCCATAGGTATTAAGAAACAATGGGGCAAAGCTCAGTTGGCGTGAATGTGTCCCTAAGGTCAGGAGAAATTGGGTGACGATAGTTCATGGAATATCGAGGTTGAGACCTTGATAAGGATGTATTTGTATAGATATCATGTGTGTGCGCTGCATTGATTTTTCGGCGTTTGGTTTAGCAATTTGGATTTGTATTGTATTGGTATACAAGAAGCCCAAAGGAGGAATGACACCCGGCCAATGCGCTGGAGTTACTGTTGATATACTGTTGCTCAGGTCTCTTATCTGTAAACATTCTAACGGTTTAAGATCAAGTATAAGGTAGCAGGAGTCCTCGACCCTAACTTGTGGTGGTTGCCGTCAATAGCTATCAATTTTATATATGTGTGTATTTGTCGTGATTGGAACAATGGAATCGTGGTTTATATGGACAGCAGGATCCTTTTCTAGAAAACATATTTTATTGATCTCTTGAGGCAGTTTAGGGCTTGTGGCTGACGGCGATTAGGTTGACAGTCGCTATTTCAACACCTCGACGAATAACCTGCGCATCCTCTTCAGGAAGGCGCCGAAGTCGCGGTCCTCATTCAAAATGTCTAGCTCCAGGTCCAAAGAGTCCCTATCTAGCTTGGGTCGTGTATGGAAGACTTCATAATCGCGGCTGGACGTGCCCAGTTCAAACCATGCTTCAGCTTCCCAATCCTTCTCCAGCAAATGACTGTAAACAAATTTTAAACGATCTTCTCTGCCCGCACCCTCTATTCGTAAGCACAGATAGTCTTGCCAAAATTCAAGTTCCGGTACGTTTAGACGTGCCTGTGCATCAAGGTAGCGGGAGTGACTCTTCTGCGCTTCCAGTTTTTTATTGATGGCCTTTTGTGTTTCTTCAATTTGCTGCCTCAGCCGGTCACGCTTTGTAAGACGGGAGTCGCGTTCTAATGTAACGGAAGAAACAGCGGCGTGCATCTCAGCGGCCTCGGCGGCTTCTTTCTGGAGAGTCTGTTCGTGGGTTTGCGATTTGAGATTGAGGATCTCAATATCACGTTGCCTCATTCGTTCATCTTCTGTTCAGCACTTCCCATTAATGCTGTCTTCCTTGAATGCCTTTTCCGGTTTTCGGTAATCACCCACCTTGTAGTTCAGCTAGGCCGATCTTAAACTGATTCCTTTCTTCCAGAACCTGTTTCCTACCGCGTTCTATAAATGCGTCAAACTGAGCCGTGAACTGGGCCATGCGATTGCGCAAATCTTCAAAGCCGAAATTGATGCTTGGGAGCGAGTCGGCCATTGAGGGCGCTGTTGCGGAAGTCAGAGGTGGTCGTATACCGCTTGTCGAGAGAGATGGATCAAACGAGGATGACATATCGAGAATCGGAGATCTGCTGTGCGGCTCGGCCTGAAGTAACTCGGCTGGGAAAGTTGTGCGCAAAAATGTTACGTTAATCAAGGAGGAGGGAAAGTTGATTGACGTCCTTGTTGCGGCGCAACCAAAAAGCTTGGCACCGCAGCCGACATTTTCTACGAGATGCAGAAAAAGTCCCAGAGCTTCTTTATCAACACTCCGACCACATGACTCCATTCCAACGTCTGCGCCAAAGCAGATGCATTTAACGGCTACCCCTGAAGGCACCAGATTGGACCCTGATATCTTTTTTCTATAATCACCCGACTTTGATTAGAGACTGTGTGCTCGATATGGTTGTTGAGTCGGAACCTCTGTGTATGGCCAGCATTAGAGATAGACCAAATGGATGAGAGTACAACAAAACTACTTCATTATGGACACTTGGGAAAGCCTGTGTACCATCGGGAGACACAGTCTTGGGAGTTCTCGCGCACCCTAGCTCCTCGTAAGCCGCCTCAGATATTCTCATCATCTACAATATGCTGACAATCAGGGAAGCACCGCAAATATCATGCACCGGGGTGACCAAGACTACTGTACAGTCGCCCTCTACATCCGTTGAACAGTCATTGATATCGAAGCGATCAATAATAACTCGGGGTTATCCTGAGCTTATTGCAGGTTACCGCCTTGCCCACAGTGAAACACTCTCCCATACCATAACAGCAACGAGCAAAGCATGTGACCCCCTGGTGTCCACGCTGCTCGACCTCGGACGAGCGGTGGACTTCGATATTGATACCTCCGGACGACGGGCGGTTCCAATTGTGGCATTTGCATCTGGAGAATGCGGCAACATCGTTTCTTTGCGGACTATAACCGAGGAGACGGTGGAGCTGGAACAACCTACGGTCTCTCGGTTACGTGTTCCAACGATTGACGATGAAAATCATATTGAATGGCTAGCAGACGTAGCTCCTATCCGGCAAATTTGCTTCTCTTATGCCCTGGACGGCAGAGCTACGTTCATGGCGGTTCGCTTCTCATCTACGGTCGTTTTCAGGCCACTTTATCATAGGACTCCCACATTAGTCCCTGTCCATCGGGATGCAAGTGGCATGGCCCATGGTCATCAAGTTTCACGCCTTGACCCGAACTTCTTGATGGAGATAACTATGCCGCATACCGGAGGCGCTGCCCACGCAGACGTGAGGTTCAATCCCTGGAACCAAAACCAACTTGCTATCGTTGATGAGGATGGAAACTGGAGCATTTGGGAATTACGCAATCAGCACAAGCGCAACAGGGACAATTGGGTCGCCTCATGTGTGTTGACGGGTACGATTCCGTGGGTTAATCCATTGGCGAGTGCCGAGGAGCATAAGTTGTCAGATAAACAGAGCCGACATGACGGGTGGCTAGCTGTCGAATGGGCAGATAATGGCAATCATATCGTTGTCTGCGATCGAAGATGCTCCATACTTTACCGTGTGAAGGGAGATGAGGCAATTCCCTATGCCATGGAAATAGGCTACACCAGACAGTCGGAATGGATTCTAGGCGTCCAGAGGAGCACCTGCGAACCTTCGCATATTTTTCTTCTCACAACTTCCCGAATTGTCTGGTTTGAGATAACTCCAAACTGGATTCCGGCCGATAAGGATGCAGGGCCCTCGCTAGTCCCCCTTCTTTCCTGGCGTCATTTTCGTGATTCAGATGACACAACGCTGCAGTTAGCTCCGCTAACCGTGAATATGGGTGAGAAATTCCTGAATGCCACTTCATTCTTCCCTTGTACAGTTCTGATAAATGTTTGGCAGAGTTCTACCTCGCTATCTTTTCTCGCCTTAACGGCCTCGTGCTGGCATTCTATTGCTCGAATCCTCCTGGGGCTGTGTGTGGTTCAACATTTGCTTTTGATCCTTTTGTTTTGCATGTTCCACTCACATCCAATCATGCTGAAGATTCTGAGGCTCATCCTATGGACATGCCGCTTTCGACGCTTGTCTTTAGAGAGATAGTGCCTGGGCCTATTGACGACCGGGACTTGGACCGCAGCTTGAGGTTTATCAAGGCCTTCGCAGTAGATTCAGGCCTTCGTGTTCTTGAATCATTATACTCAAAAACTTCGACTGGTGGTCGCGGTGGCGAGTACTTGTACGGGAAAGACGTTCTGCGTGGCAAGGATTTACGGCTCAGTGGGCTGCAAAAAAAAGGAGCCAATTCGAGGAGTGGTTTTATCGTTGATGACTGGGACGAATCCGTGCATGTTGTTGGCTCAATCTCGGACCGCGGAATTGGCAGTATAGTCCCGTGGACTGAGCCGCACTTTGCACTTGATTATACACATATATATGCTATAGCGACCGGATCATTCAAAGAGGTTGGCGAAGGGACAACGGTGTGCAGTTTTCAGGAGTCAATCCAGGAAGTGGTGGACGACCTCGCTGGTCGTGTGCCTTCAGAAAGACCTAGGCACACAGTGTAAGTTACACCTTGCCAGTTAGCAGTAATTTGCAAAGTGCTAACAACGATCCAGGCTTGAAATCTTACGGAAGCCACCTGTGTTGGACGACATCGACCAAAACGCGCAATATCTAGCTGCCTTTGTCTCACAATTTGCCTTGCACAAGCCAGCGCTCGAAAATTGGGGTGATCTTCTTGTACAGCCCTACGGTTTGTTCAGTGCGCATTTAACCCAGCAAGCAGATCTACTCGGGACGTCGAGGTTGGACCTGGTTGCTATATATGATCGATTGGTTAATGAGTGGCTCATTGACTTGCCTTCTGACATGCCTGGACGTGCTAGGATCTCAAAAGAAAAAGCAATCCGACGCTTTGTCGTCGACCTGGTGCTCTCGCAAATCATTAATCTACACATACCAAAAACTGCTGAAACGATGACAAATCACGGTGTCACTTTGTCTACCTATTCCAACAGCGACCTGGTCAGCTCATCAACACTCGCTAGTGAGCAATCCTCTCATAAATATTTGTCAAGTTCCACCAAACAAGGTGTCCTGTCTCATGCACATACCGCAACCACGCAAAGCAGCTCTGCAGCGGGAGACTCGACATGGCCCAAGTGCCAGGGCGGTCAATCACCTCCCTTTGCGGTATTATCATCCTACTCGGCGCTTTACAAAACAGAGCCGATGTCTCAGGATGCAGAACGCATTCTCGGCCACTGGAAAGCGGGACTTGATCCAGCCTCTTATTCTCCAGTACTGGAGAAGTCCAGGTCGGCAGACAGTAATCAGGCCTCGCAACATAGATTGCGGAAGAAGAATGTGTCACAGAGTTCCAAAAGTATGAGCCTTGATTCACCTAAGCCACCCACCGTGTCTTCCATACCACCTCCTGTCTCTTCGTCCGCCCTTGCTCTTAGGGGAACCTGGGGCAGTCAGCCGGATAACGGCCATGCCCATATGGCACATTATCAGAGCAGCCAAGTCGTAAGTGATGTCCCGATGACTCAAATCGAGCGGGGGACGTTTGGAGGTCGTGAGGCGGGCCGGAAAGGCGGCAACAAGGCAAAGAAGAAGAAAAGGGCAGCCGGGTTCTAACCCTCCAGGTCGTCCATTCAAATCTATGGAGCCTATTTTTCCTGGGCGGGTCTCTGTATCCCGTGCGTATCTACATATTTTACGAAGCTGATGTAGTATTGCTCAGGAGTGGACTCAGCAGTCACAGTCTAGATACCAAAACTAATGATAATTCAACCTTAGGTGATCTGATGAGGTGACCGCGAAGCTCTATGAGCCATTTATGCGTCGTTCTGTCTTCTGTACTCCGTAGATGTAAGCACCAAACGATTTGAAATCCGGCTGCTGCTTTGCTGTACCATAAAATGGCTTCTCTGGAGACATAGTTACCGATTACAAGCTCAGTTTGATCTATATTAATCCATTATATCCGCCCCCGCAAACTACCCACCTGACCGAGCGGCGTTCTCCTGGCCAAAACATCAACAAATTCACCAAACCTTCTCAAAGTCCAAACTTTGGAACATAAGAAAAATGTCCGACCACGAACACCAGTACAAGTTCAACGTGAGCATGAGCTGCGGCGGTTGTTCCAGTGCTGTTGAGCGCGTCCTCAAGAAGCTAGATGGTAACATCCTCAATGCCCCTCCTCTAGGCCCCTTCGCGGTTATTTCATCCCTGCCGAACAAACTCCACGAAACAGGCCTACGCACTACTTCCTGGGTCGAGACTCTGACAGTTGAGCTGCAATAGGTGTAAGATCATTTGACGTGAGCCTTGACTCTCAGACCGCAAACGTTGTCACCGATGCTTCCGTGCCTTACGAGACGGTTCTCGCAACGATTAAGAAGACTGGGAAGTCGGTGAACACTGGAGAAGCCGATGGAAAGGCTAGGGATGTTTGAGTTCGAGGTAGAACTTGATTCTGATAATGGTTGTGGCAGTTATCAGAATGCGCGGCTTGGCTTATGAGTGGTCGATATCTACGTATTGTGAGGATAGGATCATAGGACGGATACATTGGCGGTATTCCCTGCTCCTGGATGATAGAATCATATCCCGCACATGATTCTATGGCTGTTTGTGCACACCTAAGAGACCTGAACTTTATTGAAGAAACCTGTTCTTGTATTTCCACCGGTCGGAAACTGCCTGACGCTTGAGTACCGACAAAAGCAGAAACAATGCACACCATGATTGTTGGGTATCATAACACATTTACAATAACAATAGTAGACAATGTCCAGGAATGGAATATCAACAGCGCCGGGAACCTTCTAAATAGAAATTCAGTCCACAATAACGACAGCACGGCCCTCAGGTAGTGACAATCGTGCATTCTCCGCCCTCCCAGCTGGGACCGGCAAGCGTTGCTCCTCCACAAATGAGGCACGTCGATGAACGCCGCATGTTGTCCTAAGCATGAATAAGCTCACGTTCACGTCATGTCTTGAATGGCAGGTTATATATGACGATGAGAAATGGGAATGGGTCAATTCAGGTGTCTATGAGAATGGGACTCTCTTTTTGGCCATACCGAGGAGGGACGACGGCGTTCTTAAGATGTCTTCGGTCCTCGTAGACAGGGAGCGCCGTCCTGATTAGCGTGGCATCCTGATGTCCAGAAGCTTGGTCGCTGACTGGATACTGCTGGAAAGGTGCTTCAGCCTGGGAATCTGCATGAACGCGACCGCGAGGCGGCAATGAGGCTAGACTATCCGACGGAACACGCCGATGCTGATTATCGTGAAGTTTGACATTGATCGGTCGGGACGGGTCTTCCGCCATATATACGGAGGGAAGCCGACGGGCCGGCCGAAACTTCGATATTTCAGGCTCCCCGATGTCAACAGGGCGGATAAAACCATCAGCATAAAGTCCCTGATTCTCCGCGGGCTTAATGGACACAATGTTATTGCTCCACCACGCTGGCTCTAACCGAGGGCCTGTTGTTTCTGGCGCCCTCAATCCAGGGGCATTAAAGCCATGGACATTTTGAGATACGCGTGATTCTGGTGGGATTGGCATGTGAGACTGCAAAGACCTATCGCGGCCGCTACCACCAGCGACGGGATATCCCATACCAGGCGCGGGGCGAGCCATAACAGAAGATCTATCAGTATCGGCCTGGGAATTAACAAAACGACTGTGAGAAAATTGTTGGCCATCATAAACTTTAATGGGTCCACGATTGGCGAGAGTCCGGGATTCGCGGTCAAAGCGGGAGGTAGAGACGAAAGAGTCCTGGCCAGTGCTTGGTTTGTGTTCTGTGATACGATACGGCTCAACAACTGGGCCGAAATATCTCCTACGGATATCGGGACCGCTTTGGACAGATGGTTGCACGGCCACGGCATACCGATTCCCTGGGTAAGTGCTCAAAGAAGTGGAACCAATGGGGGACAAGGGCTTTTCCATAGGTATTGGTTCCTGATATGCCAGACGCCGTCTTTTGGAATTGTGGCCTTCAACAGATTGCTCCTGAAGGAGAGTATGATTTGGGTGGTCCTGGTGGACTTGACGCCGATGTGGCGTTACTGAGCGGAAGACGAACGCTCCTGACATCCTTTTGGTAAGATGTTCTATATTTCCACTATTTGGGCGTTTGATATCCACCGTAAGAGGTTTCTCGATGGAAGGTAGCACCGGATCCTCTTGGTTCACATTCCTGTTTTGTAAGTGACCCTGTGGCCGAGCAAACGACCTGAGACCATCGCCAGTTCTTTCAATGCTTTCTTTGGGCCCGCTGACAAAAACAGGTCCATTCGGAAAGTCAGCTTGTTGGAACGAGTGTTTCACGGGTTCAAGCATGTGTGCTCTCCCCTGCGGAGTAGGAATAGGCAGATTGAGAGGGGCAGGGGCACCTCTTCCCCCGTTTGGCATATCCAGAGGATATAGTTCATAAGGCTCATCCAAAGTTAGTACGAGTGAGTTGCTCGGATAAAAATCTCGCCAGGGTTTCCAGAACCAAATTGAAGATGCAGGACTTACATGACGGTCTGCCACAGGATTAAGCGGGGGCCGACTCAAGATACTCGTGATTGCTTTGTGGTTAGGTAGGGTAAATGGGCCAACAGAACATTGGCGCGGACCAATATGTCCGCGTGCAGAGGTCTCTCTTCCAAGTCCAAAGTTCCTTTGCGAGGTATCTCTAGCAGGGTATGCAGCTGGTGGACTAGTGGAACCACTGGCCAGGTTTTTATACCTGTTAATGGCACGGTCCCAAGCTTGATACCTGCTAAATCCGCGACGGTCAATTTTCGCTTTCTTTGAGGGTTCTGGAATAAAACGAAAGCCTGGTGCTGCTTCATCTTCCGAAGTCTCTACTGGTGCATCTCGGAGAGCGCGATTGCTATGGCTGTCACGCCTCATTTGAAGTTCCTCAACCACGGGATTGCTGGAAATGATTTCCACGCTGGTATCACGACCAAGAATATGCTGTGGCTCTGCCTCGATGTCACTATCTTCATCATCGGATATAACGATCACTTCACGAAACACATCTTCAAGAACCGTCTTGCCATTTTCGTCATCCCCTCGCCATTCCACCAGCTTAGCGAGAGTCGGTTGTTCAACGGTCGCTCTTGCTTCATGGAAAGAAGTGGATTTGAGAAGGCGGTCGTAGTTTGTATAGATGTGTCGAATATGGGCGACAACTGCTAGTTGTGCTCGACGAGCGAGGGGTAGCTCAACCGCTGTACCTACTTTGCGCTGACCCTAAACATAGTCAGCGACTGATACAATCATCATATCCGTTCATCTGGCGCCAAGTTCAACCTTTTGAAATGCAGTTTTAATAATCTGATTTAGATCATTGTCGGGAATATTTGGGAAGAGGTCTCTAAGAACATCCCTTGCTTCTGTGTTTATGGTGATCTGAGAATCTGCGTCAGCGTGCTTGCGGCTGGGCTCATGGCCCAGGCTCTGGAGGGGCACAGCTTTTCCCGTTCCTGTGAGATATAAACCATTACTTGTACACACTTCCGCAACAACAACGCTTGGGAAATGATAGCCAATACGGTGCACATGCTGTGAGAGACCGTGGGCGTGCAAGTGGGGAGTTGTCTGGAGATAGCGATGATAATAGTTAGCGATCGGACAATATTACGACAAAAAAGGACACTGGAGAGAGTTCGGCATACAGAAACCGCGTATACCTTCAGACCCCCCCTTCGACAGCGCTCTTTGCAGGTGGCCGTAAAATGCGGATCACCTGCCGATATGAATGTATAGCCCGGAGGCGCTTTGGTTTCGAAAGATATCTGGCATCTTGGTCAATGGAGACGATTAGAGGTTGGCATGGCGACAGCATACCACACTCCGCAATTTCTTCTTCTTTTGGGTAATAGATTCCAAGATCACCTTATGCCTCCGCGCTGTTCGTTTGACAGTCAAACCTGGGCTCCGCTGGGCAAGGACCGAGGTAGACCTTCGAGGTATTCGAGTCATGTCGTCGACATTCAGAGATCACATGCGACTATAAGGGACATATTTTTAACCTCATGATGGCACTTCAAGTAGAAACGGCGATACAGAAGCGGGAAACAAGCAAAAGTTGTCCAGCAGGCACGTAGTAGATGCAGCGGAGTAAAGTAGAGCCGTCAAGTCAATAGGTGTAGGCGGACTCCGTCGTAGTGGAAGCGTAGATTGATCAACACATATTCGTGAAATCGTGAGCCCTAATGTCTCTGCACAATTTCCGTTGAGAGATTTCAGACATACAATGGCGTCTGAGGCGTATATAAAGTAATGATCGGTTCAAAGGCGGCAGCAGAAACCGCATGACCTGGGAATGGAGATGATGTGGAAGGGCACCAAAACGACCATTTCGGCCTAACGCGGGCCCGTGGTTCCACATGCCTGGCTCTTCTAGAATAGGTTAGTGCAAACAAACCCGGGGAGACCACTCCTTCAATAGTAATAATAGTGTAGTTGAGAGTTGAAGCGTCACTATACCCACCGCGCGTCTATAATAATGGCTGACCGACAGACAATCATCCACGCCTACCGCCAGCTCTATCGCCAGGGACTCAAGGCCATTAACTATTCAACGCCTGCTCGCCATGTCCTGCTCAAGACTTTGCGCTCATCGTTCCGCACCTCACCGGCTCGAGACTTTGATTCCCTTCGAATCGCTAATACTTTGAGGTTTCTTCTTAAAGCTGCCAACGTTAGTGGTGTTGAGCATAAGATCGTGAGAAATACGCTTATCACCAAGTACTGGGAACAACCAAGTGGTGTGAAAACGACTCTGCGGCAGTTAGTCACCTTTCTATGAATCCGCGCAGTTGATCAGTTGGTCTAATTGACTCGAAGAATCAAGGGATTGGACATCGACCAGAGGGATCCACGAATTCGAAAAGATTCCCATGAACAATTTCAAAGAACATTGACGCTCTTGAATGAGAGTCTGGGAACATGTTTGAAGTAACGGAAGAAGAAAGTATAGCTATCTACCCCAAGATACGGTTGCTTGTGTGGATATTGAAGCTTTCATATGCTATTTCGCTGTTTTATCTGCTATCTCGCTGTTTTATCTTCACAACGGCGCGAGCACTGGATCTATGAAGTTGACTGAATCAGTCTCTCAAATATCTCTCCGACTGGAACTAGGACCAGAGCCTCTTAGGCTTGAAACTTACCTGGCTTCTTTTTCTACCATTTCCGGTTCTTGTGGCCGTCCGATCACGCTACGGCAATAATAATACAGGAAATTGGGGAGCTAGCAGCAGGTGCTACCTCCACAGACGAGGCTGACCGGGAAAGAGAAACGATGTGATGGGCATCTTCCAGCATCGAGGCTTGGGAGGACGTGCTCTTCAGTCAGCTAAGAGACAGCAAATTCTATATCAAGATTCAATTTTGGAAAGCACAACTAGAGCGCAGTGTTGACTACGAAAGACGCCTGACCCTAGACTCTGGATAAACATCCATCACATGTTGTCATCTTACATCCACACACCATCCATATACCATGTACAATCTAATCGCGGCTATCAAGGCACTGGTGTGAGGAGACCTATGTGTTAAGCATGGACAAGGCTGCAGGAGACGAGGGTGTGAGTTTGTATTTATTCGCAATGTGCCATATTACCTTACCTGACTCTGAGTCAACACACTTTCGTATCTCAAGGGCTAGGACTCTGCCCGACAAACCCCAAACGCTTCAATTCGCATAATTCATATCAAGGCATTGATAGCTGGACCGGCAGCTAATGCCAATGCATCCTAATCGTAACCATTCATGGACCCAGCCATTATCGTCAGTTCTAAGTTTCGATTGTATATGTGTCATCGGTGCCCGAATATATCGATGCCCTCATCGTCCTCTTCTTCATCCTCTTGCTCGTCATTCTTGTTATCTGAGTCGCTGGATTCTGATGGCTCCTCGGCCTCCTCATTGTCGTCTGCTGGGTCCGTGCCCCTACTGAGAAATCCATACCTATACTTGAACCTGGTACCCCAAATATTGAGCTCGCGCTCCCCGTCATTGTCGTCGCCTTCGTTCATTCGACTGGCGAAAAATGATGTCGAAGTAGACCTCTGTGACTGGCGGTCTGGAGGTATACCGAAGTAATTGCTAATCACGGGTGAAACTGCACGGCCGCGAGTAAGATTATATGAAGAGAATTGCCTTGGTGGATTAGTAGACCTCGATATGTTGAATTGTGGATGTGAGCCCGCGCCTGGAGCTGAACTGGGGTCAATCTGTAATTGAGCTAAGGTTGGCAGCAGCGAATCATCGTGAGAAGATGATCTCAACCTCGAGGCCGGGAACCATTCATCTTCGGGGTCGTGCTCGGAAGAGCCTAGTGTGTCTCCTTGACGGACACTAAGCTGAGTGGTGTTGTATGATTCACACCTATGCCAGTCCTCATTAGTTCCTTCCCCGGGCGAAACATGTATAAAACTTACATATCACATCTCAAGCCCAGCCAGTGGTACTTGACTACCGATTTGGTACCACAATCATTGCAGGTTATGATAGCTTTAGTGTCCTTGAAGTCAGCCGGCATCGGCTGGCTTTGAATGGTCCTATCCAGATTTCGAAAGGTTGCTTCCATGTTCGTAATCGTCTTGCTACATATGGGACAGCGGTACGATGCCTTTGAGTATTCTGAGAGACACCGTTGGTGAATGCTGTGACCACACCGCATGAAAACAACCGTCTCGGGGGAAGTAAACATGTAATCTCCGCATATTGGACAATCACACTGTGTTGAACGCTCGATGCACCGATGTGTGGTTTCGATCGATATAGGAAGACAGACACTGCAGGTCTGGGATATAGTTAATAGACAGGCCCTACACATACCCCCTTCTGCCGCGAATGCTTACCTTGCAGTGGAAAAAGTCTTTGCCTATCCCTTTGCCAATACGGCAAATGCCACAATCGTTGCAGTGGTAGATGCTTTTACTAGCATCATTGTCCCAGAGTTTACACGCGACACAGTAATACTGCGCCGCTAACCCACCGCACCACTTACAATATTGGGCAGCTGGTTGAGCATGACCGCATAGCATACATAACATGTTCTCTGTTTTCGGACGATTGAGATGGTGGTCTTCAACCTCGTCATGGCAAAATCGACAAGTGTACCATTTCCTGCAATCAAAGCACTGAAGTTTGACGTTCCTCTGATAATGTGCGCAGCCGAGGCATGACTCTTCGAGCTCTTCAGCGTCAGCATCTTCGGCGTCATCAACATGGGGTTCTGTCTCCGCTCTGGGATAAAAAGTTGGCTTCAGATCATCGGCAGTCAGGTTCTGAGATACGTCTTGTGGAGCCGAGGTAGCTGTAGACGCTGAGGAGAGGGATGGTTGGTCGAAAGACAGGCCGCTCCACCGATTTGGAGTATGTGCTCGTTCCAAGGTCCGGACAGAGAGACTTGGGGACGTGATCGGCGAGAGATGACCTCCAGACCCAACTTGAGATGAATTGTACTTCTCTGTCATTAGGTCGTGGATCATGCGAGCTTGCTCAGCGCTAGTGTAACCCAAATCTCGAATGGCATGAATCCGTTCTCGCAACGCCCCCATCCCGTCGTCTTCTGGGAGCAGGGGTTGCCCGGCCGTATCATCCGCCAGTGTTTGAGCTGAATACCTCCGAATTTGTTGGGTATCATCTGAATTTGTCTGAGTGTTATGCTGTGTCGTAGTAGAAACGGAGTGTGCTTGCGTGAACGCTGTTGCAGCCGGGGATCGTGCAATGCTCGTGTCCGCGATGCTATCTTCAATCCGCTGACGTTCACCCTCGAGCCCACCGTGCCCTGGGCTGGAGGCGGCGGTCGGTCCAGAAGATGGGTCAGCCTGGGGAAATGGTGACGTAGTCAAAGACTCATTTTCTGTCTCAGTGGACTCATTGCCGCCCGAATGCTCCTTGACGCGCTTATCTTGATTTAGGTTCGACATATCAGTTCTTGTACTATCATCTCTGCAAGTATTGCGCGCCGAATGTCCTAATCCTCGAGTCTCGCGTTGCGGATACAAAGGGTCATCATGGAAGGTGGGATTGGGCGTTCGACAGCGGGGGTAGGCGGAGAGTCTTTTGGATGGCGGGTTTCAAAAGGAACAAGTCCAAGATCCTGCTCGTAAAAGTTGAGCCAAAATAGATGTGAGATGCTAGGAATCTTGAGAAAGTCTGGAGGATGGAAGCTAGGGCCCGACTAAGCTGCCAGGAACGGTCGGATGAGGTAAGGTGATCCGCCATCCAGCTGCCTTCCAAGCTGGCTGTTTCAGCATTCCAGGGCTCCGCCGTCACCTAAAGATCTGTTGGTCTTCCTGTACGATGTTGTCATGCAGATTGAATCTGAGCTCAGGAACTGGCTTGATTGAATACGTATCATATAGATATATATACATGTGATCCTGGTGGCTGATTAGGTGTCGCTGTTGTATRCCGGCAATGGTACTCCTTAGTGGGAACCTCTCGGATGGATGATCTCATCCCGCCGCAACTCATCCCACCGCAGATTCAATCATCAACAGCCAGCAGCAGCCCGGGATCGTAGTGCACGGCTCAATCAAACTCTTATCTGAGGATGGTAGGGACATAAGCACACGGTGGTAGAACTTATGGTGTTAACTTCCATGTTGTTCTTAGTCGAAGCAATACCTTTCCTACGGCTCTGCAGACAATAGTAGGTTCAGAGTCGAATACCACCGCCCGTTGTTCATTCACTAAATAGCTACAGCTCATCCCACTGATATCTTTGCGCTAGCCGTTACCGAGAAGCAGATTTTGTCGGCATCAGGGTCCAATGCTCTTCAGGTTCACTCAACGACCGATCCTGATTTTCCCCTAGTCCAGACACTTGAAGCCCACAATGTCGGGTGCCATCATGTGGTGACCGATGCCAGAGGATTAAGGGCAGTCAGTGTTGGATTCGGTGGTGAGGTAGTGATCTGGGAATCTCATGATGGAAGATGGTCCAAGGCAAAAGATGTCGCCCTTGCGGATCTCTGGGCTGTTGCCCTGTCTGCCGATGGCCAGTATCTAGCCGGTACCACCCAGAATGGCCATCTCAAGGTCTGGGACTTGAATGCCAATGAAGAAGAGATACGAGATCATGAAACGAAAGGCAGTTTTGGAACCTGCATAGACCTGGTGAGCAACCCCTGTCTATCCTCTGTATCATCAGGTTCTTATGCGGATACTATAGTCACCGGACGGACGTTTTATCGCCAGCGGTCATGAAAACGGCAGTGTCTATATATTTAATACAGAAACAGGACGCATACCATTTAGTCTATCAGGAAAGTGCTACATACTTCTTTCACGGACCTTGAAAATGCAGCTCAAACTAATCGTCTCCGTAGGTTTAATAAAGCCAGTGCGCAGTCTTGCCTTTTCTCCCGGTGGGAAATTCCTTGCTGCGGCTGGAGATTCCAGAGTGATTGTGTTGTATGATACATCCTCTGGCGAACAGGTGGCCAGCCTCACCGGTCACGCTGCATGGATCTTATCCCTCTCGTGGAGTAAGACAGGAGAGTATCTCCTGAGCGGGTGAGCCTTTTCTCTCCATTCCCGATGACCACGAGCTAACCAAAAGATAACAGATCTTTCGATGGCAAGGTCAAGGTTTGGTCTATTGATACCAAAAACTGTGTTGCAACGCATTCCGAGACTGAAAGAACCATCTGGAGTGTGACATGGTTGCCGAAGATTGGAAAGTGGGAGGGATTTGCTACGGCTGGCGCTAACAGAAGCATATCCTTCTATCGGGAGGCTACGGGAGGGTGAGTTGCGTTGTGCTGGGCTGGGCTGGGATGAGCGAGTCCTCATTCAAAGTTGCCCATCGCGACTATAAAATGCTCGAATCCGCTTATCTCCGTTCTTGATCGCTTATGTATATGTGCCCACCACTTGCATCGATCTGAGCTCTGTGCCGTACCTACTGAGGGGCCCTTTGCTGCTGGGCCGTACAGAGGTCCTTGATATTCAGCCTGGATGCGTACGTACAGATAGATATAGTCCTCCAGCGAACCACTTCACTCAGCACGTTTTCAGCTCCTAGTTGACTATTTATCACAGGTAGATACGCTTAAGTAAGCACGTTGCGGGCTTCGATTGCCTTCTCCGGGCGGCTTCATGCTGACTCGGGTTTAGTAGCGTCGTAACCTTAGAACATATTATCATCGTCCCGACCAGTGACGATGATGGCCACGAGGGAAATTTCCTGGACGATGCTACATGATTCTACCTAGGCTTGCTATTTCATTCCTACTTCGGACATACCACGCTCTTTTGCCTCAAACTGCACCTGGATTCTCCCTCAGTCCTTGCTCTATTCCGTACGTCCGCTTGTTATGTTGAAACAGAGCACGGATCTCTCTACAGCTGGAGTTCTGCTTTTTGTCACATCATCCATAAGTAAGACCTCCTTCTTACAGGGTATTCCACCGTTACAATAGCCTGTGACGCAAGTAGTCCTCAGGCCGGGTTCTCCTGCGCGACCTAATCCCTTCTGTCCGCAGATCTCGAAAACCTACGGCCTCACCTACAGGCCCTAGTGACTCTACTTTTCGCCATCGATAGTGTTCGCCCCTCCGATCCTCGACTATCCGCATGCGTTGAGACACTGTAGTAACATCTTCCCGGCCTCGTCTCAACTGATCATGATCCGTCGCAATTCAGACATCGAAGTTCAGCTGCCTGATGCCGAACTTACTGGTGCGCCCGACTCTCTTAGTGAGCCTGACATAGAGATGCTCTCTGAGGAGTCGGCCCCTTCACTTAGTCTTCCAGCCCACCTCGCAACGCGTTTCGCTCGAAAATCAAGCGTCATCCGACGCTCTTCGGCGGCTTCTTCCCGACGAAGCTCGACTTCTTCCCTACATTCGCAGCACTCAAATACGATCTCTCATGGAGCAACCGCCACCGACCATATCGCGCAACATCTTCGACGGGCCTCGATCCTCGAAAGCCGGAAGGCAAGACTAGCGGACCGTGCATTACACGCAGAAAAAGTGAGGCGACGAGCGGCTCTAACCAAAGCGACTACTCGAAACCTTCAAAGGGAAGGGAGAGCCCTGGCTGCTCAACAGGCTCGTGAACGGTTGCTGGCGGAAATAACAGCCAAGTGTGAGGAGGAAGTTCGGCGCGCGAAGAAGAAGGCGGAGGACAACCGTGAGAAAAAGGCCGCTGAGCACGCACGTCTCCGAATAGAAATGGTAGAGAAGTTTGCGGAGGCAGAGAAGAGACGACTACTATATCAGCAAACCCCCAGGCGCCACCGCACAAGCAGTTCTACCGAGGAGAAGAAATCCGTGGATATGAAGCCTATCAGTGAAGATGCCGCGGCGCGCAAAATCCAGCGTGTGTGGAGGACGTATAATGCGAAAGTAACCATTGGAGATTTTCTCACTCTTAATGTCACGAAAGAGCGCATCCGCGATATGACCTTTGAAGATGTTGGTTCCTTGTTATCGGAGGAGCGAATCTTATCTACGACAGCTCGAGTTCTTCGACTGTGCGGTTTGCAGGACATGGAAAGCGGAACCCTGCGTGGCAGAGGCGCTGTGCGCACGTTCCTTAGCAGCTACCTTATCGTCACACATCCCGCTGAGGTTCTGAGCGGCGATGGCGAACAGGAGCAGGACCTAATCTTCAAAGCTCGTGAACTTCTTTCTGCTTTTGAACAAGTGACAGTTCTACTCTCGTCTGGCTGCTGCTCACCAGCAATCATTTCCACAGAGATTCAAACCTTATGTGAGGAGTATAATGTATTCTTCTCTGCGTTTCACGCGTGGAAGATACATGATTCAAGCGTACTGATTGAAATTATGCTAGCCCAGTTTCTTGAACTGGAATTGATCTGGCAAACAGTCAAGGACGACCAGGCCGGGGGTGTTGCAGATGATTACCGTCAAGGCATCAGACAAAACCAGATTCTACTCCTTGCCCGACTTAAGCGCTTGGCAGGCCCTGATAGAGCGATGCAGATGGTTCGAGATGCATTAAAGAAAGCCAAACGACAAAAGAAAAGCTCGGCTCCCAAGCGAGCTATTCCCCGATCAGCAGAAGTTGCCTCTGCGGCAACAACTACAGAAACTCTTACTGAGAGCGTGGCTTCGCCAATCAGCGAAAGCTTCAACAATGTGGACAGTACAGTACTGCAGGAGCTAGAGAAGCAACATGTATCTCCTCACGAGCGATTCACCAGGATGCTTACTGCACTTCCGGAGAATCGTGCCTTGGTCCATGAGCTCCTCATCAACAAAGAATACAAAATCGAAGAGAATTCCTACACAGAGCCGCGCAAGCGGATCATGGAGCACATGTGTGCTATGATGCGACGAGATGTTGAGGCTGGGTCCGCTACAAATTGGATTGTAGCAATGGCTACAGTCATTCAGGATCGTTTATTACGCTCCCTTCGGCCCGGTAACTCGCTCCATGTGCTCATCAGTGAAGTTCTCGATCCAACCTTAGTAGAGAGCCAGTGTAAGGCTGGAGCTTTCTCTTATGACGCGTTTTTCAATTTCATGACCATGATCCTGCCGAAGCTTTGTGCACCCTACCGTGATCCTGTTGTCAATGCCTTTACCGAGAACACATCAGGGGATGCAATCGATCGCTTGGCGAGACTCATGGGCCTCATTGACCTTTTGTCTCTAGATCACACCAATTTCATGATTCATGTCGCTGCTCCTCAACTCATTCAAGAGGCTCCAGGATATGAACAAAGAACGTTTGAGAGGGGTCTCCAAGATGGAAGCTTAGGTTTAGGAAAGACCCGGCGTTTCTGGCGGACGCATCGGAAGATTATGGCTGACGAGATGCGAAAGCGTGATCCCGAACATGTTCATGGGGAACCACAACCATCCACCTCCAAGATTTATGCCCATGGCCTTGTGGATCTTGTTCTCAGCAATGCGCCTATGTCTGGCGATTTGATTCCCGAGACACTGGAGCTAGATCGCCAGAGGCTGACCGTGCTACATGCTCATGCTTTCAAGATAGTTGCCACTGCTTCAATACTCTTGACTGCCAAAAACCTACTCAAGCGGGATGCACGAGCGCAATGGAAGGCTGAAGCAGATCGAATCTTGTCATTGGACTTCAATGATGTTTCATTGGATCGTGTTCTTTCAATTCTTGAATCTACCCACCCTATGCCGTCCAACGCCAGTGCTCAGCTGGCTGCGACGATTCGAAGAGTACTCCCGCCCGTCGCGACAGCATGTGCAGCAGCATCTTCCTCGGCGGGCCAGAGCTCGATTGAAATCCATACAGAGATATTGGGGCTGGGCGCACAGTCTACGTCGGACTTGTGTCACTCTGCAACCACGTCCAATATACCTGGGAACAGTGTGGCTAGTTTCGCGGACCCAGTTGCGCGTCTAATACTCTCCCGCTTGCGCGCACATGTGCTTTCGCGACTCAGTGCATCAAGTGCAAGCGAAAGAGTGCGAGCAACAAGTACTGCTAGCCAAAGTTTGGCTGGAGCAGGAATGCCCGAGTTCGTAAACCAGGTCGGCCAGTTGACAGAGGAATTGGGCAAGGTGCGTGAGGTGGATTGGTTGTGTCATGGAACGGTCTACGAACGGATCCTAGGCGAAAGCAGTCCGCTGAGCCCTGCACCCTAAAAGAGCTCTGGTTTTCCTTTTTACCTTTGTCCTTTTGACGAAATTTCTGGTTTAATGGCATGGTTGCGTTTTCTGTATCTAGAAACTGCTGCGGATTTTATGACAGCAATTGCTGGTGGTTATCATTGTTAACAAGCTTAGAATACTCGTATAAGAATGCACCTGCGGCTTGGATATAATTATGTGCGCTCTATCTTGCCTCCATCTACTTCCACGAACCGCGGAGCATCTCGTCTGCAACCCCACTCTTCGAACTTCCTCCCCACTGTCAATTCTCCTAGCAATATAGCATCGCAACAACAGTCACCGCAGAACGAGTCGGTCAAACAGATCCAAATCAAACCACCTGTCATGACGGCGCTCACCACTGTGCAAACCCCTCCGAAGCTTGCTCTCGCCCTCCTTTCCGACCTAACCCCACCATCCCTCGAACGCACGTGGCTCTCAGCACCACATCCGACCCTCCCTCTCGTCGCAACATGCAGCTCCGATAAGACGGTTCGCGTTTACTCACTGATTAACTTTCGCCTTCTCTCTACAATCGCTGGTGGCCATAAGCGGAGCGTTCGCACCTGCGCCTGGAAGCCGAACGTCTCCGGCGAAAGCGTCCTCGCGACGGGAAGCTTCGACGCAACTGTAGGCATCTGGCGACGATGGGATAACTATGGGGAGACGGCAGCCTCGATTTACGACGACGGCAACGCTGCGCAGTTTGGAGGCGATGAAGACGTGGGGCAAGACGAAGACGAAGAGTGGCGCTTCGCTGTTCTCCTCGACGGACACGATAGCGAAGTCAAGTCTGTCTCATGGTCTGCGTCCGGCATGCTTCTTGCCACGTGCTCACGGGACAAATCGATCTGGATATGGGAAGACCTCGATGACGGAGACAACAATTTCGAGACCGTAGCTGTGATGCAAGAGCATGAGGGAGACGTCAAGTGCGTTGCCTGGCATCCCACAGAGGAATGTCTTGCTAGCGGTAGCTATGACGATACGATCCGCATTTGGCGTGAGGATATCGATGACTGGGGGCAAGTTGCCTGCATCAGGGGGCACGGGGGCACGGTTTGGGGCATTGATTGGGAGGATGTCGAGAATATGCCGTTCTTCTCATATTCGGAGGATGGATCTACGCAGGAGGAAGAGTGGAAAAAGCGGCATGTACTGTCAGGGCCTCGTCTTGCGTCTTGCTCGCATGATCGGTCTGTTCGCATTTGGCGACGACAGCCTAGGGCGCAAGTGAACGCTCCTGAAGCCAGTGCGATGCCAAGTATTATCCGACCATCTGGCACGGACGAAACGTGGGAGGAAGATGCTGTTCTTCCGCATGCGCATGAGCTCTCGATTTACGCCGTTGCTTGGAGTCGACGAACAGGCTTGTTGGCGTCTGTCGGTGCTGACGGGCGCATAGTAGTCTACGAGGAGCGATTCAGTGTCTCATCTCATATTGAATCGCAACCCATGGATGCTGATGCAGAACGAGCAAATCCTATCGATGGAGCAACTGCGCTACACCCATCTACCGAATGGAATATTGTTGCAGTCATGGATGGTGCGCATGGAATCTACGAGATCAACCATGTTTCGTGGGCGATACGGGCTGACCGGGGCCGTGATGATAATAAGGAGGAGGTGCTAGTTACTACGGCGGATGATGGAAGTATAAATGTGTGGACACTGAAACGATGAACTGTTCTACTCAACAGGGGTGTTGCGGACAGCTATTCCGTGCGGTCATGTTGATCATATAGATAATATATGCAGTCTACCTATAGAGAATTATCCAAAAGCATCAAATCTACGCAAGAGACAGGCTAACATAAGTTTCAGTTCTAATTAGAGTTGATTTCTTGTGCATGTTACTGGAACATGGGCACGCGCAATAAATGAGGTACCAAAATCACTATGGACATCCAAAAGGAAAAGACTAAATTTGAGTTACACCACGGGTTTACTTTCCGATCGTGACGAAGATCCTTGACGAAGATCCTGTCGATGCCGTTCGTCATCACTTTCTTCTCCAACGGCATAATTTTCTCGATCCAAGCCCGGCGAGTGTAGGTCATCTAGTTCAGCCTCATCGAAATCGCCGGCTTCCACATCTGCGCCGTTGCTGCGCTTGTTCTGAAATCGTCCCAATACAGAGGTTGAACTTGGGGACTTGATAGAAATGCCACTGTAACCGCTGTGTCGCCGACGATTACGCCAGATAAAGAAACCCCAGACCAGGACACCAATAATGACCACGACAAGAACCGCTTCCCCGGACTTCGCGTAGGCATTCCACTCGGTTTCCTTGATTTTCTGCTGCTCTTCCTCTTGGTGGACTGTGCTGTTCGGCTGACCGCCTACAGAAGTTTGAGGTAGAGGTTCACCATCAATGCGTGAATCTGCCGGTGCACCGCCAATGCTGGCAATGTCTACGTTCATGAAGCGGTCCACCATATCCCTTGTGCGGCGGGGGAGGTCGAAGGGAACCATGTGGCTGGCATTGTAGAAAAGAACGTATGTCAGGTTTCTTGCATGCTGGTAATAACCAGCCGGCTCATTCTCAAAGGTCCAATCGTGTCGAGGAGCCCATACGCCTGGCGAAGTTTCAAAGCCAGTACCCCCCGCCCACTTCATGTTGTTGATGAGATGCTCTGTTCCCATATGATTGCAAATCAGGTCTTGATCGCCACTAAAGAGAAGGATTTCGATACCGGACTCGAGCAAGCCGGGTAGCAATTTGACAGACGGTTTGGACTTCTGCGGACGAAAGGCAAAGCCCACATTGCCGTCACATTCATCCCACCCTGTCTGTTTGTCCGGGTTGATGTTCAAAGCTTGAATCACATCATAGGTTTGTAAGTATGGCTTCACGTCCGCCAAGTCTGGCGGCCAAGTCGTACCGCAAGAACGGTCCCGCAGCCGAATATCATACATGTTGACGCACTGATTGTCCGAATCCAAAGTCTTGTCAAGTAACTGGTTCAAAACAGTCTCGCAGGACATTATGGAAACTTTAGGTCCAGTTTCCATCTTTGACTTGCAAACAGAGAGTAGAACTTCAAGTTCCTTACCGAGCTTGCTACCTTCTTCAACCAGACCTTTTTCATAGGCGAAGCTTAAGTAGGCCGGATACTGTTCCGCCGGCGATATCCAACCGTTGCCAATAAGAAGGCCACGTAGGTTCCAACGCGCAGCTTGATTTCCCTCAACACCATTGTTCCGATCTTGAATAGCTTTTGCGATGTACGGGATATATTGGCCAGCGTAGGATTCACCAGCGATGTAGATCTGTCAAGCCATAAAGGTCAGTAAGGCAATCATGAAGTTTGATGAAGACCGTACATCATCTCGCTCGTATTCCGGAAACACGTTGAACCATTTCTCCAGGAAAGTGATAAATTGAGCAGCCATTTCATCTAGTTCATGCAGATAGCTGTTGGTATTGGCGTAGCTGAACCCGGTCCCAATAGGCTGGTCAACGAAAAGGAGATTTGCAAATTCGTCCCATGATCCTTCGTTATATTCCAGGGTTTGGTTGTCCTTCAAACGATAGGGGCCAATCTCCATCAGCGCGCCATCCATCGAACTGCAGCCGGGGCCTCCATTCAGCCAGATCACCGTTCGCTGACGATTTGCGATATGCCGGTTCTGGTAATGCCAGAAGAATAAGTGTCCGTTGTGTTCCGGGTCTACCTCGACATGTCTTGCGGCAGAAGAAAATTAGTCGTGTACAGACACAGGACCGAGTCGGTGAAGCTTACCCAGCATGCATCTTCAGCAGCGGGCCCTCCGGGGCCCCAGGCAATGAATCCACATAATAATCAGCTGCAGACTGCGCTAACACTGTGATGGGACCAAGAAGGAGTAGTAATGCTAATGATAATGCCCGTAATGGAATATGTAAGGAGGACTGTGAGCGGCTTGTCCGCCGTAAAAGTTGCCGGAACGACCAAGGGGCCATTCTATGGGTTAAAGATCGCCAACGTGGTTTAGGCAATTGTCGAGGCAGCTCAAGTGGTATTGACGCTTCACTTGAAGATGGTAGTGATGGTAGTCGAATGCCGCGCCGGACCCAGAAGCCGCGCCTTGTGAGCGTCGCAAGACCAATAGTATGACCTGTCAGCGGAACAGGAGATCGAGAGAAAGCAAGAAAATGACCAAAGGAAAAATAAACTGGAGAGAGAAACAAGGGTGATAGTGAAAAATACTCTGTAAAGAAGCAAGATGATGGTCAAGATGTGACAATGGTGAAACTGAGTGAAAGGCAGCGTGGCCATTTGTAAGCTTATTACCAAGCCTTACCTGTTCTGGTTCCACTTTGAGTAGCCAAACTGTATTTTTAGTGTACAGGGGTCGTCAGGGCCAATTGACTTGCTGCCGCATTCAAGGCTCAATAAGGGACTTATTCACAGTTCTTATTGTTTTGTATCCAGTGTATCAAGTGTTCATCTCCCTCTTCGTGGCATTTCATCATTGTGTCTGTGCTGCTGCATAACACTCTAAAAAAGATCCTCAATACTTTTCTCGGCATCCTTTTTGATTAGGTCCACCATGCCCTAGGCCAGTCAGCATGTCGAATCTGATGAGAGAGACGGGCGACTGTGACCTACCTTAGGCATAATGGGATTGCCGTCGCTGTCTTTTACGTAGCGAAAAGGCATTTCAGTCCGCTCATGCTCATTGATTATGATCTCTGGGTGGTCGATGAACTGAATCTCTTCTAGAGGAACTGGTAGAGGTCAGTGACTGATGTTGTGGCTACATAATGTTCGGCGAAATACCTCTGTTATGAACAACCATGCGGGTGACGCGTACAGCCGTATCAGTTGTCATCTGCACGGGCCCAAGCCTTCTCCCCTCATAGCCCTTCTTCCTCAGTTCAGAAGTACGGTCTGGTTTCAGCTCGTCAGTCTAGCATGTTCCTGCGGGTCTTTGAGTCTAACCTACCCCGTGGAGGGTCATCACCTGTGCATCACGGTCGCAGTCAGCTCAAGAGAAACATATATTCATAGTTCAGGAAGCGACCGCACCCAATATTCCTCCAAAAAGGAAAACCTCGAAAGTATCCCCGTCGGCGGGACTAAGCTCAACCTTAGCAGAAGGGTCCAATAGGCAGACCTTGGATCTCCGGTTTGCGAAAACCTCTTCAATGCTGCGATGCTCAACCTCAAGCCCTTCCGCAGCGGCCAGATCGGCTGGCATCTGCAACGACGTCGGAACCGAACTTAAGAGAAATTTGCTGCCTGCTGCATGGGACTCTCGAGCAATGCAACCATACTCCAGGGCAGACCAGGTGCCCAATTCAGGATCCAGATGCTCAACCACAATGGTGACGGGCGCTCTTTCACCCATGATGGACCTGTCACTTCTGTCAGCAAGTTTTGTAAGAAGATAGGCGTTGGGTATCTACCTTTGGAGCCAAGGGAAAAAGTCTATAGGGCGGATAAGGCACCGTTCCTAAAGCACGGGGTATAAAAGACAGATGAGTCTGATGGAAGAGGCCAAGGCAACTGTCCTTTTTTTGAAAGATATTCTACGTCAGGTCCGAGGTTGTCGTCTTCAAATTAGACGCTCCATGGGCACTCGTTTTTCGAGTTATAGATCGATAGGAAATGGTTTTATCGCTCAAGAGATGGTGATCTCGGCCAGGTGGGTGACAGACCGGTCTAAACTCAAGACGGCTAAGCTACGTATCCCGAATAACTGGGAGCCGCTCTTGGGCGCTTTAGTAGTCTCATAGGCTATACTATGAGGCGCGTGCTTTTTATACTTTTTTTATTTGCTATATCGGTATACACTTGATCAATTTGGATCAAAATCAAAAGGTTCTTTTTCGCTTTTCCATAATTGTGATAGTAATTATTGCCTGGGATTTCGGCAATGATCCAGATTCCCGGGCCTAGCCAGTTGCGGTAAGGCACACCATGAGATAATAACGAAGCCCAAGTATGGAACCGGTGGCCCTTTAGACTTCAACTACTATTACTTCTCAAGTACTCCGTACCTAACTTCTTTATCGATTCCCCTCTACACATCCCTGCACTCCTTTCTAACCTTTCTGCTTTGCCTTCTGGGACACTATTGTCTTTCCCAGTCACAATAGTTCACCTCAATTTCCATACCGTATTTATTCAAAACTACATCCATCACCTCTCCTTCCCCGCCGTATGGTGGGGCCCTCTGACGACACCCAACATTACTACCTCGTCCGCTCGATACGTTCATAATAACATACGACTCTCTTTCATCCTTCCATTATCCTCGTCTCTAGTATACTCTTTTTGAACCGTGATACTTGTGGCGAATCAACCAAAATGAACCCTCATCAGCAAAACAAGATCGATACCAGCGTAGGCCTCGCTGATTCTCATTCATCTCTCGACATCGAGCTGGGTCTGACCGTGATCTAGAAATTGAGCCCCGATGAGCAGCGTTTGTTGCGTCTCTACGGCAAAATGCCCAACAAGAAAGATCTACTCCAAAACAAGCTCAAGGTTTGCAGTTATCAATCTCCTCACGCCGCTTCACCTCGTTAACGCGCACGTTCTGTTATGTAGGAGCGGAAATATTTTGATTCGGGCGACTATGCTTTGAGCAAAGCCGGAAAGGCCTCTGATGTCGGTGTGACTAACATCGGCTCACAACACCCAGTTCCCGAAAACATTCCTCATTTAACTGCTACTTCGCCCGGTGCTAATACCGCGGGCAATGGTGGAAGCATCAGCGCTCAGGGAGGACAGCATATTCCTGGCAGTATCAGCAGCCATCCGGGTTCTGTGGGATTCCAAAGCCGCAGCCCCATAAAGGAGGGGAGCTTCCTTCACCGCGGCAGAAGTGTGGATGAGTCTGACAATGCGCCTCCCGCAGCAGAGAATAAGGAGGATCATGAAGCTGTAAGCCCACCTCCTGTTACCGAGGGCGTTCCGATCCGACGATGATCGACTCTTACCGACGGCGTTTTCTTCCACTGAGTCATATCATCCATTCTTGCTTCCGTTATTATACCAGTGAATGATAGTACAAAAAGAGCCTGATGACCTGGTTTCTTCTCCTTGGTGTAATAATGCCTGTTTTTGCTTTGAAACATGTCAGGTTGAGGGGTCAGAAAAAGCAAAGTGACTGTGCGGGGTACTACCAGAGCCCTTGGTCACCTGGGCACCTACAGCATAGGGAATGCCTCGCTTCGCCCGTACTTTTTGGCTGGAGAGGGATGAGACTACTCGCTCGCGGACGGTTGCAAATTCCTAAATCCTGTTAGCTGGGCTCACGCAGGTCTGCGCTTGTTTTCAATTGGCGCTGCCTTGTTCATGGAATTATTGTTCCCTTTCTCTTATTTCTCTTCTTTGTTCATATCGACAAAATATCACTTATTGATTGCACCGTTGATGTCTATTGGTTTCCCCCCCCAAGAGACGCTATTAGTTGACTACGCATGCTTTGGCATTTATGTGCGTAGCTGGTCAGTATCTTACAAATTGTTATTATCCCGGAGGTATTTTCAGTACCTTCGCCATTTGAATGGTGTCAACATGCTATAGTGCTACGTACTGACGAGAGCGCGAAGACTTTGGTGTGGGTTGAAGCAGTAAATTTTCTCTTGGTTGCTCAACATTATGGCCCTTAAGTTAAGTAAGTAGAACTCCCTATGCGCCATAACTATCTTCTGTAGCCCGCGCTGATCTACTGATGCCATACAAGCTATAAGTTTATGGAGAGAGTCGAAGTCGACGTGGGGATCATCGCGCCCAGTGTATCTCTACTTCGAAAGGAGACTAGGCAGCGGATGTTTGAAGGACTGGCGAAACAAGGGCAAATTGTGCCTCTCCGAATAAGCAGTAGACTCAATGAGATAACCATACCCAAGTGCTACGCAGTGCGAAATAGTATAATGGGCGTAGAGAATACGATATAGAAACAATTGTGGCGGAGAGAGGTGGAGTAAAGTCGAAAAATTGTTTGGGGTATATTGACAAGAAAAGAGATTGCAGGCAGCCGGCAGACATGTATAAGTAGTAATAGATGACGGGTTAAAAAAGGGGCATAACGCGAGCCGAAGCCGACCTGTCTTCAGGCAGCCAAGAAGGCAGGTATCGGCGTGTGTATAGGAGCAAAGGCCTTCGTAGCGACTTCGTTGAGAATAGAAACTTCACATTAGGAGTTCTAGGCTCCGGACACCTTACATAGAGATTGCGTCGACGGTGCCCATCGTACAATCATGTCAGGCTTGATCTTCATGCAAGATCGAGGATGAGAATTGGGTGCTTTGATGTGCTTTCGGATGTATGGGGAAAGCAGGGGAGCCACAGCCGATGAGCTAATACTTCGGCCAGGGGCGGCAGTTGCGTACTCTGGTATTTCTGGAAAAGGTGCCATCGTTTCGCCAAAGTATGCAAACGCCCAGTCCAGATACGATTCGTCAAAGGGGCTATCGAGTCCGCAGATAGCAACGAGAAGAATCCAACCCAGACGGAAAGAGTCAAGCGGGCATGGCCATGATAGAGCTCAATTCCAAGAAACAGAACGAACCTGTGTCATATTGTGCACGGGACCATTTGGACGCTCAGTCTGTCTTCCAATGACCGGCCAGCCCTGAATCTAGGTCATCAGCGGCCCCGAGCCATAGCTCGACAGCGTACAGGGCTAGAATGCTAGCCAGGTTGATCCAGCGCCAGAGATTGCCGCCCCCAGCGCCCTGTGCACTCCACCACTGCCCACTACCGCCCATGGCTTGCGAGGTTGTTGCGAAATGTTGCATGAGAAGGCTGGTGTAAACAGAAATGAGGATAGAAGGAGAGAAATAGCTCAAGAAGCCCAGAAACTGGCCAGCAGCATCCGAGTCATCTAGGGACGCCTCCTGTGACAGCGCGCGAGCCCCAGCTTCCCGAACTGCAGGTATGATTCTGGTAGACGCATACAGCACTAGGATACGGTAAGTGAGTGAGATCAACACAGATGGTGTTACTGCGCTAAAAACAGCAGTGATCATGTTGAACGCTGCATGAATGATAGAAGGTAGTAAGGATAAGGCGTGCATTAGAGTTGTGTATGAGGCCATGATGATAGGAGGAAGCGGAGGGAAATCTCCCGCTTGTGAAGGTGATTGGACTGGCTGTTCCACTGGGTGCGACGGCTGATAGTCGGTGAATATCTGGTAGATGCACAGCACAACATAAGCAAACAGAAGAGAACTCTCAACTGGATTGCCACGGCCGCTTCCAATCCCCCAGGCGCACAGGATTACAGCGCATGTCACAGTCACTCCTATCAGAGCTGCATCGACGTTGGAGATCTCAGGGAACTGGAGAACGCGCCAAAGGAAGTATACTGAGCTCGATATAACAGAGGCCGAGAGGACAAGAAGGCCAATCTATAGCAAAATATGAGTGGGCTTTCAGTAACACAGCATGCAGACTTGGAATGAACATACCATCCAACTATCACTCCGTCCACCACGATTCACAAGCCATCGCGTGATCTGACCCGCGGCCTGAATAACCAGCAAACTGCAAAACCCTTCTGCAAGCTGAAACACCGGAGTCGACCATCGCAGGAGTTTATCCCAGTTGCCAATGGCCACAGACTCCAGTAGCCCATCACGGCCAAAAATCCAACCTTGAATTGACGAGTCGTGCGCACGCTTCCCGCTGAAGGTCCGTTCCACCCATGAGGTACTATTATCGGTGTCGACGGAGAACCGGTTGAGCGACCAGATAAGGAGAATCGGAATGATAAGCCATTGCACGGAGCTGACTAGAACAATGACGGAGGAGCGAAACCAGGATCGCTCAGGAGTGGTGAGTTTCAGGACGGAGAAAAGGAAGTAGAATATCGCAAGGGAGAGCGAAAAGGCCAAACCGCATGTCTTTCCACCCACGTCAAACGCCAGCGGGATAGAGGAAACAGTGACGGTCAGGAAAAGAGCCGAAGAAAGTGCTCGAAAGAGCCACATGAGGCCGAGCGAGGAGGACGTAGACGGTAAGACACGTCCGGTACCGTAAGGAAGATGGAAGCTGGTGGTGGGCTCAACGACGTGGATGTTGGTCTTGGTCTGACTGCCTCCAGGCACGGGTCGAACCTGGAGGAGGCGGGAGGTACAGAGATGACTGGATCTAGCAATAAAGCATCGAGCCGTGTAAGGTAAAAGGGACTAGTGAGTATGAGGCTGGTACCGAGAGTTGTCAAGGCAATGACCCTTTTCCCTGACGTTGCTGCCCTGGAAGTTTTGATCTTATCGTGCGGGTCGGAACAAAAGGCGACTTTCACGTGGCTCGTGCCCTCTAGAGTGCTTGATACTGTACAAATACCGACTCAAGCAACCTTGGGAATAATAAGATTTCTTTTTTGTCCAAGAAGGCGAGGAGAACAGAGGAAATGGAGGTGTTACAAATGAAGAGAAAGCCAGCCGAACTCCGGACCAGTTCCTAGCAAGTGTTGGGGCTAGGTCAGACCCAGGATACAATCACAGTACATTGCTCGCTAAATAAACAAGCGGTCAACTACTTAGTTACCAAGCTGGAACCTCTACGGAGTATCTAGACTAAGTCTAAACTACTTCAGCGCCAACTTAACATATCACTCGCCGATTCCTAAACAAACCCGGTCTTCAAGAGGGCATGCGACAGCGAAATCGACTTTTGTACCGGTATACCACTAGTCTACCAAGGTAATTCTAAAGTGTATGGATTCAAGATATCAATCAATACAACTGCCGTAGATTATCTAACCAGTCTGGAAGTTAAACAGGCAGTCATTTGGAGCTAGTTCAAAGCCTGAGCTCGTATGGCTCTCCGCTCATTGAGTTCCCATGCCTAACACTCTGCCACAACCAAAAACTGTATGAGATAACTCAGCAAACCATTATACAACGCCAAAGCTAAGGTCAGACGCATAACCAATGGAGCTCTATTCGAACTCGACTACTACCCGTATCAACACATGGAGTCCCTTTTCACTTCCCTTGAACGGTATAAATGGCTCTTGGCGGTTTGTTGCTGGTCTATGAACTCTAGTATCTACTGCTTTTTATCTGCCAGGGCGAATTCCACAAGGCTTGTGTACTTTATGCACATGGCCGGCGTAACAGAATATTGCCGTTCACTGCAAAGGACGCAGTCCATCCCTGCAAGTTCTCTGCTAGCCCGGGCGCCTGAACATATGTACGGAGCACTAGGTGGAGGCACTTCTGAGCCCGAAACTCGAACAAGAGGCGGATGAGCCTTCTCACTGTTGATTAAATGGAAGGATTTGTTCGTAAGAGCAAGCTGATTAGCTGCTCTGTTAGGAGATGTGAATGCCGCCAGGGGTTTGTTGTCAACGGCTATGGAAAGCGGAGGATAACATGCCTCGCCTAGGTTGGCTTCGATAAAAGGGTGAATCAATGTCTGATGTTGAGGGAGCTGATATCCTCAATACTTCCAGTACCGTCACCAGAAGCTTGACCACCTTTGGAATCAGGATAGATATCTGAAACATCCTCGCGCTCTCCAGACGCTCGCTGGACGAGCTTAGCTTTGGTGAGGGCACCCTTCAGACGCTCATCTACATCTGACACAGCCTCCTCTGTGTTCTGCATGGGGAGTGATGCTGGATCGACCAATTCGAGAAGTGTATCGAGATTTCTTGCAAGCCGAGAGCTGTGTGGGAAATGCGCCATTTCCCCGCAAACGGATGGCATCAAAGAACTCTCATCTCCTTGTAGTTCGACAGTCGATTCGAGATTTGGGGATGTCTCGTTTATGTGTTGTTTCATGTCGGCAAGCCTCTGAGCCCAGACCAGCGCTTTGCCATAAAGTCTTCCCAATTCAATAAACTTCTCGAATCCTTTTTCCACGGCGAATACACTACCCTCCGTGTATCCAGCCTCAGCGCCATCCGCAGTTCCCAAGTTGAAACCTTCTTTGTAAAAGTCCTCCTCCAGATCGAGAAGGCTCTCCAGTAGATTGTTGTCCATGCCGGCTAGCAGTGAAGAGAAGAGCAGCTAAATGAGAAAATCAAACACCAATCAGCAATTGAGAGAATATAAGCCCTTTTCGGAAGGTGACGGTCTTGATAGACAACAAGGAATGAAGAAAGAAACTACCGGAGTTGTGAGTTGTTTGTCGCTCCAAGTCCTGCGCCCTGCCGAAGACAGGGCGATGAATCATCCACCACCGAAAAAAGCTCCCCATCCTTTGCCCCTCCACAACCCCGCCAACTCATTCACCACCATGGCTACAGAACAAAAGATTTTGCCCAAGAAGGGCGAGCGCAATATCCTCGTTACTAGTGCTTTGCCCTATGTCAATAACGTGCCTCACTTGGGAAACATTATCGGTTCCGTCCTCAGTGCCGATGTTTTCGCCAGGTGCGTCATCTGCTGTTCGATAGAATTATACAAAGTCAACTTCAAACTAATGCGCGTTTCTTCTAGGTATCATAAAGCCTGCGGACATCCGACGTTATTCATCTGCGGGACTGATGAATATGGCACAGCCACGGAAACAAAAGCATTGGAGGAGAAGGTGACGCCAGAAGAGCTTTGTGCGAAGTACAACAGGATCCATCAAGAAGTGTATGAATGGTTCGGTATCGGATTTGATCACTTCGGCCGCACTCCGACACAAAAGCACACAGAAATTTCCCAAGCCATCTTTAAGCGGCTCTATGACAATGGGTACCTCGCGGAAAAGACCGCTGAACAGCCGTTTTGCGAGACCCATGGGTCTTTTTTGGCTGATCGTTACGTGGAGGGAGAATGCCCACGATGCCACTATGATGACGCTCGAGGCGACCAGTGCGATAAATGCGGTCATCTCCTTGATCCCTTCGACCTTATCAACCCGAAGTGCAAGCTGGACGGCGCTACTCCGGTGAAGCGAGACACGAAACACATCCACCTCCTGCTCGATAAGCTCCAGCCTGAGATCGAGAAGTACATCCTTCCTGCTATGGAGAAGGGCGACTGGCCCAAGAATTCCCGCAATATCACGGAGAATTGGCTGAGGGAAGGTTTGAAGGATCGTGGTATCACACGAGATCTCAAATGGGGTGTCCCTGTCCCCTTAGATGGGTTTGATAACAAGGTCCTTTATGTGTGGTTTGAAGCATGCATTGGGTATCCGTCAATCACCGCTAACTATACGGATGATTGGGAACTTTGGTGGCGCAACCCTGAAGATGTCCAGCTTTATCAGTTCTTGGGCAAAGACAACGTACCCTTTCACAGCGTCATTTTCCCCGGTTGTCAGTTGGGAACCCAGGACAAGTGGACTATGCTCCACCATCTAAATACCGCCGAGTATCTGAACTACGAGGGTGGCAAGTTTAGTAAGTCTCGTGGAATTGGTGTCTTCGGTAACAACGCCAAAGAAACTGGCGTCGCATCAGACGTGTGGCGTTACTATCTCCTGAAAAACCGTCCAGAGACAGGTGACACCCAGTTCGAATGGAGGTCTTTCGTCGATAGTAACAACAGTGAGCTGCTGGCCAAGCTCGGCAATCTTGTCAACCGAGTCATCAAGCTTGTCGCTGCCTCCTACGGTTCCACCATTCCCGACTTTACCGTCCCGGAAAACTTCCAGCCCACATTGGACGAGGTCTCTGGTCTCCTCCGACAGTACATCGAAGAAATGGAGGGCGCCCACCTTCGTGCGGGTGTTAGTACCGCCATGAAGATCGCCGAGGCTGGTAACGGCTTGATCCAGGCCAACCGACTGGATAATTCCCTGATCGCTAACGAACCCGAGCGTGCCGCGGCTGTTGTTGGTACCGTACTCAACCTCATCCACCTTCTCGCCAGCGTGTTCGTCCCCTATCTGCCCACCACCTCTAAGGCCATCAACGAACAGCTGGACGCTCCATTCGCCCTCATCCCCTCACTCGAGGATATCAAGGACGGCTGGAAGCCTGTGTCGCTGAAACCTGGCCACAAGATCGGCAAGGCCCAGTACCTCTTCTCGCGCATTGACCCCAAGAAAGCCGACTTGTGGCGCGAACAATTCGGCGGCTCGCAGGCTGACAGGGAGAAGAGGGAAGAAGAAGCTGCCAAAGCAGCCGCAAAGAAGGCGGCCAAGGACGCTGCAAAAGCTAAGAAGAAGGAGAAGAGGGCTAAAGAGGCTGCTGCCGCTGCCGGTGGTGCTGCTCCTGTTGAGGCTACAGCCAAGGGAGGCGCGGAGCCGACTGACGTTACGTCAAAGGGGAAGAATGATCAAGGTGTTGAGAAGGTTACCGATGGTGTTGCGCAGGTTACGCTCCCAACGTCGTGATTGTCTTCACTTACGAGACATTAGCCGGCAGTTCAATCCGATATTTCAGTAGACCCGAAGACGAGACTATATTTATGAGCGGTAAATTCAACAAGTACATATTCCCATTTTGGCTTCTTGTTTTCAACACACCAGGCTTCTCTTTTCCCCCGCCCTCCCCCTCTCTTTATCTGCTTTATTTCTAGCTTCGGTGCTGTTAGTATAAATGGCGCGGGGACCCTACCAAGACAACTTTGTCTCATTTTCCACACGGATTACTCCAGTTCATAGTCAAGACTTTCAAGCACAACAAATAAATGCCAGTGTAGAAAGAATCAGCTAGCAATAGGCCAGTCTACATATTCAAACAAAGCAAGTTATTCTGTAGTGTCGATATGGGCCGCAGCTATGGACTGATCGCAAAGACGCACGCTCATAATGCATTATTGAGAACTATGACCACACACGCAACCCACAATGTAAAAATGATGAAACAAAGGGCCATTCGAGTCCACATGGAAAGTGAAACGCTTGTTTAATGTGTCGTAACAAGCATGGTGACTTAATTACTGGTATTTTACCCAAGTATACTCCAACCCAGTTCTTCCAGCCAGTCTAATGGCTCAAATGATGGCCAGGGGTAATGATCTCCAGCGACGCATTCATCGCCTCCTAGCGTTCTGCCTGGGCTTCACTTCATCCTGCGCAACTGGATGAAGCATGACTTTGTTGGGAAGCTGTGGGGTGTTTGCCGAGTATCCTTTACTCCAGTCGTAGCTCACGGCATAGGCGAATATGTTACCAGAGCGGTTGAAAGCCGTACTGGAAATTGTCCCACCGACGCTGGGATACCCCTTCAGACGGTGTTTGGCATCCTTGTCCCAGAAGTGGAAAGTTCCGTCCGCACCAGCTGTACTGAAGGTACCATGGACGGGATGGAAGGAAATGGCATTGACAGAGTAGATGTTGTTGATATCGCGCTGATTGGGGGGCGTTTCGCGATGGCATTTGAAACTGAAGTTTGAGCTAGAGTCCTTTTCTTCCACATACTGGATAGCGCAGCGACCTTCAATACTTCCGACAGCAAAGCCATTCGCGTCTGCAAAGCAGCTGACCACCCGAGTTTGCCATTTTAGAGGAGACTGCATGGTTTTGTAAAACTTTGTGGGGTTGTTAAGGTCGACGATGTTGATGTACCGATCCGCTGTTCCAATCACTAGCAGTTTGTCCTTGACGTCCATCGTGTAAACTCGTTCCTGACATTCTAGTGAAGCAATGGGTGCTGACTGCCGCAGATCCCAATATTTGACCTGTTTGTCCCAGGAACCTGTCACGAGGAGAGGTGTACCACCAGCCGGATTCTGGATCATATGGCAGCATCTGATTGGGGCATCATGAGCAGCGACCTGGATAGGTGCCGTAGCGTTGGCGGCGAGATCGAGCATACGAGCAGCCTTGTCCGCACCAGCTCCGACGACCTTTGTCCCGTCCTGATTGAGTCACACTGTTAGCGCCGGGACGAAGCGATGGACTGGTACAAAGCTATTAACCTACCGGTGACCAGCAACAGTTCAAAACAGGTGCCTCATGCTCAAAAAGGGCCTTTCCCTCACTCTGTCCTTGCTCGTTAATCTCGTAAATGCGAACTTTTTTGTCCCATGACGCTACAGCTAGATGATCACTCGCTGGCGAGAAACGGAGATCTGAGATGCTGTCATCAGGAGGAGAGTTGAGAGCGACGTCCTTGGAAATGTCCCCCGCAGTGTTGCTTGCAGCTGTTGTGGTGTTGGCCGTGGAGCCAAAGAGCCCCGACATCTCGACAACTTTTTTTCCCGGACCCTGGCTAAAGCCCTGACCAGGCAGTGTAGACTAGGCGAATGGAATCGTAGAAAACAGGGTGGCAGAAGCGCGTTGGCGACGTGTTGGGGTGGTAGAATGAAAGGGAATTGCTTGTTGCGTTGTTAGAAAAGCAGAGACAAGAGCTTTGGAAAGAAGGCGCTCCGATATCTTAGGTAGAGCGCTTAGGAGCCGGCAGTATCACAGCGGCCACTTCTCACCGCCTACCTACTTTATGTAGAGATAAATACCATGCTTTCTTCCAGCCCAATAATAATCATAACTTACAAGTAGATAGAGGTCGACTATGTACCTGGGTCAATTATGTAGTCCACATAGGAAGATATATGACGAGCTTTGGAAAGAAGGCGCTCCGATATCTTAGGTAGAGCGCTTAGGAGCCGGCAGTATCACAGCGGCCACTTCTCACCGCCTACCTACTTTATGTAGAGATAAATACCATGCTTTCTTCCAGCCCAATAATAATCATAACTTACAAGTAGATAGAGGTCGACTATGTACCTGGGTCAATTATGTAGTCCACATAGGAAGATATATGACGCCAACTTGAAGTCTCATGCGCGGAATACCATGCTGGCCTGGCGAGCAAAGGGTTATCCCCGGTCTCGCTGGTGACTCTCCTGAAGCTAACAGAGTATTGATATCAGGCTTTACAAAGAGGTCTTTTTCATTTAAGAGCAGTAAATCTACGTGACACAGGACTGCCACAGATTCCAGATTCCGGAGTCCAGAACGCGGGTCACGGGATCCTGGGCTAAGATGACGGACCAAGTGGAGCGGGTGGAAATGCGGGGTGCAGCCTTAGCTTTGGTGGGCCTCGACTGTAGAGCTCTCAACGTCAGGCTCGTGTGATCACCTCAAGATCTGCCTTGCCATCTCTGCGTGGCTCTGCATTCAACACAACAAAGGGTGGGCAAAGTGCTTCTTGGCTACTGAGCCGCAATTGAACTGAATGGAACCGAGGCAGTCCTGGTGGGTTGATGCGGGAAACATCCGACTGGGTTGAACCATCGTCTGATGTATCTGCCGCAGGTGCGGAGATTCTTTCATCACCACTCACCGGCATCATACGGCATACCAGGGTCGCACATGTCCGATTGGCATTGTTGTCGAGATGGCTTAGGCATACCATTCATTCAAGGTCATTCCGGTAACCGGCCGTCTCAGGCCCGTCATCCAATCTTCTCATCCCATCCATCTCTCGAGCTCCTTTTAGGGTGTCTTCTGCATCCTGCTCTTGAGAATGCTTTTACATTCTTTTGCCTGTCAAAGGCAGGCTTACAGTATTGCCTGTCCGGTCTCAATACTCATGTAGGTCGTAGTACTGCTTTTGTAATCACTTTTGAAAGGGACGGTAAATGGTGTACGAGTGAAGCCAGAATCTGGCACAATCAAGGTCACCTGCCCTTCCCCTCTTTCCTACACCCCCTCCCTCTCGCCCTTCTCCTCTTTTCTTTTATTTCCGCTTTCTCCTCTCCTCCCTTCTCTTCTCGTCCCATCAGGATCTCAACCTTCGCATCCAACTATTGACTGGTAAGCCCAACCTTGTTCCTGTATCTCCCGTGTCAACCACACATTTACCACCTTCTTGTTATTCCCAAATTGGCTCATGATCTTCGAGTGTATCCTGAAGTTGTCTTCCTCCTGTGTTTCCGAGTAGCCATCCGATTGTCAACACAAGAATCTAATCTATTATCTTGATTCTTAGATCTCCATCGAAGCATAGCGCCCCTTTAGCGTCTACACTTCAAACTAGATTGCGGTAATGTCTCTTGTCGACGATCACACCGACCAGACCGAGCACCACCCGCTCAAGAAAGTCGATTCCGCCATCGGTGGCCTGTCGATATCCCCCAGGGAAGAAAAGGCACCCGAGAAGGCCGACAAGGCCGACAAGAAGTCTCACAAGCGCACCTCGTCCCAGGCTGAAGGGATTTTCAACATCAAGGAACTAGGTAATAGCCCTCCAATGTTCCTGACCCGCATGGCGATGCTCAGAGCGCTGATTACCGCTTGCCATATAGAGGAGAAACGTATTGAGATTACACTACCCATCGAAACACAGAAGACGGGATGGTACGTCTTCACCTTGTCATTTGTTTCATATCATTGACTTTTTATAGGAAGCTAAACACATCACCGTCAACAGTCGAGGACAAGGATATCCTCAAACTTCACCTCGTGACTCCACCAGTGAAGAAGATCGATCTCCATTTCCCTCTGGGGCTGGAGGTAACAGCACGCAATATGAAGGGCGTGACAATCAAGGATGCGCTGGACGCAATCCACAAGCAGTTCAAAAAGAAGGTATTTGAGTTCTCTAATGTGCCAGAAAAATAGCTGTGGTTTCTAACAGGCCATACTGCCAGGCTGACGACGAATTGGACAAGCCCTATCTCGCTGGCTTCGAGTGGGACAAGGAAGAGTGCTGGACACGTCTGATTGTTCACCAGACCAAGCAAGGCCCTCCCGCTCAACCATCAGGCAAGAAGTCTAAGAAGAAGGCGAAGGAAGAAGCGTAGAGTGCTTTTAGGTCGCCCGAAACTCACGCCGGCGAAGCGTTAATATCGCGTTCTTTCTAGTGGTCCACCGTGGACTATCATGAGTTGACATGATTTGTCCCTCATCTTGCTTCTTCTGGGCATTGTTCTCCAATGGTTTCAGGCTTTAGAAGCTGTTTGTGAAGAGTACAGAGGTTTCGCGCTGTAACCTGGTAATTGTTCGTTTTTAATCTCAGCTCCAGCTACTAGCATTGTGGCTCTCGATTGTTCGCTGGTTCATTCGAGGTAAAGCCAATCAAGGCCAGGGCCTCTACGTTCCTTGCAGGTGTATTCAACAATAACAATACCAATTCAATAAATCCTCAATTAATTGGTCAACTTAGGGTTTTTTTTTTCTTTATCTATGATTCCACCTTCCGCATCACCCACGCTCCAGAACTTGCCTAGAAGCGGGATACACAGTTCAACCACATATGATACACTCTTTTGCCTTTGAAGAGTGGAGATTTGGCGGGTTTTTAGAAGTTAATCAACTAATATATACACCTCTGTAAAGAGCTTGGATAGGCACATGCACCATCATCCTAACTGGTCACCCTAGCCACTTCAGGCAGCGGGCTTGGTGGATATCTTTGAAGGCCTCAAATTTAGTAACGTTGGAGCTTCGTGGGCGCCTTCTGTGGGCAACAGTAAAAGTGCTCCGTATATCCGGGCACCCTAAGGTCACTACTAATGCTACACTTCACGCAGAATAGGAAATAGAGGCCGATAGATTATCCCCACTACTCCGCCTTCGTTTGGATATACTCATACGTACATGTATTTGTATAGCGTACGGATAGAGACCACGCCGCGAAGATATTATAATATGAGAGATATATGTTCGGTAATTATGCAGTATGCCATGGGCATAGGTCCCCTGCGTCTTAATGATCTAATGTACAGGTACAGTAATAAACAGGCAGGTCATTCCATCGTCATAGCCATGCAAAATCATTATCGTTCAATATCCATGATTAGGTACAGTCACAGTCGAATTCGTGCTGGAGTCTTTTCACCACCAAACAGGACCAAGACAACTTCGTCCAGGAGTGTGAAGATCAAATGTGCGTTCAACCGTTGATTGTTCAGTGTCGCAAAGACCCTCCTCGCTGCAGCCTGGGCATTTGCGCGTCCGACTACATTGCCCACAAGCTCTGGAACAAGCGTAGCAAGAACTAGGCTAGCCTCTGTTCGGCTCTTGAGACGTTCTGAAATCGTGCGCACTTTGCTTTCCCGGAAAACGCCGCCGGGCCAGAGCGTGTCCTTTGCCGTCGTCAGACAGCGGAGGAGATGTTCATCTTGAACCAAGGAACGGGCGCCCTCACGGACTTTACGCTCGATCGTGCCGCCGAGGAGCTGGTGGAGGACAACGACCACTGCACGGCCGCGGAGCCAATTGTTGCCCTTGTTGAGCTCAAAGGTTTCCAAGAAGAGATCGCAGATGGGCTTGATGAAGGGTTCGAGTTCGCGGTCCTCAAAAGCGTTTAGTTCGGCTTCAGCTTCGGCGGTCGTGACGGCATCTTCGGTCGCGAGCCCGGAATCAGTTGGTATTACACTGTTGGGTTGTTGTTGGTTGGTGGCTGCGGAGATGAGATTCTGCCCGGCGATTGAAAGTTGGTCTAGTACGCCAAAATTTCCCAAAAAATCATCCATGCCGTCGGCAACAGAGTTGTAAATACGAGTCACGAGATCCTTTGTCTCTCCATCCCGCGGGGCCTCGTTGCGTGGAATGATTGCCCGCTGAGAAAGAAACGCGCGCAAGTCACGACTTCTGCATACTTCAGGAAGAAGCAACAATTGCTGAAGATACGCCTCTAAAGCCAGACGTCGCTTCTGCAAGAACTCCTTTTGAAGTTTCATGACCATCCGCCGCCGGGGAAACTCTAAATTACGAACAGACGGGTACCGCATGCGTAACTGATGGTGAAGCTCATGGAACTCACTGTATCGACGCGCGACTGCCCAAGATGCTGCTGGCATCTGCTCCCCAGCGTCCCTTTGTACTTCGATAACATCTAGAGCGATCAGCCACAAATTCATTAGATGGTGAAGGGGACCTCAAGCATACACATCGCAAACTCTCGACCGTCCTCCTCCTTGCCCACTACAATGGACTTGATTCGGACGGTCGACCGGCCATATAGGCTGTTGTCGCTTTCCTGGATCATATACTGCTGACGTTGCATTTCTTTGCGGTGGAGTTCTCGTTGAATGCTGATTTTTGACTTTCGTAGGATTCTTAGCTCTGCTGTATTGTTAGTAAGTTCCGCCTTTCGAGTCAACGTGTCGACCACTGCTTCTTGAGACCCGAGCTTCTCAATGTCTGTCGTGAGCACCTGAATTGCTTCCGTCAAGCCAAGATCTCCCGGCGCCGCTTCATGAATCTCGTCCGCAGAGTCCTTGCCATCTGTACCTTCTGGCTCTTCGTATTCATCTTCAAGGTATTTTTGCTGCTCCGGAAAAAGATCGTCATCGAACACTCCGCGGCGTGAGGACCCGTCCACAAGCCCCAGGGAAGCGATGCTGGGTTTCAATCTATCACCTCCCCTGGCTTCTACGCGAGAAGATTCGAGTGAGCTTCTCGGTGACCCTTGATTCATATCACTAGCAGACAGGTCCTCGATTCTCCCATTCTGAGGGGCGTTTGTAATAATATCATTCAGAGCCGCCTCCATGTTTTCAATCACTCTCTTCTCATTGCTCTCGGACTCTCCACTCGGATTATCTCGTCCAAGACTTTGGGTAGACGTGGCAAGTGGATCTGTATCATAATCATCATCAAATAGCGGCGCTGAACGCTCGGAGTCCATTGAACGCCTAGTTGACTCTTCGCCGTCAAAAAGTTTCCCCAAACCCGAAATATCACTAGATGAGATAGCAGCTCTTCGTAGATTCTTTCTTGGTTTGGGGCCTGGTTGAGACGCTGTTCGATTCATCAACGGAGGGAGCGGGCGTCTCTCTGGAACCTCAGGGGCGCCCATAGAGCTTTGCTGAGACGAAGGCGACGGAATGACGGCGTTACTATGCGAGACGTCATCAGACGCAAGATATTTCCAGTACAGATCTGATTGTTTGAACTTGGGGTAGTGAACTTCTTGTAGCTCCTCCAATACTGCAGACTGCGTGCTCAATATCACAGTACGGGCTCTGCGGTACTGTTCGGAAGTGGCACGTTTCCCGGCACTTAGAAAGGTCTTTACTGCTTGACGGGATTCTTCCGTGACCTTCAGTTCGGGTTTCGTGAGGTAGGTTGCGCTAATCAAGGCCATATCATTTCTGTCCGCTGTAGTCCAAGTCCTAGAGCTGGGGGAGGACTCATCCCCAAAGTCGTCCTCAAGCGGATTACGAAACCCATCGACCACAATCCAAAATTGCACGAGTGACATGAGATGCTGACGGTCCATGAATTCCATAAAATACGAGAGACCCGAAGCATCATGCATCACCTCAATCAGAGACGCTTCCTGAGTCACTGATGAGCTCTTACGGCGAAAGTGCGAAGCGGCGGCTGCAACATGAGACGTTTCGTTATTAGGAGCTGAAAGCTTGGCCACCTTTTGATCCAGAACCCTCTTGCCTGTTTCGAGTCGTCTGAGGTAAACCGGGTCCTGCCCTTCCACCATTGACTCTCGTTTCAACTGGCTAGCGAGAAGAGCCCTGTATCGTCGAGCATCGGATAGATTATTGCAACGTCGAATAGTTCGAACAAACCGCTCAAAAGCTCGCTCGGAATCGTTAGGTGAAAGGCGTGGGAAGGGGTGGCCGCGCTTCGACTTGGGGACAGGAGAAGCATGTTCATCTAGGGCAGCCCGAAGCTTTCGTACCGTTTTGCGATCCTGAAGAGTGCTTCGACCATAGGCCTCCATTAACTGATTCCAAGTGTCCGGGTCTGAGATTACTGAGACTAGAGGGAAAAGCACAGCGCACGAAATGATTTCCCTAATGAGTACCGAGACAATGCGACTATTAAGGACGTTCGCAGGGAACAATTGAGGCAGTAACCCAACGGTTATCTTGCGCAAGTACTCCTGCTCCACTACCTTCTGGTCGGAAAGAGAAAGAACTGCGGCTGGATGTAAGTGGCCATCACGATATTTGTTTGAGATAGCAAGATCCAACTCTTCGGATTCGGTGACGTTGCGGGTCAAGTTTCTTCCCCTCACAGATCGCTCCGCGATGTCAAACTCCTTGAGGTGCGTGGTCAGAATGGGAAAAATGCGGGAGACGACCAGGGACACAATATCCTCCGCTAGTAGTCTATCTCGTATATTCCCAATTGCTGTCCGTATCACCTTATCCACCTCATTGGGAAAAGCGGGGCTTGCGCTGATACTGCCGTGCCACGACGCGATGAAATCGCGGGTGATAAATGAGAGAATTTCGTCTATGCCTTCGGAGACAATAAAAGAATGTGGGTAGAGCGACTCCACATGATACTCGGCGCGCTTCTGATATCCTTGGACCTCATTCTTCCAGTGTTGGCGTGCGATGAATGCGACAGGAAGAGTCTTGCGACGGGTGAACTTGGAAAAGGGTAAGTTTCGTGTCGTGAGAAGTACGAGACCCAAGATCGCGGCCAACGAAAGAAAAGCCCCTAGAACCAAGGCATATCCCAGGTACCGAAGAATAGGAAGCCACTGGATAGCAAGCCCCCAAGCGATGAATCCGCCAAAGCCTGCTAGAACATAATCACGAGGTTTCAGGGCCATTCTCACCAGATAACTTGCGTTGCAGTCGGCCTAGTTCTCATGGCCTGCGAGAGGAACAAGGCGGATCCGTAGGAGAGTACATTGCCAACAGAGTGATTGATAAGGAAACCAATATATCCTCAAAGCTGGCAGTTGGGGGCGTGGATGACGAGAACGACAGGAGGAGAGCGGAGCAGTGGTGGTAGTGCACTACTCGGCCTCACGTGCCTGCTGCGGGTGATGCCTGTGGCAAAAATATCGCGGACGTCACTTCTACTCCGTATCTCCAACTTGGCCTTCTTCTCCATTCCTTGTTGAATTCGAGCTCCCAAGTTCTCGCTGAGAGGACTTCCGCAAACATGGCAACTCTTACAGATTTTGTCGATTTCTCTCAAGACTCCTTGAAATGTACGTCATTTGTTCCATGCGCGTCCAGCATGTGATACTCAACCTTCTAGATGCTGCGCTGTCCATTGCATTTAACCCAATATTCTGGAAGTAAGTACGACCCAAAGCCCCCTGACGGCAATCCGCATACATGTCAATTTATGTACAGTCTAATCATCTTCGACCTACTATGCTAATTTCCCCCTCTCGGCGGGCTCTAGCATTGTCGCCCGCGCCGGTAGCTATACATCCCCCCATGCGACAACCTAGCTGGCAGAGACATCTTCTAATATGCCAACCTGTAGAGTATCGCAGTCACTTCTTGGCCCGTATCTTTGGTAGCCCCTACTACGGCTGCTACTTCCTCGCCGTCACCATCTTCTCCCTTGGAATCCTACGCGACCACATCTACCAGCAGGCCCTCGAAGATCAGCCTTTCTATGCCCCAGTGCACCAACCTATTCTCGGCGGCATTTTCTTTGCCGTGGGCTCTGTTCTCGTTCTGTCAAGCATGTATGCCCTTGGCGTTACCGGCACCTATTTAGGAGATTATTTCGGCATCCTGATGGATGCACCTGTGACCGGGTTCCCGTTCAACGTCACCGGCTCTCCGATGTACTGGGGCAGCACTCTAAACTTTCTCGGCGTTGCGCTTTATAAGGGCAAGGTTGCGGGTATCCTGCTTACGGCGCTGGTGTTTGTTTTATACTGGTTTGCCTTGAAGTGGGAGGAGTAAGTCTTCCTATCTGCCCAGCTGCCTTACCGGGCGTGTGGAGTGGTTATATATGGTTCATGGCCTCATGACGCTGACTACCCCATCTGTAGCCCTTTCACCGCGGAAATCTACGCAAAGCGCGAACGCGAACGCACTAAGTCGAAGCGAGACGGCAAGAGTCAGTAGACATTCTTGCTAAGAAGCAGCGGCGCCAAAACATGCGACAGTTACCTATCAAGGGTGGTGTCGCGATTGAAATCGAGCATTCAACACATACGACTACAGTAGGAAGAGATCAGTCATGTGGGCACATGGACTCTGAGCAGATGGCTAGAGTAGTGGGGAGTTCGATGCTACCAGGAACTGAACTAGAATGAGAGCAAGGTGCAAAGCTATTCAACATATCTGAGAGGACAACGAGCATAAGCAAGACTGCAAGTCGCTAGATGCTAGCGTGAAAATTCAATATTAGCATATACATAGGTTACAGAGGCCTCTCATGAAGGAGAAGGGGAAGAGTAATTTGTTCTGTTTATCATTGAATGCCAGACATGGGTCAAGAAGTCACCTATATGTTAAGAACCACCAAGACTCCGAGCACTCCCACTCAGCGTTCAATCAATCCGCAGCGATTGTGAAAACGAACAACCAGTGATAGGAGTAAAACTCAACCAAATGAGTATCTGAGCAACATTGTAGAACAAATGAAGTGCTTCACACGCCATCGCTTAGCCAAAAGCAAAGTCCGAGAGGAAGAATGTCCATCAACTCCACGCTAAGAGATCTATGGGTAACGACACTACAACCGTGCTGAAAGACGGGAGATAACAGGGTAGCTTGAACATGCTATGCGCGACGACCTCTGCCTCGCTTATTTGACGACCGGCTCTCTTCAACCGGCTCGATATCGTCTTCGTCCGCACCTTTCTTAAGGTCTTCGCCTTCGGCAAGACCCCATTTCTCACGATCATACCAATCCTCTCCATCGCTCAACTCGCCAACATGCCCCTCCGCTTTACACCACTCGAAAACGTCTTCTTTCATCCGGCATGCTCGCAAAAGAGTCTCAAGCATATGCTCGAAACCGCGAACTGTCTCCTCCTGTTTCTGGACGTATGACCAGAGTAGTCGGCGGGTGTCCTCAGCCTCGTTGGGTGGCAGGCCAAAATTGGAGTCTGGTCGAACAAAGTCTGGCACGAGATAGAGCGGGTGAGGTATGGGTAGGGAACTGAGAGTATCGCTCGATGTGGAAGGAGATGCATGCCTAGAGTCGGAGTCGTGATGCGGTTGACCTGCATTGGTCTGGGCTCTGGTTGTCATTCGCCTCGGTGGCTCTGGAGATAGGCCATTCCCCATTTCGACATCCTCATCCATGACGCCCGTGCCATCACTGCTCTGATGTTCTGGACCTGCCTCTACTGTCTCCTTAGTCTCTTTATTCATCGTCCCTACTGTGTCGGACATCTTATCCTGGTCGCCATGCGATTCCTCCGTTTTACCATTCACAGTGACCGCAGCCTCTCGCGCTTCTGAATGATGCGGAAGATCACCGACGGCCGTATCCACTTCTTCAAACTTCGGCTCTTTCGAGTGACCAGCATCGGGGTTATACGGCGCATACCCGGTTCCGTCATTCGCTTCAATCGCCATTTCGACATCCGATGTTGCGTTGGCAATTTTATCGTTCTCGTGTTGTGGTGGTTCAGTTTCTTCTGCAGATGATGATTTCTGTTCATTCCCCCCTGAACTGTTCAGATCTTTGGTGCCCGAAACATTGACCCCGTTGGTCTCATAATGTAGTAAGGGGGAATTTTGTCCTGTGCTAGCTATCTGTGGCTCAAAAATCAACCTGTCGTCATACGTTTCGAATAAGCCGCACGGCGCCCAGGACCCATCACCGAGAAATTGCCGGTGTAAGTTTCTCGCCCGCCATAAAAGAGCTCGTTCCTGACGCAATTTGGCCTCAATAGCCTGCGTCATGTTGGAAAGAGCTTTGGAGGTATATGTGTGAGACAAGGATGGGTGAGAGGGAAGTTCGGATGGATGTTTAAGCGGGCATAGAAAATCTGGATAGTTGCGGCAGCCAAAAGTCAGTACACAATAAATTGGATTTGATGTGAATGGAAGAGTTTCACTTACGTTCTAATGCAATTTCAGAGAACGGGTTCTCTGCCGCCGCGGCCGCATCTGCTTCTGAGTCCTCATCATCATCGTCAAGCTCGTCGCCTTCGGAGTCGTAGCGCACGGGATTATGGTGAAGGATATAACGAGTATATCCGGCGTGTTCAATTTCCTGGGTAGAATATTCAATCACAGTCAGCCCAGCGCAACGCGGATAGGGCGGGGTTTCCCTGCCGGCCAAAGGGCCCCAAGTTTAGAAAAAAGGTGAAGCAGAAAGTAGGGCATACCTGTTTATATAAACTCTCAGCGTGCACATACCCCATAGCGCCCTCCTTTACGAATCTTGCGTTCCCCCGAAGCTTGTTTCCTCTATTTGTCGGTTGCGTTATCGGATCATCAGGTCCTGAAACTAAGAAGCCCCGTCAGAAAGAACACCCTAAAACACAATGAAAAACAGATACCCCGCGCGGTTCTGAGGGTTTCTGCATACATTCATTCTCATTGCGAAGGGCCCGCTTCATGCCCACTATTGTGTCGGCAATCAAGGCCGCTTGCGCCGCCATGGCTTTCACCTGGACAATGGAAACGGTGGGGAGAGGATTGGAGTGTAGGCGCTGGCGTGGAGAATTCCGGGATCTTGGTATCTCGTAAAAGGCGTTGATCTTCCTGAAGGAAAGTTAGAAGGCTTTCCAGCTGCGACTGGAATCAGATCTGAGAATCAACTCAAACCGTACAGAGCATGTCCTAACGCCGCTCTCCAAGTGGCCGGGAGCTGGGGTCTCTCTCCGCCTAACGAAATGGGAAAGCTGCGGGAGCCTTCGCGATCCCCGACGCTAGTCTTTAATCGGCATTAGATTCCGTCTGCCGCCGAGAATTTGGTTCTCCTCTTAATATTAATACTGCCCGATTTACCGCTTTTGGACGTCCTTTAGTGTCACGTGTAGAATTTGCCAAGCCCCGTTAATTTTAAACTAGGTGCAAAATATTAATGTTTTAACCTCCATACTAATTTATATATAAACGCGAACAAAATAAATTTGCCCACCACGAACGTCACCACCACCTTATCGCTGCTAAAAAATGGACAAAATAATATTATTAAGACAAGTTTTAAGAGTTATCCATTTTAAAAAGGTAGCTTTATATACAAATTTTGGTGTAAAGTAACTTTAAAGAAATGGCCTTGAGCAACTTAGAGTCGCGACATGACCTTAAAAGTAAGTATTAAACGGGCACTAGTGCGGCGCTAAACTTAATTTTGTTAAGGGATTGCATCCCTTAACAAGGGATGCGCTCCCTTAATTTTTTGGACCGCCTTCCGCTTCCGGACGGCGCTAAACCCCTTTTGATTAAGGGAGCGGTTAAGGGGTTCCGCGCCGGTGTGGCAGACGGAATCTATTGACGAGATAAGCCCCGCCCGCTGGTGCCGGGGACCGGGCACTGATAATAGCGCTCACGTGATGATCTCAGCCCTCAATACAGCTTCACTCATGCCATGCCTTCATTGATGATATTCCTACTTCATAGTTGCTTGATCATTATCATCTATACCCCTCAATTGAATTAACATATTGCTCAAGATATCATTATGGCGGCCAGATCACGGCACCAAACTCCATGAACCGATTCAATCCTCAGCATCGACCCATATCAAGATGCCCTTTTTATCTGACCGCATATCTTCCGTGGGGAGCACCCGTAGAGATTTATTGAAGTATGTGTCCACCACGAGCAGCTGCGGCTGGATCCATAAGCCTTTCTTGGATGCCAAAATATTGTAACGGACCGTGTGTCGACTCACAGGTGCTAGTTGAACTACCATTACCTTTGGGCCGCTGAAAGCTAAATGTTCACTAGCTTCCATGGTCAAGTTGAAGGTGAGAAAGTGCAACGACGGGTTCTCCAACGTGTACTTCACATGCACCAAGCCGGAAAGCTTCTGCGAGGGAATTGCCGACGCTAGCACACGGGGCTCGCCGGCTGGTATCACAAATCGCGGAATCGCGAGTTCAGTAGTCGCGAGGTTATTGCTGTTGCCGGATAAGCCATTTTCTTTGCCACTTCTCCGCCACTGGATCTGCAGAGCCAGGCTAAGCGACGTGGGGCGCCTGTCACCCAGGATCATTTTCTGGATATCCAAGACGAAGGAAGACTGTCGAAGCTCTTTAGGACGAACCTCCGGCGCCTCTGGGTTGGCAACGATCTCGGGCCCGATATGAGAAAGGACACCTCCGTTAATACCTCGTGTAGCAATGGACATTTCCTCAATGATCAGAGCCTCGCGGGCGAAAGAAACGACCTTCGTATCGAGACACCATCTTTGTCGCAGTCCTCTCGGCTTTCGATCTTGTTGACATCCGGTCAAGTCATCATCAACCGCGAAAAAATCCGGCCACCGCAGGGAGTCGACGCGAGGAAGGAATTCATAGTTCGCCTCGAATGGCCGGATTATGGATATGGTTAACCGCGCAGTAGCAATAATGGGTGTATGGATATCTGAAACAAGGTTGTATAAAGCGGATACTTCGAGCTCGTACTCAAAACTGTTCTCGCTACTGGAAAGCACAATCGGTAGCTTACATCTGGAAGAGCTTTGTATCACTCCAACTGACCGTTTGACGAAGTGAGATAACTCCTCCACCGGTGTATCAGACCCTGAGTCAAGAGATGCATTGTTCAGGCCCTCCTGGTCGAGCCATGATATCGTGATTGAGGAGTCTGAGCTGCCGAAAAGTCTTGCTTCAGCAACAATATCAGCCGCCTCATTTTCTTCATTATCAATCACAAGATCGAGGAGGATACGCTCATTTGTATAGTACGTGTCTTTGATATTCGGAACCGTGATCCGGATCTTAGGCGGCTTGGGTAGGACTTTGCAGCGGTTAACATCACGACCCTTGCCCGCCCGCCTTCGTGCCGGGCCCCTTGCGGTCTGCTCCCACCAGAATGCTTCTTGTTGTGTCAGATCAGTGATTGCGCACGTAAGGTCGAATTTCTCTTCCGCAACCAGAAGCGCCACTGAAGCTACCCGAGACTCTCCAGCTTCCCGAGGTATACAGGTCAGATTATACACTTTGGTTTGAGAGGGCCCAATCGTCAAGTCTGCGATGCCAGTGAGTGCGGCCAGGGCACTTGTGGGTGAGTGGAGGACCGATGAGTCGGATATAGCGCTCGGGTCATGCAGCGAAGGCGACGAAATGAGGCTTGGAGTACTCGCATCCGCATGTGTATTCTGGTTCGACTGCAGCCGGATTGGACGAAGGCAACCCTCAAAGGCTATTTTTAATTCCGCAAGCCTAATAGGAGCAGATGACTTTTGGGCGCAGGACCTTAAGACAAGTTGGCCCTGTAAAGGCTCTCCAACATTGCCCTCGGCTTTCCGGAAATTAAATGTTGCGATGACTAGACAAGGAGTAGAGTGTCAGTTGCTATCTTACAGCTTTGCGAGCTATGTCTTACCGCTCGAGACGATATCCTCTGCTTTAACAACGACTGACGGCTTCGGTTTCTCTGGAGGAAGTTCTGCAAGGCTCCAGTGAATATTGTAGTGCCAGTCAGGCCGCGGTGGGAAAGCTAAAGGGCGATTGGAGGTTAGAGAACAAGAACCGCCAGCGAAGAAATACAAGGAATTCATACCCCAGTTTAAGAGTTCCCAATCGATTCTAAGGATCGTTTCACTATCTTGGACTCGCAACGCGCATTCCCTCAAGGCCCAGGCGAATTTATCCATGAGATGCCACCACCCAGAGCGCCGCCAAGTAAGAGCCGGCCAGAGTGGATAAAGTGTCTCATAAGCTTCCGGCCAGGACCCTGAGCGCATATACTCTTCCGCAATTTCCAAGCTAAGTCTCTCCGTCATCCGCACTTGGCTCCGCTTTGAAAACTCAACCAGCGCCGCTTTGAGAGCATCTAAAATGAGCGTCGAATGGTCAATACCGCCGTCCTCGGGACGTGCAGTCTCGACGTGAGTCTCCGGAGCGAGATATGTGTCATAAAGATAGGCCTTGCTCGCTATCTGAGATGCAGGAGACTGCCCCGGCGGTGTCCGATCTTCTGCTGGGATCTGCTCCGCCAACGCTCGCCGGTACATGGTGTGCCTTGCTGAACGGTATAGCCAGTATCCCTCGTGGTGAAGCTGCTCCCACGGCGCGACTTCATTTGGTAGAGGGTATATTTTCTCGTGTGACACAAATATTGAATTGTGCTCATTGGACTGATTTTGAGAGACTCCGAATGGTATCAACTGAGGTATCCCAACTTGATGGATAAGTTGAGCCATCACTGATGACCATCTAGCTTCCCAAGCTTCCCATCCGTAGCTTCTTGTACCTTTGCCACGTCTGTTCAGTATATCTTGTGAGCGACTCCGGTGAGTCACCCAGAATTGTACTGCAGAAGTTGTATGTCCAGTATACAGCAAGCAGCGTATTACACGTATGGCAAGCGCATCACTTAACAGACGGGCATCATTGAACTTAGGGTCCCAGCCAGCAATGTTCTCGAAAACCTCTTGCCCGAAGAGAGTTTCGTATGCGCTTTCGTAGTTCTTCAGAGCCGCGTCAATCTCTTGCCGAAATTCCGCAAAGACCCCCATTTTGAATTCATATCGAGTATTCCATCCTTGGAGCGATAATGTCTGAGACGTTCCACTTGTTGGTGGTGCCGTTGGGGGCGGTATACTGCTTCTATTTCGTTTCCTCCGAGCGTGTTTGGACAGGTCTCTATAGTACTCCATCAACGAAGGATGCAGGATGGATAATAGTGATCTTGTGATTTCTCCGAGCTCCTCGGGACTCACGCCAGGCGGGAAAACGAATAGTGATTTCTGTTCGAGACTGGTTGCTCTCCGAATCCCTAAGACACGATCATCGAAGTCTCCCGTGTCATCTCCGGTAGGTTCCTCTGATACAAGCACAACAATGAAGCGGGTCTTGTAACCCGAAGAGGACCATTCTTTCTTCAGCCCATTGATTTCTATCTTCAGTTGATTGTCGCGCAGGGAACTCATATTTGAGTCAAGACAAAAAGGGAAGAAGTTTATCACTGCGGCGGGGACCAAATCCTGGTGTCTTGCAGCCCATAGAGGTGTCATGATGCCGTCGGGAAAGGTCGGGGAACTGGGTGTCAACGGGGATATAGGCGAATGCAAGACAATTGGGGATCCATGGTCATGTCTATCTGTCGGACTTGTTGTGGGCGACGCAGGAGGAGGATTAGCCTTGCGCGGCGGAAGTCTATAATTCTACAACAGCATCAGCGGTCTGGTCTGCGATACGGAACCTGGTGATGGCAGAGCTCATGGGTGGAAAGCTCAGCCTTGAAGCTGTCCTTGTTATGAGCCAGGTGCAGCATGAAATACGCAACGTACCCTTCGGATGGACTTGACTCTATATTCAATTTTGGAGCTTCCTTCAATGGCATCATACTGAGAGGTTCGCGGGGCAGCTTCACTGAGGAAAACATGCCGGATCTCCTTTGCAATCTGCCCCTCTAATGGTGGAAAATCGGATTCTATTGTGATCCCATTTTCTTTCAGAAGAGGATATTTTGTGTCTGTCGCTTCTAGGTCCGTCCGCGCGCCGTCGGCCTCGAGACCGCAAAGTAGAATGAATGGCAGGTTATCGGCGACATATGGTTGGGGGTAGGCGTCCATTGCGGGCGAGAATTGCTTGTGGACAGCCGGCAGTCAACGCATATCTTGAATAAGAGCACCTATCGAAGCAGTGAACGTAGGCCTAATCTAGTGGGAACTGTGGATAAGCTTCGTCGCGCACGATTATCACCAAGTTGAGAAGCGCACGAGCCTGCCCAGTCGTCACTCTCGAGTTAGTTGCATCGGCCAAGGTGTTTTGCCAAGCCGCGGGAGAGCATCGGATGGTACCTATGTACAGTCAGCCACACACAGCCTTACGGTCGACATTTTGAGATTGATGGTCAATCCCTGCGAAGCATGACTTCAACTGGCGGGTATGTTTCACCCGAAAGTGCGTGCCCAAATGGCACCTGGGCCCTGGCAGTCTGAAATTACTACTCCATGCCTAGGATGGTTGGTTTAGGAGAAACGTACTCGGCACTCCGCTGTCGGAGTAGCACCATCGGACAATCTTGGAAGGTCTGTCTCTCCGGCCATACGGAGTATGTGCCCTGAAACGGCCTAGTTGAACGGTTGGGCCTGAGACACGGGTTTGCCATGTAGCCGAGTTTGTGTTTGCTTGAATAGAAGTACATAGTCTACTCCATAGTCCGTTAGGCCTGTTCACCTTAGTGCAGGGTGTAGTCTACATACAGTACCTAAGACTTAAGTACCTTACTTCACAGTCAATTTGCATAGACTAAATCAAAGCCTGCAGCAGTGCAGATACGGAAGTACAGAGAGAGACTTTGCAATTGCTCCACGCACGAGGCGAGGCGTACTCCGTATAAGCTTAAATCAAGGCTAAGAGAACCCGATGAAGTTTCACAGTCCCGTGCCGTGTATCCTCTAATGTTGCTCTGCATATGTAATTTCATCATGGATCATTATCTTTTCTGCTAAATGGGTGAAGAAAGGAGCACCAGAATCCTTTGGATGTAATGAAAGCAACAATGGTCAAACAATTTGTTTCTCCTGACGCCAAATTATCTCGTTTTGATCTTTTCTGCCGCGTGATTGGCATGACCCTGTAGAAGTGACTTCGAGTCGGGCGGGAAGCTGAGAGCCCGAGCCTGAGACAGTATGCAGGCAGAAGGAGTCCAGGACCTGGACCGGTCACCGCACGTCCTCAAATTTGGATCTGCGAACTGTGTGGAGGACTGTCCAGCTTTCGGGCGACGGGAATAGACCAGTGGGCCGCTAGGCGGCTGGGGTCCAGCTTGAGGCCTTGAAACTTGAGCACAGGATCATCCCTGGTTCGAGCCTTTTTCTCCTCGGCTACCAGGGATGAAAAGATCGGATATTATCCAAGGGGTGTTCACATTTAGATGCGGACTCACAGGCGCAGCATATCACGCCTTTAAAGTTACGAGAAACTAAGAGCCTCTCAATTTTTTCCCCCTTATCTCTCCATGTTTTCTTACATAACTTTATAATTTATATCCAACCCCTCAGTGCCCTCACGGAGCTTCTCCGGCTGTACTCCTTTTTGGAATCTTTGCACTTCTTTTGCCATTTGTTCCTTGTTCTATTGCCCGCTAAGTCCTCAGTATTGCTTCTCCCCTGTCTCTCATTCGTTGTTTTTCTTTCGCGCTCTTTCGCTCTGCATGAGGATCTCTTCTGTCTAGATCTGCACTGCTGTCCACTTCGCTTGTTCCTCCGGGACCATTGGGACTTCGGCAAGGCGCGTTCTCTGGAGCAAGGGAACCTTCCCTGGATTCTTCCAGGCTAAGTTCAATTTGCTGCCTTCCAGGAAACTACTCCTGACTGGCACATGAGTGGTGCGAACATAACTCATTATTGAGCCACCACCCCTCGATTCCTGACCTCTCCAGTTCCTACTGGATCATGCAAGCTCGCGCTATCCTCTCCCGCATATAGTTCTCGGTGATTGTTTCACTGGCCCCCAGGGGTGGAGGAACATTCTTGGAGAGCTTATAGTCAATAGTCGCCATGGATTATGCGGAACAGCAACATTCCGCCACCACTGCGGAAGCCCCTATCCAGTCTTCGCTCCTCGCAAGACGTCGCAAAAACGACGGTTCACGCGCACATCCCGGCAATCCTTCGAGCGCCGGTGATCCGACCTCTCCCGAGGTTATTACTTCGTTGATATCCTCTCTTTCAGCCATTTCCGTGCCCGTCCAGTCGCATTTCGACCTGAACGTCCCGCGTATCGATTCGGAAACCGATCCCTCAACACCGGTTTACTTCCCTCCCGAAAGCCTTTCCGTTCCAGACCAACGTTCAATTAGTGAGCATGGATTTGGCATGACTTATGCTTTGCACAACCCCCTCGATGAGCCGCCACATAGTCCTTTCTTGCATCCGGATGATGCCGCAGCGTCGCCGATTATTCGCATGGCACGGGCTCCGCCAACTCCAAAAACCCCCAAGTCTCCCAAGTTCAAACTGCATCCTGAGCGACCTATGTCTCCAGGGAGACCGGCCTCGCAAGCATCGTTCAGTTCGTATAGGGCCGCACTTGGAGACCCTGTGTTTGGTACGATCAGTGCAGAGCCTGGTCCTCAACGAGCTTCAACGGCGGCAAGCATTCATTCGACGAGCTCGAGGAAGAGTCTGAAGAGCCTGCTAAAGCGACAGTCGCGCGAATTTTCGGGCGAGAAGGAAAAACACCTTGATCGACTACGGAAAACGAACAGCTATACCGACGGCTTGAGGCATCACGTTTCACGCAGTAGAGCTAGCTTGCGCTCCCTACATTCAATGGCCGACGTAGTTGAAGAGGGCAGGCCTACCGAGTTTTCCATGGATGCTTCTCGGGAGCAAACTGTCGATACTCCGACAGGATTAGATCGCTCCTCCTTACAAAGCAATCATGAAGGCACTCCAGGTACACCTGGAGGAATCGGAAGCGGACGAATTATACCTACCCGGGAGTCGTCACTACGACATGGTTATTCCTCCAGTCCCAAGCATCGAAAATCTGGCCGGCATAGTAGGTACTCGTCTACTGCTAGCAGAGAAGTCAAAGCAGATAGTGGAATATCAGGTGTGGGTGGTAATGAGACTGACCAGGTCTCGAAGAGGATACAGGAGCTGAAAGATCAGCAACAGAAGATCAAGAGCGAATTGGAAACAGATAATATGCCACTACAGCCGACAAAAGAGTCACCAACCGAGCAGCAGGCACGGGCACGAAGCGGTACCTCTGGCAGCTTTGTGCAGCATGGATTGATCATTGACGAGAGTGCTCCGTCTCCAGCGATCTTGACGGGCAGGGGCCGCACTTTTCCTCGCAACAGCCCTCAGGTTGCGCCGAGACCGACCGTCGTGTCATCGCGGTCTTTCGCCGCAAGGCAATCCTTTGACCGACCAGACCCCATGGAGAAGCTGCGCTATAGACGATCCATGGAATCCCAACCGGCACACCGGTTTCATCACCGTTCTCCATCCGGGCCGATCTCGCTCAATCATTCTTCGATTATGGTCGAGGACCGCCCATCAAGTGCAGACTCCGTTGATCTCGCAGTAACCGAATATGTAGCCTCGCCGAAGTTGACACAAAGAGTACGTCACCCTACAAGTGGCCGTGTGATAGCATTTTCAGAAGTGGGGGATTCTAAGGGTCATATGGTTCTTTGCTGCCTTGGTATGGGACTCACAAGGTATTTAATGGCTTTCTACGACGAGCTGGCACGATCTCTTGGCCTCCGACTTGTGACTTTAGATAGACCTGGGGTTGGTGAAAGCGGTCCTAATACGACTGATGCTGGGACTCCTCTCAGCTGGCCTGGTAAGACCTTACTCTCGGCCCCGGTGATGATAATGCTGACATTTATAAGATGATGTTGCGATTGTCTGTAATCACCTAAAAGTCACCAAATTCTCCATCTTAGGCCATTCAGCGGGTGCTATCTATGCCCTCGCGACTGCCCTGAGAATACCACAGCATATCCGGGGCCGTATTCACCTATTAGCGCCATGGATCCCTCCATCCCAACTGTCCAACATTGGCTTATACAAAACCCCTGTCCCAAATAACGCTGTGCCCTACTCGCATCGTTTCCTCCGCGCCTTGCCAGCCTCATTCCTCAAAATCGCCAATTCGAGCTTCATGAATGCCACCAGTACGAGTCTTACATCTAGTCTACCCAAGTCTCCCCGACGAAGCAAACGCCGTGGCACTGCGAAGGAGGGCCCACGAGCCATTACCATTGATGTTCGTGCGGATGGAAAACAACAGCCAGATAAGATTGATGCCAAATCTATGGATAGTGTCCATGTGGCTCATGATGCCCACGGAACAAATGATACAAAGTCCCCGGCCTTCACCAGCCAGACTGCGATTGGCTCTCTAGAGCGTGAACGGCAGATGGATTATGATACTCGATTGACGCACAAAATCTGGGAACTAGCCACAACACACGCCAATCCTGCAGTGGACCTGCTAGTTTGCCTAGAGCGGCATCAACCGATTGGATTCCGATACGTTGATATCACTCGGAATGTTGTGGTCCACCACGGGAGCCGAGATACTCGTGTTCCAGTTGATAATGTCCGGTGGCTGGGCCAAACCATGAGGCGGTGCGAAGTCCGAGTCCTCGAAGGCGAAGGTCATGGATTGATGGCCTCGGCCAGTGTTATGGGCAATGTCTTGATGGAAATTGCCAAAGAATGGGAAGATTGGATGACTCTAGTTCAAGGCAAGCGCAGAGCGACACTTGGTACTCGCTCCGGTTCCATGATTGCGGTCTAGTCGAAGGGCCGAAGACCCCCGGCTGCCGGTCTGTGCCATAGGAGTCTTCCAAGAGAAACTACAACTCCTAAACATGATTATATGACTATACAGACTTCAACTGTTTGCGATTTAGTGTGGTTAGGAGTTGTTGTTCGAGTTGCCGAGCTCAACCGCTGCCGGTTCTGCGGTTGCTCTCCACCTGCATGCACGGAATTGATTTCCTTGCATCTATTCCGTATATATACTTCACAAGGCCCCTTATATCCCTGGTTTCTTTTCTATTTGTTCCGTTTTCGACCATGATACCACTGATTACAACCCATACTCGATAGCATAGACATTTTCATAATCTAATATATAATAGAGAAAAGTTCAGCCAGAATCAGTTGAGCCTTGTTCATGATTTGCAAATATTGGACAACCCCAATCGAAGAGTTCCAGGAAGCATGCTACATGTTGTGTTTCAACTTGTGTATGAAATGTACGGTTACCACATGCCATCAATAGCACAGCCACATGTCAATAGTCCTATTTGCGGGCCACCTTCGGAATCGGGGTTGCAATGCACGGGCCGCCTCGGGGTTCATTTCGTCCTCCCCCACGCGCGAGATACTCTCGCGACTCTGCAACCATCGCAGCGGCCACGTCTTTTCTCACTTACAGCATAGTCCTGCACTCCGTTTTCTCCCAGTGCTGCCCGTGTATACCGTGACTCCAATCTTTTGCGCTCGCCAAATGTACGGTTCGACTCGTGCCGGAACCGCCCCTACATATGACTTGACCCGTATTTAGCACATGATTGGTTTTTGAAGAGCTGTCGACAAATGCACTCATCATATACACTCGCTTTAAGGACATAACTTCTCTCTTGGACGGTTTATTACAGTTTCATATCTGAAAAAGCTTATCTGAGACTGACGCGCCAAATTTTCCTGATGTTCTCCCAACGGCGCATTCGTGTCCTCGCTGCCACGGCGTTGGTCACGTTTATATTGTACTTGTACTACTCGGTATGCAATTCAATTACTACTTCTTGAATGTCTTGAAATGGGCTATCTAACCAGGGCACTTTGCAGGGCGATTCTCAGAGTGTACAAAACCAAAAATTCTACCAGTCAACCGTGACCGCAATAAATGCGGAGAAAGAGGCCGCAGCGAACATAAAGACAGGCGGTCATCTACCTAATGCGGACAAAGAACATCCAAGCTTCAAACCGAGTGAAGAATATACTTATTTCGTTGGCGATGATCAAGAGCAGCCGGCCATTCCACGGGCGCAGCCGGATCCGCAGCAGCAACTCGAAATCTCCGAGAAACAGGATACGGAGGAGATTTCGATTGCCGGCCGGACAAAGATGGCTGTTTACAAGGAAAAGGGCCGAAATGGTGAAGGTGGAACTTATGCCGAGACTGAGGCTGTGCCTGTAGAGGGGGACGAAGACGAGAAAGAGAAGCAGCAGCAGCAGCAGCTACAACAACTAGAGGATGAGCATAAGGCGACGAAGGCTGAATTGAACGACATATTGAAGCGGTCGCCAAGTAAGTTTGCGTCTGTGCTTTGTTTTGTTGTATTTCGCTTCGACTTTGCCGCTGACATGGCCTACAGTTATCATCTTCTCCAAATCCTACTGTCCCTACAGCAAAAAAGCCAAAACAATCCTTCTGGATAGATACTCAATTATACCAACGCCTTTCGTGGTAGAGCTTGACCAACACCAGCTTGGTCCACAGCTACAGTCGCTTCTAGGGGAGAATACCGGTCGTCGGACTGTACCGAACGTCCTGGTAAATGGGAGAAGTATTGGTGGCGGGGATGATATTGTTGCTCTTGACGAGCATGACGAGCTGGCATCGAGATTGAAAAGTCTAGCTGGCAAGTGGCTTCAAGAAGTCCAGCGAAAAGAGACCTGACATTCGACGTCGTACTTCATCGCTTCCGCCTCCGATGACGGTCTTGGCACGGATAAGAAGGTACTTGGGCAGGATGTCGGAGTCTGCTTATTTTTTTTTTCCTTTTGTATATATTAATCATCAATAACGGCGGTGTAATGTATAATATCTGAACACTCAAGTCGAATTGGCCGTGGCATGAACAGAATTAAAGGATTCGTAGTCCGTATACTTGTAGAGAGCCTAGATGAACCCTAGAACCTAACGGATGCGCTAAGCCAGATTCGACGCTAAGCGACGCACAACCCCGTGATTCGTGTTTTCGCTCCACCACCGGGAAAGATTGTGTGCAGCTTCGACTGACCTTCGATCTTTTCGACGACCCGACTGCTCGACGACATCGACAACCTGCCCCTCGGACATTCTAAGCCCACGCAGCAGTCAAGATGCGGTACATTCACTCCGAGGAGACGCTCCCGATTCCCGAGAATGGTGAGCTTGCGACCCTGGTTCCTTCATCAGCGTTTGAATTGGAGGGCGATACAACATGCTACGGATGACCGGGAGGTGCTTGCTAGCTGTGTTGGGGAGAAGGAATGTCTACGCGATTGTTCACCAGCGCCGGATAGTTCGATTGCGAGCTATGGAATATCTGTGGTCATTTTTTGAACTCGAACTGATTTGATTTCGCCTGTAGTGAAGGTTCACATTCGCTCGCGAGTCGTGACCGTTGAGGGTCCCCGAGGTACGCACAACCAATACTGCGCTGACAGCCGGATAATTTCGACTCTCGACTGTTTGGCGCATGCAATGGGACGGCATTGACGATTATTCTTAACAGGCAAGCTCACCAAGGATCTCTCCCACATTGCCGTCACCTTCGGCCGCCCCCAGAAGGACGTCATCTCCATTGAGATGCACCACGGCTCTCGCAAGGGTGTCGCCACCCTCCGCACCGTCCGCACCATAATTAACAACCTCATCATCGGTGTCACCAAGGGCTTCAAGTACAAGATGCGCTACGTCTACGCTCACTTTCCCATCAACGTGAACATTGAGAAGAACGCCGAGACTGGCCAGTACGATGTTGAGATCCGGTATGCATCGCACCTACGACGAATTAGGATTGAGTTTGCGTGTTAGGAACAAGGGTGGCGGGAACTACGTTACTCGGATTTCAAATGCGCAATCCGGTTCTGTTCGACATGTATGTCTTGGAACGTCTTGCTAATTGGTATCAGTAACTTCTTGGGTGAGAAGTATGTCCGCCGTGTCATCTGCCAGCCCGGTGTTGAGATCATTGCGTCTCCCAACGTCAAGGACGAGCTCCAGCTCTCCGGTAACTCCCTGGAGGCTGTTTCCCAGAGCGCCGCCGACATCCAGCAGATCTGCAGAGTCCGAAACAAGGATATCCGAAAGGTGAGGTTCTTGGAGATTTTTGAGCGGAACATGTTACTAATTCTTGCGAATTAGTTCCTTGACGGTCTGTACGTGTCTGAGAAGGGTAACATCGTCGAGGAATAAATGTAATGTCCGCTCGGTGGGTAGTTAGGGTGTCTGGAGAATCCTTTATTTTCGCGAACAGCGAAATGAAATTCAAAAATTTAAGACCATGAATTTTATATGTGCCTATTTTGTTATGTGTCCACGGACCTGGCGCTTTCTTAGCTGGAACATGGTGTAAAGCAAAAATGTTGTTCATTGAAAGTCTAGGCTGGCCCGCATTTAGGTAGAGTAAACTCCGCGTTTTGCTTGTGATGCAACGGTTCGTCCCACTTCACTCCGCCCAGCCTTATGACCTCCCTCTTCACCAGCAAACATGTGAAGCAAGCGGCTGAGATCCTAGATGAGTTTGTCTCCTCGCTGCCATTTCGTTCAATCAGCTCGTCATGGCCGTCTACGCCCTGATCTTCGCCGTCATCAGCATGGTGCTGGATGTGACGCTCTTTTGGAAAGAAGTAATCCCCATCTACGCCACATGCTCAGGGTGCGTTGCTGATTTTGTATCGCTCTAGAGACTTCTCTCTTGGTGGAGGTCAAAGTCGCCTCGAACTCGACTACGTCATAGTCTGACCATAGCAACGAACTATGATGATTGGGAAGAGTCTGCATTTGAGCTAGATGAGCTCCTGAGTCTGGATCTGTGGTGATTATCTTTGATACGTGTTACCAGTGGGCTATGCTTACAACTCCAGGCGCCAGAACCCGTCTAGCAAGCACTATGATTCTCGCCTTATCATGGGGAGATTGACGGCTCTGATGACCGCGCGGGAAGACGACGATATCCTCACGCTGGTCAACCTTCTCCGCTCAGGTCTCGTCCGCAACCTCGGCAACATCACCTCGCCCAAGCTCTTCTTGCATGCCAATGCGGGCACGAAGCTGCTTATTGATGACTACATCACACAGGTCGCTCTTTCCATACAGCATGTGACAGCGCTGCAGACTGCACCGGTGCATGACAGCGGCTTCACATCCCAGGCGAAGGTAGAACTGCTACACGACACGCGCCAGGCTTTCGGTAGATCGACATTACTGCTGCAGGGAGGTTCGATCTTCGGTCTTTGCCACCTCGGCGTCGTCAAGGCCCTCCACCTACAAGGCCTTTTGCCACGGATCATCACGGGGACGGCTACGGGTGCGCTTATTGCAGCCTTGGTTGGTGTTCACAGCGAGGAGGAGTTGCTGAGCATCTTAGATGGCGAGCAAATTGACCTTTCTGCTTTTGACCGCCAACAAGACGAAGCCCAGCCTTCATCCTGGCTGGGTCGCCGGCTACTTCCATCAAGTCTGGCAAATGGTGGACTGATGACTTTGCTTCGACGGACGAAGCGATACTTTACCAAGGGCTACTTTCTCGAAGCGGGGGTCTTGGAAGAGTGTGTTCGCGCCAACCTAGGCGACCTAACATTTGAAGAGGCTTATGCTAGATCAAAGCGCATACTGAATATCACAGTCGCTACTTCAGGGCGGTGCGGAACACCGAATTTGCTAAACTACCTAACTGCACCGAACGTGGTACGTCCACTTGCCTAAGTTTAAACTTTTACAGATACACCCGACTAATCTTGAAACCACAGCTTATCTGGTCTGCCGCGGTCGCCTCCAATGCCACCAACAACTCTCTCTACCCCCCCGTAACGATTTATTGCAAAGACGAGACAGGCTCCATCGTCCCCTGGCCACACAGCCAGGACGCGATCTTTAAACCATGGCGTCACACACACTATGAAGAAGGGGAATCTCCACTTTCCCGAATTGCTGAGCTCTTCAACGTAAACCACTTCATTATCTCTCAAGCCCGCCCATATATCATACCCTTCTTCCGCTCGGAGCTCAACTTCCTTGACCGCAGGCCTACAACAGGCCGTTGGAATATAACCCGTGCCTTGACACGCCTCGTTGTTCTCGAGATTGGCCACCGTCTCAGCCAGCTCAACTACATCGGCGCCTTACCATTACCTCTCGCAAGGCTTCTCATAGAGGAGACAGTCCCGGGGTCTCACCTAACCCTCGTTCCAGATCTCAGACTTCGTGATTTCCCCAAGCTCTTCCAAAATCCAGACCAAGCCAGTCTAGCACATTGGGTACTCAAAGGCGAACGAGGCGTCTGGCCCGCTGTCTCCGCATTAAAAGTCCGATGTGCCGTGGAGATCGAACTCGACAAGGGCTACCAGGTAGTTCGCAGACGGAAGCCCGCGGCCGATGCTCTAGGCTTTTCCATGGGACAGTCGGTAGCGCCGCTGGCTGCAACAACGACTTCATCAGCGGGGTCGGATTCCTTGCTACAGGGAACACCGCCGCGACCACAGCCGAATGAGGGCGTTCCGCGACAGCGAAGGGGATATAGCATTGATCTTGTGGGTACAAAAGATCGGGATCCAACTGTTACGTTGACAAGTCCTGATCAGCCTTATTCGTGACTTTAGAGACCTATCCTGTTTTGGCGCCCCTCTATGTACATCACGTCATGAACTTGACGTTCATTCATTTCTCTCTTCAAGTATGATTGATTCTACGCCTAACTTGTGAAGGGATGAAAATAGTCCCAGGATAGAAAAGCTGGGTACTATTACGTATCGGTACGACTCGGGTTCATTTAGGTGATCCAGCCATATACGGCTCTTGTACTTACTTATACAGTAAAATCGAACCTCAATAAGTTAATGAGACACAGCACTAAATGACCAAACGACTGATTAATCATAAAAGTGGGACTACCGCCCCTGAAAGAAAAGGGATGACTGTTGCATAGAAACAAGACATGATAAGGGCAAGGGATATATAGACCGCATATTAAACAAGCAAATGGATATCGAATGATGACAGACCAACTGGAAGTCGATGAGATACTGGGTATACAGAGCAGCAGGACCAGTATGCTCTCTGCATGATGGGGTTTTTTTTTTCATGAGTGAATCGAATCGACTAGGTCGAGGACTGCGGACGAGCTTCGCGCCGGTGGGAATGCGAACGGATAGATGCCGCCGCTGCATGGAGAGAGCGGGATCGAGAGTGCGGCCGTGCGTCGGTTTCCGTTCGAGTAAAAGACAAGGCAGGGACTGTGATGAGCTTAGCTCTATCGTCTTCTTATTAAGAGGAGAGAAAGAAGGAGCCGGTGGGGGTCTATTAGGTGTAAGGTAGCAGGGATTAGGTGGTTAACATACTGCTGAATCCGTAGCCATGGGCTGCCCCTTCTCTGTTTTGGGGGTTAATTTCTACACGAATGGAGACGTTCAGGCCGCCATGGAGAGTGCTCGTGCTACCAACACCATCCGCCGCCAAGTGAGCAGAACCGGCTGTTGACTCGCCGGTGTGCAGGGGAGAGTGACCGTCTTTCGGAATTGGGAGAGACACGCCGTTTTGTTGTGCGGTGTCGCCATTAGTGGCGGCTGCTTCAATCTCGGTGATGCAGGCGTAGTTGCGGGAAGGCATGGTGACTTTGTTCCAAGACGCGCTCTTGTCTACTCCGCCTGGCTGACCGTCGAAGAAATCCATCAAAGTTTCATCAGTGTCCGGGTCTAGGTGGTGAATCTTGTTTCGCCGCGCAAGCAGGTTTGCAACGGCTTTCGGAGGTGGCTTGTTGGTGATAGCGCTGCTAACAATGTTGACCATGTACCGCGGGTCATTCTCACTGTGAATTCCCAGCTTGGGGTTCGAGTAAAAGCGTCCGATAGCCGCCAAGTGCACGTCGCCCCCCAGGATCGTTACACGCGCGGAATGGGCCTTGGAAAATTCCTGTAAGCGCTGAATAAAGATCCTGCGCTCCCGCTTATGCTGACGAGCCGTGTAGTGGTCATCAAGATCATCTAGCAGATCGACCTGACCATCAAACTGATTGAAGAAGCCACCGGCAAGTCCGAATCGCTTGTTAAGTAAGCGAATGGGAGCAATGACTGGTGAGCTTAATATATTCTCGAGCCATGCGAGACGTGGGTACGCGATTGGAACGCCCAGAAGCACAATGAGATGTTTGATTTCGCCGTTTGCGGCAACGACCTCTTGTTCCAGCCGGGAGAAAATAAGGTCATATGTATCCGGATAATTGACCTGATGGCGGGTACGCTCCGTACGTGCATCGATGCCAATAAACGCCATGCGTTTGCCAAGACGCATGTACAGATTTCGGCTCTTTTCCTCGACATACGGACCAGGGCGCTTGCCTATAATCCAGCTATTATCCTCCGCTTGGTCTTCCAGAACAAAAGTATCCTCCAGTTGCCGAGGGTCGGCACCCGCAGTGCCATTCACAGCCTGCATAGTTTGCGGGGCGTCGGTGGTGTAGGTAGACTTCGGGGGCGCAATGTGATGCTGAAACAAACAGTAATACTTAAAAGCGACGCCGCCGATGCCACGGAAGACAGAACATTTCATGAAGTGGTCAGTGTAGGAGCCAAATCCGTCGATGATGTCGTGGTCGTCCCAGATGTTGATTTGAGCGATCCGGCCATTAGCCTCCTTGAAGGGTTCCGTAGAATACCATCTGATATAATTCGCAAAGTAGTACTCATCGCAAGCCGCGCGGAGATTGTTATCGAAAGGATGCGTGCGCCTCTTGTGAGGATTGCCTATAGAAGTCCATGCCTTCAACGGGCCGTCCACACGGATACCATCGTTATAGATCTGATCACCGCCACCAATCATAACGTGGAACGGTTTCTGTGCGTGTACCCGCAAGACATCCTTCCACAAGTTGGGCCCGAGCCAGGCCTCCATGTCGGTACCCACCGAGAAGCCATTGCAAGAATGGAACATCAGGCGCATTGACTGAGTGCGCGATGGAACGACAAAATCCCAAGGCGAGTGAGCCTCGCCCCCATCAGGGTAGCGGAGCCCGGGGATCGTGTATGACCATCGCACCTCGTAGTCCTCCAGGGGCAGTGTGATAGAGAAGCGCCAGAATGCTTTCTGAGGGTCTTCAAACAGGCGCAGCCCATAAATTGTGACACCCTGCGTGTTTGCGGCAGCTTGAATAAGGGCAGGATCGGGCGTGACAGGACCGGCTTGGCGCAAGTACAGGCGAGGTTGCCGCTGACCGGGCTTTGTGACAATCAAGACGCTCCCATGCCATATTGACGAGGAGGGAGTAACATCCATGTTCTTGAAGTTAAGGAGCGGGCCGCAGGTGACGTCAACCTGAGCGTTGGTCTCGGAGACATCGGCATTGGAGTATGCATCTGTCGCAGAAACATTCGATTGTTAGACAAAAAGGCAATAGTAAAGGGCCATTGGGTAGGATTCGAGTACCAGTTGCAGCCATTATTACGAGGGTGGAACGAGCGCGGATCCGTCGCTGACGGAGATTAACACGTGGTAGTGCTGGGAGCAATAGAAAACAAAACAACAAAGGGGGTATCCAAAGAGGTCAATTAGCAGGAAGAGACTGAGAGGAGGAAAAGAGAGGACTCGGTCAGAGAAATGGGGCCAGGTAGGGAGAGGCAGGGAAAGGGAGATTAAGAGATTCAGCAGTGGAGCTGAAAGGGAGGAGCCACAGGAAAGATCCGAAGGGATCAATCAGCTCAGGATTATTCAGGAACCAACAGAAGTAGATTTATTACGGAGTAGATAGTAGTGAGTACGGAGTACGGAGTACGGAGCAGGTACATGATGGAACAGGCAGCACAATTAGCTTATGCCGGATCCACCTCGTCCCAGTACTCCGTAGGGCTGTTAAGGTGCCAGTCATGAATGGAATGGTCCTGGGTCCTGGGTCCTGTCGTCCCTACTCGTCCTGTACCTACTGTGCAACGAGGAGGTATTGCCAATTGGTAACGACCAACAGCCATGCCCCAGCCACCGTGCGGCGTGAACTCTCCGAGTCGGGCTGTGGCTGGGCGGAAGGTTACTAGTTATTGGTTACATAGTCCTTCCAGCCCTGCACGATGACGGAACCATACCAGGAAATGCAACATTCTTGCCGATCGCTGCTGCCACTCGAACAGTAAATGATAGATCACATACCTAACCGGCACAAGATTCCTGCCCACTCCAAACTCCAGAGAATGACGACTCAAAGACCTAGCTACACACAAATGATATCAACTCCTACACAAATGTCCTCCAACGCCAGAAAGATTCAGGAAAAAAGACCATATCACCAACCCTTTGGCCGTGGCCCAAACGCCCTAGATGCATTGCATATACCCAAGCCAGTCGAGGCCAGTGCTATGGAGACGCCCTGTCCCGTTCAGGGCGTACATCGAGCTGCCAACCATAACTATCACATCCCACTACGGGTGGTTGGATTTCGACGCCCATGCCCATCAACAAATCTCCAAACTCTCCTCGGTTCGCAAGAGTATCCAACTCGGGATGGGCCTGCACCAGATCTAAGGCCCGTTCCAAAAGCACGTGAAGTGACACATGGTGGCATGCCGTGGATTCGAACCCATCGCACTGCTCCGTGGTAGGGGTGACAATCACGAAAGACTCGGAGTTGGAGCTCTCCCAGTATTCCGGAGCATCACGGTGTGGTCTCAGCTGTGGAATTCTAGAGATTTCCGCCGAGGCAGCTGCGCTAAGACCTACAACGCCTTGCCCTGTTTTTGCAATGATGCTCCGAAGTACGCTTTCTTGGTCCTGGGTGACCTCGGTTTCAGGAACGACGAACAGGTCTTCCAGTCGCTTCTCCACTCGCTTCTTTCTTTGCATGCGCTCGTCATGGCGGATCTGATTACAGGTTTTGAGGCCAGGTGCCGCCCAAGACTGTCCCTTCAAGCTGCCGTCCTGCTCGGACTTTTCAAAAGTGTAAAGGTCGTTGGTGTACTGGTTGATAATCATCTTGCTCCTATATTGCTCCTTGGAGTAACCGTCTCGAACCGCGAACCACGCCCTGTATGAGGCCCGCTGGAGAATCAAACGACCCTGCTCAATATACGATGCAAGTCTTTCTTGGAAGTCGGGAAGCGATCCGGTATTCTTCTTGAAGAGAATCTCACTGAAATCCAGCAACCATTGACACCACAATGTAGCGATGATGATCTCGAGACCAGGGTCATCGTCCGATTCCAATGCCAAGCAATACTGGCTTGAGCTGAGAATTCCCATTCCTACGGGCATTTCTCCTTTACCCAGGCTCGTGTCCATTATGTGTATGAGATCAGGGACGGTGACTGTGTATACGTTGCTGCTATTATCCCAGACACACCAAAGGTCACTGAGGTCATGGGGAAACCAGTCGAAATGACGAGCATACAGTGTCTTGCAATCATAGTCGAAGCCTAAGACATAGTGTCGACCGCCAAAGGAAGGGTTCCGATCCGCAAAGTGATCACGATTCGCTATCGGCAAGATGCCAAACAGGAGCTGAGGTTGGTCGCCCGGAAAACATTGAGACAGCAACGCTCGGTCTTCGGCGAATTCGTCGTAGGTGAGCGGGCGACAATCAGCGCCGTCAAATAGAAAGGTGCCGTCACGTCTTGCTTGCATTGTCTGATTTCTTTCAGCAGAGCAGAGATAAAGATGATAGTCGACAATGGCCCACGGGTGACTGACGACATATGCAGGAGGTTCGGAACGACGTTGGTCCATAGCATCGTCATCCGCTGTCTCATCGTCGTCGTCGTCGGTCATTGAGTCATCTAATGCCAACACCGACATGCCTTCAGCTTGGTCCTTTTTCCCGTCGTTCTCGTTGGCAACAGCTTTTCCGGTTTCGTCCTGAATTTTGCGGCCGGTCATGTTGTCCTTGGTCGCGTCGTCTGCGTATTCCAGTACATGCTCACTGTCCAGATCCTCCGTCTGGCCTTCCTCATCCATTGTCAACGCCTTCTCCTCCAGCAGTTGTCGAGCTAGCCTGAATTCCTCTCTAGTTCTCTTCATCTTGAAAACAGGACTTATAGACTCTGTCCTTCCAGAATCAGCTTTCCGATTTGCAGAACGATCAAGCTTGTACAGCATCTCTTAGCCTCTGTTGTGGGCAGAGCCCAGCGGTATGAGAGCAAGGAAAGGAGAAGCCCGAATGAAGAGAAATGACGCTTGAATATGAATGATGATGCAGAAATCTGAGTTCAAGATGTTGGTAAATAGAGTGTTGAGAGGTAAAAAACAGGAGGGACACAAGTCGCTAGAAGAGGGGGCGGGGAACTGAGGAAAGGCCATTTTAATGATTGAGAGGGTAGATTCTAAGTGAGGTCAAAACATGCGCATATACAGCTCACCTCTTTGTCCGAACGCACATAGTTCACGCATCCCCTAGTCCGAAATCCATGTTTGCCTGGACAAAAAATGGTTAGCACTAAGCATACAATCTCCCTACCGCAGTCTGCCTACAGACGAACTGATTTTATGGCTTACAATGTACTTGGCTCCCAAGAATCAATTAGATATTCTATGCCTTCAAACTTCCGTGCCACGGTTTCTCATAAACATACAATATCAAGGTATATTCCGGAGGCAGGAAGGCGGTAATAGAAGAACAATTGGAACAAAAGAGCCCTTTTAGAAGCTACAATGTCGCGGATCGCAAACACACAATCCTGAAAGAATGGCTGAACATGGCAAGATTGCTTCCTTTATCTTTTATCTGACTCTACCCTGAACCTTTTATCGGTGTTCCAGACAGCTAATAGGTTGTGACAGTGCGCCGCGTGCTTGGTCTATGTCTATGTAAGAGATCCCTAGACTTGACTCAGTTCTACCTACATCCTCCCCTATAAGACCATGCTTAATATGGGGCATTTAGTTTAGTCTTGACGGTGTAAAGAAGGCAAAAACTGGATTGTAGTGACTGAAATAAAGTGGGGTAGGTATTCGTTCGCCACGCAAAGTTAGATCTAACACAGGCATCGGAAGAGAATGATAGAATACATATAGAAGAACATTAGTGCCTGTCAGCATCCTAGGCAAAGCAAGCCCCTGAAGCTACCGCTTGAAACCATTGACCGACCATCCCTTGTTCTTCTCCTTTTCCCTACGCACCTTCGACCTATGAGCAAGTGCGAAAACAGCCCCGACCGAATACCCGCCAAGATGCGCGAAGTAGTCAAGCTTCGGCGCGCGGCGATTCAACAGGGAGCCAGCGATGTCCAAGGTGACCAGGCCGGCGAATAACATCCAAGCTGGGGCGGAGACGAAATCTTGCCACTCAGTTGGTAAGAAAGAGATGGTCCAATTTGTACTGAGCAGGGTTAGTAAGTGATCTGGATATCGACAATTTTTGCAAAAACGTGAGGGGAAGGCAAGGTTACCCTGGATGGATTAGAGCAGAGGCAGCGAGTACGCCGGCGGTTGCGCCACTGGCCCCAAGGGAGGTTGCGTGAAGTAAGTTTCGAAGGACTAGCACTGAGAGGGATGCGAAAGAGCCAAACACGCCAGATGCGAGGTATAGGGCAAGAAAGTTGCCTCGCCCGATATCGTCGTGCACTTTGGTTGTTCGGTTAGCAGGTTCATGCAAGCGAAGGGTGGTGAAAACTTGCGCTTAGTGCCGAAAGTCCAAAGCACCAACATATTTACCAAGAAGTGAAGTCCTTTCTGATGGCTAAAAACATTTCCAACCAACCCGAATACACGCGGGTACGCGGGGACGCTGATGAAATAACGGTTGAGAAACCTCCAAGCCGGCGGCCACCTCCATAGCACGAAAATTCCCAGGTTTATACCGATAATAGCTGACACTGTGGCGGCCGCTGGTGGTAGACTTGGCCACATACGATCTGCCTTGGCTGGCGGTTGATATGTCACGGCAAACCCATAGCATAATCCAAGACTAATGAGAGTGAAGATAAGCGCCGGGATCAAGCGGCTGCTCTATTGAATGGTCAGCGGGGCACGTTATACATCCGCAAGCGGATCGTTTTTACCATCGTCAGCTGTGAGAAATCCGTTTCAGTATCCGTTGCCCGGAGGTGATGTTTTTGTATCCACGCAAGAAGCGGCCGTTGATTAGGATCTGCCCGCCCTTGCACTATGATGGTTATTAGTGAAGCTAATCAGCAAAGTTTGGAGTCATCATAGCATACCTTCCAAAGCAGACGTATCCTCGAATTTCTGAAGCGAAGTGTTCTTAGCCCTGTGCTGTCTCATCTGCTCGCGGTGCCTCTCCTCGCCCTCGAGCCACTCCTGCCGTTCCTTCTCCGTCTGAGCAAGAATCCTCTTTTCATTTTGTTCCCGAATTTGCTTTAGAATGCTCTTTCCCGAAGGATCATTTTGCTCGCCTAATTGAGCGCCATATGATCCGCTCTGAGGTTTGTACAGACCCAGCTCCTCTGCCTCTCGGGCGAGTTTCTCTTCCATTTCCTGCTCCTCCCGTTCTATTCGAGCGAGAATGGCGGCATCTTCATCCATTGGGTAGTGCCTTCGAAGATATTCAAGGCCAGCGTCGAGCGTAGAAGGTCGCGCGGCGCGTCCGATATCGACAGGGAAGTCGAGGTCGAGCGTACCGGCAAGGCGTCTAGCTTGTAGAACCGAGAGAACCCGGTTACCCATTGCGGGTGACAACTTGACTTGAGATCCAAAGATCTGTGCGATTTCGGTCTTGGAAAACGGGACATCGCGCAACTTGGCTCCTTTCTCGACCGGATGGGGTGCTGGTTTATTGGATGATAGAGCTGCGGAGCTCTGGAAGCATTGGAGTCGGCGTGAAAATGGTAAACATTTGGCTGGGGCGCTCGAGGTCGGAAATAATAATGAAAAGGGTCTCCTGGAGCTCTGGAGCCATTGCAGATTGCTATCGAGAGACCACGTCGGGGAATTTTGTCGAGTTAGTGAGCGGGGTGGTATTGCTAGGTCTGGCGGACGCAAGCTTGAAGGCCGAAGCCCCAAGCATGGAGTGCGCCATGCTACGCAGAGGACATTGCTCATATCCTGCAGCTTATGAGGAAAAGCCCGGACTCAATGTGACTGCAGAGGCTTTGGTGGTAACGTCTATAAAATGGTTAACGGGATCTTCAGTTCCCCGATTCTTTCTCCGCGCTGCCGAGAGTTGTTCCGACTCGTTCGAGTAGACCTACGGGGTAATAGATCGTGACTACGTGGGATTTGTCGTGATCACCTTTAGCAGATCCTAAGAAGACAAGGCGTCTGTATATGTATATGTATGTGTCTATTCTCATATTGGTTTATAGCATATTTTCAAATCTTCGATATCCCATAAAGATAATTCTTTTGTTTACTTGCATCAGCATCGACGTGCCTCGGGATACTTATATATATGTATGCCCCATAAAAAGCTCCGCTCATTATACATCAGTCTATAATAAGACATTGCCAACACCAGTGCAATACTTCCCTACGAAGCCCGGCCAAACAAGCGATTTAACATACGACACCCGAACAAAAAAATGTCATCGGAGACTCTCCCAATAAGCCCCGCCGCCTTTGCCGAAGCCATCAAGGAGCTCACTCTCCCGGTCCTCTACACCAAAGTTGCGGAACTGCAAAACTCTATTGCGCACCTCCGGCGCTCGAACCAGGAACTGCGACTATTCATCACAGAATCATGCGAGAGTGAAGCTGATAAACACGAGCTGGAGGGGTATATTGCGGAGAACGAAGGAGTGGAAAGGTCCATGAATGAGCGGATCCATCTATGTAAGGCGGAGGTCGAGGGGAGAGGTCAGATCTGGATCGATCTGGATATGGAAGCAAATGAGATTGCAGGCACCAATGGACCGGAAGTTGGGCAAGAGCATGGGCAAACTGCTGCCGCGAATGGCACGAGTTCCAACGTGGAAGCGGCGCCGACGGAGAGGTCAAGGGATAGGGAGGATGATGGTGAAAATGGTGGGGTTTACCTTTGATTCGGCTTGGTTGATATGTAGATTTTGTTTTTATTGTCCGAGGACACCATTGCCAGATAGAGCATAAGTGCCTTTGTTATGATATACAATCTTTTAACGTATAACGGCTATTCATCACTTCGCTGAGCCCGAAGTGACGAGTAAATCCGGATTGGCAGTTTTAGGGCACTTCTTGTTCACAAGCCCACCCAATACACCCCTTCAACCATAACGCCATCACCAGGTGCGCTTGACGTCCAGATGGACAGGTGGACGGTTGAGTTATATACATCGAGTGCTCCATTAACTCACCAAGCCGAGAAGATGTTTCCTTGCATTATACCAAGAAGCATGCTGACCATCTAAGAACTTCTGTATTGGTCCGAAAGTACTAATACCGTAAAAAATCGCGTCAGGGTACAAAGAAGAAATATGCATAATCACAAGAACAAAAAATTCGCTCTGCGTGCTAAATGTTTGAATTCTCTGCCCTATTGCATCATCTGCCCAATCACATGTTAGGGAATGACAGCAACTGAAAGCAGGGACAGGAATGACTGTAAATCAGAAGAACCCAGGTTCCAACGCCAGGTTAGAAACATGTTCATCAAAGAAGAGGAGAGAAGCAAAAAACCCTAGCTTAGCTAGAGCTCTGCTGAGCCCAATGACCACCGGCAAGCGCCTCAGGAGGAATACGCTGTTGCTTGATGAAGAGATCTATCAGAGGCTGCATCGGCTCCATTTCCTTGTCGGAAACAAGCTTGTAGTATTTCGCGACAGTGACGAAATGAACAAAGCACATGTTAAGAATATCATGTTTGTTGATGTGCCAGAATGGGTTCAGCCAGTGGGCATGGTACAGATGCGCATAACAGCGGAACATTTGTTTCATAATGCCCTGGCAATCCTTGTAGAAAGTTCGCGGAAAGCCGCTTGACTTGCCAATCCAATCTTCACCAGCAGCATTGGCGGCGGCATCAGAGGCGGGAGCACCCGTAGTTTCATTAAGCGCAAAGGTTTGGGGAACTCCAGTGACCTTCTCTGTGGGAAACATCACTGGGTCATGGATCTTGCTGACAATCCATTTCTCGACGCGGTTGATGAACTTAGGAGCCGATATTTTAGCAGCCTGTGAGTCCACGAGCCACGTGTAGGTTAAACTAGATGTCGGGTTAGTAAACCGGAAGTAGATGGCTGAGGCGAGACATACCGGCCGGCAGACATGGTGGGGCAGCTGGTCTCGTTGCAAATAGGGAGTCCGGTATGACTATTCACTTCTTGAATGACCTTAAGCATGGCTTGAAGTAGACGGTTTTGTTCGACAACTGTATAAAAAAAGACGTTGGCAAGAGTTACTCAGTAGCGGATACCGAGATGCTTACTCTGATGGGCCAGCCATTCTCCCAATTCCACATTCTTGGGACAAGCACACAAGGTCAAAAAGTTACCCTTGACGTTGAGTGGAGCGTATTTCTCCTGGAAGAAGTACTTGGGGGCATCGGGGTCGTAAACCGTGGTGCCTTCAACAGCGGAGTGGTTGGAGGCGAGGGACGGTGAGTTCGACACATGACCGTGAGGGCTCGGGGGCGCAGGCGACTGGCCAGGACTTCCGGTGTTCATTTTATTGGCGTTGTTGTTCTTGTTGTTTCCGCCTCTGCCAAAACCTTGGCGGCTGTCAAAAGACAGATTGAGTTAGTATTGGTGGTTTCGACCTTCAAGTCGGCTGGAGGGGAAATACGGGGGACAAAAGCAAAGGGAAAGGGGGAAATATGGAACACGAGTTGGGAGTAAGCGAAGACAAAGAAGACCCGAGGGCGACACGATCAACCAAATAGTGCGGCATCTCGAAGTGTAATCAGGGGCACTATCTAAGGTGCCTTTAGGGGGGAAGGAGAGCGGGCAATAGGATATGCTTTACTCGCATCTTGAGTATGCATTTGAAGGGAGGGAATGTGAGGGGATGTGGTGACAATTGCAATGTGTGACGGATGGAAGTGCACTTACACACTTTGAAAGAAGGTGGCCATGGTATATGAGCAGGCTCTGCGAGCCCAAGAGACCTGTCTGAGAAGAAACGAGGAGGAACTTCAGGAAGATGGAGATAGCAGCGGCTCTTGAGTTGGGGTTTGGCTGCTAGCCTGCTCCTGGCTCTTGAACCAAACTCCCAATCATCGTCGGGTCTGGCCCTGGGGAGCTGCCGCCGCTAAGCTTCTTGGGGCCCGGGATGGATTATCCTGCGTTCCTGTACTTGACGCCTGAGGCTTGCCGAGTCGGTGGCCCGTGCGCTCAGCCGATTCTCATTGTTGCCGCATTGGAGCTCAGGACTTGCAAACACAGCAATTGCGGCGGATTAGGGGTCTTCAACCACTTGCCTCACCAGATTCATCCTGAAGTCTCACTACTCGCGAGTTTTCTGATCGAGCTCTTTCTCTTCCCACATGTCCTCGTCCGACGAAGAAGACGTCGTTCGGCGACCTGCTCGGAGCGGTGCCGGTCAAGACTTGAGCAATGCTGGAAGCGCGCCTGGAAGCCCTGCGGCTAGTCTCGATGCTGGCAATATGAGCGGCATTGACGATGATGATGCAGACTTATTCGGCTCAGACGGATCTGAAGGAGGTTTCGGACAAGATACAGAGTGTGTAGTAAAGGGTCAGAAACGTGGAAATATCTCTGCTAATACATTAGCAGCCAGCCCAAACGATCTCTTGACGATCGCGAGCTTGATTCGGCCGATGACGAGGATCGATACGACCGAGTCGGTGACCGCATGGAGTATGAGGATGGAGGAGAAGGGGAGTTACGGGAAACAGTCAACATCATGGACTTGAACTTGGCCCGGGCTCCGGAGCCGAAGTCTTCTAATGGCGAGGTTTGTCTTCGCGCTCTGTCTATTGGTTCGAGTCCATACTCAACGCATTTTTCGCAGGTATACACAGTGCCGGTCCCCAATTTTCTTTCAATAGAGACAGAGGAGTTCAACCCAGAGACATACGTTGCGCCCCCATACTCCACTGCGGCGACGTCTCTGTGCTGGCGCTATGACCCGAACAATGATAATTTCCTTCAATCCAACGCACGTATCATCCGCTGGGAGGATGGATCCATGACACTGCAACTAGCGTCGGCTCCCAAAGAACAATACAAAATAACGACAAAACCTCTTGCTCCTCTTAACAACTCAGGCGACTACGATACGAAGCTAGATTCTCACGTGTATCTCGGAGCATATTCCGAAACCTCGGGAATCTTCAGACTGACTTCTCATCTGACCCATGGGCTCACCGTTTATCCCACGACCATGGAAACGGACGACGCTGTTCAGCGACTGCAGGAGTCCCTAGCTTCTGCAGCCCGCGGTGGCAAGAAGACGGTCGATGGATCAGCACCCGTTATTGAAGTGAAGGAAGACCCCGAGCTTGCCAAGCGTCAAGCAGAGCTCGCGGAACGCGAGAAGTTGAAAGCAGCACGTCGCCGCGAACAACTTGCAGATAGAGAGATGGACCGTGGCCGCAGATACGGCATGTCTCACCGCACAGGGGGTGCTGGGCTCACCGTTGGGGGCTTGGAGGATGATGACGGCTTGCTCACAACAAGACCCCGTGCGAAGAAGCCGCGCCGCCCTAACCGTAGAGGTGAGATTTACACCGATGACGAGGAGGACTACGGTGGCCGTGGACGGACACGGGAAGATGAATACGATGAAGACGATGGTTTCCTCGTAGGCAGTGACGAAGAGCCGGAAATTGTGGATGATGATGATGATGAAGATGTCTTGGAAGACGAAGACATGGATGCAGAAGGCGAAGACGACTTACCCCCTCCAAGGCCTAGGGAAAAGCGAGCATCTCCTGATACAAGACCTGCGGCAGGATCTCCTCCGGCTAGGAAGAAGAACCGCTTCGTGGTGGATGATGATGATGAGGAGTAATCCGCATACCACTCGCTTCATTGTTCTCTTTCTTTCGCATTCCCTGAGGGCAATACCACGATTCAGTTTGTTGACGACGATTGCAATTTTGATCATTTTGGAGAAAAGAAAGGCGAATGGGCAATTCGTTTCTTGGTTTGTAAATCACTGGAGTTAGGGATAAAATATGGGGGCAGGAGCATGGCGCTGACATTGTAAGGTCGTGGTGTACTGCCAGTTAAAAGGCTCTGATAAGAAAGCACGAGCATGATCATATCGGTCCTCAAAGTGGTAGGTAGTCCTAATTGAGCGCTTCTAAACAATAGCCATTTATTCACATACAATGCTTGGTAGAGTTTCCAGATGTCCACGAACACCGACGCCGGAAGTAAATCATATAAAATATATCAAGGTGAAACGCTGCTGCTGCCGGGACTCAGCGATGGTACACTTTCTGGATACTCATCCAACTGAAACCCAAACTTTGCGATAACATTTCTCGCACTCTTCGCCACTCGAATGCAAAGCAAATCTTGCTCGTCGCGGCTGAGGCAGTCCTGATCGGACCGGTCATTGAGACGCTGGTCCGGCGGCAAAGGGTGGGAGTCGGGGGATTCATGCCATCGGCGCTGGCGGGCCTCCATCTCTTCGACCAAGTCGAGCACACTCGGCGCCTGTTGAGCGCAAGTTGTTTGAGCATCTAAGTCCATCCGCCCACGTATAACGCTGAAACGCACCAACTGCCGGAGGTAATCATTCCAAGCAGCTCTCAAGTCAGGAGATCGGTTGATCTTCGCGGCATACGCTGGGGGAGCAACTTGGTTTCCCAGCTCACAGGCCTCTGCTCTAGAGACCCGTAGCCACGAGTCAGCAATCACATTAAGAAGAGTCCCTGTGAACATGACATTTTGTAGGCCCGTATCAAATTTGGTCGGACATGAAGGACAGCGAATGACAGACCGGGCGGTTCTAGCTGATATGTATAAGGAGCAAATGGTGTGCTGAGAGATTGGGAATGGTTTGAGGGAGGAAAGATGACTAAGACAGAGATAGAGGTATGAGAGGCAAGAGCATTCTTGGTCAGGCGACGAATCCGAGTGAGATGGCATTAAGGGAGGGGTAAGCCCTGGCGGCATTGTAAACGGCTTGGGCGCCGCTGCTGAAACGCTGGAGAAATCCGGCCAGGGAGAGGTTGTCGCTGGGATCGAGCCCGTGCTTTCATTAGGTGCTAGCTGCCATGTATGGCGATGGTCTTCATCAGTCGATAATCGGTAAGGGAAGCTATATGGTGATGGGTGAGTTGACGATAGTATCTGCGGCTCCTCTGATACATCCGCAATTGCTTCTCCGAGATCAGAGATATGGGCTATTTGAGGATTGGCCCATGTTTCGGTGTTCGGAACGTTCAGATATGATGTGTCGTCATTGTCTTCTCGTAACCGCTTCTTAGGCGGCCTTCCCATTTGCTTCTGCACTGAGTAGTGGCAGGCAAGGGACTGCTTTATGCAACGACTGCATCCTGAGAGTTCGCCGGAGCATTTGAGTTTTCGCTTCCCTGTCGCACGCATCAAATTAGTAGTGTTTGGACAATAAATATGCCAGGGAAACTCACTGCACTCGTCGCACGCCGTATGTCGTTTTACAGGCTGTGAAGCGGCGGTAGAAATATCTCGGGGTATCGAGTCGCCCGCAGAGGCGGGGTGCGACTGACCCCACGGGTAAGCTTCGTACTGCATTATAGGCTCAGGTCACGGAGGGACCATGCAGTACTAAGTAGCGAAATAGAAAGATAGATTGGTGTGTCAAAAGTAGAGGCAACGCGCGAGGTCAGGCAAGTCGCTCATGGACCCCATGAGATCCGAAATAGGGAAGCGGTACAGAGCTCACGTGGGCGGTCTATTTAATGCCGGCCTTTCGGGAAAAAATCTCAAAAAAAGCTGGACCCAGAGTCTAAAGCAACTATTGTTGCGAGCACCGAACTCGTGCATTTACTCGTCCACCATGGCCGCCTTGAAAGCTTCAAAGAAAAGAAAGGCGGTTACCCGTGATGTGGAGGAGGAAGCAGGCGTGTTTTCTGGCGACGAGTTGAATTCCAAGGACTTGGATGGCGCCCTTTCGAGCGACGAGGATGACAGTGAATCCGAAATTGAGTTGGTCGATGACTTCTCCTCCAGCGACGAGGAAGATGAAGAAGAGGAAGAGCTTGATAGCGACGAGATTCCGTCTGAGGGGGAGGACGAAGGTATGGTAAGGAAAAGGTCAACCGCGGCCCTCGACCTGGACGGACTTGAAGATAAGGGCGAATCGAGTGAGGAAGGAGAGCAACTGAATTATCGCATTGAGAAGGATGCAAATGGAAATGACCGCTACATCTACGACGAAATCAACCCCGACGATAACTCCGACTACTCTGATGTTGACGAGAACTCGAACACGATCGGCAACATTCCGTTGTCATTCTATGATCAATATCCCCATATCGGCTATGACATTAACGGCAAGAAAATCCTCCGTCCTGCGAAAGGAGAGGCTCTCGATGCGTTACTTGACAGCATTGAAATCCCCAAGGGCTGGACTGGTCTCACTGACCCATCGACTGGGAAACCTTTGGAACTGAGCCAAGATGAACTCGAACTATTGCGCAAAGTGCAGATGAACGAGATTCCAGAAGAAGGATACAACCCATATGAGCCTCTGACGGAGTGGTTTACGACCGAAAAGGAAATCATGCCCCTTAGTGCTGCTCCTGAACCAAAGCGTCGGTTCGTACCGTCGAAGCACGAAGCCAAACGCGTAATGAAGATCGTGAAGGCTATCAGGGAGGGACGTATTCTACCATTCAAGCCGCCCACAGAGGAAAATGAGGAAGATAAGGACATTATTAACTATGACCTTTGGGCTGATGAGGCTGAGCGAGCTGACCATCCCATGCATGTCCCGGCTCCCAAGCTTCCACCACCAGGATATGAGGAGAGTTACCATCCACCGCCCGAATACTTGCCGGACAAGAAGGAACGAAAGGCATGGGAAGAGACTGACCCCGAAGAAAGAGAGCAGGACTTCCTTCCTCAGGACTTTGGTTCCCTTCGTAGGGTGCCCGGTTACGAGAGCTTTGTCAAAGAAAAGTTTGAGAGATGTCTGGACCTTTACCTAGCGCCCCGAGTTCGGAGAAGCAAGTTGAATATTGATCCCGAGAGTCTGCTTCCCAAACTGCCCAGTCCAGAGGAACTCAAGCCGTTCCCAACTGCATGCGCTGCCGTCTTTAGAGGGCACAAAGGCCGTGTCCGCAGCCTGGCTGTCGACCCGACGGGTATCTGGCTCGCCACTGGCGGTGATGATGGCACCGTCCGAGTTTGGGAGCTAATCACTGGCCGTCAGTTATGGAGTGTCAAACTGGGTGAAGATGAGCCAGTGAACGTCGTCCGCTGGCGCCCGGGCAAAGATGCTGTAGTTCTTGCTGCCGCTGCAGGCGATGACATCTTCCTCGCTGTCCCGCCCATTGCAGATCCCGAAACAGAAAAGGCCAGTATATATTTACTGGACGCTGGCTGGGGTTATGCCGCGTCGAAGCCCGTCTCAAAGGCCGCAGACGAAGAGAAGAAGATCACACCCCCTCAATGGATACGTCCCCCAGCGGCCCTCTCAGACTCAGGCGTATATGCTGTGATCCCTCTCCGTTATATCGCCAAATCAATCTCATGGCATCGCCGTGGAGACTACTTCGTCACAGTGTGCTCCGGCGCCTCAACACCAGCCTCAGTGGCTATCTCTATCCACACCGTCTCCAAACACCTTACCCAGTATCCCTTCCGCCGACGTATCAAGGGTGGCGGTCCTCCACAAACGGCTCACTTTCACCCATCGAAACCAATCCTCTTCGTTGCCAACCAGCGTACCATCCGCGCCTACGATCTTTCCCGCCAACTGCTCGTGAAGATCGTACAGCCCGGTGCTCGCTGGATTTCCTCATTCGACATCCACCCGACATCCGCCACGGCCGCTGGTGGTGACAATCTTATCGTCGGTTCCTACGACCGCCGTCTCCTCTGGCACGATCTCGAGCTCTCCCAACGCCCCTACAAGACTCTCCGCTACCACCGCAAGGCCATCCGCGCCGTCAAATTCCATCCCGGCGGCCGCTACCCTCTCTTTGCTGACGCTAGTGACGACGGATCTCTTCAAATATTCCACGGCAATGTCACGGGTGATATGCTCAGCAATGCAACCATTGTTCCCCTAAAGGTCCTAAAGGGCCATAAGATTACGGGTGAACTGGGTGTCCTAGATATCGATTGGCACCCTCGCGAAGCGTGGTGTGTTAGTGCAGGTGCAGATGGGACATGTCGGTTGTGGATGTAATTGTCGACCTGCTGCTGTATTCTTACCATTGGCTCTTTGCGTGCCTTGACTGTAGATGGGCGTTCAGGTGTATATAATAACTTGTTTGATATCCAGAGCATACACAAAAGTAAACGTTTCTCAAATACTCACAGGATATCTCAAGACGCGTGGATCCGCGGCAACCGTCTAACGTATCGCAATCGTGAACAATGCTTTGATGGTCTAAGTCTATAATGGGGCAATGGAGAATTAAACCACGCCACCACTCCAATCCCTCCTCAACTTCTCATACTTCTTTAAATCCGTCACGCTAGGCCGGATAAATGACTTAGCAGCTTTAAAGTCATCGTATATGATTGCATCCCGACGCTTGATGGCATTGTATCCAGCGCGCCGCACCAGACTGGTAAGGTCTGCACCACTAAACCCTTCGCACTCCTCCGCTAGGCGCCTCAAGTCTTCATTATATTCAATGGGCAGCTTTCGTACGAGGGTCTGCAAGATCTCAGCACGCTCCAGGGGTGATGGTAAGTTCACAAAGAGAAGAGTTTCCAGACGGCCGGGTCGAAGCATCGCGGGGTCGATAATATCAGGCCGGTTGGTAGCTGCGATGACATATATGCCCTGGCGGCTGCTGCCCAGGCCATCTAACTCAGTAAGAAGGGTGTTGACAACGCGGGCAGACGCCTCAGAGAGAGTGTCGTCCCGGCGGGGTACAAGGGCGTCAAGTTCATCGAAGAAGATGACACAGGGAACAGAAGAACGAGCGCGGACAAAGACCTGACGAACGGCACGCTCTGATTCACCGACGTATTTGTTAAGGAGTTCAGGTCCTTTGACACTGATGAAGTTTGCTCGGGACTCGTTGGCCACGGCCTTTGCAAGGAGCGTCTTACCGCAGCCCGGAGGTCCCCAAAGTAAGACACCAGTCGGAGCTGTGATGCCGACGCTAGCGTAAAGTCCGGGGTTCTTGATCGGATCCACGATTGCGGTGGCAAGTTCGTCACGAATTTCGCCTAGGGCACCGATATCTGCCCAGGTTGTGTCGGGAATGGTTGCGAAGCCCTCACGCTTGGAGGACGGCTGTATTTTGGGGAGGGCAACGAGAAAGTCGTTATTTGATACAAGGACCACCTCTGCTTCGCTGCCGATTGGGGTCTCCTTCGCGTGGGTGATGAGCCTCCGAAGCTCTTTGACTCTAGGGCTAAGGTCATCCTCTCCCTCAATGTCCATTTCTTCGCCGCTGTTTGACTTCAGGAGCTCAAGGTATCTTTTAATTGCCGTGGAGCCAGCGGTGGAAACTAGGTCGTTCAAATCGGCACCAACAAAACCGGGGGTCCTCTTTGCTAGAGTTTGGAAGTCTAAGTCGTCCACGAGACGCATCTTGCGCGTTAGCGCACGGAGAATTTGCTCGCGAACAGGCTCGGAAGGAACAGTCATGTTAATTTCCTTGTCGAATCTGCCTCCTCGACGCAATGCCGCGTCTAAGCTATCGGGCCGGTTCGTGGCTGCCAAGACAATGACTGGCTTTCCATCCGTCTTCTCTAGAGCAAGGTCATCCATACAAGTGAGAAGCTGAGCGACGATTCTCTTCTCCATTTCTCTTTGAGAATTCTCCCGTTTTGGTGTGATAGCGTCAATCTCATCGATGAAAATGAGGCAGGGGGCAATCCTTTTAGCCTCTTCGAAATGCTCACGGAGGGCCTTTTCGGACTCTCCTGACATGCCCGAAACGATTGACGGCGCGGAAATGGATATGAATGGCACCCCTAGTTCTGCAGCGAACGCATTGGCAATCATGGTCTTTCCGCATCCTGGCGGACCATGTAACAATACACCGCGAGGAGGCTGTACGTTCGATGCTAGATAAACTTGTGGACGGGTCATTGGGAGAATGACAAGATCTCCGAGCTGTTGAATGACATCGTCCAATCCACCCAAATCCGCAAGGCTCACGTGAGTCGGCGGAGATCGGTCGATAGCGCTGTCTGCCTTGCGGCGCTTGGAGGTATGTGACTCGCCTTCACGGTGCCGCTTTTTTGTTGTAGTTGGCGCAGGTGTACCGTTTTCTGTATTGTTCTCGGGTTTCGGTGCCTTTGAGGCAATATTCCAGGCACTTACAAGGGTCTTGTTCATGCTATTTGACTCCTGGTGTTATTAGTGAGAGAGAAAGGATATAATTTTTAGAGAAAGCCCCATACTTGTACGGGCTGTTCCTCCAGCCCTGTGAAGTCGCCATCTACCGAATCATTCTCATCATCTCCTAGTACGTCAGTTTTGATGACTTCCACCACCCGCTCAATGCTGTCTTCGAGTATTCTCTTCGGCTTCCGGTTAAGACTCGAGTTGGATCGCTTGATGGAGTCGTAGATAGTTGTGGCCGATAGACGAAACTGACCATTTTCGGCCTGATCGTCAACGATTTTGCGAACCACTTGGTAGACCTGAACGACGAGGAAGCATTAGACGATTCGCCCTAGGGCTGGTCAATGTGTCACACCTCTTTATCAAGGCCCTGCCTTAAAGATGGTCTGCCTCCGCGACGCATCTCCTGCAAGACGAGCTGATTTGATTGAGGCTCTATCTCACTGATCGTCGGGTCTTCTTTGATATAGAAATTCTATAATTTTGATGTGCGGAGAAATAGATTGGCCGAGACATACCGTAGGTATGGCACCGACCAACGTCATCCGTTATCTTATCGGTTGACCCCGGTCTCGGTCCTCTTCCTCATCAGGCAAAGAAGACAAGAACGAAGTATCAAGGCAGCAACATGCGGTGACAATGGGGAACTCGAACAGCTCCCACAAGATATCTTCCCAGGATAGGTAAGATGACTGGCTTGCTTCGTGCAGTTCAGATATTTTTCAGGCGCAGAGCATCGTAATATATGCTCCACCATTTCCCCGCTTGTATCTTCACTACTGGGAAGCTAATTTTCCTCCTTGACCATAGAGCAATTCTTGATATGAAAAACCAGCGCGATAGGCTCCATCAATATCAGAAGCGTATTACAGTTTTGACGGATCGCGAGACCGCGATCGCGAAGGAATGTCTCGCCCGAGGTGATCGAAAGCGGGCCCTTCTTGCCTTGCGTCGTAAGAAGTACCAGGAGTCGCTTCTAACAAAGACCGATGCTCAGCTAGCGCAATTAGAGCAACTTACCAGCCAGGTTGAATTCGCTCTTGTACAAAAGGATGTTTTGTATGGATTGCAACAGGGGACGCAGGTGCTTCAAATGATCAATAAAGAGATGGGTGGCATTGAAGGCGTGGAGAATCTCTTGGGGGAGACGGAAGAGGCCCGGGCTTATCAGGAGGTAAGGAGCGCTCAGCATTCATAGACATATACAATTTCGTCATGGCTAATGCTACTGATCTGTAGGAAGTTAGCCAAATGCTTGCTGGGAACTTGTCTAATCAGGACGAGGATGAAGTTGAAGATGAATTGGAGGCCCTACATCGCGAAGTACAGGGTCCAGTCAGCCTTCCCAATGTCCCGACGGCGCCACCAGAAGTGGAGGCTCCAGACGAGGAGTTGGAGAAGCAGCGAAAGGCGAGGGTGAGGGCCCGAACAAGGGAACAAGCTGCGATACCTGCTTCATGAACTATGAACTGTCTACACATGATGGAAGCGGCTGCACAAGGTTGGGTTTCATGTTTCGCGGGTACAAGCATCACTGGAGTTGAAATTGTTTCTTCCTGTCAGTTGATGAATCATTAGAGCTCTTCATACTCTCAATGGTAGGCTCTGCTATGGCACATCGTTTATCGCCCTGGCGTCGCAATAATCAATCTCCAGAGCATCGGGCAAAATATATATTTTAATGTCATCCGGTCATATATCGAATGCAAATGCTAAGATGCTTTAGGTCAGACTCGCTATGACGCAACTGTAATGTAGGAGCCCTAGAACATTTGTCCCTGCCTAAAAAGGACATTGACTGAATAGTACGTACCTTACTGATCTGAACAGAGTGTACAACCTGAAGTTACCCGAAGAGCCTCACGATGTTCTGATGATGACATCCTTCGCGGGGAGAAATTTCTAGCACATAACCCATCATCCTCTCTGATAACTTCCGTCATCACTATTAAATAAGCATATACCTCTAGTTTTACCAAATCTGCTAATCCGTATCTCTACACATCGCGACCATGTCTCATCACCATTCGCACAATCACGGCCATGGTCACTGCTATGGCGAAGGAGATGACGGCCACGACCACTCGAATGACATCACACCAGCACTCCAATCCCTCCTTTACTCTCAGATCCAATTTGATTCAATCACAACTCTGAATGGTAGCTTACACCCTTGAAGTGATTCACAGACGATTCTGACGGCAATGTGGCACAGAAGCAACACCCAAGTCAGGAGCGGCAATTGTCAAAAAGACATATGCTGAGAGGCAGAATGATGAGCCGGAGCTGGAGAGTGATGCGGACGAGCAGCTGTTGATGTATATTCCGTACGTTATACCTTATGCCGCAAGTTCTATATTCTGTTGCTTTTGTGATATGCGGTTGTTGCTACTCTACCCCGCGGTGCCCCTCATTCAATCGATATCGATACTGATGAAATGTATCAATACCGATATCGAATGTCAACAGGAACCCCCCGGTCTCGAAGGCGTTAAGGCGGAACTCTAACAGTTTATGGCCATCTTATAGATTCACCGGTCAAGTCAACGTTCACTCTATTCTAATTTACACTGCGCCCACACCATCCGCCCCAAAGACCCTGAAGCTCTTCAAGAATCGCGACGACCTCGACTTCTCGACGGCGTCAGAGCTCAAACCAACTCAAACGATTGAAGTCCCGCGGCCGATTCCAGGAACCGATGTCTTCGAGATACCCCTGAACCGTGCACACTGGAACGCCACTACCTCGCTCAGTTTGTTCTTCGAAGACAACTGGAGCGATGGTGAGGAGGACGTGACAAATGTCGGATACATTGGGCTCAAGGGTCAGTTTCTGGCTCTGAACAGGGAGCCCGTCAGCTTTTTATACGAAGCAGCAGCTAACCCCAATGACCATGTGGCGATTCCGGGCGTGAGCGGTATCGGCGGGCGAATCATGCCCGGACAGTGAAGCGATTTCTCTTTTGAAAACATATGTAGCGTGATGAGGCCTTGGTTCAAGAACCGATATTGATAAACGATACGCATGGCGATGGGTTTGCCTGTGCTGTATTACAGATCCGGCTAGTTATTCCAGTCCATGTTCAACTAGCAAATGCATTCGATCACTGTACACTGTAGTAGTTTGGAGCATACTCGAGAAGGTAGCTCTTTTCTATCTTGGTGATGTCCCGGATAAATGTCTTTTTGCCTGTTTGAATTATCTCATGGAAGATGACCCAGTCTGCTTTCCGGTTCTACAAAGCGGCCTTAGTCAGTTAAGTTCAGGAAAGTGAAGAAAGGAAATACTCACAAACATCAAGGAGCTTGGGTGAGCGTGAAAGGTCATGTCGCCACTGGCTGTCTTGAAGGTGCCATCAGGTTGCATTCTTGCGGCATGGGAAAAGTAGCCCGTTGTTAGGCATCGCTGTATCTTCTCACCAGGCTTTGCTAGATTGACTTGCCTATGTTGAGAAGGAAGGCTTTCGTCAGTCTGGATGCCAAAGCGTTCAAGATATCTTTTGAGTTGTGCCCTGACGCTCACAGCTCGTAGCAAGGACCGGTAGTTCAAGAGGTTGTCTCGGCACCATTTGGGATCTCTGTTTCCCTTGGTGACAAATGCCTGATATACATTAAGATATGTAAGGTGGTCACCTTCCTCAACAGCAAACTTCCTGCGTTGGCTCTCAGGCGACCTTTTATCCCCGTCATGTTGGACCCATACTGCTCCCTGAAGGCTGACCATAGCGGCGATGGTCAAAATCTCACTCAAACAGCCAAAAGGCTGTGCGGAAAGGAGGACCCTCGCCATCATGGGGTCAACAGCAAGTTCTGCCATTCGCATACCTAGCGGTTTCGTAAGCTTCGCGTAGTCGTCAACGGCCCCCAATGAATAGAGGAGCTCGACTGCACGTATCACAAGGTCTGCAGGAGGCGAAGTCAGGAAGTCGAACCGGACGATATTGTCTATTCCCAGAGCTTTTAGCTGCATTATGACAGGAGCGAGGTTTGATCGTTGAATCTCTGGTATGGTATCCTCGGGTAATTGTTCGTATACCTGCTGTGTATATAGACGGAAGCATTTCCCAGGCTTGGTTCTTCCAGCTCGGCCGGCGCGCTGAACCGCGGCGGCCTTCGAGATTGGCACTGCTGTCAGCGTCTCGATACTCGTGCTAGGATTGTATGCTCTCAGTTTCGCGAACCCGCAATCTATAACGTAGACGATTCCGTTGATAGTAACCGAGGCCTCGGCGATATTCGTCGATACTATCACCTTCCGCGTATTCTCCGGCGCCGGTTCAAAGACATACATTTGCTGGTCAGTTGTAAGACCGGAATAGAGAGGGAGCGGTAGCAGAGACTGAGACTTCGGATGAAGTGTTGCAGCACGATCAGTAATCAATTGAATTGCTGTTTCGATCTCTTCTCTGCCAGTTAGAAAAATCAGAATATCGCCTTCACCTTCCTGCAGGTGTATATCAAACACGGTCTTCACACTTCGCTCCACATAATCTTCTGCTGGCGACTCAAGGAAAAGAGTATCAACCGGATACATTCGACCTTCAAGGCTTATGATTCTTCCAGCAATTCCGCCAATTTCACCATTGGAATACTGCCGGAAGTCATCTCCAGCAAAGAAGCGTAAGAAGCCTTCCGCTTGCAGGGTAGCGCTACTGACGATAACACGAAGGTCAGGACGTCTCTTGAGTATCTTTTTAAGAATACCCAAGAGTATGTCAGTGCTTAATGATCTCTCATGTGCCTCATCGACCATGATAACCGAATATCGGGATAGAAGAGGGTCTACAAGAGCCTCTCTTAGCAGCATCCCGTCCGTCAAGAATTTAATTCTCGTCGTAGCAGACGTTTGGTCTTCGAAACGAATCGAATAGCCTACGTCCTCGCCCAACTTGCAACGCATTTCTTCTGCCACACGGGCCGCTACCGTGGTAGCGGCTACTCGACGAGGCTAACAAATCAACTGTCAACCAGAGACGAAAGGCTGTGTTTGAAAATCGACGTACCTGGGTCACTGCAATGGCTTTCCCCGCGACACACCATCCTGCCTGGTCAAGATACTGTGGTAATTGTGTGGTTTTCCCGCTTCCAGTCTGCCCGACGACAATGGTGACCGGATACGTCTCCACGAGATATAGTAAACTCTCCTTGTGCCTCGCAATAGGAAGCAAGGAAGGGGGTTTGTATAGGGACGGAATAAAGCTCGTCCCGACGTCTAGGTCCATCTTCCTCTGTTCGTTTTTGAACAGCCTTTGGATGTTCTAATCGCGATAGATAGTCAGTCAGATAATCAATTCAGATGTAGTACCATCTTGAATCTACACTAGAAAGCTCTGCGCTAATCGTTCTCATTGGAGTTCGGATGTTAAAGCAGCACCACAGACTACCCCGGTTTTAGTGCCAGTGTCACGTGCCTCAACGTCACCGCAGTCACCAGTGGCTGATGCTCGGGGTCGGAGGCTCGGAGCTTTGACTCGGCCTCCAATGATCAATCGCAGCCAGCCAGCCCCAAGCACCGCAATCATTGCTTTCTGCGGACCATTTTCGCCGCAAATCACCAGACCTCCATTATTTATAACCGCGAAGCTCGCTTCTTTCGAGAGTTTTAGATTCGACTTCTTGTAATCCTCGAATTGCCAGCACAATGTCAGAAACAGAGAAGACTGTATGCCTCAGTCCCTCAACCATCCTTTCATCCCCGCATATTGCTGGAGGCAAGCCGCTCACCTTAATCAGGCCAATAAAGCAGCATCTGGGCCGAACAGCCCGAGCCCGGAGTCGCCGACTACTGCGCGCCCCTTAGACTTTGACGATGAAGTCCAAGAGACCGGAGTCACTTCTGCATCCTCTTCAGCACAGCAGAGCACCGCGGAGGCGGCCCCGCCAAAACCACCCCGTCCCTTGTCTCCGCGCCAACAAGCAGAAAACACCCTCAAAGAAGCCTTCCCGTCGGTGGAGCTGTCTGTAGTCAAGGCCGTCTTGGTAGCAAGCTCTTATGATGTGGAGCGAGCTTTCCACGCTCTTCTCGGTTCGCATAGTATTCAGGATATCTGGCGGGCAGGACTAATTTCTTCAGGCATGACGGACCCAAGTGCAAATGCGCAGGACGACTACGTGCCACCAAAACCGCCGCGCCCATCGGCGACGCAGAGGCAGCTGGAAGCCGATGAGCTCTATGCTCGCCAACTTGCTGAACACTACAACCGCCGTGCACAGCCACAGCCACCTCGCGGAGGTGATGATGATGCCTATCAACAGCATAGAGGCGTGAGCAATGAAGCAGAGGATAAAGAATACAATTTTTTTGACGGTAAATATTCTCGATTATGACCTAAGGACTTGATTGACCGGCTAACTTTGCTGTAGATGATCTTCCCGTGATCCGCGAGAACATCCGTAAAGGGTTCCTTGACACCCAGTCCAAGGTCAGCTCATGGGTACAGAATTTGAAAAAGAGGATTGATGGCGATGACGAAGAGGAGGCTACACATGTTGCACGTGGATATGGAGATGAGTATCATGGCCGGCCACGGAGAAGTGGTGACCTAGGTCGTCGCAGTGGGGATCGCGAGCGGTACGATGCAGATCCGCAGGTGCTGAGTGATGATTTTTCCGCACTCGAACTTAGAGACTCGGAAGGTTGCCAATCCGTCCCTCGATCATAGTTATACAGTTTGACTAACACTGAAGTACAGTACCCCCCGCCCGTCCGCCGCGGCCGCTTGCGAATTCCGCCTTGTATAAAAGCTCCTCATCATCACCAGACAGACGCAAGGTCTCTTTCCAGGAGGGGCCCCCTACAGAAATCGGGAATCTTTACGATGCCTCTGAGCCAGCTAAGCGGCAATCCCCCGCGGGAGGGAAGTCGAGCAAATGGCAGCCTCTTTCGACGGTTGAGCCATCTCCGATTGGCGAAAATGACCCGTTTAGCTTAGGCGATAGCGACGACGAGAAAGACACCAAAGCTAAGGATTCAATCACTACCGAAGCACACAAAACGACAATTGAACCTTCATCCGAGGAGCTCGACTCGGGCCCACAAGGGGGCGACAGAGTAGAGAGCGCTGGGAAATCGTGATAAGCTGTCCTTTTGTTGCCATCGAAATCATTGTCTGCCTTCAAAGACTACCGGCCTAACCGATGTTGTATTCCTCATTCTACCTTGCCATGTATCCTTTGAGCGGTGTTTATGATACCAGAGATTGTTCAACAGAGGCCCATGCTCTGGCGAGTTCCGCGAATCCTTAGCACATTTTCTTATAATATAATGCAAGCAGCAACGCACGAAGATCTAGAATTTATCATCAAAGAAGTAAATTGGGGTATCTTCAGAACTAAAAGAAAAGAAGTTACAAGTGCGTAACAACAAGCGGAGCAGGCAGAAAATCATTCCGAAGACTCATTCGGAGAGCGGGAACTCAATTCAACTTCTCTCCTTAAGTCCTTGATCACAGTCTGTAACACATTAGGGCTTAGTCTCATGCATAGCAAACTCCAGTACAGATTGAACTCACCGCAAGGGCATCAGGGTTGACCCCATTCTCGATCAAAGACACGCAAAGAGACAGCTCTGTCCGGTCTAGTTTCGTGTTCTAACGGTGGGGCATAGTAGTTAACAAGTGAGTCAGGCTCAGGTTCAAGAGGTACCTAGAAAGCCATATTGGAGAAATGAGGAATAACCACGTACAAGGAGAATTGAGATCTCTTGAAGAATGTCAATGACTTCGCGCGCAGCCTGGCGTTTATCGTCGGATTGAGTGGGCATCTTAGACAACTAAATAATGAGGCTCGCCTTCGAAAGGATGTAGGTAAATACTGGTGTTTTCGATTTGAGAATTGCAGGAGTGTTCGTTGTTTGACGGTTGTTTGACTGGAGGTTGTTGTATGTAAGCTCGTAAGAATACGGTACCAATCACGGGATTGATGCGGAAAATCTTCGACAGCAGCGTTCAAAACTCCTTGTCAATTCTATTTCTTTTCTTGGTTTGCCGCAGCTTTTCAAGGCACTGACTCAGGACCATGCTTTCAATATGAGACGCCACTCTTGTATATACGCTGGACGCCACTAGAAACCGTATTCACGCTACGAGTCGCGTTGATTATAGCTCCTCTCAGCCTCCTGAGAGTTCGGAATGTTAGAGGACCTGAACATATCGGACATCCATTCCTTAGGCAAGCCCCAGGCTATTGAGGTTCTTTCGCAGATCACACGCATCGAGAAGAAGACTTTTCCCGCTAGTGAGGCGTATCCTTTTGGCGAGGAGCTCTGGCGCAAAAAGCCAAACACCAGAGTAATCTATGTGACCCTAGCACCACAGGGGCCGTTGATCGCCTATGCCCTCTATGTTCGTCAGAAAGGGGCTGCCTTCCTGCACAAGGTTTGCGTCGCAGAGGCATTCCGCCAGAAGGGCGTTGGGATGCAATTGATGAAGTTCATTCGAACTCGGCTGCAAAAGGAAGGTTGCCAGTGTGTTCATCTCTGGGTCGACAAGGGCAGGGAACCTGCGCGGTCTCTGTACATCCGTAATGGCTTTGAGGAACGCGAGAGGTTTCCTGATTACTATGCACCAGGCCGTGACGGCATCAAAATGGTCCTCGATCTTGAGCGTGGTACCTGAGAGCATGCCTCTGTCACTACTGCACTCCTCCTTCGTCCACAGAGCCGAAAGGACCTTCCCTAGGGGATGGAGAACTCCGCCCTTATCGATCAAGAGGGAGTTATCTTTTCGTCCCCTCAATTGCTCGATGGTCGTTAGGATTATCTCCCACGGTTGATGATCCTTGGCTCCTAGAACCATCCCTTGCAGATGTGCATTTCGTACCGTGAGCCCTGTCGCGCCAGGCCCGTGTTCTCCAACCATTCTCATACCGTTGTGACGTCAAACATATCCAGGCATGGCTCTTTTGAAGGCACGCGAAGGCCTTGAGCGCTCCTGTATAGAGCGGCTCCTGGGTGAACGCCCTTTGGGAATGTCCCCTAAGGGTAGCGCCTTCCCACATGTGTCGCTCTTCAAACCCTTATTTCAGCCTCGACGGACCTGCTTGCCGCTCTGCAGATTTACGAGCCCTCAAATGTTCTTTGGAGCTTTTGCAACTGCCATTTGGTGGGCTCCAGTAGTCATCTGCGATTGCAGCAATGGCGCATTTCGCGTTAATCGTCTTGGGTTTCCTGTCAGCAGTCAATGCGGCTGTATTTGCGAATTATCCTGTCAACGCACAAATGCCTCCCGTGGCCCGAATATCGAAGCCATTCCGTTTCATTTTCTCACAAGGCACGTTCGGTGAAAGCGGCCCGCAAACAGTTTACTCGCTCTCGAACGCTCCATCATGGCTTACGGTAGATAGCACATCCCGTGTCTTGTCAGGAATTCCTCGAAAGGAAGATACTGGGTCGCCAAAGTTCGATCTTACGGCCACCGACCCGTCTGGGTCTGCCAGTATGCAAGTGACTCTTATCGTGACTGCCGACGACGGTCCGAAAGCTGGCAAATCCCTCGTTCCGCAACTACAAGCCATGGGTCCGACGTCTTCCCCGTCTAACCTCAATGTGCACTCGGGCCACTCGTTCTCGATCTCTTTCGATGAGGATACTTTCGTCAACACTCGCCCTTCGACAGTATACTATGGAACCTCATATCCGGAAAATGCTCCTTTACCGTCGTGGATTGGTTTTGACCAGTCAGCCCTTCGATTCTATGGCACCGCGCCTAACATCGGGCCCCAGACTTTCAGTCTCAATTTGGTTGCATCCGATGTATCTGGATTTAGCGCGGCTATCATGAGTTTTAATTTAACGATTAGCCCTCACATCTTGTCCTTCAAACAGAGCGCCCAAACACTCTTCGTTACCGGTGGAAAGGCGTTTGCAAGCCCTCGTTTTCTCGACGCTCTCACGTTGGATGGGGAGGAACCAACAAGTAACGTTCTTGCAGAGATTCGTATCGATGGCCCGGACTGGTTGGAGGTTGACAAGCAATCCTTGTCGTTTAAGGGAAATCCGCCTGCCAATTCAGATAACAGAAATGTGACTATATCAGTCAAAGATATTTACCAGAACGTGGCCACACTTGTTGTCTCCTTGCAATATTCTCACTTCTTCCTCGACGGATTTGACGACGAATGCGATGCTGTTATCGGGCAGTACTTCAATTATACATTCGACAGTACCGCCCTTATCAACGAGTCTGCAGAGTTAGATGTTGACCTGGATCAACAGCTGTCCTGGCTGCACTATAATCATGACAACAAAACACTTCACGGTGAAGTACCATCTGGTCTCCATCCGGCCAGGTACACTGTTCGATTAACGGCCCGCAAAGGAACCGCAGAGGGTCAGAAGACATTCAATATCAACACCGTAACCGGAGACGACTCACACGGTGACGGAGCTTTATCTACGAGCGGTCCTCAATCAAACAAAGCTGGCATTATAGCCATGGGGGTTTTCATACCACTGGGTTGTGTAGCTATCATCCTGCTCTTACTCTACTGCCGGCGCCGCAAGCAACGATCGCCCAAAGACGAAGACGGATTAGGATTCGAAGAGAAAGCATTTCCCTTCGGGCCCGTTGGTCCCGGTTCATCACACTGCCAGCCGTTTGACGGCACTATACAGGGAAACCTACCTGCCATAAACAGAGCTCAATCGCTCGAGTCGAAGCCTCCGAAACTAGAGCTAGAGCCGTGGTGGAGCGTCAGCAGCGCGGTTAGGGACGGAAATGCCCAGGTCACATCAGGTAAAGAAAATACTTTCTCGAACTCGACGATTGACTGGGACTTTATCCCGCTACGAGACCCTGAACAGGATGAGAACAAACCGCCCGGAGAGCCAGCTCCTAAACCCAATCAACTCTCTATTCAAAGCAGCTCCCCGGTACGTAGGGGTGCTTCCAATCGTTCAGGCAGGCGAGAGACACTCAGGCCAATACAGCCGCGAAGGTCCATGAAACGAAATTCGGCAGTATCATCTCGGTCAAAGAGGTGGTCCAAACGGTCGAGTGGCATTTCCTCCACTTCTGCGGGGCTCCCAATGAGGCTCAGCGGTGCTGGTCACGGAGCGGGTGGTTTTGGCCCACCAGGGCATGGGTTCGTGAAGCTTTCCTGGCAAAACACCCAGGAATCTTCACGAAGTGAAGAGAGCGGCCTAGGGAAATTGGCCCCGTTATTTCCTCGGCCCCCTGCTCGCACGGCAGGCTATCAAGACTACATGAGGAGGATGAGCGTGCGTACCGTGGACCGTGATAGCTTGACACTTTCAGAGTCCGATTCATTGGAGGCGTTTGTTCAAGGTCGTGCCAGAAGCCGCCATTCATCCAACCCCTTCATTGCTGGCCCAATAAGCCGTCGAGTATCATCCAAAGCTCGTGCTCTGCAACGAGCACGAAGCAATGATAGCCGCGCGGATACGGTCAATACAGCCACGAACAACGATGACTATCAACGTCAAGAGCGTCCCTGGTCCCTGACAATGTCAGGTTCTATCTACACTGACGATTATCGTCATTCTACATATCTAAGCTCCTTGTCTGAAGAGTCGCTCCACGTGCAGCCATTAGGTGTCTTAAACAATGGGCCAAGTCAATCAAGTCTGGCACAACATTATTCCAAGATTATCTCGCCACTGCCCCGTTTCTTCAGCGAGTTGAGTCTGAACAACGCCAGACGCGATGATACTGGAGGAGCATACGTTCCTGACGATCATCGGAACCATTCGGGCAATCGTCGATGGTCCCGATCAAGCCCATCATTACACAACTGGCGTCGGCTCCAAAAGAGCCCTTCAGCATCGTCTATCATGTATGATGCGAAGGGTCACGGTCTAAATTTGAAGCGAACGGTTGAACAGGATCCGAGCTACCAGGGCGGCTTCCAGAGGGAACCTACAGGAAGCGTGCTCAGCGATATAGCCTTCGTTTAGTGCTAGCGCTTCGCTGTTCCTTCCTTGGCTGAGATACCATTTCGCACTGTTTCTAAGGGGTTCCAGCGTTAATATCCTGTAACTAGCATAAATCTTGACCATGTCTTGAAACTATTTTGTTGGGTCAACTGCTCCGTACTCGAGGACCGTAGTCTATGTCCAGCGACCAATGTGGATGGAAGGACGCTGTCTCAGCCGGCTTCTTAGGTCTTACCAGGCACCTCAAGCGACAGCAGTGATTGAATCCATGGATGCTCTTCGACCGCCGATGGTGTGATTGACAGGTATTATCTCAGCCTAGCTTCTGCATTCGATGGCTAGGGCGATTTGTTTGGCACCTCGCCGTTCCTTCTATCAGGGCCAACCTTGGCGATAGTCATGTGGAGTCGACAGCGCTAAGCGTTTCCGTCCGGCTTTCATCATCGGCAGCACGCGACTAGAAAATTTGCACTCGGGTTTGTTCTCCATTATTTCATTCTGTCAGTCTGAGATCGTGAGGTTCCTGTTGAGGAGGTCTGTGACACTGGCTGGCTATTTATATCCATCTTGTAAAGCTACCTGGGGACATTGTAAAAGGGAGCGCGTCTACCGAGTTACCATAGGTACGGACTAGGTAATCCATTTTGTATCCAAGCCTTGTAGGTAGTCTATACCTACAGAGTGGCGCCGAGGCTCCAGTAGTGACAGAATGATACTCATATAATGACCCCGTAGGCTGCTCTTTATAAAGGATTAAGAAACAAGGACTGGGGCCATTGATATGATTTCATTCACCAGTTCCCCACTTGAGCATCATCCCTTAAGAACGCCTCTTGAAGAGCTGGCCTGGCCTGGTTCTGGGACTGGGACTGTCCCGCACGCCGCCTATCAATTCTGCCCTCTTGCCCTCTCTCCCACCTGATTCTGTTCTCTCCCCTCCCCCTCTCCCCTTGTCCATTTCCGTCCTCTTTCAAAACTCCTGCAGGGTTTCTGTGATACCGGCCTCTTCTCTCTTTCGCCAAAAGTTAATTGTCGCCTGCTAGAAATTATGGGCCAGACTTTGTCCGAGCCCGTTGTTGATAAGGTGGGTGAAAAGCACCTGAATCAAGTTTGCTGCCTTGAAAACCCCCCTCTGTTTTCTATTCTCCCCACACTGCAAGACATATCTGAATGCGATGTCACATCCTCCCTCAACTCTGTCCTCGTTGCCTACAACCCCTCAAATATACCGCTGTTTAGCATTTTACTTCGCTTTTCCTCGAGTTGGCACGGGCCAATCCGCGTGATGGTCATCGTTCTACCTGTGCTTTTTCTTGCCCGAGTTCCAGATTTGTGGCTCATCTCTGCGGGGTTCCCATGCAAAGCAAGACGAAAAGCTTTTCTTTACTACTACATAACACGTTTATCTCGTCTATCCTTGATAGCAAACACGAACATCTAAACCCGATCATTGCTAACGTCGTTCGGCGTACCTAGACTTCTTCGGAAGGTCAAGATGAGTGCTGTATATACGGCCTTTCGGCCATGCAGGGCTGGCGAATCAGCATGGAAGATGCCCACGCTGCCGTCCTAGATTTCCAAGCAAAACAATCCGGTTCTAACGACCAACCGACCGATCCTGATAAACGCCTTGCTTTCTTCGGTGTATACGATGGCCATGGTGGAGATAAAGTCGCTTTGTTTGCGGGGGATAATGTCCACAAAATTGTCGCGAAACAGGAGACGTTCTCAAAAGGCGATATCGAACAGGCCTTAAAGGATGGATTCCTTGCTACTGATCGGGCTATTCTGGAAGGTTTGTAACTAACACTTCTGGGGGTTCCTGTCCTTGTACTGTCCTTTCCGGCTCATACCTAATCGCACTAGATCCCAAATATGAGGAGGAAGTTTCCGGCTGCACTGCCGCCGTCAGTGTCATCTCGAAGAACAAGATCTGGGTGGTGCGTCTTATTGATTGCGACTAAAGAACTTGGACAATAATAACAGGTTGCAGGCAAATGCCGGTGATTCGCGTTCGGTCTTGGGTGTCAAGGGTCGCGCAAAGCCTCTTTCCTTTGATCACAAACCGCAGAATGAAGGTTTGTGGCTAACTTCCTGATACTTGTCCGTCATACTCTGACCAATGGTATATAGGCGAGAAAGCCCGCATCAGCGCTGCAGGTGGTTTTGTTGACTTCGGTCGCGTTAACGGCAACCTCGCCCTGTCGCGTGCCATTGGGGATTTCGAGTTCAAGAAGAGTCCTGAACTCTCCCCAGAACAGCAGATCGTCACTGCGTATCCAGACGTCACAGTCCACGATGTCACCGAGGACGATGAATTCTTAGTAATTGCTTGTGACGGTGGGTCTTCCCGCCTCAGCGTCGTCTTGTTGTTCGATTTCTAATATACAACAGGTATCTGGGATTGCCAGTCTTCCCAAGCTGTGGTTGAATTTGTTCGCCGTGGTATCGCGGCCAAGCAGGACCTCTACCGTATCTGTGAAAACATGATGGACAACTGTCTCGCTTCCAACAGCGAAACTGGCGGAGTTGGCTGTGACAACATGACGATGGTCATTATAGGTCTCCTTCACGGAAAAACCAAGGAAGAGTGGTATAATCAGATCGCGGAGCGGGTTGCGAACGGCGATGGCCCTTGTGCTCCGCCAGAGTACGGCAAGTCTCTCGAGGAACCCACGGCCTCCAATTCCTACTGACTGAACCGCGGGGGCTGCAGCTGAATTCCGTGGCCCTGGCATTCGTAACCAATTTGAAGAGAACCCAGACGACTACGAGATCGACCACGATCGAAGCCGCCCATTCAACGTGCGTTCTGGTAGAATAATTCTTTTGGGAGATGGCAGCACGTTAATTCCAGAAAAACAGAATGACGAGGAACTTTTTGACCACACCGAGGAGGATCAGGACGTCCCAACCCAAGCTCAAGGCCAGGAGCCTGATAAAGAAAGGAATGACCGTGAAGGGACGCCTGGACCTCAACCCACCACCTCCCAGCCGGACGCATCCGCTTCGAATGGCTCAGAGCCCTCTGGAACACCCCAGAAACCCGCATCTTCGTAGCTCTGTCATGAACTTTACGCCCGATTCCCTTCATTTTGGTTCCTGAAACGACTTTCGTGTGATTGTACGACCCACACCGCCGTCTCCTTCTCCACTCCCGGTTTAAAGCCTCACGATTCTACCTCTCTAACGTCCCTCATTGAGCTCTCTTCCTTACGTTATAAACGTGCTTTGGCGGTAGTGACCAGGGGGAAGATGCGAAAAAAGACGGACCATGACATTCCATTCTATCTCTTGTTTTTATCCCGTCTTCTTTTCCTTCTAACGAATCCCTCCCAAGTCAGGTCATCTTTCGTGTCACTCCTCCAATATAGCTGTCTTTGAGGGTTCGCCGAGTGGATGGAGGCGTCTTTCCCCCCCTGTCATCTTTCTTTGTTTGCACGTGCCGCCAGCGGCAGGCCTCACGAGAGTACGTTTGTTTCATGTCTCGACATAAGATACCGCAACAACCACTATTGACGAACTTTAAATTTCCATGATCCCAATTTCGTTTGATATTTTCCACGTGTCTCGCCTCCAGTTCGTCTTTTTGCGGTATGGCTCTCTCCGTTGTCCATGGCCGCCAGGATCCTTCCTTCGCGGCGAGTTCAGGAGCTTGCAGTGGCTTAAGAAGACCAAGGGCACATTTTACCATCACACACTTATTTGGCGTAACCGGAGAAATTCAGTCTACGGCAGACCCTCGGTGTCGGCGAAAGGAGTTTCTGGACGTCATCAATCGCGTCGTGTCTTATGGTGTATGCAGATAGAGTCTGTTGTAAATACGCCCGCCTCTTTCTTCTATAACATTTTCCCAGTCCGTCTTGCACAGCGCAAACTTCAGCGCAGTCCAGCCAGGTTTTCTGATACTCCGTATGTATATTACCAATATTACAGCAAAGTAAACCCGCTAAGGTATGGTAAAGCTGTAAATAAGTTTCGAACTTATGCCACGTGCTGGAACTCCTTTGGTGATTTGATTTTTTTTTCTGCCCCTATTTTGAGAAAGGTGAAGGAAGGAAAAATGATGTCAAAGACTTTCAACACGCGTTGCTGAGTTCTGATCTTCATATTGCTAGCTGACAAGCCCGAGACCCTGTTTTCTGCTTTTACGGAAGAGGAGCCGGCAAAGCGAGCAGCTCCAAGCTCAGCAATCGGCGGCTCCCGTGTCGTCTCCAGCTTCTTTTGCGTTCCGTCACCTTCACATCCCCACGCTCCGATCAAGTCACGCCCACCCTCGGGCCTTCTCTCCTCCAATTACTTTGTCTAATAGTCCTGCATCTAGCCATATCCCGACAGAAGTTGAGCAGTGCTCCTCAGTCCAGCATCATGTCTTCTCCGCTCTCCAACAGCAAACGCAAGCGCGCCGACTCCCAACACTTGTCCACAGCAGATATCGCCAAGTCATCTACCACTGATCTCCTGCAGCCGTCGTCTCGTGATGCTTCTGGCGAAGAGGGTGACGATTCGACTGGCCCAACTATCCCCCCGGTCAAGGCCACTAACAATCCGCCTCTGAAACGCGCCCGGAAGGCTTCCGTGAGCGAAGGGCAAAGTGCCGACACGGGAAAGGATGCTTCAATCAGCAAGGAAGATCCCGGCGAACCCTCGGAAACTACACCGGCTAGCAGTGACATTGAAATGCACACCAAGGCCCGACCTGGTTTGCATGTAAACACAAAGCACGAACAAGAGTTGATGAAGCCACCCGTCTTAGGTAAACTCCGGGACCCTGCTGGTGGCTACAAGACGAATCCGCCGCCTGAGGGACGTCCAGTGCGAGTATATGCAGATGGTGTATTCGATTTGTTCCACGTCGGGTGCGTATGACCTCAGCGTTCGGGTCCGGATTATTTAGCCCATTGAAATATGCTGATTGGTTCTTTGGCAGCCATATGCGACAGCTCGAGCAGGCCAAGAAAGCTTTCCCGGATGTATACCTCATAGTTGGCGTCACTGGAGATGAAGAGACTCATGAGCGGAAAGGGCTCACAGTCCTGAGCGGTGCAGAGCGGGCCGAGAGTGTCCGTCACTGCAAATGGGTTGACGAGGTTTTCCCCAACTGCCCATGGATTGTCACACCCGAATTCATCAATGAGCACAAGATCGACTACGTTGCGCATGATGATTTGCCGTACGGAGCCGCGGAAGGGGACGATATTTATGCCCCTATCAAGGCCCAAGGAAAATTCCTTGTGACCGAGCGAACGGAGGGTGTGAGCACTACTGGTGTTATTACAAGGTTCGTTCTCATTCATCGTTTTGCTTGATTCTTCGAACTAATTTTCGTAGAATTGTTCGTGACTATGATCGATACATCTCCCGGCAATTCAAGCGTGGTGCATCAAGACAAGAATTGAACGTATCATGGTTGAAGAAGAACGAGCTGGAGATCAAGCGACATGTATCAGAACTTCGTGACAGTATCATGACCAATTGGACGAACACTGGTCAGGAACTGAGTCGAGAGCTGCGGCAGCTGTGGAACTCCAGACCGAACAGTCCAGCTCCCAGCACGAGGACCAGCATGGACTGGGGAAGCTCGCGCGGCGTTGTCAGTCCTACCGGCGGCGGCAAGTCACATGTAACTCGTGTGGAAGCATTGGGTCGCCCAGAGAGCATCACTGGAAGGGAGCCGGATTTCGCAACCGGTTATAGCTTAGGGTTGATCGGGGGCGTTAGAGCCTGGGTATGTATCTGCGATAGCCCTGATCATACAGCATCACTAACAGATAGCAGATGCGCAGTCGTCGTTCTCTCCTCGAAAGCCGAGGCCAGTCACCGACCAGCGAAGAAGAGCATGAGTCTGAATTAGAACGCAGTAACGGCGAGGGCCCGTCTGAATCAAAGCAGTAAACCTCAGTTTTGTCAATTTTTCGGGCCTGTTAAGGTTATTCATCGCTTCTTCACTTTCGAGTCGGTCTTGTTCTGCACGGTACAGAAGACAACCAACTTTGGTACTACTCATAGTACCCCGGAAATTATTTATTTCCTTTCATCTCCGTTCATATTCAGCATCCTCTCAAACTGATTACATGAGCGTCCATATGTATGGATGTCCAAACTGGTGCGTGGGGGACTGTATTCTCGATTTACCATTGCACCGACGAACATTTGCATCTCGTTAATATTTTCTGTACAACCATCGGAAGGACAGGCATGAGGGGGAACAGCACGAACGGGCATTCTGATTACATGGATTTGATTTTTAGTGCATGCATGGGACGAAAATTGATAGCCCCTTTTTTCTTGTCCTTTTTTGTTTTCATCTTCACTCCATTTATTTGTTTTAAAGTGGGAAAACGAGGTCTTTGTTGAGGTAATAGTAATAGATCTGAATATTGTCTTCAGTATAGAATTAACATACATATTGAGTCAGTCATGTCATAATGACTGAACATGTCAAGGTGCGTTTCAAGGCATATGTTTATAAAGCAAACCAAGCTGGAAATCACGCGTTGACCATGAATATAAAAAAAGCAGTCTGTTCCCTTCGTCTGGTCTAGCATAAGTGGACGTAGCCGGGTTCCAGGACCGTCACTTATCACCATTATGAAGTGCTCATCCAAAATCACAGGGTATCAATAATAGAAGAAAAAAAAGGCTCCAGCGCACGCCTTGGAGTATGGAACATTTCTCATCGTTCTCACGCAGCGCCGGCAGTAATAGCCAGCCTTGGCCTCATGCTCTGATGATCCGCCTCGACCTCCTCCGCACACCGTTTTAACAACTCCAACTGCACGAACAAACCCGGCGCTTGTGACCCGGGTAAGACAGGCAAATCTGCACCGCGTTCGGTACACATAACCAGACGCAAATGGTCCCGCAACATCATGGCATCACGCACCAAGTCGCCCTCGAGAAACTGCTTTGCAGCGGCATCGCACTTCGCTGTGATGCCTAGCTCAAAGGATCTTAGGCCCCTGACGCAGAGCAAAGGCGCAACCCAGGGCTCATTGATTGAGAGTCGGAGTCTGTTGCCGCCTATCAAGGCTCCTCCGTTGCCACTGCCTGCACCGTGGGGAGTATTGGCACCCGGCGCCGCGAATAATCCCAAATCCACGCTAAGCGCCAGCTCCTCCAGCCCGTTTAACGCTGCGACCCGGGTCCAGAATAACACCCAGAGTCGGTCGTTGTGCGTGTGGGAATAAATCGAGCTCTTAAGCTCCTCGCCTGCCATGGGCTGCCAGACGGGCGTCCATTGAATCGTCAGCTTTTTTATTGCGCGGAGATGATCAGGCGAGATAGAGAGGCTAAAGGCGATGAATGTCGTTAGGTCGTCTACGTCGAAGGTTGAGCTCTTGTAGAGGATCGAGCATGCTTCGGCGTAGATGAATCGGCATGTGCGGAGAAGGGTAGTGGGGGAATTGCTCAAATTGGAAGGGAGTAATGGATGGGTGTGTGGATAGAGCATGCTGGTACAGGCATTGGCATTGTTCCCAGTTGCTAATGCAGTTGAAGCAGCAGCAAGATCATTCGGCCGCCACCTCGCCGGCGTCATAGGGCAACATCGTCGGTTCTTATCCAGGCTCGATGTGGTATTCGTGCATCGTACATGCCGAATCTTGTCCTTCACCTGGACGAGGTGGACGACCTGATCGCCGAAGGCGTATTCATAGATCGTGAGTCGGACCTCGATTGGAAGCTTTGTGAGGAAGGCGCTCGTTGACTGCGGGTTCATCGGGTGCTCTTCGGAGTACAGGTCGACGGGAGGTGAAGATGTAGAGGGGCCATTGTTGAGCGAGAGCGGCGCGCAGATCTTGCGGGCTTGGATAAGGTCGCGGACTGTTTCTTTCCAGCGATGACCGGTTGAATAGTAGTGAAAGATAGAATAGGGGTCGCGGAGGATCCAGGCATCGAAATGGCGCATTGTGGTAGTGACCTAGTGAGTGAGTATCAATCTATCGATCTATGTGAGCGATGTATGAGGGTATCCGACTAGTGAGATGAGGAGACGGTCTATACCAGAAAAAGACGAGAGAATGAATAAAATAATGCGTAGACAGTCAGACACATGTGCACTGACTCAGTTTCCTTCCTTCGTCTTTATATACCTCTCAGCAACATACCTTACCACCTCGCCGGATAAGATGATAGCTCCACCCACCCGGACTTGATCGCATCTCAATCTCGAGAGTCACTTTGAAATGAGGCTTCAGGGACACACTAACCCCATTCGCCAATGGCTCGAAGCCACAGAAATCGCCAAGCCCTTGATGGGTTTCATCCGGGGTAGCTTTTGCGAATTGGTGCACCGACCAACCCCGGGAGCATTGGCAATTACCTATGACGTTGGCCTGCAGTGTGGCTGCCGGCGGCGCTGTGGGCACTGCCCAGCTGGTGCCAATGATCGACCGGGTGATGGGGACTACGGTAAACGCTAAGGTCTGTTAAAGGCTAGCTCGCGCTCGGGGGACTTGGCTCCGCTGAATATGAAGGTTCAAGGGATTCGTGGAGTGGAGCTTAGCTGTTCGCAATTTCGTGGCAACACCACTCTTGGTGTGCTGTAGGGGCTCAACGGGTGTACCTGCGAACCCTCAGCGAACCACTTCTGTTGTGATCATATCATGTACATTTTCCTCATCTTGTGTCTATCGTATCTGTCGGTAGTACTCCGTATGTACTCCGTATACCAAGGCTGACACTCCCCGGAGTACGGAGTACTGTCCTGCGACCAAACCCCTCAAATCGCCACTGCGCTTACCTCGTCTGTGCAACGTGCGCTAGCTCCCTGCACTCCACTCCCTTTTTCGTTCTGATGCTCTCTGAGTCTGCATAAATGTCTAGATATGTAGTAGACAGTCAAGGTAGTTTCAAACTTTCAGTGCAGTGAAAGGGACCAGTGATTGTTTGAATCAAGCATCGCATCCAATTAGCGTGTATCTTCCCCCGCGTTCTCCTCACTCTCAGATGCATGTGCTGGTGCCGGGGTCCCTCGAGCCGTGGCCACATAGAAGGCACTGCAGAAGATCAACCCAGATCCAATCCAACTCACTGCGGACAAGGTACTGCCCCAGACGGCACTGTCATAGAACAGCGCAAACAGCATCTGTGTGTAGAGCATGGTGGTAGCTTTCGTTCCGGATGAGGAGCGGGCGGGAGCTTCTGCTTCTGCTTTTGAATCATGGCCCTCTCCGTTGTGATACTGATGAAGCACAGGCATTTTTGAAACTCGTGGCGGGGGAGGCACATACGACAGACCGGCAGTGAGAAGAAACTGCAGCAGGAACCCGCAGACACCGAGCATAATGAGCAGAGTCCATTCCAACGGGTTCCCGGGCAACTCCAACGGAATTGAAGGCAGAACTACAATCGCAATGGCAGAAACGACCGTGGTCACCAGCGAAAAATATGTGACTGAAACCAGCGGGTGACACCGTTGTCCGATCATTCGGATCGATGCGTATGCGGATGATGCACCGAGAACACCGATCATTCCCATTATCACTGCCATGACGCGATGGTCTTGATCTGCCTCCTTCTTCACTTGAATAGGGTCTGCATCAGCAGCAGGCTGCAAGAAAGCAAAGGGTCGTGCAATCAAAACGACACCGATCAACGAGACAAACCCAGCCAACTGTTGCTTGCTGGTGAAGATCTCGCCGGGAAGGAAGATGGAGCAAGCATAGCAGCTCAGAATCGGCGCGAGAAAGGTCAGCACCGTCGCCTCAGAAAGCGGCAGGTACTGAACAGAGTAATAGAGACCGTACACGCCAATAAAGCCACTAATCGCACGGCAAAGAAGGAGAGGAAAAGTCGAGCGATTACCAAACGGTTGCGGTACCTTTGCATACCACATGTACAAATAGCTGGCTGTGACCGTGATTGACATACGGGCGAAGAGAATCTGAAAGAGTCAGCCTTCACTACGGACACGAATCTGACGCCCTACGATCTGCATTCCACACACGGGCAAGACCTACCTGGAACGGCTGGAAACCCTCACCATTCCTCCCATTCAGCTCTAATTCTTTGGTCATACAGTTCATCGATGCGCCAAAGAACTGCGACATCAACACCAATATCATTCCCTTGCCCTGAAGCCAAATATCGGTGGTAGTGTCCCGCACCGTCTCGGTCCATGGTAAAGGCGGCGACGCAGGTGAAGCCGAAGATAAAGATGACTGCGACCTCCCTCCATTATCTGCTTGCAGCAACGGCGTTCGTTCTGCATTCTCAAGATCTGCCGGGGATAGAACTGGAGAGGCGCCTAGCGGAGGCGAAGCAGATGACGAACCCGGCATTACCGGTTACACTCTGGTATCTGGGAGTGCAAATCTAGACCGGGAAAAGGATGGATTTACGAGGGGTACTCTGGTGAAGATGAGCCTTTCCCTTTGGCTTCCGTGGCGCTCAGGCAAGGCCCGACTGAATTATAGGCAGGATGCAGCAAAAAAAGCAAATCGTGACTCGGTCAATACTTCAGGTCATTAGTCGTCAAGAGAAAGAAAAAGGAACTCGTAAAAAGTGCGGATGATTAAACAAGAGATAATGATAACTCAGCTCCTCCCCTTGTTTGTTGTATGCTGAAGAACCAACAAAGGCGAAGAGAAAATTCTAGCCTGACTTTTTCTTATGCTGAGGAAGCTCGGCCAGAACTCCGGTTAGCGGTACTCCGTACTAGACTACGTAGAGTCACTAGACTACTATGTATGGGACTCCCGCAGGTCGCGTGAGCTGGATCTATACTAAATCATGCAAGTTTTCTTGGTCCAGAACTTGGAATAAGGTGCAAATGCGCATGTGCCTTGCCGCTTGCGACATTTTTGAACACGGTCAGCACTAAATTGTGGTGTTGACAGTACTGCCGCAGTGCCGGTACTGCCGGCCTCAGTTGCAAGTGCTCGATCTATTCCAAGTTCTAATGCAAGTGACATGTAAGGCTAAGACAAGGAAGATCAGTGATCGCCGCGCAGATGATCCGCTAAAAAGGTAGCGCAGTAGGTAGTCTAGATCTCACCCTGATATCGGCTTCTAATATAATATCTACAAGTACAAACAGGACTTACATGAAAGCAAAGGTGTCACCACCTTTCTCCCGCAACATATTACCGATCCTCGTCGTCCCGACAATCCGCTCCAGCTTCAATGCATCGTACTTGGAAAACAAGGCGCGCACCCCTTCCTCGGCAGCTTCAACAACGCTGGCCGGATCCAGACCTAGAAATCCCACGATCTCGCCCCAGAAGACAGGGTTATCGGGAACACCATACATGATAACCCGCTTAACGCCGCGGAGCTGATAGCGGCGGAAATGATGGACTCGCTCTGTGTATAGCAGCACCGACTGGCGACCGTTCATGAAGTGGGAGCGTGCGCGGTTGACTTCCCGGGTTTCAGTATACTCGGATATCGCTCCGAAGGAGACGTTGGTCGTTTGCTGGGATGTGGCAAAGTAATTGCGCAGACGGACGAAGTCTAGATAGGACGGGATGAAGATGAGCGTGCCCCCTGCGCTGGCCTTGTTGCGGCTGGTCGTGATGCTGCGGACTAGAGTGGATAGAATGGTGGTGGTGAAATGCTTGAACCGAGCGTCGGGGTCTTTAGCCGGTGAGAGGCAATCGAAGCGAGTGAAGGTTTGTTTGACTGGGACAGGGAGCGGAAGCTCTGAGATTGCGCCGTTGTAGATTGGATTGAATTTGACCTTCCCGGAGACATTCTGCATCTGCGTCGAGAAGACGGAGTTAATCTCCGGGGTGATAAACGAGGAGAGCAGGATCAGTTGTCGGACGTAGCGTGCATTGTTGTCCAGATACCAGGTTCGGACGCGGCTGAAGTCGCAGCCGTGCGCTTCCTTCGGCTGGAGGTTGAGGTGCTTCAGGATGTACGTGACATGGTCCCAGTTTTGCATGAGTAGTGCGTCGGTATGGTCAACTATGACTACTTCGATGGAGGATAAGAAATCGTGGTCTCGTTTTTTGGCACTGCAAGAGTTAGTGATATAGTTAAGTGTTAGCCCTAGGAACCTCTTACTCTGCCTGATCCATAATAGTCCGCAATCCCAGCGGACTGGCGAGGATCAGGTCGGAAGTATAGAACTGCGTAAAGAACTTGAGTGTTTTTCGTGTGAACTTGAGACCAAGTCGGAACATATCGTCGTCGTTTCCTCCAAATATCTCTCGGAAGTCTTCCGGTTTGCTCTCCCAGGATGGGTCATCAGGCGAGGAGAAAGTGTCCATAAACCTTTTCTTGTTCTCTTGCTGTTCGGGCTGGAAAAACCGGATGATGGCTTCAACTACCCGGACACAGGCTTGTTTCGTTGGTAGGAGGTATAGAACTTTCGGTCTGGTGAAGCCCTGATCACGCAGCTCGAGATCGGCATCTTGCTCCTTCGCCACTCGGGCATTGTTCTTGAGTACGCGATCTCGCGTTTTGAGTACGTGGTTCGTGGCATGCACAGCCAGCAGGTCTCGCATGCCCGCGGATTCTGATGCCGTTCGAGCGCCATATAGAACATCTTGGTAGTCGAAAATGTAAGGAAAGATCTGCTGGGTGTTTCCGTGGAGGCTTGGGATGCGTTCGGTCACGGATGCTTTGAGTTTACTCTTGATCTGTAGCTTGTTAGCACTGAGTTGCTCACAGTGGCCGAGGTACTAACCTTGACACTCGACAAGCTCTTCATCGCTGGGAGCAAAGGTACGTCATCTTGCCCACGGTCTGGAACCGACCGCCAGATTTTTAACCCTCCAGGAAGCTCTTTCTTCACGTTCCTCCACTTACTCTCCGACGCAGCCTTGATTCCCTGAGAGAGCTCGGTCTCGTTCGGACTTGAGAAGTGCGAATCGAACGGGTCATTTTCTGTCAAGTCAGAGGCTGGTTCTGTAGACAGAAGGACTCAACCTACCATTCTCGTCATCACTGTCTTCTTGTACATCCACGTCTCCCTTTTCCATATCAGCTTCTTCGTCCGGTTCTTGCTGCTGCAGGTCGGCGTCCAGGGATTCCTCTTCTTCATCTGCGTTCACCTCCACACCGTTCTGGGCCTCTTTACTATCGTCCTTATCCCGATGACTTGTCTTCCGCTTCTTGCGCGCCGGCCCCCTGGTGTCTGTATTCGCTTGGAGCAATTGAAGCAATTCATTGTATGGTTGTCGCGACTGTTGACTGTCTTCGTCGCTATCGGAGGATACATCATCATCGGCGCCCTCTTCCTGAAATTTATCTTCCAATTGATTTTCAGCTTGATCTTCCTCGCCTGAAGAGCTCTCGGACCTGGGTAAAACCGTCAAATGGTGTATCCAGCGCAAGTGCTGAACCCGACTTACTCCACTTCGTCAACACGGGACGTGGTAAAGCCAGGGCCCCTTTGCTTCACAGGGCCCCTGCCACGTCCTTTCGGGCCTCTGCCCCTTGGAGGAGGCATATTTCGTAATTACTTTGCAGCGCAATCCACGTGGGTTGTCCAGCAAAAAAAGCGGTGTTGGATTTTCGGGTTAGGCTCTTATCTTATCTTAGCGCGAAATCCGCACTGCGCACAACAATTTGAGCCTCGCAGAAGAACCTCCGCCGCCGAAGTCCAGCGGGCCGGAAGATTTGGGTCAAAGAGAAAACTCCACTCCCATCGTCAGCGACAGCACAGGACAACAGTCTCTAAAGGGCCCGATCGTTCATTTCTGCTCCCTTTCATCCCGTGATCATGGTTGAATCAGATTCTTTCCTGCACCTTTCCCGTCCTCTGGGCCCCGTCCTGGCGGGGTCTGCACCAACAACTGCTCCCTTGAACGTTGTTATCCAGCCTCAGGTACGACCCCTCTGTTTATGGAAGATCATGGACTCTGTTGCTGACCTGCTGCTATAGGCCCTTTTTTCAATCCTCGACCACTCCCTTCGCCGCAATGCTGATCAGGAACGTGTCATTGGAACTCTGCTGGGAACCCGGTCTGAGGATGGCACCGAGGTTGAAATTCGCAGCACGTTTGCTGTTGGACACACAGAGACAACCGATCAGGTTGAGGTGGACATGGAATACCAGAAGCAGATGCTTGCCTTGCACCTCAAGGCGAACCCTCGGGAGGTCCTAGTGGGTTGGTATGCCACCGCGTCCGAGTTGAACACTTTCTCTGCCTTGATCCAAAATTTCTACAGCGGTCAGGGCGACGGCACATGGCCTCACCCTGCTGTTCACTTGACAGTATCTACCGAAGCCGGAAAGGACATTGAAACCCGTGCCTACATCTCCGCTGCTGTCGGTGTGACCGCCGAGAGGGCCGCCGACAGTGCCGCCTTTATCCCTGTCCCTCATGAGATTCGGTACGGTGAAGCGGAGAAGAGCGGCTTGGAGGCTATTGCTGCTGCTCGGGACTCGGAAGAGCGTTCTACCTCGCTTTTCACCGATATTGAAGCCCTGGAGCGTGCGATTGAGGAGGTTCTTGGTATGATCGACCGGGTTTCTCGATACGTCGAGTCGGTCATGGACGAGGAGGCTCCCGCTTCTACAGCATTGGGCCAATTCTTGCTCAATGCTCTTGCCTTGGCTCCCAAAGTTGAGCCCGCTGATATCGAGCGTGACTTGTACGACACCTCTTTTGTGATTTTAGACCAATCCGCTAACCACACCCTAGTAACAACCACATTCAGGACGTTCTGGTGGTCTCTTACCTGGCTAACACCATTCGCACACAGATGGAGCTTTCTAACCGACTGGCGACTGCTCAGCTCACTCTGGGCGGCGAGTCCGGTAACGCAGAGCAGGGCGGTGCCCAGCGTAACCAGCGAGGCAAGGGAGGCCGTGGTGGGCAACAGCGCAACCAAGAGCGAGGTGCTGAGGAGAGTCGCGCATAGAAGGATTAGAATTCACTATGAAGATACCTTTTACATTTCTCTTTGAGCTGTTCTCGGGCATTTCTTCTCCCTCCTACAACCACTCCATTTTGCCTTCCCGTCATGTGCTTAGGGTGCTCCAAAGAATCTTTCACACCACTTCTACTGTTACCCGATTCTTTTGGATTATGCCTGCGTGATCCGGCTTGATTGGGATTTGAAGAACTAGGGCACAGGGAAGAGAACAGCAAAACAAACGACACGATAGGGAGGAAAGAACCAAAAAGATCCGCGGCGTATCGGAGTCTGGCCTTATTTGAATTGATGGGCTATGAATTGAAAGAGATGTTGTACATGAATGACACTATATCCTAATCCTTGGGTCGAAGTAAGACGTAGATTACCTGTATCTGACAAGATATCCATTTACACGTAGGAAACTTACGGTTGAAACGTGTAGCCGGAATTGATTGCATGGTTTCAGGAATAAGTGCCCCGAATCCAACGCCGCCCAATGCAGATAGCATATCATGTAATAAGTGGATATCGAAGCATGGCCCGGAACGCCTTGAAAGTTGAATAAAAACTGGTGAGTAAACAAGACCGATCTTAAACCTTCCTCTTTTTCACCGTCGACGCATCCTCCGTAGCATCTGAATTCCGCCTAACACCCCTCTTCCCCTTACCTTTCGACTTCTTTCCATCATCGTCTAGGTCCTCAAGGCCCTTTTTCCCAGCAGCATCCTTGAGGTTGCCAACCTGGTCATCGTTCTGATCGAACTGCTTCCGGGCCTCTTTCAACTCGCGCTCCATGCGCAGAAGCTCCTGCACACGACCAAGCTTGTTCGGATCCCGTCGCAGCGCAAACCGAAAATCATCAACTTTGATTTTTTGCCGGCGCGAATAGTTTGCATGCTGCGCGGCGCCATGGCACATCTCTAACACGAAGTCGGTGACTATTTCATCGAGCACACGTACGGTTTCGGGGAGGGGTTCAGATGGGAACGACGGATGAGGGGCTGGATCTCCGTAGGCTAGGAGAAGTAGACGCACTAGAATAGTACCGCGATTAGCTTCGACGTCATAGTGTAGGTACCACGAGACAGCGATTGAAGAAAACCAACATTCAGACGGAAAGTTCATCTGACCCTTGTGCCTAGCGGCACGGGCTCTTGGTTCGGCCATCTTCTTCTTTACTTTAGTCCCTGTTTGGTCTTCTCCGGGGATGTTGCAGGCAGCGCTGGGTTCAAATGCGGGTTGATAACCAGCGCCAATCAGGGTATTGATTTGTCGAGATTTCCAAGGCCAAGGAGCGAGTTCCCTAGAAGCATTTCCGGGGCCGAAGGTCCTGATTGAGCCTCCAGAGCATCTGAATGACTGTTGCGATGGAACAGCGTCAGAGTGAGGCGAAGGCAGCCTTGCGATCCTGGTTGATGTTATAGTTAGGGCCGGGTCTTCAAAGGCCGCGGCGGACGGGGCGGCGCGCTGGCGGTGAGAGCGGTTGGGGACGGGCATGGCGGCAGAACGCTTGATGTGTTGCGGAACAACCTGTCTTCGAGCTGTCCTGAAGTAAGACACGAATTCAAGTTTAGCCTCGTGAGACTCGTCCTTCTTGGTCCTTGCGCTTGGAGTGTCTTTATTCAGATCTGGAGGTGCCAAATTTGCCCTTTGTGCCGTCAAGATGGTAAGTTTAGTGTCACGCCCATAACCTTGGAGGCCCATCAAGACGAAGAGCTCCTGAAGGAAGAGGGTGACCAGACGTACCTGATGGAATGAACTAATGAGACCTATAGTCGGCCCTATTCAATTTTCAGTCCCTTCTCCTCGTCTTTCTACTCATAATCTGCACGAGTGCATACGCTCATTCGATCATGCCCGGAATCATGGACCGGAATCAGAACGGGTGAGTGAGAAAGTAACTGCAAGTGCATTTGCAGAGGGTTGCCAATTGACAAATAAAAGCTTCTTCGGTATCTTCTGGAAATGCGCTCGAGTAGGAGAACGGCTGAGTCCATACGTCAGTATATGTTGTGTTCTAATGGCTGTAAGTTCTCAGTTCGGGTCTCTCAAGCGCAAGCCCCGTGATTCTAAATCTGGTCGATGCTTAGGTCTCCATTTTCTTCGGCGGTTGATTGGGATGAATAGAGCATTTTTAATGACTCAAGGAGATAAACTGTGTCAAATTACCTGGCGTTCTTGGTTGAGATGGTCTTTGTGAACGTAAGCATTGTATTATGAGATTATTTGAAAATGTGTATTGTTTTCGATCATTGATAACTATATACTAGTGCCTATTATACATGCATATATATATATATAATATCCCATATCCGGATGCTATATTGACGCCTGTCTCGATGCTAAAACCCCATTGTCAACGCTGAAGAAATCACAATTAAATCATTGCAATCCAAAATGAACAGAGGGGGTGGTGAGTATCTCATGTTTTCGCCCTAGCGTTATCTTTAAATCGTTGAAGACCTTGTTCGAGGAGCGATTCATAACGGTCGTCACGACCAGATTCCGGTACATCCTGCTGAAATTCGGCTCGATCCAACTGATTAATGGCAAACCAGAGGTGCTCTGGATCTCGGAGGTAGCGCAACGGGTTGAGTGTATAACTGTCTGGGTGGGTTCCTTCGAGCTCCATCTGCTTAAATGCTCGCGCAAGCGCAGGGACATTTTGCGAATTGGCATAATTGCTGATAACCATGTTCCAGACATCTACGTTGTATTGAACTCCGTGCTGGTCCATCATTGCTCGCACTTTCTCAGCAGCATGCGGCTGCTTGTTAAACACAAAACAGCTCATGAGAAGAGTCCATGTCCGTGCAGTTGCAGGGGTATGTTTAACCCGCTCGTTCTCACCATTCGCACGGGCCTTGATGATAATGTGGGAGGATGAACTTTGCTGCATATCCTCAACGACACGCACCGCAGGCCGAAACCCTTCAGGGCTCCCTCTGAATGCCACCAAGAATTCGTTATAAGTATGCTCGGTTGCGGCGAGGGGAGCTATACTTTCGTGACCTTCCAACACCAACTGCCGAAAGCGAGAATAAATATCTACCACCTTGGTCATGTTCATCTGGCACCGAAGGTATGTTGCGATAATAAGGAATAAAGTCACAACGGAAGGCGGAGTAACGTTGTCAACTTGTTGGGCGTATGTCCGAGGAAGGATGAGGAGATCCTTGAGAGGGGAGACGTCATGTAATCGTCCATACATATCAAGCATGGAGTGGAAAAGTGTTCCGCGATCCTCACCCAGATCCCTTCCCTTCGCAATGTAGAGGAAATGTGCATGAAGTATCTTGCTCAATATCCAAGGATTGCGCTGCAAGTCATTCTTAACCTGGTATTCTTGAAACATAGATTGAAAGTGTTCTTCATTTCCAACGCGGACAGCGTCTGTCAGTAACGCCATGTAAGTATACGCGTCAGGCTCCATCCCCTCGTCCCTCATATGATTCAGTATAACCCGTGCCACGTTTGAATCGCCTGATTTTAATGCGTTCAACAGAGCAACATTCATCAGGTCAAGAGTGGGGGGGACCCCGAGCTCGAGCAGCTTGGAAAGAGCGCGGAAATTGCGGGGGCCGCCATCATCCACAACGTAGTCAATCGTTAGCAGCTTGCAGCAATTGCGAATAACCCCATCGGAATCCATGGGGAATTGGGGATGTGCTGCCTCCTTGACCATTTGGACGGCTTCCAAGGCGGCGTCAATATCTCTAAATTGTGTAAAACGTTTCATAAAGCCGAGAATTGTGCTGGGTTTCATCTGTACTCCTTTCTCACGTGCAAGATTCCAGGCATAGTGCACATCATCACGACCTGCATACGCGATGTAAAGTCGAGCTGGCCGCTGGGGCAACAGAGCGACGGGCCAATTATCTGGGTGCAAGCACTCCAGGACAAGTGACCGGTCCACAAGGGAAGGGAAGCAACTGAGCAGATACTGGACGCAGTCTGCGACTGCGACAAAGATTGGCTTGCGTGATGGATGTCGGCAGGTAGTTTGTAGAAACTCTGGTAGAGAGTTGGGAGAGTGCAAGGCCAGCCAAAGCGACAAGCGGTGCCAGCAATCACTTTTATCATCATCCTCCACCTCATCCCATGCATTGCGAAAAGCTTCTCTGGAGTCTGTACCCAAGCTTGTTAATAAGAAACGGTCAGAGACCCTTAATTTCGGTATCGTCGGAAGTGCTCCGCCTGTCTCCTTTGCTTTGCGCACATGGTTGAGCCACTTTCTCCATCCCTGAAGTTTTTTAGGATCACTGTATAGCGACCTTGATCTGATTTCCATATCATTTTCCCACACTTTGTCTTCCAGGAATTGTCTGCGGACGTGCCTGGTCCCATCAGTATCATAATGGAGTTGCTTGATGATTCGTCTGGGTACATCTAAGGGCCCTGGATCAATGGACGAATGTATTGAGGAAGTGGCTCCGTAGACACCAGGTTCGGCTAGAACAGCACTGGCTTCTTGGTGATTGTCCTCCGTAAAAGCGCGGGAAACAAAATCATCCGCCGGAGAATGGTCATCTGTGACAGGACCTTCAGGTTCTGCGCGATTGCGGCTACCGACAGCGTTGTGTTTTGTAACCGGGATATCTGGTTGAATTACATTTTTGCTTAGGTGCGTTGATCCTGTGACGAGCTTCCTTCGGTGATAATGAAGCCCTGTACGGAAACTCTGTCCGGCTGTACAGGAGGGTGACCTGGCGCGGAGACTTAATGGCAGCAATCGATGCGAACAAAACAACATTCAGATGTGCTTGATTCAACACATAAGCCAACTGGAAGCAATCTGAGCTTGCTAAAGGTTTCGGAGACGGCGGGTATAGCGGAAGAGAAGAATGATTGCAATCATCTACAGAACATCTCGCTCATTTAATGAAATTTTGGTGGACTGTGGCTGGTGGGTCTTGACCCGTGGCACATGAGGCTGCCATTACGGTACATAGATGACTACTCCGTACAAAGCCCGGTCCCACTCCAAAGTTGAACTTCAACCACATTTAAGATTCCTCGGAAAACCGGCTTCTCTCGAGACCACCGTTTGCAAGCCTAGACTCATCAAATCAGCTCAAATAATTGTCCTGCCTTACTCCTTATCAACAAGATGGCGTCCAATCATGCCTCCTTCGATGCAGCCGCAACCGATCGAAAAGCACGTCTCGCGAAACTCGCGACCCTGAAACGGAAGCAACCAGAGCCCGAAGCGTCTGGAGAAATCGCTGAGGAGTTTGAATCTCGAAATGACGTACAGGATGTTACGATGAAGTACCTTTCCGGGCGGAACTATGATGCGGAAACCCGTGGAGCGAAACTGGGGTTTGACCAGGCTCCGACGAAAGGACAAATCACACTAGAGTCACAGGCAGAAGAAACCGCCAGAGAGGTTGCTGAACAATCTAAAAGAAACGAGGATGCGGACCAACCCATCGATCTTTTCAAACTGCAGCCCAAAAAGCCTAACTGGGATCTGAAGCGAGACCTGGACGAGAAAATGAAGATTCTAAATGTGAGAACTCAGAATGCAATCGCAAAGCTTGTGAGGCAGCGGATAGAAGAAGCACAACGCGTCGCTAAAGCGCAGGGCGCCGGCGCCAATGGAGACAAGCAGGGAGAGGAAGTTGGCATCGAAGGCGAGATGCTTGTGGAAGGCATCCATGTTCGAGAACGGGAGAACTTAGATGAGGATGATGATCTCGCATGATTGTGTTACCCAGGAGATTGGCCACGCTGTATTGCGTAGTTTTTATAGGCGCTCTCGTTGGGATAAGCATGGAAACGGCGTTGAGGGCATGCATTGCAATGACATAAAAAGTTGGTTATAGAATACATACTAATAATGAAAAGGACCGTCTATGCGCTTTATTCCCGAACCTTGCTCCTGAATCGCATGCGATTTGCGCCGAACACTTTTGCTACATCAGCGACCCATATTCATGGCTTGGGTGAGAGCAATTCGCTTGCTGTAAGGACTGAGACTTCGCTCGCGTCGCGGTGGCGGAGCGTGGCTCCTCTCTGCGCTCACCCGTTCGTGTTTACACACTCTAGGTTGGTCCATCGAAGTAAATGCCTTGGCATAGCTTCGGACAGGTTCGATTTCCTCGGCTGTCAGAGACCGCCTCCCCCTTGCAACGCGTCCTTTATCCATGCTGTGACTGCGGCTTCTGGTTTGGCGACTCCCATCGCGCGAGATATCGCGCGTCCGTCCCCGTTCCTTTGGACTCGACTCCCGGCGTCTTCGCCTGGTGTTTCTTTCAGGGGATCGTGTCCGCGACCCCTCCCTAGACGAATATGAGGAAACAGAATCACCGGGAGATGAGTCGCTATGTCGTCTCTTCCTCGCCCACAAGTGATGGGACGTTGGTGACTTCGATCTCCGCCGTGGTTCTGCATATCGCTCTCGTTGAGGGGATCCCGAGCGAGATCGATTTGTGGATATTGTGGCTACAGAGCTGGTAGAATCTGATGATACTGAGCGCGTCCTTTTGGCTGCCTGGTCCCGCGTGTCCAAAGAGTCTACTTCATTGAGCTCACGTTTGCGGCCACGCTCTTCTTCGCTTTGCGCTAGTAGAGCGTCTGCAGTACCCTTTCTAGTTTCGTTGTGAGAAGCCGTCCATGATGTACCAGGCTCTCTTCTTTGGGAGATTATGATCTACTTACGTGCGTACAGCATCACTTGGGATATCTGTCGTCAGCTGCGGGCGTAGCTTCGGGTTCTGTAGTTGCTGGGTGCGGGAGGGACGGGCGAGATATGGCCGTTCTTGAGCAGTAACTTTGCATTCGTAGCTGTAGTGACGTGAGAAGCGGCGTCAGTATGTGTGATGATCAGATTGGAAAGGGATACATATCTCGTTTCAAACATTTCTGGCAAAGAGTAGAGGCAGTCGCCTTGGTAGGGCCTCGCAGGCCGGGCGCGTTTCGGTAACGATTCATCCACACAGCTTATCGGATGAAATTTTGTCGCAATTTCGAAGTTCGGGTGGTCGAATTTGCCGCTTGAAGTCAAAGTATTGATATCGTGAGTATAGCAACTTTGCTTCTTTCTGCGCGGCTGTTCAGGTAGAATGCTGTGGAGTGCCCGTGCTAGACGCGCGGCGTACGCGGCTAAGCCTATCCCGCGGCCCACGAAAGTGTGGCAAGCGAACCTTACCTTAGGCCCGCGCCCGATCTTCATCTGGCTTCCCTTTGTCTGTTTGTCAAGCTCGTTCTTCTTGCCAGCCTTGGAGAGTCGAAAAGCAAACCCGTTCCTCGTCTCGTCTCCGAACCACTGAGCTGTTTATTTGCTTTATTGGAAGTAGAGTTGTCGTTTCTTCACGGCTCTCTCGCTTTCCTGAGCTTTTTCTGCCTGAACCGGGAACCTGTAGTTCCCCTCTTGAACTAGGAACAGCGACAAAAGTCATGATCAAATTCCTTTGACAACCGGTAAGTACTTTGATCTCCTTCTTTAAGAAACCAATATCCATTTTATTGGATCAGCCTATACTGTTTCCCTGGGAAATTGCCTTCTGTAGGCCCTACAGCAAAGCAAGCACAGAACATTGCTAACCTCCCGCAGATTTCCTTATGGCGAATTACGTTGTCTCAAGATATGTCGTCTTTCCTTTTTGGCTTGTGTGAAGTGGGATTTCTTAGTGGCATTTTCTCCATTCGAATTTCGGTTTCATCGTCTTGATATCCCGCACAGCGTTGACTCGTTCGCACGATTCTGCACCGTCGGGATTGGCCCTCTACAACTACACCCGCACTTTACGGCAATATTGCCCGAGGAGGACTGTATAAGGATCCAGTCGAACCTGTCAGCAAGTTTGCTCCCATGACTATGACTTCGAAAACGTCTCCAGGAGACGGGCACCGTCTGTCATTCGCAAAGGTATGCACATTAAATCTCGACCGGAACCTGAAGCAATTTCCTAACGTTTGTATTAGATTGCTGCTTTGCCCCCACCGTTGAAATCGGAAGCACCGCCTGCGTCCGATGAAAAGGACGAATCTCGGCCTCTAGAGGAGCCATCATTCTCGGAACCGCAGAACCCAGTCAGTGCTTCATTCAGCCATGAAAGCCCAACTTCCATCACCACCCAGGCCATTGCTCTCGACCAAGACATGGACAGTGTGTCCAAAGCCGTTCAAGCCGTCAACCTAATAGAGGGAAACACCCACGAAAGCCCCGGATTCTCTGAAGAAACCCACGGAAACGGGTCTCTGAGGCGCGAGGATTCATTTGAAGATGACCGTACTCACCTTTCTAACTCCTCGACAAAGCCAACAAGTTTTGATTCTAAAAGCATGGCGTCGGTCACTACGTTTGCAATGGACGAAAAGGATTCTCTACGCCCTGATGACAGCGCCAGCGTGCAAGCTATAGACGAGGAAGAGTCACTTTCTGGTCATGCGTCTGGTGCACCAAATTCGCTGACTGGATCGGATTCTGGGGCCCGGTTCCGCGATGTCCAAAGAAACCGTGGACCCCTTCACAACCCTATCTCTATCTTCAGTGATGTCCCACCGCGGGCAAACGGTGCCATTACTGCTGATTCTGGTGATAACAGCTTTGTTGTTTCCAACCCTGATCCTTACTCGGGTCGACCTATACACGGGTTCCCTTCAGAACCGGACGAGAAGCTTCTTGAAGCTATGAAGTCTCCCAAAGACCGCCTTCTGATACTTCAATTAGAAGAAAAGGTCAGGAGTTTTATCCAGGACTCCAGGTATGTCTTTGTAATTCCCTCGCATCGGTCCGTGTGATTCACTTTAACATCTTTGTCAAGGGAGCAATCTCTGGAACTACCGCCTTCAAACGCATTTGGTCGACTTCTTGCTCATAAGCTGGGTGATTATTATCATCTTACCCATTTTGTGGACAATAACGTCACATCTGTTCGGCTTCATCGAACTCCGTTTTGTCGGCTGTGAGTTCACATACCTCCTGTCTTTTACCCTGACTTCAAGTCGCGTGTAACTGAATTGAACGGCATTCTGACGAACTTAGGCCTACCCCCTTGTCCCTGATACATGCTGCTACAAATTCTGGTCCCCCTCCGACAGCGCCTGCCATGAAAATCATGCGCCGCACAGATGGGGAACGCCCGTCCACGGAGGGCAGTATAGCCGCAAGCTCCTCTCCTTCGAAGCCCACATCTGAGGCTGGTGATAGTGGTAATGATGCAGAACATGGAGGATCATCCGCGGGAGCTACCCCTGCTAAGGATAGAATGTCTCTCTCTAGAGAGGAACGTGAAGCCAAGTACCAGGAAGTCCGGGAGCGGATATTCCGGGACTTTTCAGAGTCGAAGACCCCGGAAATGAACGGTGAAGCTAATATAAACATGTCCAGGTCAAGCTCCACTAGCGGACGGAAAAAGACGCATAGGCAAAAAACACCTCATGATGACAGCTTCGAGGCCAGATCTCAGTTCAACGCGTATTATCCTGGAATGCAGTATACCAACGGCTCTATGCCTTACAATATGGGCATGCAGGACCCTTCGTTCCAAAGCCAGCCCTACATGGTAGGGCCTGGCGTGGTACCAACCAACGTGGGGGGCTACATGCCTAGCCAGAACGGCATGATGTATCCTGGGCAGGTCAATATAAACACTGGATCACCCTATACGATGCCCTTATCCCCTCAAATGGGCACAAGCAGCACCTGGCAGAGTGGACCGTCCGCCCAGCAATTGCCTTACACCGGGTATCCAATCAACCGGTCCCCGGCGATGCCCTCAGCAAAGCCCGTTGCACCACTAAGCAACTATCCTCTTTCCAGCAATGTACAGTTTCAGGGTACTCCGGCGGGCTGGTCCTCTCCCCCATACCAGGGGGCGTATCCACAAGCTACTCAACGGAACCAACCTCAGGCCCCAGTTCCCTGGCCAACCTATCAAACGCAGCCGCTGACAACGGCGGCGTATCCTTACACCCAATACCCAGGCCAGCCACTGAATACTGGTTTGTCTAATCACTCGGGCTCGCACCCTCTCCCGGGTAGCTTCAACAGATCTCATTTTAATCCTCAAACTCGCTCTTTTGTACCTGGTGGCACTGCTGGCCCGGTGCGACATTCAAACAAGAACAGCCCGTCAAGTGTGGGCTCCTATCCGAACATACAGTCAAGCGCCCAACCCCAGTGGACCGGCTACCCAGACATCAACAGCAAGAACCCGGAACAAATCGGTGCCAACCTCAATCGGGGACAGTTACCGGGAGGCAAAGACTCGATCGCAAAATGGGGGACGCCCTCCCATTTACCTCCAAAGCCACCTCCATCCGAAGTCCAGTCTGATTATGAGATAAAGCACCGGAATGTCAACTCCGCGAATCACTCATATCCTAGCAACGCAATACAACATCCCCAGAACGGTCCGTTGGTTGTTTCAGGAGGCACTGGCGTGTCACGCCCGAGTCAACAACGAGCTGCCCTGGAGCCATAATGCCATTGCGAATATGGCTCGAATCCCACGGTCATTATAGGATTTGTGACAGCTGTATTTTTTGTCAATACTAATAGTAGTGGATAGACAAACCTCGAGCGAACATTATGAAGACGCCAGACTGCTATAATACACAAATGGATTGGCATGATGCAAAGGCGGCCATATTATTCCTCCGTAGCTCCCCTCCGTAGCTCTGGCCCGACTCAGAAGTCGGTTGGTGGGCGAGGGGTTTGTGGTCCCATTGGCAATACAACTAATCTCATAAGGTTGCATCCATGGGATAATGTTCAAAACTGGTTTGGACCATAAGTCAGGGGTTTCTGCAGTATGGAAAGGGCTTGAAGCATGCTCATGACTAATAATATTCAGAAATCAACATCAAGTAGTGTTATTTATAAAAGAACAACAACTGACTTTGTAAAGTACATGAGATGCTAACTGAAGTGCTGTATATTCTACCTCGAACCACGATCCACCTGTGACGCCGCGTCAACCCTAAGGGCGTTCTTCTGGTTGTCTCTCAGCTTCCGTGTTGGCCACCTGCGCATGCTGAGCATTACTTCCATTCCTCTTCGTCGCCGTTGCTTTTACAGGCGCCTTGACCTCATCAAGCTTTACCCGCGAGATCGCTCTCTCCAACTCCTCAACTCCGTCCTTCCGAAACTGCGTTACCTTGCGTACATTCATAAGTGTAAGTTCATTCAGCGTCTCGAGTCCCTGGCTACGTCGTCTTGCGACCGCCTTCGCCGTAAGCGCAAAGCGCATATCCTTGGGTCCATCAACGAGTTCCAGGATTGCACTGGGTGCCTGATCATCCTTCTTCGGCTCAACCCGCAGGACTCTCGTGTACCCGCCGGGGCGGTTTGCGTAGCGCTGACGGAGAGGGCCGAATAGTTTAGGGAGGATTTCATGCGGAGTCTATAAGACAATCCAATTAGTAAGATTAAATGAACCGCTCAGTGATATGGGGCACATCGTGGCCCTCTGAGGAGTTGCATACATAGAATGTAGACAGTGCCGTCCTCCGACTTGTCTCAGTGTTCTTCTTGCCCAAAGTGATCAGCTTCTCGGCTAGTCTCTGAGCCTCCTTCGCCTTGGCAAAAGTTGTCGTGATTGACTCGTGCTTGAAGAGAGATGTAACCAAATTTCGGAGGAGAGCCTGTCTGTGCGAAGATTTCCGACTCAGGTGTCGATATTTGGCTGTGCCTCCGGCCATGATGGGGGTTTAGAACTTTTGGCTCAGGCTGAAGGTGAGGGTACGTAAATGAAAAAGGCGATGTGAACAGCCAGTATACGTAGACTGACCAAGGGCAACTGCGTGTTAAAGATGCGGACGAAGGGACAAATGAAATGATTTGATGTGCTGTTGTTGTGATGGTTCGAGATGCCCGGGGCGGAAGTTGGAGGAATTCGATTTCTGCTCCGCAGCCAATCGGAATGCGGCGAGCATCACCTGTATCCGCAGAACTTCCAGACCGGAGCTCCAACCTTCAACTCATCGTGAAAACAACCCTACTACTACTGTTACGGCAATCAATGCGTTGGCTCCTTGAGCTCCTAAATCCTCGCCAATACACCACTGTCGGATTTTCATTACTGTTCCGCTGCCGTTGCTCCTCAAATCTGAGTCTTAACATTTTGCATCATTTTTCATACCTACCGCGAACCCCGTAACGTAGTATAATCATGGGCTTCTTCACCGGTTTTGTATGCGAGCCATCTGTCAATTGAGAGAAACCAGCTAACCAAAAAGAAAAGTTCAGCGGCTTCGCGCTCACAACATCGGTCCTGTACATTACAATCCAAGTTCACCGTTCCACGCGACTGGAGCAGAAAGCCGCCCTTCGCGAACAAACAAGGATTATGAACTGGCTAGCTTCATCTAGAGGCGCGTACGACCGGCGATTACTTCCGAAAGATCATGAGCCTCGCACACCTACAGAAGGGCTAGCACCCTCACGGTCCGCAGTGAAGGATAAGCTTAAGCATCGGTGGAATGAAGAAGTGCGAGCGCTGGCAAGGAAGGCGTATAACGCTCAATGGAATGCTTTACGGGATGTGGCTGTGGAGAGTTGGAAGGGTGTGAGCAGATTTGTCAAGAGGGAGTGATAGTTCCTGGTGTACGGACCATCTTAACAACTTTTTGTTGGATTGAGGCGGGAATGTCATTGATGAGTCTGGTGGGAAGTATGCACTTTTGTTCTTTGATACCCATGATGGTTTGTAAAAATTAGCGTTGATGATATGTACTATCTGATGATATAGTCACTGTACGGTAAAGAAGAGTCTTGTGCCTTGGTGCCGTCGAAGCAGGTGCTACATGTACGAAGCGAGCTTCGAAACCCCTCTATGCATGGCATGCGACCCTCAACCAGCTGTATGAACTGTAGACTTCGTAGCTGTGCTCAAACTGTCATCCTCGCTCCAGATGTCCTTGCTTTCTGCTTCCATCGTACGCATGGCCTGCGCGATGTCTTCCAACTTTGCGACAACATCCAGGACACTGTTATTGACTCTGTCAAAGTAACGATCGTTTGCTTCTCGTCTTTGCCGCGCAAGCTGGATGTCCTTCTCGGTCTCTTCATCCAATCTTTTTGCAGATTCATCCATCTCCCCAGAGGTATCACCAGCAGCACGCGAATCTCTCCTCAGAGGAGGAGGTTCCGCCATAGCAACATTCGAGCCAGCACTTCCATCCTCAGTCTCATCCCGCCCCCAAGCTTGCGCAAGTCTTAGATGTTTCATTCGCAGATCCTCTAGTGCCTCGGAGTGTCTCTCCCCAAATACATGGCCTCGGACCGCTGCGCTGACCTCAACATCGGAAAGGGCACTTTGCATCTCTTCCCAGAGCGCATCGGAGCCATCTACCTCACCCCTGGACTGTGTGCGAGATAAAAAAGGTGAAAGTCCGGACGCATCCAGAGGTTTAGGGGATGAGCGCCTGCGATGCAAAAGCGGGACTTGCGATGGGGGTTGACCACCTCCTGGAGCGGCTACCGTAGGTACGGGCGGTTGAAGCGATAGGTTCGACGCATTATGGGACGGCGGACCCTGAAAGAGGGCTGGCGGGGGAAGACGCTGGGAGCTCACCTTTCTTAAGGCGTCCGGGGTGAAATTGTTGTCCATCGAAACGGAACAGATGAAACTTGAGGAGCACTTTCCGGCTATCGTCTCACATCGTACCAAATACAAAATAATAAAGAACAATGCAGGCGCAGTACTATGTACAGTACAGTACGTCAATGTTATGGGTCCTTATCGCAATCGATTTCGGGGAGCGGGGCATGTTTCTCCGTTCCGGAGACTCGCTTAGCTGCCGTTTAGGGCGGAGGCGCACAGCAGAACAATTTCACCCTCCCCGACTTTAGCGAGACGCCGGCCGTGAAAGGAACCTTCGACCCTTCGACTCTCGACAACCACCATCAGCCCGTCCGGCACATATCCATCAGTCGGTAAGTGCGCATTGGTCCTGGTTGCCCGTTATCACCCAAATACAGCACTGGGAAAATCCCCCACTCCATATCCGCGAAATCTGCAGCCATTTTCGACGATATCTATCCCGCTTTGCAATCGAGATCAAACCCTCAGCAACTTTCCCTCGTACGACGAAGTTCTAACGTTTGATTCCGCACAGTACGCCGTCCACTCAACATAATTCGACAACATGGGTAAGGGAAAGCCTAGGGGATTGAACGCCGCCCGCAAGCTCGCGACCACCCGTCGTGAGAATCGCTGGGCCGATCTTCACTACAAGAAGCGTCTCCTCGGTACCGCCTACAAGTCCTCTCCGTTCGGTGGTGCTTCCCACGCCAAGGGTATCGTCCTCGAGAAGGTCGGTGTTGAGGCCAAGCAGCCCAACTCCGCCATCCGAAAGTGTGTCAAGGTCCAGCTCATCAAGAACGGCAAGAAGGTCACTGCTTTCGGTGGGTGCCCTATATCTCCTAGTTCGTGTTTCGGATGTACTGGATGAATAAAGAGATGGAAGGATTGGATGCATGGAAATAGAAAGGGTTCTTGAAGGAATGGAAACTAACAACGCCTCTCAGTCCCCAACGACGGTTGCTTGAACTTCATCGATGAGAACGACGAAGTCCTCCTCGCCGGTTTCGGTCGTAAGGGCAAGGCCAAGGGTGATATTCCTGGTGTCCGTTTCAAGGTCGTCAAGGTTTCTGGTGTCGGTCTGATGGCTCTATGGAAGGAGAAGAAGGAGAAGCCCCGTTCGTAAACGGCTTCGACGAGAAGGACGACGAGCGATGGTGCTGGAATGATATCCGAGAAGAAGTCGACTGGGCCCGTTTCCATTGAACATCGGGAAGCATGGTCTATGAATCTGGAAAATATGGTTCAGGATGGATGACCTGCAAAAACCGCTGCAGTTACTACGATTCATACTCTCATAAAAGACGGCGCCGTGATTTTTTTCCTTGGGGAGGGCCCTAAAATCAAGAAACTCTTCAAAGACCTACTTGCATCTACATACGTAGGGTGGCGGTAGTGCTGTATCCAGTGCTGTCCCAACACCAATCCGCCTAGAATCTTTCGAGCCTAGGCCTCTGGTCATAAATGTTATGAGCCCATGGCCGCATTATTACCCAAATTTGATTTTAAAGGATATAATGATATTATGTGGTATCCTTGCGATATCTGCCTGCACCCAGACGCTCTTATTTTGCCACCCTATGTGGTCGAGCCTGATCTTGGTTCACATACCCCCATAAAACGTCTTGGACTTTTCCCCTTCTTTGATTGTATCTCATTCTCGTCCTGTTTAGAAGCTGATGTCTTCCTTCCGGTAGTGGTCGGACACGATACGGTATAGGTATGACGGCGCATGTCCGCCCCTAGTGGAGAATTAGCCTGCCCTTTCGGAAAAGGAGCGGAGAATGAGGACTTACAAGTTTGTAATATAGAGGTCGACCAATTCCGCTGGAACGTAGTCGTACAGCGGATTCTGCACGTCAATCTGGTCTACCAAATCGCCATCCTCATAGCCAATGACCTTGCTTGAGTCGCCGTACTCGATCAAAGAATCGAAATCGAAGGGGTAGACAGGACTGAGCTTGTATACACCGCTGACAACCACGCACGGCGTTTGGTGTACCTTGGCGGCGCGGGCAATGACACGAGTGCCGGCCGCAGCGACGAGACCGCCGTTGGCGAGGACGGAATGCGTACCGAGGATGACCTTATTCACGCGAGACATGAGGGCAAAAACGGCTGAATCAGGAATAAGTATTACTGTGATACCATGGGCGATCAACGGTTTCTGGAACGACTCGGTGCTGAGGATTTCATCGTCGTTGGGAGCAGTGCCGCTGACCGTCGCATGGGTTGCTTCGTGGTTGTTGGGATATGATTCAGCGTGGATGACGGTGAACTTCCGCTTGTGGGCGGCTTTGAGAAGGAACTTTTGTACGGTCGTCGATGAGGTATGTGTGAGGATGATTTCGTTGGAATGAATGTGATCCAGTGCATAAGCCGCGATCTGATCGTCCACCTGCCCCAACTCGTCAATGATCTCGTTAATTCCGTCTAAGACTTCGGCGCGGATATCCCTGTTCTGAGTGTGCCCGGGTAAGCGTCCAGACGGTGAGCCAGTCGCTGGCGTACCAGGCAGTGAGGTTTCGGTTTCTGGGTGAGACAGCAGACTGAACATGGAAACTGGGTGGGTGGCTAAAGAAGAAATGGGCTTGGAGGCGCCTCGATCCGAGCCGTGGAAGTCAGAGGGATCTGCACAATGCATGTCAATCTCCGAGTTCTTTTCACAGGCTAGGAAGGTACTTACCGTCTCCCCCGCGAGGTGTCTGCGGTTGGCTTTCGGAGCCGGCATCGCTCAAGCTAAAGTCTCCATCCCTATCATCTTCTGCCTCGTCCCGGATTAACCCAAGCACGCGCCGAACGATGTTTCCGACAACCATCTCTCTGGGTTGTGCGGCTATCAACCGCCTTCCCACACTCTGCACGCGCTCAATGAGTTTTGAGGCATCGCTCGTTCTGCATGCAGATATGACGCTACGCAAGAGATAAGCAGTCGCAGTTGCGCACGATCTAGAATGTCGGATTTGTCTTCGTTTGAGCAAGCTTCACTTCATCAGTACTGGTGGGTCGAACGGCAAGAAGTAAGTCCGAACGCACGAGATCAGATTATCGATTGATGTATCAATTGGGTTGGTTTTCAAAGATTTTAAGAACGACGCCAACCCTGGCGTTAAAGGAGCAGAAGTAGCCGGCATGGCTCCTAACGCAATCTCGGTGGTCGAGTGTATAAAGCGCTTTGTACATCAAGTTAGCGGGACTCTGACTCAGTGTGGGCGACACGCGGGAAATTTTACCTGTACAACGCACCTCGGGCTTCCTCGGGCTGTTAAGCTTGTGACGCGTAGGGCTCGGACGCTCCAGATGTAGGAGAGACTTGCGTGGAACCAAGCGAAAGAAGATATGGTGCGGAGGGGTAAAATGGGAGAGCGGGTGGGATGTCAATGGAAGGGAGTTTTTTGCCCGCCTTTGGTTTTGGAGAGGTGCAGCGGCGGCTTTTGCTTGGCCCAACCGCCGCCGTCATCCCCATAGCAAATCGATCGTACGTCTCCCACTGCCGACTCCCCATCTTTACTCCTCTTCGACTGCTTCCCTCGGGTTTGGGCTGATCTGTCCCTTTCCTACTTATTGTGCTCGATCCGATCCTCCTACCCCCCCCCCACCTAAGCACCCCTTACGGTCTCTACTTGTCAGTCGGCTTTCGATCTCTCCTACCATTTCTCCGTTCCGCCCACCAGAAACCCAGGGCTGGGAGGAGCCGTGGTTTGAAGCACGGGCTGTCAACTGGCGCATTGAGGTTGGTACAGACCGAACTGTACATGTTCTTCCATTATCTCTTTTGGCCCTAGTCGCTGTCATCTTCGGCGCCCTCGGAGAAGTCCTGTGATCACTGACTGCCACGAATCGCGCCACAGATACCTGCGCCAGCTCCGACACCCGTGGGCGGCATCGGAAGATGAACTCGCTGAATATCCTATCGGCTCGAGTCATCGGCCAGACTTCGAATTCGAAGCGAAGCCGCCAGCGATCTCATTCCCATGGGGATGCGTCGCCTGTGATCGCTCCCAGCGATCTGGCCAAGTTCCGGTCCTATAGCGAAAGCAACTTTCATGCAGTCGATGCCGATGAAAAGAACTACGAAGACACGCCCGAATCGCCGGAGGATGTTAATCATGACGAGTATATATTGGACGAGAAGTCGCCGTTGTTACGAGGACTTCCGAAAAGCCCCTCTGCACTTGCTACCAGAAGCTCTTTAGGTCTAATCGCACAGCGGCTCCTAGAAGCAGTCACCGAAACGATTAAGTTCATCTTGGAAACATTGGTGTCGCCGGGTGTGTATGTAGCTCAAAGCTTTCGAGACGAAACTGGGAGCTACTCGCCTCTGGCGCCGGTGAGAAAGCTCCAACGCTCTATATCTGGCTCTTCGTCCTCAAGTAGTCCGAATACGCCTATTAGATCTGCTGCTCACGGTGAAGGCAAGCGCCGCTCCGGCTCTGCTAGAAAGCTGCGAAGTCACCCGTCCCGCGATTCTGTTGCATCGAGTACTTCGGAGTCGGAAGGGGATCGTCGGGCCATGAAAGGACTTACGACTAGTCGACCTCGTGCCGCCAAGAAAACTTCGAGCGGAGAATTAATATCAGACGGGACGGCTCCGCGGAGGTCTATTCGAATCAAGCTCAATAATGAGGAAGCTCTGCAGCGACAACGGCAACGGCGAGCGCGGAGCGCTGACCTCGACCAGTCATCGCGGAATGGCAGACCGGATTCACTTGATCCAGATAGTTTAAAATCTCCTGCGTCTCCGTCTGTTCACTTGGTCACGCGATATCCTCATTCTCCGGTTCCCCCTCGGCCGCTCATCCCATCCCGTCTTCCGTCGTACACGGCTACTAGCAGAAACGCCAGGATTCCGCAGAAAACGCTTGTTCTAGACTTGGACGAGACCCTCATTCACTCACTTGCCAAGGGAGGCCGTATGTCGAGCGGCCACATGGTTGAAGTCAAACTAGCTACACCAATGACAACTGCCCTCTCACCTGGCGCGCCGCCTACCACTCTCGGACCTCAACACCCCATCTTATATTATGTGCACAAACGACCTCACTGTGACGAATTCCTTCGCAAGATCTCCAAATGGTATAAACTAGTTGTCTTTACCGCAAGCGTGCAAGAGTACGCCGATCCGGTCATCGACTGGCTGGAGCAGGAGCGGAAATACTTTCAAGCCCGGTACTACCGGCAACACTGTACATTCCGGAATGGCGCCTACATCAAAGATCTCAGCTCGGTTGAGCCGGATCTTAGCCGAGTCATGATTTTGGACAACAGTCCAATGAGCTATATCTTCCATGAAGGTAGGGAAAATACTTGGTTGAATATCTCGAGCGGCCACTAACGTGGATTTGCAGACAACGCTATTCCTATTGAGGGCTGGATCAATGACCCAACAGACAACGGTCTTCTTCATCTCATCCCTATGCTGGAAGCCCTACAGTACGTCACTGACGTTAGGGCATTCCTAGCTCTGCGTAGAGGAGAAGCGGACGCTCTATAGCGACACACAACTTGTCTGTGGGCGCAAGAAACTCACCTTCTTTTTATTGCCCTTCTCAACTCTGATATCCCACGCTGCTATACCTCACCTACTTAATGCATTGTAAAGAGTCCGGTTCCGTTGATTTGAAGCATGACGAGTGTTTAGCATTATCAGTATCATTATCTTCTCCATACCCCTTTGCTCGGCGATCAGTGACTTACTACATTAATTGCATCTGGTTTTCTCGTCCAGTCTCGTCTCAGAAGTACATTAATGACGCCGAGCAGAGGTTTTCGGGTACTTGCGCGATCCAATTAATACAGCCATTGTTCTTCGCCGGGTACCGCACGGTCCTGAGGTCTACTGTGCTCCTAGCATAAGCTGGGGATCGGGAACCCTGCCGGTTCTCCAACCTATACCGGTTACGACATTCAAACTATAATTTAGAGCCTTGGCCACGTACGCTATGTACCCCGTTCATATATCTGAGGATCTAGTCCAGTGCTTGAAGGTTTGGCGCTGCTTCGGCATGGCTCCCGATATAGTTATTTCTGGCTCTGGTTCCAAATTCGCCCAGCACGACGGGAAACGATTGCCTGATACTAGCGCTAACCTCCAACTTGGAGGTATTAGATGGGGCTCGGGGTTCTACGGTGTATGTAGAGTATCTAGGAATAAAGCACTCTTTCAGCTTTTATGTTGAATTTTATGTTGTTTGATTTATGTGTTTTGTTTAGGTACCTTATATTATCCGATACACCGTTTACAAACCCTTGGCTTGCTTCGCGTCGGTAATAGCTTCCTTAAGGGCTGCAATGGCCTTCTCAACGTCACCGCGAGCAGGGTCTGTGATGCTAACACCCATGTGTCCGAAGCGGATGTACTTGGTTGCAACTTCCTTGTGCAGGCCCGCGGCGAAGATAACGCCACGCTTCAGCAGTCCCGGAAGGACGTCTGGCGGGGCAAGTCCATCTGGCAGCCAGATGGCAGTCATGGCGTGAGCCTGGTTCTCGACCTTGGAGGCCAGCTGCTGCAGGCCGAGTTCGGCGACGGCGGCTTTGACACGGTCAGAGGCCTGACGATGGACGGCGAAGCGCTCTGTCATCGGTCGGGATGTGATTTGGGAGAGAGTAGTGTGAAGGGCGTGAATGAGTTGGGTGGATGGGGTAGCGAAGTAGGAGGGCTTGTTGTTCTCGTAGTTCTGCATAATGGGGAGCCAGTTGGCCATAGAGGAGTAGTATGAGGAAGGAGGCGTCTTGCGGGTCCTGAAGGTCTCGATTGCCCGGCCGGATAACATCAGAATGCTAAGACCGGGAGGGCAGCCGATGGCCTTCTGGCTGGCGGTTAGGACCACGTCCAGACCCCACTCATCAAAGGCGATTTCCTCGCAGCCAACACTGCACACGCCGTCCACAACCACCAGGGTCTGAGGGCTGACACGGCGAACGATCTCTGCCACTGTCTTGATGTCGCTCAGGACTCCAGTGGAGGTGTCGACGTGAGTGATTGTGATGACCTTGTACGGCTTCTCCTTCAAAGCCTGCTCAATCGCCTCGAATGATGGACGCTCTCCAATGGGTGCTTTGAGTTGTGTAGCATTGGCTCCGTAAGTCTCCAGGCAGTTCGCGAACGAGTCGGCAAAGTAGCCGGAGTGTAGGACAAGAGCATTCTCGCCCTTCTCGACAAGATTAGAAGCAACGATATCCCAACCCAGGGTGCCACTGCCGGAGATGACGAAGGGCTGAGCCGCAGGGTTTGTAGACTGGAAGAGCTTCCGGGTCATGGACAATGTCTCTCCAAAGACCTTTACGAAACCGGGCGCAACATGACTCTCGCTGATGAGGCACCAGTTAGTGGGGGTCGATAGTCTGCAAAGATAAGGTCGACTCACGCATAATGAGACATGGACTGAAGGACAGCATCATCAAATTCAATGGGGCCCGGGATGAGCAAGGTGGGGTGAGCGGGTTGAGACGACATTTTGACAGAGGGTTGGGAGTCGGAGGTGGTTGAAGGAGGGGCAGAGCGGTCGAGGGGTTTATATTCCACGTCGTCTGGGGCTTGGGCGATCCTCTCGGACGAGAAGGGGGTATTAAGCTCAGGCAGCGGGAGTCTCTGATCCAGATGTCTGGAGATCAGACTCAGGCGCTGCGAAGTCCGTGTGGCCGCCAGAGTTTCCCGAGGGGTCGGCTCTCGACCCGCGGGGAATTCGTCCTGGTGGAATTGAGATGGAGGACTGAACCAACGAGCGTGCTCTCGGAGATCCCCGGAGAGTCTATTCGGGCCGGTGGCTTTCACAAGCAGTATGTGGTTGCATGCGGTTGTATACAGAGTATATCTAGAGGCTGTTCTCAGATACAGGATTCGAATTGACTGAGAAAAAAGTTCAAACACTGTGAAATCTCGAGACTAGGAGGGACTCCACCCCTGCTGACTCTTTTCTCCTTTCTTTTTCTCCCCGGCGTCGGACTTTTTCCAGGAACTCGGCAGTAATTCCGGCTTCTACCAAGAGGCTCAAGGTCAATTTCCCCAGAATATACGATACAATTACCTAAAGTGTGCATATCATTGATCGATCTGCCTATCAGGCAGCAATCCATCATTGATACCCAGTAAAGCACAATAGAATTGTATAGTGCGCCGCCGGGTCGACGATACATTTGCATGGGTACATCTCCACTGCACTACAGTATGTAACTCTGTACCTCGCCCGTACACGGATACTACCGTATCAAAATGGTTCGTACGGTCGTACCCCTGAAATATCAACAAAACACGCTCTGTCTTCCTTGATGATCCTCTGTAGAGTATTTTCTTTCCAGTAGATAGATTTCTGATGTCTGATGGTCTAGACTTCAGGCCGAAGTCGGTACATATGGAGCACTTCTGCAGACCAAGCCAGCTGACTAATCAGGGCTTAGACCTGGCTGACGATCGGACGGACCCAGCTTTCCCCGCGATAGCTTCACCGTTATCGCAAGATATCAACAAGTCTGACAGCTGCATCACAAACAAACGTTATTCATCGCTCCTTCACGTCCTTTCGCTGGAATCCTTTCCTCCACCCTTGAGAAAAGTTTCTCATTGGAATGGGCCCTTGACCCGTTCACTCCTCTCAGGATGACCTCGCGTCTAGTCCTGGTCATCGGCGACCTTTTTATCCCTGACAGAGCTCCAGTACGTAAATGAACAAGTCTCCTGATAACAATGGCTTGTGCTAAAATGTTGTTGTCAGGATCTACCGGCAAAGGTATCCATAATCCCGCCGCGTCGCATCATCTCCGGTTACCTCTTCACGGTGTCCCCTTGTTGACATTGTCGCAGTTTCGGAAGCTCCTCACGCCAGGAAAAATTGGCCAGATCCTCTGCCTTGGCAATTTGACTGATCGCAATACATTCGAGTTTCTCCGCCAAGTTGCGCCGGACTTGCAACTGGTCAAAGGCGACTTTGATGTCGATTCTCCCAACCTGCCGCTCTCAAAAGTAGTAACCCATGGAAGTCTTCGGATCGGGTTCACCCATGGCCACACAATCATCCCACCGGGCGATGCGGATGCGCTACTCATTGCTGCTCGTCAGATGGATGTAGACATACTATTATGGGGTGGCACTCATCGCTTTGAAGCATTTGAACTTGAGGGAAGATTCTTCGTGAACCCGGGTAGTGCAACTGGGGCTCTCAGCACTGGATATTGGCCAGAAGGAGAGGACCCGACGCCGAGTTTTTGCTTGATGGATGTAAGTTTACATGCTTCCTGCGCATCCCAAACCTACAGACAGCCATCCTAACACCGAAAAGATCCAAGGTGACGTTCTTGTGCTCTATGTCTACCAGCTGAAGACAGATGCCAGCGGAGTTGAAACTGTTGCTGTGGAGAAAGTTTCTTATCGCAAGAGTAGCATTCCATCCTCATGAACCTATCCTTTCATGCTTGCCCCTGTATATATGATATAGATACCGACTGCGTTATGACCTTTTAATGCTCACGAACCAATATTATATCTGAGCCACATACGCAGGAGTTATTCAAGATAAATTATACCTGTTATTTGTGTATTATAGGTACACCTTGTGCTTCTTTGATGCATGTATCAATGCCGGATGAAGACACAATAATTCTCACAATGTAACATTAATAGCCAAATCTCTACTAAGGAGCAGAGCTCTATACACAAAGATTATATTAGTAGTCCCTTGACAAATGACTAGGAAAGCTGTTGCCGGGCGCAAGCCCTACCTTATCCAAGTCCAGTGATGCAATAGGACCCGAGAGCTATGATGACAAAAGGGCACTAAGCCTGATATAGAAATTGTGGTGTTGGGCCCGGGGGCTTTGATCAAACAAGCATCACATTTCACGATATAACTTCTTTATCTTCTTTTTTTCTGCGATCCTAGGACACTGTCCTTTAAGGCATAAATCCTTTCTCGCGTTGGGTTGGAATCAATCAGAGCTCGGCGGGCATCTACGTTCCTCTCTATTAAGATATTTTACTGCCGCAATTTGCAACTCGAAACAGGTGGAGAGCTTCCACTCCCGCACACGCTTTATTCCAGAACACCCGTGACTCGAGAGGATAGCGGCATCGCCAGAATTCTCTTACAAGATGTCTACCGAGGAGGCTGAAATCAAGGATGAGCGCCTGGAGACACCTCACGAAGAGGGAGGTGACGATGAGGTATGTTTGATTACTAGAGGGTGTTGAATCGGCGGCAAACGAGGCGCTTGAGTTTATGGCGCGCCGTTTGGCGGCATTCGGCAGTTTAGATATGCGGATTCAGGCTAACATAGCCCGTCATCTAGGAAGAGATTGAAGCCATGAAACGACGGGTTGCTGAGATGGAATCTGAAGCCGCGAAGTTACGGGAAATGCAAGCCACACTCGACCAGCAATCCGAGAGCCTGAAAGAAGACAAGGAGGACATTGATGCCCGGAGTATTTTTGTTGGCAATGTGGATTATGGCGCCTCACCGGAGGAAATCCAAGCGCACTTTCAGAGCTGTGGCTCCATTAATCGCGTTACCATCCTTCTAGACAAATTCACAGGCCAACCTAAAGGGTATGTGCTATCCTACAGCCCCTGCGCTGTTGGCAAAGGACTTATGCATCTGTCTTCTCAAAATGTGTACACGCGCTAACTTGGTAGTATAGCTACGCTTACGTGGAATTTGCGGAGCCCAGTTTGGTGGCGCAGGCTCTTGTTTTGAACGAGAGCGTCTTCCGCGGCAGAAACTTGAAGGTGAGGAGACATCATGGAATTATCCCCTAGTATGGCTCGCTAACGGACTCTGTGCAGGTAGTTCCCAAGCGCACCAACCTCCCTGGTATGGGCAGTCGGGGACGCGGTCGTGGTCGCGGCCGCGGATACGGCCGTGGAGGTTTCCCCCGTGGAGGTTATCGCGGCGGTTATCGTGGCCGCGGACGAGGCTATGCGCCCTACTGAGCACGTCCTACATACATCTATATCAGACGTGAAGAATTATACGTGGAGCTTTCAGGCAGACCTGTCGACATTGGAAGTTGAACCACAAAAGAAGCGCCCGGCTCGTGGAACTTATGGCGTCAGGGGAGGACCAATGTATTGAACTTTTCAGGGAAGCTTCTTTGGAGTTGAGGCTGCGCGGTGCTACTGTATGATAAACACTCGGTCCCGGGGGTCTGGGCAAGATGGCGGGATGGATAATCTGTCAAATATCCTCTTTATTCTGAATTTAGGAGACCCATAGCTAACAGGCAGGGGAAACGGGTGTCACTTCTATCTGAAAAAGTCACCTAAATTAGAACTCTTTCGGATTTGATAAGCCGTGCCGTCTTATATACCAAGTAATTGAGATTTAGAATGTCAGTAGAACGCTTCAGCGTTCCTGAGCTGAATATCGAAGCGCAGCGCTTCCCCGGATATAGACTCAGCAGACTGTATCTATATATAAGTGGATGGTTCAAGCCACACCCGGACTGGGCCATGCTGAAATACCATTACTGCTTCGTAACTAAGCATCTAATACCGCAAGCAGTCTTACTTGAATTGTCTTCATAGTCCGCGGCTAATATCAGAGTTGGTGTGATCTTACTTGTCGGTCTAGAATTCTGCTGCCTATAATGGGAGCACTGCAGTAATCGTCATAGGGGAATTGACTTGGCTCGGATTCTGATTACTATGAATTTATCGTGAGGTGATACGAGATTGGACGGAAGAAGACTATTCGGCTATTCCTGACTCGTATAGGACTTTTGGATAGGTTGGATCTTGAAGTTGGTGAGAACAGGGGACTAGAGTAAGCCGGTAGCATCTGTAGGTAGATACTCCTCTGATCACCCCGCCGCTGTGATACCATCAACGAACGTACCTATCGCCCAGCTCGACGCTCTTATTCTTTTTCTACCTACGAGATACTGACTATCGCCCCCTAGCTCGTATTCGCATTATTAGGACCGTTCATTCTCGCCACGGTCACAGTAGTCAGCGCGACTCGACCACAGCCGATTGCGATTGATTCTCCCGATCGAGCCCCTCGCCTGTTGATTGGCCGCGGCACCCACGTCAGTCCTTCCAGTCCATTCATCTACCAGCCAGTGCTGCTCAGCCCCAATACACAGCACTACCGTGCAAGTACAACCGCCAGTCTCGCCGCGCCTCAGTCGAGTCTGAGCTCATCACGTTCCTCTGTTCGAGTTGGTCATCGTCGACACCAACTCCTCAGCCTTCAATCCTCCCACCGCCCTTTTACCTCCCTACTCCCGCTCCCCGATCCACCTCCGGCCCTCCCCCCTCGAACGGTCATCGCTTTTGTCGGGCGCTCTTCTCTGTGAACTGCGGTGGATGCGCACGCGGCAAATCCCGTTATAGGCTTGCCTTGATCGGCCTTTTGCACCCCGGGGCGTGTACGACCGACTGGAAAACCTCTGTGCAGAATGGGGTCCAATCTGCCTGCGTGAGTTCCTGGCACTATCTGGCTTTTCTCTTCCTGGGATGAATCACTTTTGTTCTGCATGTATGCTAATATGGATATACCACAGCCAGCCAAATCTCAGGGTTACAAGTAAGATACCGCGTTTTTCATCGGAGAAGCAGACTGATCAAGCTACCTGTTGCGGACGGAGACTGACTGGATTTGCTTATGATAGTTATCGCTGCTGATGGCCTATACAAGCGCGATGTCTTCCGTATGTTTCGGATGATCTCACACCCGTTGTCCATCCTTGCCGAAGCTAATTCTATCTTCAAGGTCTACCCGATCCCTTCGCCGTGGCCACCGTTGGAGGTGAGCAGACACATACGACGTCAGTGATAAAGAAGACGCTGAACCCGTACTGGAACGAGATGTTCGATCTGTGAGTCATGCCCTTGCCGTCTCTACGTCCCAGGGACTAATTCTGCAACCTTCAGGCGGGTCAATGAAGACAGCATCCTTGCAATTCAGATATTTGATCAGAAGAAGTTCAAGAAGAAGGATCAAGGCTTCCTTGGCGTGATCAACGTGCGGATCGGAGATGTCATTGATCTACAGATGGGGGGCGATGGTAAGTAGCGCTCTTCACCAACAATATTCATGGTTCGAGCTGCGCAACCGCAGCTCCTTCAGAATGTTTCCCAGCTGACTTGCGACGTTGCGGCGCTTAACAGAAATGCTCACGAGAGACTTGAAGAAGTCAAATGATAATCTTGTCGTCCATGGAAAGCTTATAATCAACTTATCTACCAACCTCAGCACGCCCAATCCTAACCAAGCGAACGGTTTGCATCGGACACAGCTCGGAGCGTCGACATCTAGTGGACTTGTTCCGCAAGTGGCACCGGCACCCTCAATACCCCCTGCTGGACCTAGCTCTGTCGATCAATCGGCGGCTGCATCGAGTGCTTCATTGCATCCGCAGCGTGTCCCGTCCACTACCCGACCGACCAGTCAGATCGCCCCGCCCAACGGTGCGCCGCCGATCGCCAACGGACAGGGCGCCCTTCGACCCAATCTCAGTTCTTTTGAGGATAACCAGGGACGACTACCAGCAGGCTGGGAGCGACGCGAGGATAACCTGGGAAGGACTTACTATGTGGACCACAACACTCGAACCACTACGTGGAACAGGCCATCTGCCAACTACAATGAGCAAACGCAGCGCACTCAACGGGAGGCCAATATGCAGTTAGAGCGGAGAGCACACCAGAATCGGATGCTTCCTGAAGACCGGACTGGAGCCAGCTCGCCCAATCTATCAGAAACTCAGCCGCAAGCTCAAACTCCGCCTGCAGGCGGCAGCGGCGGCGGCAACAGCAACATGGTTTCCATGATGGCCACAGGGGCTACCACTGCAGGCACTGGTGAGCTTCCGCCTGGTTGGGAACAGCGGACCACTCCCGAGGGCAGGCCATACTTCGTGGATCACAACACCCGTACCACAACCTGGGTAGACCCGAGGCGGCAGCAGTATATCCGAATGTATGGCCAGAATGCTAGTGGTGGCAACACCACCATTCAGCAGCAACCTGTCTCTCAACTAGGGCCATTACCCAGCGGGTGGGAGATGCGCCTGACAAACACGGCTCGGGTCTATTTTGTCGACCACAATACTAAGACAACAACATGGGACGATCCCCGCTTGCCGTCCTCGTTGGATCAGGGCGTGCCGCAATACAAGCGTGATTTCCGACGGAAGCTAATATACTTCCGGTCACAACCGGCGCTGCGCATCATGTCCGGCCAATGCCATGTCAAGGTTCGCCGAAATAACATCTTTGAGGACTCATACGCCGAGATCATGCGCCAAAGTGCGTCCGATTTGAAGAAGCGTTTAATGATCAAGTTCGACGGCGAAGATGGCCTGGACTATGGTGGTCTCTCCCGGTAGGCATTTCTACCTATGTGAAATTTGGTCACAGCTAACCAGTATCAGTGAATTCTTTTTCCTCCTTTCTCACGAAATGTTCAATCCGTTTTACTGTCTTTTCGAGTACTCTGCGCACGATAATTATACCCTACAGATTAATCCCCACTCAGGTGTCAATCCCGAACATCTGAACTATTTCAAGTTTATTGGACGAGTTGTTGGATTGGCCATTTTCCACCGTCGCTTCCTTGACTCATTCTTTATTGGAGCCTTCTACAAGATGATGCTACGCAAAAAGGTGTCGTTGCAAGACATGGAGGGTGTAGATGAAGATCTGCACCGCAATTTGGCATGGACACTGTATGTCTCACCATCATCCTGTCTTGATGTGTCTCTCTAACAATGAACAGGGATAATGATATTGAGGGCATCATTGACTTGACCTTTACGGTTGATGACGAGAAGTTTGGAGAGCGCCGTACAATCGAGCTGAAGCCTGGTGGTGACGATATACCCGTGACAAATGAGAACAAGCACGAATACGTCGAGTAAGTTATCTGTTACCTCTTTGTAAACAATATGCCTAATAATTATAGGCTTGTTACGGAATGGAAGATTGTGAAGCGAGTGGAGGAACAGTTCAATGCCTTCATGTCTGGCTTTAACGAGCTTATCCCGGCGGATCTGGTCAATGTGTTCGATGAACGCGAGTTGGAACTGCTTATTGGAGGTATCGCCGACATAGATGTCGATGATTGGAAGAAGCACACGGATTACCGTGGTTACCAGGAACAGGATGAAGTCATCCAGAACTTCTGGAAAATTGTTCGCACATGGGACGCGGAACAGAAATCCCGCCTGCTTCAGTTCACTACGGGTACATCACGGATTCCAGTCAACGGGTTCAAAGATCTCCAGGGCTCCGACGGGCCGAGACGATTCACTATTGAAAAGTCTGGGGACCCAATTGCCCTGCCCAAGTCTCACACATGGTACGTCTTATTTCAGGGCTTCTCTGTGTTATTAGCTAATCTCTCTTAGTTTCAATCGTCTTGACCTTCCTCCGTACAAGACACATGAGGCTCTGGAGCATAAACTGTCTATCGCTGTGGAAGAAACATTAGGTTTCGGACAGGAGTAGACTTTGCATTGAGCGGATTTCAGGAAGACTGTATACCGACCATGCCTTCGGTCCAACGGGCAACTTCACAGATCACCTTCAGACGGCGAAGAGCGATTTATACGGAATGGATTTTGCTCCTTCCCTTGGATCTTCTCCGCGAAGGGCTGCCTAGGGTCATGCCATACCCGTCGAGTCCCTGTCCATTTCTATCGTTCCCCACCACGGTGCAAGCAGTGATTCTGTTATTCCCCGGTCATTCTTTTTAGGAGAGCAGGACTCAGTTGAGGTCATACACATGGGCATATGGTATTGTTCAGCTTGATTTATTTATATTGTTACCAGGATGTGGTGAACTTGTATATACTGTATTATCTCTAAGAACATGGAGTGCTGCTTCCTGCATACTTTACGTTGAACGAGCGGGGCCTACTAAGCCCCGCGAGTTTATATTTTCTTCTCTTTCTTCTCTTTGCTTTTTGCTATCTTGAGTCAATTAAGAAGTTGCTCTGCTGGTTGGTGCATCCACTGACGTCGGACTCTATCTATGTGCTTGTCCATGCTATTATCAGCTAAGCTGGTGGAATCTGATTCCCGGCAGGGAATTGAAAGAACAAGTCTCACGAGCCGAGAATCCATAAACCCAGCTCAGCCTGAACAGTCTGAACTATAGCTTCCCCGTCAATAGTCTGGTTTCATCTGACAGATCAACAGGCCCGTCCGCGATAAGGTCTGACAAGTCCAGTTGATCACCCCGGGATCTGCCCAAAAGGGCACGTCTTGTTTTCAGATTTTGAGCTCGATGAAGCTATCCCCAGAAGCTACTCCGTACTCCGCACAAGGCGCGACTATGGCAACGTTCGAATCTCGAAGCCCCTGAGCCATGGCCTCTTGTAATAATCCTGTGTAACCCCCGAGTCTGGTCCAGTTCCCAACATGACCTCGACAACCCCGGCCGAGGGCCGCAAGGACTTCATCACGTCCGAGTCGTCGGATGTCCAAGCGAGACTGCAATATCATCTCTCCGTCGGATTGGACTTGGTGGCTGATATAGTTGTCCAGGGCGCGCAATTAGCTCCATGCATAGCGCCTAGCCTTCCTGCATGCTCCTAACCTTTAACGATGCTATGACCGGCTTGGCTCCGAGCTTTGGTGTCGGTGTAAACAAAAACCGCAACGCCTCCATGGTGTTACTCCGTCCTCGTTATAAAGTCCGCTCTCCTGCTGCACCCCCAGTCTTTCACCGTCTTCACCCCTCTTCTCTCCCACGCGGCCTACAACACCAAGTTCCAAGTGTTTCAACTCCTCCAAGAATCAATATGCGTCTCATTTCTTTCATTTCTGCCCTCGTGTCTGCTTCCGTTTGTGTTCTCGCACAGGATGCAACCTCGACCACCACCGCCACCCAGTCCACGAGCACCTGTCTGGCTCAAAAGTACGCAATTACTGCAGCAGAAGGCCGGCTTGACCTTTCTATCCTTGGAATCATACTAACGGAACTTTTCTTAGCATCCTCGATACCTGTCGAGAATCTATCCAAACCCGAGTCGACGCCTGCGGCGCCAACGAGTGGCGCTGTCTCTGCGACGAGACCACCAACCTGCTAACGTACTCCATTCTCCTCCAATTTTTCTGTCCAAAGGACTCCACACTGACTTATTGTCAAAAAACAGATGCTACGACAACTGCCCAGATGACGGCGGCCGCAACGGTGTCTCGCAGCAACAAGTCTCCTACTGCAATGCTGCAGACCAGCTCGAGCCCACTACCACGACTTCAACCACCACCGCAACCACGACATCGTCCAGGACCTCGTCGGCGACTGAGACTGAGACGGAGGTTACGGGCACCAATACTAGTGATGGGGCTGCGGCGTCGGAGACGGCGGATGATGCGGCAGGTAGAGTGCAGCTTGGGCTGTTGGGCGTGGGGGCTGGAGTAGGGCTGGCTGTGTTGAGAGTCCTGTAGAAATTGGTCGAGATCGAGAGACTGGGTGCTGTGATATGAGGGGATGAAGGTGGTAGTTGGATTGGAAAGTACTAGGGCTGATAATGTGCAAATACATGCTACTGGTCGAGATCGCCAGACGATGGTTGCGAGGGTCCAGGACCAAGGAGCTAATCTGCGTGCCAAGTCGCTAGTCCGCGCAGTGCTCCGGATGGTTCATGGGCCTGACTCTGGAGTTGCGAACCGGACGACGCAGTGCTGGCGATAAGGAAGGCGAGCGATGTAAGAACAATCTATTGTTCTGGATGTGTAAACGGCCAGCGGGCTCAACCGTGGAACGCCTACTGAGGGCTCTGTAGAGGTAGGGTAGTGAGGTACTAGTACTGTGTCCAGACATATCAAGCCCGCCGGCAGTGAGGTCATGATTGTTAGTGGCCGCTGGCCGTCAGACAAAGACCAGTCCAGACTCGATTTGACGTGTCAGGACGCTGGAGGAAACCCGCTCTTTGTATGCTGCAATCCTTCCAATCACCGGTGGCGCTCAACTCCTGCCTTGTCTCTGCCTCGTCACCTCCCCCAGTCCTCGCCGTCGTCTTGACTCTTTCCCCTCCCGATCTGGCTTCACCCATTCTTCCCTCTTCTCTCTGCTTCCCCATACTTTGCCTTCCCACCATCCCAGTCCCTGGACGGACCTCTAGCTACGCTGTACTCTACTCCTTCACTTCAACTCTTCTTCGCCTGCTGCCTGTTCCTATCTTTATTAATAGATTCCGCCACCGTTTCTGCGTTTCTTCCCCCAACAGCCGTGGTTCCGACTCCGTTTCCCGGCTGCATGTGAGTTGTCGAGAGCTTCCTGTCCTGTACTCTCCGACCTCCAGCTATCCTTACCTCTTCTGCGTCTGCTGTGTTTGTTGTCGCTATCCCCTGCTGCTGTTTCGTCGAGGCTCTTGCTTGCTTTTCAATATAATACCGTTTATTCCAACTTGTATTTATCACTTTTTATTATTCTTCCGCGTTGGTTGGGCTGCTCCTTCCCCCCACCCCTCCTTGCTGTCTGCCTGTCTGCCTGTCTGCTGTCGCCGTCCGCTGGTTTGCCGCCGGTCGCAAACGACGCCCGACCAGCAAACACTGGGCCACTGGACGCCTCATCATCTTTAACTTTCTTTCGGATCGACTTCGCGTTTCGCATGCACCGGTGCATTGACTTGACGCTCGCCAAATAATCTTATTCTCTTACCCCCTTAACTTCCGCTCCTTTCCCCCCCCTCTCCTGAGACAGGTCGTGTCGCATCGCATCCCTGCATTGCTTACACCTGGTCGCCCTTTCTTGCCAAAAACAACTCGCATGGCATGTATCGGCTGTTATCTGCTTGGCCTCCATCTATTGGGGGAAATAAGGTAATGAGCGAAGAGGTCAAGATGCTCGCGACCTCGTCTCACTGCGTCGCTCCTGGGGTTAACGGCTTTGCGCTGCCTCAGTTGAAGCGCAAGCGATCTGACTCTAGCGATTCAACTACGACTCGAGACGCACCGGTCGCAACAAAGCTTCGGGTAGACGATGCGCCTCCAAAGCACATCACGCAGCAGCGCTCCTCTGCGCCGTCCGCACCCGCTGCGCAATCTATGCCTTCGACGGCGAAAGACGAAGCAGGCAGTACGTCAACGGAACATTTGAGCGATCAGGCTTCCGGACACACCCAGAATCCGCCACCCTCGTTGCCTAGTGAGGGTAGTTCTCATCCTTCAGCTCCTTCAGGCGACGACCAGAAGGCTGCAGTGCGCAAGGTCAATGTAAACAGGCTGCGCGAAACGCTCGAAGCTCAGCTGAGCCTCGAAGTACTGCTGAAGCATAATGAACTTCGGCTCATCGATCAAGAGATTGCCAAATGCCAAGTCGCGTTAGAACAACTGCGCCGATGCGCAGAAGTACCTTATCCCGGATCGCAGGCTGCTGGTCCTTCGCTGTCTGTCAGTAATGGAACAGGTATGTCGGTGTGGGCGCCTGGAAATGGACCTGCACCGCTCTCTCTGGCGCCTTGGGGTGTCACAAATGGCCCATACACGCGTCACTACTCTCGATGGTTACTGCCGGATCCTCGTTTCGATGGTGGTGAGGTTGAACCAATGACACCAATGGGCATGGGCGCGACAACTCCTGTGGAAGGCCGTTCAACGCGCGGCAACCCCATCGATACTGGCTATCTTGCTGGCAAGTCGACGAGACCGCAACGGGGATCAACTGGGACAAAGCTTCAATCTTTGCCCAGCGGCTACCCGGCTCCAAAGGAACGAGCTGGCCCCATGATTATTCGACGAAAGTCGGATGGTGTTCTTGTCAAGTTAGTTTGCCTGGATTGCCGGAGAGACAACTTTTCCAGCACTCAGGGCTTCATTAATCACTGTCGCATCGCCCATAACCGCAATTTCGCGAGTCATGACGCTGCCGCAATGGCCTCTGGAGAGCCCGTCGAGGTGGATGACGCTGGTGCCGTCGTCGGTGGCAAGAATGAACCTTCCACCGGCCTAACACCAGGCTTTGTCCATCCCTTGATCCGCTCTGCTCATGTTATCGAATCGACGCCTAGAAAGCCCTTGACGCCTGGACCATCGGATGCGGAAGCTGGGAAGCGGTCATCAATGGTGGAAACACCTCGTATTTTGTCCCACAAACCAATAGGGCCAAAGACCCCTGTGGCGAAAGTCACAAGCGATGCCTTTACAGCCTCAGAGGACACCCCTCACCTATCGTCTTTGATGAAACTGCGAGGCGTCGGCCTCGACCTTGGTCAATTGGTTGGTGAAGCTAAGGCCGTGGTTGACTTGGACGGATACTCTTCCGAGGAGGGTGACTCCGAACCCGAACCGAAAGCGCCGTCTGCGGAGGCGAAACCCAGCAAACCGCTCGCAACTCGCGCTGGGCGACAACCCATGAGAACCACAGCTTCGCAGACAGCGTCCGAGCGCCCTGACGGTCACAAGGGCATCGAAAGACCCGGGCATCAGCCTCTTGCATTGGAGACGCTGACGCCTACTCGGCCGACGGTACCGTATCAGTCCCCTTATGCGCCAACAGGGCCTCAATTGAATGAGTTGCGGGAAATAGATCTGAGTCCGAACACCGTTGAGTCAAATCAAGCTCCAAGTCTTGTGAGCGATGATGATGACTATGAAGCGGCCTCTGACTCTGACAGTCCCGGGCCTTGTTCATCTGATGCAGAGAACGGGGACGATTTTAGTCTCATTGACGTGGAGGACGACGAGACAACTGGTTCAACCAACAATAGCGATTCGAACCCCAAGGCGGACGTGGGAATAGGTAGTGCTGCCAAGCCTTTGAAGCATGGCAGCATGAGGAAGAAAGGGCAATACCCGATTTCGTCCTCAGTGGTCCCGCTGAGTCGGGGCAAAGACGAGAAACGGGTGAGCTTTGTCAGCCCACATTCAAGCCCGCAACAGGGCGATGCCAAGAAAGATAGCAGGCGATCTCCTGAGCGATAAAGAATATAGATTCATCGCTATTGTTACCTGGCTTCTTGCTACTCTTATTATGTATCTCTTCTCTTCTACTTTGTATGAATTGATACGTTAGTTAGACCTAGCTGAGGCTTGCTCAGCCACAGCTTCACTCGGGTTTACGAGCAGATGGCATATATAACGACTCACGATATACCGAACCCAGCAGATTGACCTTCGCTCAAGAAGAGATTGAGGATATCAACAACAACAGTGGTTGGGTATCGTAAATCATGTAGGCAGGTAGGTGGCTTGCGAAGTTGCGTGCAATGAGGCGCAACGGCTGCGGAACTACTATAAAGCAAAGCCGCAAAACGATTCCCGCCAAATACCCGACCTCCTACTCAAGCGAATCTTGTCTAATATACCCTCACAAAACCTCATTTCATTTCGTTCTGAGCAGACTACTCAACCATTGTAGTTATTCAGACCAGAACCATGGACTTGGACTTTGACCCCGCAACAATAACCCTAGCAACATTCAACACCCTTCTCGGCGCATTCGAGACCACAGTGCGCCAAATAGCTCGCACCAAGGCACTGCTCAAGTCAAAATCGAAATTGAAATCGGCATCCAATGTGAAGAAGATGATGAAACAAACTGGGAAACGAGCCGCGCTATCGGCGAAGGATGCCGAAGAGGCACAGTATGAGCATGCAGAGGACCTTGACCTTGTCGACGCCCAGGTGCGCGATTTCCTGGAACTGGACGAATGGCGATATAAGGCACTTCCGGACGTCGTTGAGAAGCGACGTGGGGGGAAGGATGAAGGGGAGGGGGAGGGCTATCTCTCTAAGGACGAGCTTATCCGGTTAACTGAGTGGAAGCTGTATGTGCACTACCCGATCGTCCCCTCCTTCACCCATCCTGCCCATTCAAATGCATTTAGTGCATACAGTAGGGGGAGATACCTGTACTCCAGCACGAATGGAACACAATGCCGAGTAACTAATAACGCATCTAGGAAACACGGCGTCTACCGCCCAACGCTCCTAGGCATGGTCCGGCAAAACCAAGACAAAACGGTCTCGCGTGCTACAGCGAGCGCATTCTCATCTTTATCGTCACTAGCTGGAAGCATTGAGACCGTTGAGACGGCCCTCTCAACACTCACCACCCCGCTTCGTGGCGTAGGTCCCGCAACGGCATCACTGATTCTATCTACTGCTTCCAAGGACGTTCCCTTCTACAGTGATGATGTGTTTCTCTGGCTTTGCGTTGGTGTTTACCCTTTCCACTCCTCGTCAACTAAAACGAGTAAAGAGGTTAAGCCGAATGGGGAGCTGAATGCCAAGTATAATGTTGCTGAGTATCGGCGGTTGTGGGAGGGGGTGCAGGGATTGAGGGAGAGGTTGAATGAGGGCGTTGAGAAGGGAAAAGAGGTTTCTTGCAGCGATGTCGAGAGGGTCGCGTTGGTGGTCAGGCGTTTTGGGCAATCCGGGCTGGGGATCCTTCAGGATGATGAGGCAGGGGAGCAAGATGATGAAAAGGAAGATCCAAAGGAGAGTGGTGGCTCTGGTGATGGGAGGCGGAAGAGGAGGAGAATATGATCAGCATAACCGGACAGATAATTCAGTAACAGTAATCAGTATCAGTGCTCTCACACCCACTGGAAATTCATATAAAGAACATCAACCTGTCAAATTGTAACGGTACTCCATGAGACTCCCAAGCCCAAACAATATGCTAACATACAGAACTTCGCTATGCAAACCGTAAAAATGCGAAAGGGTATCGAAATCAAGTCCGTGACAGTTCTTCTTCCATCATGCGAGCTAGCTCATCGTCTTCTACCATTGAAAAAGTGCAGACCTGGGAGTTCTCGACCATGTCGTTGCCGGCTTGGAGCCAATCGTATTTCTTGCTGCGCAGTGATCGAAGCGTCGCATGTTCCGATACAGGTGGAGGTGTAGGCGGAGCTTCATCCTCCTCGGTCAGATCGATCGTGATGGCCGTTAACTGTTGCCTAGCATGTAATTCATGTTGCTGCGGCTGTGGATCAGAAGTGTGGATATTGCCGGCATCTGTGGCCTGCTCAGGCACGGAAATCTGTGGAGATAATGGTTCGGGGGTCAAATCTATCGTGACACATCGCGGTTCCTGCATTGGCTGCTTTATTGTTCGGCCGAAAGGTTGACTGTTGCTAGCGCCCGCACTTTGCACAAGTGGCTCTTCAAGTTGTTGTGTGGGTGGACCGAAAGCCCAACATTTGCCAGCGACGTCTTGCATAATCACAGGAGCTTGCGGCGGCTGTATCACGGCAGTCTTCCGAGGTGGCTTGTATCCGGCTGGAATCGAGGTGATCGAGGGAAGCCGCTTCTCTACCCCAATTTCATACAAGAGATTATTGTACAAGACACTGACATTGTGGAGTTTGGTCCTCCACTCGGATGCCTCCTGCTTGTATTCTTCCACCCGGGCCTGATGTCGAGTGGATACACGCCGAAGCGACGAATTCTCTTCACGGAGTAACTGCTCTGGTGATTTCCCGGTGCCGTCCAATTTTGTATATTCTGAAAGTGACTTCTTGTACTGGTCTCGCTCGCGTGTCGTCCGGTATAACTGAGCCCGCAATTTTCGAATCTCATCATTCGCCTTCTCATCTCCCACGGCGACGCATTTCACGTGGATAGTAGGGCTTGAGGGGAGATAGCCTAGCGGCCCTCCCGAAACCGGATACGGGGATACATACTCAGGCTCTTTCCGCATCTTCAAAAATTCGCGGGTGGTGTTGGAAAGAATATCCTGCTCATCCAAAGAGAATCCTTCTCTTGTCGACTCGCTTATTCTAGGCGGGCTGAACGGAGGCTGGGGGATCTCAAGATCAAACAGAGGTTCGTCCGGTAAAACTAATGGTAGTTCAAATGGCCCACAAAACATGCTGTCGAAAGTGTCAAAGAAAGAAGCGGATGATTCGTGCGTCGAATCAGGAGTAAGTGAAGGCGTTTCGTCGAGGGGGTTTGTTTGCTGCCGCTGCCGTTTCTCAGGCGGGGATTCTTGCAGTTCCTCCGCGCTTCGTTTGCGGGAGAAGACATCGTCAAGCTCAGGGATCGTAGAATCGAACAAAGGGTCGAACAAATCATCCGAGTCAGCCTTGTTATTCACTAGAGCGTCGAATCCTTCCAGGTCCGTCTGCGGCGTCGGTATGCCGAGAATTTCAGCGCTGATGCTTCCCTCGCCGCGTGTTGGCTGTATGTCATCGCGATAGCCAGTACCGAAGTGTTCATGTTCATCGCGACAACTTTGCTCCTGATCCTGTAGGGTATTGCCCCGCAGCTGGAACCCGGGGAAAGGTGTAAGCCCCAGATCATTCATGTGCAAATGAGAAGCGTCCATAAGAGCAGGCTCTTGAGGATTTGGACTGAGGGAGGTAGAGTTACCTTCAACCACGTCTCTGTTCATTGCTCAACCTGACACAGCAGAATAACTCAAGCCACACGTTTTATTCTTCGAATCAAGACTCAGTCACCCTACCTGTCTCGACAAGACTTTACACGTCTGATCGGCACCCTGATGACAGTATGCCTACCAGCGACGTGGCTGTCAAATCACAGAAAGGCCATAGCAGATCCAAAGCCAGATGCTGAGGATGCCGTGATCGATGGAAGACTGTTGTTGTTGCGCCAAAAAGTAGGAAGGAGCGTTGGAAGAATGAGTCCATAGGACTTTTCTCACCGCTTCTCTGACCGCTCAAGTGTCACCGCTCAGCCCAGGCACAATATGGACCCCTCAGGCATAAAACCGGCAGGATCCCAACGGCTCCCTACAACACTCCAGTTGTAAGCGAGACCGTCTAAACTCCCGTCAACTTACCAGCGCTCAGTGCTGAATCGCCATTATGAGTGTCATACTATGTACTGGTGAGTTTATGTTTCCGGCGCGGGTTTGAGTGTCTTGCGAGCCACTGAATTGACCTTACCTGAATGTCAGCGGGCTATGACCATACTATCCGGTGAGTTTTATCTGCAACGCAAACAGGACAGTTTCTAATATCCGCTAGATTTTGGGAAGCTCTGTCCGGCATTTGCTCGCGCACTATACAACACCCCGACTCCCAGGTAAACCGTCTCTGCATCACGCCGGACAAGCGATATCTGGCGGCTGCTGGTCACAACAATGTGAAACTATACGACATCAAGTCCACGAATCCGAATCCTGTGATGACATTTGAAGGTCACACAAATAACATCACCGGAGTTGCATTCCACTGCGAAGGAAAGTGGATGGTTACTAGCTCTGAAGATGGTACAGTAAAAGTCTGGGACACAAGGACAGGGAGCCTCCAGCGCAACTACGCACACAAAGCCCCGGTGAATGACGTCGTCATACATCCAAACCAGGGGGAGCTTATCAGCGGTGATCGTGCTGGTATTGTCCGGGTCTGGGATCTTGGAGAGAGTGTCTGCACTCATCAATTGATTCCAGAGGATGATGTTGCTGTACACAGCGTCAGTGTTGCCAGCGATGGGTCTCTACTTTGTGCAGGAAACAAGAAGGTATTCAGACCTAGTTAATTTCATAGCCCCACTGACTGTTTAGGGAAATGTGTACATCTGGCGCATGATCCAAGAAGCCGAAGTGACTCGCATCGTTCCAATTTGCACCTTTCAAGCCCACAAGGACTACCTTACCCGTGTCCTTCTTTCGCCTGATGTTAAGCATCTAGCAACCTGCTCCGCTGACCATACTGCTAAAGTATGGAACCTCGACCTAGATTATCCTCCAGCGAAAATGGCTATTGCGGCCGCTGCCCGAACGAAAGCCAAGTCACCGCCGACGGAAGTAAAACCGGCATCTCCATCTCCCGTGGGCTCTGAGAGCCAAAGCAGCTCTATGCAAGTTGAGAGGGGCAAAGCCGATAGTATTCCATTCCACCTGCTCAACGGGACACCGCCTGTCAATAACGTCGAGCCGCCGCCATCTTTTCCTGTACAGCCTGATGGCCCCCCTATGGACCCTAATACCGGCACGCTGTTTCTGGAAACAACTCTGGCAAATCATCAAAGGTGGGTCTGGGATTGTGCGTTCTCGGCCGATTCTGCGTACCTAGTTACTGTGTCCAGCGACCACTATGCGCGCCTCTGGGAGTTGGCGTCGGGTCAGATCATTCGTCAATACAGTGGACATCATCGCGGGGCGGTGTGTGTCGCTCTAAATGATTACTCGGAGCCTCGTTGAGCTCTAATAAGTTTACCTTGGAACGTCGTGTCCCGTCTTTCTTTGATAGTATGCTTTGTTATGGGTTAGCATGGCGCCTGGGTTGGAGAATAGTCGGGCTGGTTTCGCCTAAATCTTGGAGTTCAGGACATGTTTTATTCTCATATCTTAATATCGAAGACTCGTCCATGATGCCGCCAGTCCGCCACGGCTTCTGGGAAGCGCATATCCGGCGGATCTCCAAGATACAGCTCACTTATAGGGTCGGCATTTAATATGGCATTTATTGACAGTAAGAATCATAACGCTGTTTCAGTAGTACACCAAATGCATCCAACACAACGCCCATCGCCAATCAACAGTAAGAGAAACCTCTGAGAATATCTAAGCCACGAACAGAGAGGTGACAGTGGTTCAAGCACTCGATCGACCGTACAGTGTCGGCAGTCGATTGATGTCACTCGACGAGATAAAAATACATGCAAATACATGCAGTCATACATGCAATCGTTACCGTGGCCAGTCAGCCGGCAGTCAAACGAATATATAACCAAGAATGAACCCTTGAAGCATGGAAAATGCGCAATTGTGGCGCACCCTCTATTCCTGCAGCATGCGCAGAACGAAGTTCACCACAACAGCCGCAAGCAGCGAGATAGCCAGGATGGTCGGCCCGAACCTGTCATCAATCCCACTCTGACCTCGTTTCCGGATACTCTGGGCGCGCCAATGGAATGTCACCAGTGCATATATCATGGCTGCCATGGCGATGATGGTGAACAGGCCGGCGGAGATACGTCCAATGCGATCACCGAAGTTGAGAAGGCCAACGGCCAATCCGCCGAGGATGACGGTAAAGTTGAGCCAGGAGAGGAAGGTTCGCTCGTTGGCGAAAAAGACTTTAGGCTCGACACGGGTAGGCAGGGCAATGCGTTTGCCTGTGTTCCTGACGTTAGCTCTGCCTGCCGCGGGGTGATTCTTGGCGATTCGAGGGTACGTACCTGGAGCCGTTTGAAGGAGTGGTTGGCTGGACATTGTGCGGGGTGAGGAGAAGCTAGCTATAGCTTGAGCTTGATAATGCTGGACTCTGGGGAGTTGGACAGGCTGGTGAAGGAGAAGGATAAATGAAAAATGAGAAGCGAAGATAAAAAACCGACAAGATTAGACGATACAGAGGAAAGACCTAGTGCGGCAACAAGCTAAGAAAGATCTTGACTGTACTCCGTAGTGACTCCAAAGAGTCTAGTGATTGGATCTTTGACCACTTGAGCGTGGTGGGCGGAATGCTAGATGGGGCCGGGCCATCACGGAATTGGCCGAAGTGGCTCTTCTGCCGCCCTTAGCCGCCTGAGTCCACCCACGTGCTCGTGCTCTGCCTCTTCTCTGGTATCTTGCCAGAGAACAGCTCGGCCTGACTTGTCTGCTGGTCACCCTAGCTAGTTTGGTCACGTGACCTAGCTTTGTAGCTTACCCAAGCTTACCTTTAAACTTTATTTATAATTTTGGTTATAATTTAAATATAATAGCTACTAATATAATAAAGCCTTATATTACTTTTTAAATAATATAAATATTAATAATTTTATTAAAATTTTATATTAAACTTTTTTTTAACTTTTTTTTGCCCCCCTTTATTTTTTTTATTAATAATACTTCCGCTTATTATACTAACTATTAAATTAATAGTAAGAATTACTTAAAAATTACTTTATAACTTATTTTTATAGCTAATTTAAGCCTAGGCTATTTTTAAAAAATATATATAAATTTTAAATAATAAAATAGTTTTTTTAAAGCTAGAGCTAGAAATAAGTAAGGCTATTATTATTAAAAAGTAAAAGCTAAAAGTATTTTTAAACTATTTTTTAATTTTTAATTTTTAACTTTTTTTAACCTTACATGCATTCCTGGGAAGTACTTTAAAATTAATTATTTATAAAATAATAAAATAATTTATTTTTTTTAGGGAAGTTTTACTGCTAGGTTAAAGGTTATTTTAATAAAATAAGTTTTTTTAAGTGCCTATAAAAAGTATTTTTTAATTAGTTTAAATATATTTTAATATTATTAATAGCCTCCGCGGTTATTACGCTAGTAAGTATTTTATTATTTATTTTTTTACCTAGGTTTTTAAAAATAAAAAGGATATTAAGAGCCGCCTGAAGGTTAGTAAAATTAAAAAAATTAAAAATAAATTTAGTTATTACTTATAAAAAGTACTTTTTAACTAGTTTTATAAATTTTTATTAATTTATTATTAATAATTAAAAGGCGCGCTAGGCTATAAAGCTAGTTATTTTATTTTAACTTTTATTTAAGTAAAATAAAAATATAAGTAAGCTATATTTTTTTATTAAAAATATTTTTTAACTAGTTTTAGTATAACCCTATTATTATAAAAAAAATAATAAAAAAAAAGCTATAAGATTTTTTATAATACTTATAAGTTAAAAAAGGTATTAGCTAGTAAGTTTTCTTACTTTATTAACTTTAAAAAATATTTTTTAACTAGTTTTAAAATACTACTTGTAAAAGTAAATTAAAAATTATAATTATTTTAAGCTTTTTAAAAAGCCCGATGCTGCCAGCTAAAATAATAAAAATAAAAAAAAAGTAAAAAAAAAAAAGGCTACTAATACTACTACTATAAAAACTACTTTTTAAGTAGTTTTTTTATACCCTTTTTTATTTTTTTTTTTTAATTTAGTAGGGCGCCTACAAGTATATTTTATATTTTTTACCTTTTTTTTAATAAGGTATATATAATATTAACTACTTTAAAAATAGTTCTCTAGTTCCTAGTTTTTTTTTATATATAATAAGCTATAATTAAATACCCTAAATTATAATAAACTTTACTTTTTTATAATTAAGTTTAAACTAGCTTTAATAATTTTTAAACTAATTTTATTTTTAGGTGTAGGCCTGTTAAAAATTAGTTATTTTTAAAAAAAAGTAAAAAGGTAATTATTATTTTTTTAAATTTAAAGTACTTTTAATTAGGGCTAAACTAGTTTAGTTTAGGGTTATAAAAAAAATTAATAAAAGTAAAATTTAAATTAAATATATAGCTTACTATGCAAGATACCCCTAAATTATTAGGCTTAATTACTTTAAAAGTACTTTTATTATTACTAAGTGGCTAAAAATTTTTAAAAAATTTATTTACTTATTTTTAATTAAAAACTTATTTTTAAATTTTTATTACTATATTATGCTTACTAGGCTAAAAAATATATTTTAAGCTTACTTATTTTTTACTTATTTTATATATTTTACCTAATAAAAATAGTTTATTAATAGCCTAAAGTAATTTATTTTTTATATACATGCTATGCTAAAGGTCTTGGTTAATAAATATATATATTTTTATAATATTTATACTTTAACTAGCTAGTATATTAAAACTTAATTATTATAGTATAAAACTATATTAACATGCTATTAAAGCTAAGTAAATAATAAAATTTTATTTTTAAATAAGTAACTAAAGTACTTTTAAAAATATTTAAACTAATTTAAAACTAGTTTTAATTACTAGAATTATTAACCTTTTTTTTAATATATTTAATAACTTTAATAAATATAGCAGGCCCCCTAGCTATTTTATTATAAAAATATTACTTTAATTAAGCTAGCTTTTTAAAATTAATTTTAATTTTACCCCTAATTTTTAATTTTTAGCTTTTTACATGGGTGGCAGTGGGAGAGTCTTAAAAAATATTAAAAAATTTAAAATAATTAATAAGTACTTAAAAACTAGTTTTTTAATAAACTTATAATATTAATACATATTTTTAAATAGGCGTAGTAGTAAAAGTATTAAAATAATATTAATATTAAAAAAATCTGGCTTTAGGGTAAAGCAGGCTTTATTAACTTATATAATATATTAATAAGTAGGTGTAGTAAAATTAGCCTTAAAAAATTATTAATACTAAAATAGTTCTTCTTGTAAGTAAAGTAATTTTTAAGGTATATTAAAATATATAAAGCATACTATTTACAGGGTATAGCTAAAGTTATACTAAAGTATTATTAATATAAAACTAGTTTTTATATAAAATAAAGTACTTTACCTTTTTATATAATATAATTAAGACTAAAAGCCCCTGGCATATATAAATTTAAAAAAACTTAACTTAAATAAAATTTTATTAAAATTATTTTTTACTTTTTATAGCTTTTCTTACTTTATTATATTAAAAGCCTTGCGTTTTTAGCATATTAAAAAAGTTAAAAATAGTTTTAAAGTAGTTTTAAAGTAATTTTAATATATATATAATTTTTTTATATATACTTAAAATATTATTTATGCATATTATTTATATAGTATTTATACTAAGTTTTATAAAAAACTTTTATATAATATTAATTTATATTATATTAATTAAGCTGCTGGGAGCTGCCTTAAAATTAATAATTAAAAATAATTTTTATAATAAATAAAGTAGTTTTAACCTTATAACTATATTAAGTAATAACTTTTAAGTACTTAAAAAATAGGATTTATAATAGCTTTACTTAATAGCATTAGTATTTTCCTGGATTTACTTATAATAATTAGGCAAAATTTAAAAATAAGCTTAGTTAAAACTAGTAGTAATAATTAAATAAGCTTTATATTTAGCCTAATTATAAATAAAGGTATTTTTATATGCTAATTAAAGTTAAAACTAGTTTTAAAGTACTTTAAAAAATAAAAAACATACTTTAAAGTAGTTTATAAAAATTAAAATAATTTTTTAAAATTTTAGTAGTAAGCAAGCTTTTTATATAATAATTAATAAATATATAATACTCCTCCCAAGGGCAAAGCTTTTAAATAATTTAAAAAAAGTAAATATAATATATAATAAGAATATTTTTTAACTATTATATTTAAATATAACTATAAAAATTTTTTTTAAAGGTATTAGCCTAATCCTAAAACTAGTTTAACCTAAGGTAAAAGTAATTTTATATAAAGCTTACTAGCTATTTACTTTATATATATATTTACTATAATATCCTTAATATTAATATTATAAAAGTAAAAAAACTAGCTAAAAACCCCCTATATAAAAGTAATAAGGCTAAAAACCTTTTTAAAAAGTAAAAAATATTTATTTATAGTCTTAACATTAATAAAAACATGTAGTAATATAAAAATTAAAAGTAATTAATAACTAGTTTTAAAAAAAAGGCAGGATATAAGTAAGTAAAATACTTAAAAAGTACTTTTTAACTTACTTTTACCATGCTTTAATAAAAATATAATAAAAATAATTTTATTAAAGGCACCCTTAACATGCTTATAAAATATATTAATTTTAAAAAAGTTTAGCAAGGCTAAAAGCTTAATTTACTTATTAAATATATAAATAACTATAATAATATTTTTATAGGTAACAAGCCTTTAATAATAATACTTTTTAAGTAATTAGTAACTAGTTTTTAGGGTATAAAATAAGCTAAATACCTTAAAGTTTAGCTTAACTAAAAATTAAAATTATATACTAGTTATTTCCCGGCCTTTAAAATAAAGTAAAACCCTTTTTTTTATAATAATAATAAAAAAATAATCTTGGTTTGCAAAGCTATTATAAATCTAAAATAATATTTAATTATTATATTATTAATAAAAGTTTTAAAAAACTAAACTTTTTAAAAATTAATTTAAAAGTAGTTTAGTATTAAATAAAACTACTTATAAAGTAGTTTATATACTTATTATAAGGTTAGGATCTTATATTTTATAAATAAGCTTAATAACCTTATTAAAAATAGCCTTTAAAGGTTAATTTAGTAAAAAAAAATAAGTATATATATTTTAAAAAATTATTATAGCAAAAGAATATCCTAACTAATTTAAAAAAATAAAAATATTAAATATAACCTTATACTTAATTTTTTTAAGTTTTTTTTCCCCTTATAGGTGGCTTTGGCCTAAATAAAGTAGTTAATAAGTAATTTTAAAATTTTAAAAAAAATACTTGTAAAACTAGTTTTATTTTTAAAAAACTAATTTTAATCCTATATACTATACTTTTTTTTTAACTAGTAATAAGCTTAACCATGTTATATTTTTTAAAATTAGCTAGGGCTAAAGCCTTAAAGTAAGCCTAAAATAGCTTAATATTAATATTTTAAGCCTAGTTAAATAAGCTAAATATAAAATACTTATTAAAATTATATTAGTTATTATACAGGCATGCTATATAATAATAATATATATTAAAAATATTTTAAAGTAATTAAAAACTAGTTTATATTTTAAAATTAAGGCTATTTATTAATATAGCATGCTTTTATAAAACAGGCTTATAAGTAAGAATTACCTATAAGTATGCCTTTTTACCTTTAAAATATTTTTAAGTTATTTAAAAAAGGCTAAATAGGCTTAATTAATAAAGTAGTTTTAAAATAATAAAACTAGTTTTAACTTACTTATATATAGCTTTAACCTTTAAAAAAGCTTTACTTATTATAATTTTTTTATACTTATTATATATTTTATTTAAAAAATTTTTTTTAACCTTTTAATAGGTAATATTTTATAGTTTTAAATTTAAATACTTATAAACCTTAACCCTAAAGTAATTAAAGTAAAATTTATTATATATTTACTTAAAAAACTAGTTAAAAATCCACCTTGTACCTTTAATTTTTACCTTATAATATATAAACTAAAATAATTAATAATTAATTTTTAAAAAATATAAACTTATATATATTATATATTTTTTTTTAAAACTATGTGCTTATTATTTTATTTATATAAATAATATATATATAGCTATTAGAATTAGTAGCAGGATACTTTAGTAAATAATTAATAAATTAAAAATAATAAGTTAAAACAGGGTATATTTAGCTAGTAGTTACTAGTATTAATATTAATAGCTTTTAAAAAAGTAGTTAAAAAGTACTTTAAAAGTAGTTAAAAATTTTTATACCTTATTACTAAAATTAGCTTTTTAGGCTTAATTACACTTTTAAAAAATATTTTACTTTTATTTATTAAAAAAGCCTAGTTAATTTATAAAAACTTTTTTAATAGCTAGCTAAGGTAAAGGCGTTAGTATTAATAAATTAATAAGTATATTAATTATAGAATTATTAGGGGGATTATTAGTTAAAGTTATAATAAAATAATTTAAAGTACTATAAAATTATTTTTTTTTTAAAATACTAATAAAATATAAAATAAAATTTATTAAAAATATAAAATAGGCTAAGGGTTTTAATTAAGCAAGCTTGGCTTGCTTACCTTAGCTTAATTAAGCTACGGTCAGCTGCAGACGGGGTGGGCCGACCTGTATTCACGTATCTTGCAACTGGGGTTACAGCTCGGAGAGCGCTTGCGGACAATTGTAGCGCCGGAGCCGACGCTGGTCGCGACAAGCAATGCGCTAGTCCAGGTTCAGCAGCACAGTTATCGACTCGATCCCAACCTGGTATAGCGCCAATCGGACTATCGCAGTCGAGCCAACCACCAGTCGCGAAGTCCTCCAAATGGCGGCAGGTGTTCTCTTTCGCATCAACCGGGCTCTGAACCTGATCCGTCTCCTTTGTGATCATTTTCAAATCGCCAATCCTTGATATCGCCCTGCATAAGCTACTTTCCTGATTCCTCGGTAAGTGTGATGTCTTTTCCCCGGATCTGTTGTCGCTTCTGAGTTCTGCCGGTGCCGGTCCACATTCCTCCCCCACAATCCGTCTCTGGTTCTGTCCATAACATTCGCCGGACAACGTCACAGGGCAGCTTTCTTTCAACGTCAACAGACATACTGATTGCGTCGCAAGCTCCCTCGACTTGTACAAGACCTTTACGCGCAGTTTCCCACACACAATGGCTGTCGAGACCACTCCCGCTACTGTAAGTAACCCTTGCTGGCGATGAATTCTGACGCGCGCTATGGATGAGAAAAATGACCGTCCGCTAATATTGTCCTCCTACAGCCCGTCCCCATCGCGGAACTTACCAAGATTGCCACTGAGGTGCGTTCCTGAGGCTTACGCGGGCGCTGGACTGGTGTACCAAGTACTGCTGAGTTTGCCACGTCGCAAGTGCGAACTAACAATTGAGTAACAGGCCTGCGACTCCGCGCTTGGACAAGCCGACGGATACGAGCACACCCAAGTTGGAACGTGGAACTCCCAAATCATTGTACGTCGTGATCCCATGATCGCAGGATGAAGAAAAAGAAATCCTTTTCTAACGGCTTTGTGTGACAGAACTCCATCCTGAAGGCCCTTATCACCGCTACTACCCCTTCGACACCATCCACTCCTCCTCCATACCGCTTCACGGTGAACAGCACCATCGTTCAACAAGGCCTGATTGACAAGACTGCTGCTGCGGACGGCTCGACGGCCAACACCGGAAAGCGCGGCATGCACTCTGCTTCTGGGGCGTTCTGGGACGTCAACCGCGATGGAATGTGGACATTCAAGTACCCCGGCGCCGACGCCAAGGGGCTTGATGTTGTTGTCAGCGTGACTTGGTTTGCACTGGGCTGATTGACAATAGGGGATCAAAAGAGCAACCAACAGATACACCTTTCCGTTATATTTTACATATCTTTCATATTTCACATATCCAACGATTGAGCCTTGTACGTTGACGTTGACTTGTTTCTCGCTGATATTTCCCCTATGTTGGAGCCTGGTGCAATAGTAGTGAATTTTTTTCAGATTGTGCTTGGTATGTTTATGCTATATACCACTGGTACGCGCAAAAAGGAATCAATCAAGATAACCCAACTCAACAAACCGCCCGAAACTCCAGTAATCACTCTTGTTTCCTTCCCCATCCACCTCGTCAGTCCCTTCAAACCTCGCCGACCAATACGCACTCCCCTGCATATACTCCTCCCAGATGCTCAAACCAGCCTTCAAATTTCTCTCCCTTAGCGCAAAACTATTGCTGTACGCCGCTTGGATCGCCCACTCGCCCACATAAACAGGAACACTGCCGCCAGCCTTCGACTTCTCCTCCGCATCAGATCGCATATATGTTGGCAGGTTTTCGGAAGTCGTATTCCGTCCCTCAAAGTAATAATTGTGCACATCAAAGACAACATTCTCCTCCGCAGTAAAGTTCGTCCCCCAATAAGAAGGAAGCTTGAAGCTCTGAAATGCCACAGGAAGAGTTCCCGTTGCGCCAGCTCCCAATCTAGTCTCAAGAGCCCTCACCCGCTCGAGCACCGCCTTCCAAAAGCTCATCACATAGCTCGCAGCTTCATCCGATAGCGCTGCGGGCGTCCCGAAGACGGCCATAGTCAGATCGTCGTCGCCATTCCGGTCCGTCGGCTCATTCATGGGTTCCAGCGTGAAGGACCAGGGCGAACTCGAGCAGTAGATAAACTCCACCACGGCATTGACGACCTCCAGCGACTGCTCCCACGCAGTGGCATTGTAGAACCACCCCCAGTTCCCCTTCTTCTCGCCGATGTCGAGCCCGTTGAGCCCGCCTGGGAGAGAGTGTACGTCGATAATGATGTGCATGTCATAGTTCGCGATTGCGTACTCTGTGATCTCCCTCAAATAATTTGTTTGGTTTCCGCTGTATAGACCAGAGCCGGGAAGGTCGATCCAGGCTGCGTACGTGGTCGGAATGCGCAGGAGGTTCACGCCTGCTGAGGCGAGGGTGTCGACTGTGGAGGTTGTGATGAAGGTGGCGTAGCGGTGCTCCAGGACAGAAGAGCACTTTGAGCCCAGGGTGGTGCACAGCGTCCATTCATCTGGGGCGTTGGGGGCGTGTGTGTTCCAGAATGCGGTGTCGAGGGAGGCCTCTTGTACTAGCCACCCGCCGAGGTTTGCACCGCGGACTTTGGTGCTAGGCCAGGAGAAGGGGCGGACTTGAGATGATTTTGCAGATGGGATATTTGGGAGTTGGTGAGAGAGGGAAGGGAGGCAGGTTGTGCATGCTGCAAGGAGTAGGGTTGTGCTTAGGTAGTGGAGGGGATGCATGATGAAGACCTAGGTAATATGCAAATAGGTTGTGGAGAAAGTATACAAGTCCATGCATTGATTTTGGGAGAGAACAGGCTATATATGCACGTCTGGTATCCTACATTCACTAGCAGATCTTCAGCTTGCATGTTACCTTGCAAATTTTGACTTCGGTAGAGCGTACTATTGTGGATACTCCGGAGTATACTTAGGTAGCAGGTACAGAGACCTTGTAGGATAACCCGTGTTTCCAAAGCGAAAACAGCCGAGAATAAATTGCCCAGCCGATGTTGGATACTGCCAAGGTCGCAGTAGACTACTTGGTGGTCGCACGAACGAATCAAGGGTCTTTCTGGGGTGCAGAATCTGGGGTGTGGGGAATAGTTGGAGATGCTTGTCAGCGCTCAGGGCACGGAATGTTACGCATACAACGGGAATTGACAGCTTGTTAGACTGCCGATCTATCGGGAATTCCAGGTTTCGGTATACTCCGAGTAAAGAGTCCCGAGATTGGAATACAAGATGCGGAAGTTCCGAGAAACGATTTTAAAATGTCAATTGTATATCGTAACCGTAATATCGTAACAGATTATTTAGCAGCAGCTTGGTGGCCCACCTACACATCTCTAAACCGTCTATGCCCCTCCTTGTTTATACATCCATTCTTTTCGTGAACAAAATTGCGTATATATTGATGATCCTTAAGGATGTATCCTATCGCTGGTATATACAAACTGGATACCAGGATAGGCTGTTTATCGATGCTCTGATGTTGCTGGACTGCGCGAGTGCGAACTGCTTTTTTCGCGCGTCTCGGGTGTGGCGCTACCGGTAGCTGTTCCAGTGGAGGCTTCTGGGTGATGTTTGAGCGCCTTACGAGCCTTGCGTCCACCGCAACAGGCAGCGCAGCAGGAGCCAAGTTCGACGATGAAAGCGAGAAGGTTAAAGGCCGCTGCGATCCACATGAACGCCAGCATACGGCTACCCAGTTCGGCTCTGATGTTAAGATCGAATGCGTCGCCGCTGGTGAAAACATTTTTGAAGATGACAAACATGACAGTCGCAATAACCGCTGCAACGATGGTGAGAATAGCAGTCAGGAGAGTAATGAGCGTAAAAGGGATGGCGCGACACCAGACAAAAGTGCGCCGACGGTGCGGGGGGTGAAGGCGGTTGACTCCTGGATCGGAAGAGATCGTCTGCGGGGGGCGAGATGAGACAGCTAGTGGAGATGCGAAAATGAGAACAAATGTGAGGACGGTCGACGTAAGGAAGAGACCGAACATCCAGTGAGACGCTGCCCGGGCGAGATCGAGGGCATCTGTTATATCGGACGGGAGAGCAACTGTAGAGGTTAGAATGCGATGAGAGTGTACGAAAGAAGGAGGACGTACTGGAAGCTCCGGCTAGCAGTTCGCTAAGAATGATCTGAACAGGGTTGAACCAATACAGGGTCTGAGGATTCGAGCAGTGGGTGATGCCCTCGTTGTTGTAACCCTCGCAGAAATTCCATAGTCCAACCTGGTAGAAATCGTGCAGACCAATAGATCGAGCAATACTGTTGATGAAGACGGCGTTGGGTACAGATAGAGGAATGATATCGGAGAGGTCTATTTTCATAAAGTATGTTTGTCGCAGCACGGGCTTGTCGGAGACATTGCCAATGACGACGAGTAGTAAGAATATCCAAGCAATGAGGTGCAGTAATGAGCGTAGGATGCGATGACTGAGTACAGTCCGTCGACTCCGGCCGTAGGTCGGACGCCCGGAGCTCTTGCGGAAGCGAGGAAGCACCGCCATAGACCTGGCCGATGCGGGATGGACGGGTTAAGATGTTAACAATATTCGAAACACGGCTGCCGAGAGACTGATGGATATAAAAATGCCGGTCGGGTAAGACGAGGCGGAGTAACGATGACTATGTATGATATGACTTTGCTCAGGAATAGGATAGTCCGCAGAGAAAAGTGGGCGACAAAAGAACCCCAATGACGTTAGATTGCGATGACCAACGAGAGCAGCCAAAAAAAAAAGCCAGTAAAGATAAGGAAATGTGATTTGTGCAAGAAATGGTTAACCCGGGAATCGAGCATGAACGAGTGAAGGGCAGCAAGGGTCAAGATGAAGGTTCTGCTTGGGCAGGGCTGGGGCTGGACGGAGCTGCAGCGAAAGTGGCAGAGGATCACCGTCAAGCTCTGCGACGAATCCACTCTAGGCCGCAGTGATGAAGCACTAGCGATCTCCAGATGATCGGAGATAAATGAAATGACAATAGGGGAGCTCAGGGGTCAGGAGACAGTCGCGGCTTCCTCCTCCCACTGCTTGAGGGTCGGCTTTGTACGATTCAACGGTTCAACCCCAGCTCGACGCAGTAGACTCGTTCAGGGCGAATACCGCAGTCCTTGCGAGCAAGAATGCGGTGACCTAACGGGCATCAACATCGAGTCTGGAGTCTGGACCGTTGCTGGTGGCTGTCAGCCGGCGACGTCATCCCCGACGATCCGCCCCTGAGAAGGCCGCGGATTGGCTGCTTGCCCAGGCAGATCGAGACTTGGTTAGCGCAGCCACACTCGCTTTTAGCAGCCGTTCGTTTGCCATCCTTCGGCCCTTCATCAGCCTTCTGAGCTCGGGTCAGGCGGCGTGACGTTGTCTGCTCTTTTTCTTCTTGGGTTCTTCTTGCATCTCAAATTCCTTCTTCCTGTCAGTGTCAACAACCAGGATGAGGGTATCCTGTCTGCTGCCTTTTCTGGCCGTTGGTCGGGTGCTCTCTCAAAACACAGACTCCGACTCCGACTCCGACAGCGAGACCAGCACCAGGACCACCACCGCCGATTCCAACGAGGAAGCCATCTCCCAGTCCCTGGCTGAAATTGCCAGCGCGATCACGACGACTGTTGACGATGCCACCGTTCCTTCCGGCGACTACATCACCTACTCAACCACCGTCTACCTTACTGGAAACCATGGCACCATACTCGGCTCCACGGCCGTGCAAGTGACTGGCACCCCCGGGGCCAATGCGACGACTTCCGCCAACGCAACCATGACAAGCTCATCGGACTCGGTGACAGTGTTAGTAGGAGGGCAAACCACGATATCTGGCAATTCAACGTCAAACTCGACGCATTCCGCAACTCCAAGCCCGTCCCAGACCCCAGTCGTCAACACCCAGCCATGCAATGGCTACCCCGAGTTCTGTGCCCGAAAATACTCCAACATCACTCAAGTCGCGGCTCACAACAGCCCGTTCGTGGCCCAAGGGAACGTGGCTGCAAACCAAGCGCTGGGTGTGAATTATCAGCTGGACGATGGAATCCGAATGCGTATGACACCCGATCAACGTTGAAGACTGGGCTGACTTTATAGTGCAATTTCAAACCCACCTTGTAAACGGCACGATGCGCCTCTGTCACACTAGCTGCGATCTGCTTGACGTAGGGACCCTCGAGGACTATCTCACCACCGTCACCGAATGGTTGAGACAGCATCCCTACGATGTTGTTACGCTTCTTATTGGGAACTACGACTATGCGGACCCCGGAAACTACACAGCGCCTATTGAGAATTCCGGACTCATGGATCTTGTTTTTACGCCGCCCATGATTCCTATGGGTCTTGATGACTGGCCGTCGCTCGGGAACATCATTCTGTCCGGCAAACGCGCTCTTGTCTTCATGGATTACCAGGCCAACCAGACGGCCTACCCATGGCTGATGGATGAGTTCTCGCAGATGTGGGAGACTCCATTCTCGCCCACAGACCGCGACTTTCCCTGCACCGTGCAACGTCCGCCCGATTTGGCCGCTGAGGACGCCCAGAAGCGGATGTACATGGCCAACCATAACCTCAACATTGATTTCAACATTGCTAGCCTTAGCCTGCTCATTCCGAACACAGCCCTGCTCAACGAGACGAACGCGGATCATGGCTACGGCAGTGTGGGCCGAATGGCAGAGAACTGCACCAGTAAGTGTCTACAATCGGACTTTATTTTCCCGGTGCTAACCACAAGTTAGCGAAATGGAATCGCTCACCGAACTTTTTGCTGGTCGACTACTACAACGAAGGAAACTTCAACGGATCAGTCTTCCAGGTTGCAGCTGATATGAACGGCGTGAGCTACGACCGAGACTCTTGCTGCGGGACTCTATCCGCAGCCTCTAGCCTGGTACCCGGAGCGCTGATGAGCGCTGTGCTATTCTTAGTTGGCTACCAGGTTCTCGGTTCGTTCTAGACATAATGCATTACTGTACATATGACATAGAATATCTATAATTACGAGACATGACCACGTACCTGAGCACGAAATCACCCACGCCATGCTAATCTTGAACCCACAATGAAGTTGCGAAAGTCACCCGAGGGATCGTACTCCTCTGCTACGGCCCTGAGGAACACGAAATTCTTCTCGCCATAACTCCGCAGCGGACTCTGCGACTCGGCCGCATAGTTCAAATAGAGATATGGATGGTCACCTCCAACGGACCGTGCAAAGTCGTCCAGTTCTCTCTAAAACGCCTCTCCAACCCAGTCAAACAGGGGAATAATGTCGGCATGATCACACGTAAGCCAGAGAAGGTTCACTGAACAATCAGCCATGTGGTCGTCCTTATCACCCAAGCATAACTCACAAGTAGTCTCTCCTCTAAACCGAGCACATCCCCATTCTTCCGTCCATGTTCCGCAAACAAGGCCGGCAGAGGCTGATACAAGCTCTTCGCTACTTTTTCCACGTCTTCAATCATCTCCTCCTGAATCTCAACCGCTTTATGGAAAAGCAGCATCTTTCGCGAAGGTCACAGTAGAGAAGTTACTATGTAGTCCGCTCTCCGGTTCTAGCTCGCCCACCAGCCGCTCATGATCCGTCTGCTTTGTCGTATCAGATATATTCGGCAATCTATAGAGCTCGCTAAATGCATCACGATATGGTACCGCAAAGAGCTTGGTGTAAACGAGCGAGTTGATGATGATCGGCTTGTCCATGCTCGAGATGTACGTGTACAAGGGAGTGAGCGAAACATAGGATGTCAATGTCTCTTGGGCTTCCTCGGCGATCGTTGTCAATTTAAAACATCCAACGAAGCTATGGTTTCTATTATCTCAAGCAAAGTCGTCTACCTCTATAATCATTAGGTATCAAGGTGCCACTTCTATGCTCTGTTTGTCAGGAGAGGACCTGATTGTTATGAATGCTTCGTTGAGCCTAAGATCCGAACTTGGTGATATTTGATTGGAAGGACCGCGCAGTAAATCATCACCTACCATACTAGAAGCCACCGAAATGGTCAGAGCATGGAAAATCAGTCATTGCCATTGGTTCCCTCTGACTTTGTACTTTATTCCAGGTAAGCTTATCAGTGACGTGGGTGGTGTTGCTCTACACTGCGCGGCAACATGTGATCCCAAGCAGTCCATCACCATCAGTTTGCCAACGACATACCAGAGACTCTCCCTTGCAAACTTCTTATGTGCACTCAATCCCTTCATCACCAGTCCAGTACACATCAAAATGCGCCTCTGCCTGTCCTGCTCCAGCGACCCAGCAGACAGCAATTTCCCCTACGAGATAGCGACCTGGCAGGATTGCTGCTGGCTCTGCACATGCTATTGTTCGTTCTGCGTCTCGAGCATTTGCTGGGGGCCAGCTAAATTGGCCGAGAGAGTTCGACGCCGTGGTCGTGATTCCAGCTCTCAGTGCAAGTCTCAACACTCTGAGAATCCTCAACCCAGTCAACAACAGGAGAAACACCAAATAGAACAAGAAATGCAACAGAAGGTGGAGACAGAGGAACCGATATCTCCGGAGCCGCTGAAGTTTGTTTGGAGAAAAGGATCGGATGAATTGAATCACGAGAAAGTCCAAGACCGGGAGCAACTGCATGCTGAACTGCGGAGCCGCGATCTGGATCTCGAGTGTGCAAAGCAGCAGGAGACCTTGGGGCCGCATTAGCAACAAGGGGAACATGGTATTTTCAAAGGGTATCCGTGAGGGCTGGAGAATGACCAGCTGTAGGGCAGGAACGTCCCACTATAGCTTCAGGTTCTCTATGCGATAGCTTTGATCTGTATATTGAATCGGGAAAACACCATCACCAGCCCTGTCATGGCTTTAAGTCTTCTTAAAGACTTGGGATCCCATTTACAGACGCAGAAGTATATCTCCCAAAGCGGCCTAGCGCCCCACACTCAAATCTCCATCGGGCCAGCTCGAGTCCAACCTCGCTCTCACACCTGCCATCCACTGAATCAATTCAATTCCTCGCTCTCTCTTTCTTCCTTACCACCGAGTCAACCTACAGAGAACAACTCCGAACCACCCTCTCCCGAGAGAGCCCGCCGCCAAAATGGTCGACATCGTCCCCCTCTCCTCCTACCCCTCCTACATCGACCTCCTCCCCTCCATCCAAACCTGCAACATCACAAACCTCCCGGAGAACTACTTCCTAAAATACTACCTCTACCACGCCCTCACCTGGCCACAGCTCTCCTTCGTCGCCGTCGTCCGCCCGCGCAATGGCTACCCCGACGGCAAAATCGCCGGCTCATACCCCAAGGTCGTGGGGTACGTTCTCGCCAAGATGGAAGAGGAGCCGACGGACGGCGTGCAGCACGGGCATATTACCAGTTTGAGTGTTATGCGGACGCACCGACGGCTGGGAATTGCGGAGCGCTTGATGAGGATGAGTCGTACGTTTCGTTCCCTTTCCTCTCCGAACCGCCGCCGCCGGCGTTCTATGAATTTTCTTGCTAATGATTCGTTTCTTGTGCAGAGCGCGCAATGGCCGAGTCGCACCGCGCGCAATTCGTCTCGCTGCACGTGCGTGTTTCCAACAAGGCGGCGCTGCACCTTTACCGCGACACTTTGGGCTTCCAGGTCGATAGCGTCGAGAGCAAGTACTATGCTGATGGGGAGGATGCGTACGCGATGCGCATGGATCTGTCGCCGATGTGGATTGATTGGGCGGAGATTGAGCGGAAGGACCGCGCGCGCCATGCGAAGGATGAGAAGGATGCGGATGAGGGGGATGAGGTGGGAGAATTGGGGAAGAAGGAGGATGAGAAGGAGAAGGAGAAGATGGTGCGCGTTAAGGTTGGACGGAGTCTTGGGGTGGGCGATTTGGTGGAGAAGAATGAGGTGCAGACGGCGTAGGTTGAGGTGTGGATGGGTGTTGGCTTTATATTGTGGAGCGAAGAGGGATGGGCATGGCTTCGTTAAAGCTACGCAGCGCAGGATTGTATGTAAGGATTGTCTTCAAAAGGAGATAAAAAGGAGATATCAACATTGAGACAGTATATAAAGCATCAAAAATCAATCAGACCACCAAACACCATTTCATACTCATATTCACATCAGATAATGACCGTAAAACTCATTTGGTTTCCTTGGCGACCTTCTTTTCCTTTTCCTTCTTGTTCGCATCCGTTTCATCTTCCGAACTAGCGCTCGGCGTGCTGATCAAACTAACGGCGCTGCTCTCGGAGTCGCCATCAGCATCGGTGCGCTGCGTTGGAGTCTGAGCCGGAACAGCACGCCTCTGCGGGTTACTCTCCAGCTCGAGATTCTGCAACCGCTGCTCCAAATTCGCCTCAGACAACGGCGCAGACGCAGGCCCAGCCGGCAAAGCAGCCTCCTCCGCAGCCTGACCCTGAGCCAACCTCTCCCTCTCCCTCTCCCTCCTCTCCTGCCTCCTCCTCGCCTTCTTCGCCCTCCGCAACTCCTTCTGCTCCTCCCTCGCCCGCTTCAGCACCTCCCGAAACGCTTTCCTCGTAGCCTTTAGCTCCTCCTTCGCCGCGCGCTTCTCCGCCTGATTCCGTTGCCGATCCGCGGGACTCTCCCATCGTCCCCAACTGCTCCGCCCCTGAGCCGACGACGACTGCGACGATGATTGGTCCCTTGACTGGCTCCAGCCTGGACGCCAGCGGCGGGTTGAAGAGACGCGGGCTTGCCGGCGGGATTCGCGGAGGGCGTCGAGTTGCCGCCGGAGCTCGACGGCTGCGTCGTAGAGGTCGCGGTCGTGGTGGGCGGAGAGGGAGAGGAGTTGGGCGCGGACGGTGGCGAGGTCGCCGGAGGAGAGGTCTGATGTTGTGGAGATGGAGTCGATGGAGGAGAGAGATGAATCAGACGTCGTGGAGGAAGTGGAATCTCGACGGGGGCGGGGAGTAGGACGGTTTGAATTCGTTGGTTGTTGTTGTTGTTGTTGGGGCTGTTGGGGTTGCTGTGATTGTCGCGGTTGGGTAGACGGTTGCTGAGTCTGGGTTACTCCGCTCTCTTGTGCTGGTTGGCTTTGCTGGGTAGGTTGGGGAGTAGTGCTTGGCTGGGGTTGAGCTTGAGGCTGAGGCTGAGGTTGTTGTTGAGGGTAATAGTATGGATATGACTGCGGCTGGTTCCATCCAGGAAATGTGCTTTCGACTTTCCTCCCGCCCAGACCAGCCTGCTCTTCAATCCAGCGGCCGTGGGCCATTGCCTGTTCCTCGACTTTGCTGCCGTAGTAATGCGCATGTGCGGTGATCTGGTCTCCGTAGTGCTGAGCCTGCTCCGATATGCGATCGCCATATTTCTGGGCCTGTGCAGCAAGACTCGAGAACCAGCCTAGCGGTCCGCCTTTCAGACTCGAGCTTTCGTACTGCTGCGGGTACTGAGCGCCCCAACCCCACGGCTGGTGCTGCGGGTATTGATTCTGGTACACATGGGGATTTGCGGGGTGAAAGAACCCAGAACCTTGTTGTGGAGGATAAAGATTCATATTAGGATTAGGATACCCGTACGGCATCGGCGCTTGACCAGGGTATATAGGACCCTGGGGATACCCTGCCGCCGCGGGGTGCATATTAGCCTGCAAAGGATGCCCTCTGCCAGCTTCCGGCACCTGAGCACCGCGATTCTCCTGCGAGGCCCTTGTCGCAGCGGGATAACATCTCGGACAGAGCGGGGAGATTGGCGCATTTCTTGGATCGGTGACATAGAAGAACACAATCCGCACCGCACGCAGCTCGAAGAAGTACTGGTTCCACTCCTTCATCACCGTCGCAATACGCCTCTCCCGTTCCTCATCTGTCTCCTGGGGCCGGTCTTTCCGGTCTCGACGAATCTCAGCCCTCACCTGCCGCGGAAGCTCAGCGGATGAAGAAGCAAGGCCTAGGTGCGGAGGGAACAGGTGCCGCAGAAACATATCCCAGTCTTGCTGGGCAATGTTTCCCATCCGCGGGCTCCAGCATCGCGGGCGCCGCGGGAAGTCCTTTGCTTGACTCCGCGGGTAGATGGTCATATGGTGCTCCAGGACTGGCTCTGCATCCCCAAGGACTGGAGGCGGCCGTTCAGCGAAATACGCAGCAGCCGAGGTGAAATGAGTAGGGAGTGCAGCAGACGCCCCTACAGGCGTACTGCCTCGACTAGCACGCAGCTGTGCATCTCCACCACGGAGGCGGAGGAGGCTTGGGGCTGCAGTTGACGAGGATGTTGCATTTGTGTTGCTGGCTGATGGTGCGAGTAAAGGGTCCACGGCGGAGTATGGCGGCGGAGGCGCCTCATCATCCATGGCGGGGAACTTGACCCAGGGTATGAGATCACAGGACAGGGTCTGCAGATAAACAGGGCGTTACGCAGTTAGATTGCTATACATAGCGCGCAAAGAGCCAGGAGAGTCTCCAGACGTCCGGTGTGCTCCGGAAACCGCTCTCTTGTAAAGGTCGAGCGGGCAAGGCAGCAAGATTAAAAAGGCACGCGGCGACTGGCTCGTCCCACCATCACCGCTCGACTAATGCCAACACTGCGATTTGCCGCCGGTTGGCTTTTTCGGAATGAGATCCAGGTCAGCAGCGGGAATATGAGGCAACCTAGAAGGCGAAGAAGTCGAAGGCTGAAGCTCTCCCAGGCCGGTGGAGACGGCCATGGTCACGGGGTTCTCGCTCTCCGATTGGTCGAGACACGGCTTTCTATACTGTAGGGCTGACTGGGTTATTATTTGAATTCTACTGCGTATATCCCACAATTACATCTGCTATGTGCATGGTATCTTATCAACAATCATCAATGCCCGTCTACTCAAGCGCCAGACTCCGTTTTGGGCCCTTCAGAGCAATAAATCAAAAGAATGGCGTACTCGGCTAATCCCACGCATCTCCCCAGCCATCGTCTACGTCCTCATCCTTTGGCTTCGTATCGATCTTTTTTACCGGGACAACGATCTTAGCTGCAGGCTTCGCCGTAGAGCTTGGGCTAGATGTCCGTGGAGTCGACGACGTTTTAGAACCACCCAGTCCTTTGGGTAGGGGTTTCTTCGACTTTGACTGTGCAGCAAGCCATCCCGCGAAGTCCGGCTCCCCACCATCGTCGTATGGGACGGGGCTTGCTTTGGGCTTGGAAGTAGATGGGGCAGTAGCTGCCGGAGCGTTGAATGGGTCTTCGTCATTCCCCCACCCATCCTCGTCCTCATCGTCCATAGCTCCCCATGCATCCGCAACATCATCTACTGGCTCGGGCTCTTCTTGCTGTACCGGTGCGGGACGGGCTGACATTGAGCGGTTAAGTGGCTGGACCGCAGGCCGGGCCGTTTCTTTCGGTTGACTGAACGGCGCCGGCGAAGTTGATGACGTCGGACGAGGTAGAGATGCAGAGCGCTGTTCCTCGGCCGGTTTCGGTGTTGCAGTGGGTTGAATATCGCCATCAGCCGCTGCCAGCTTGTTCGTGAACGAGGAAATGGCCCAGCCTGCCCACGATTTGTCGTTGGACGTCCCAATACGGGCAGCTTCTTTGGGCGCCTCCGAATTTGTCGCGGGGAGAGCTGTGTCGGCCATGGAACTTCCATGTTTTCGAACGCGCTGTAGGTACAAGTCTAAGGTTTTGTTGGCCTGGTCCCTTATGAATCTGCAGACAATTAGCGATTGCTTAGAGCTGTAAGCAGTCAACGCACTTTTCACGGTCAAGAAGAGAAGGACAGATGGCAGGGAGGACTTTAGTCGCGCAATCGTCCTCGGAGAAAACGTCCAGCGTTGCAGACAATGCCAATAAGCCAGCGTTACGGGCATGGACGAATGGATCCCGAAGAGCTCGTGTAAATGCGGCAACAAGAACCTTGGCTCTTGACTATAAAACCATTAGCCTCATTTCAACCATTCAGTAATCCACTATACTGACGCTCTGGCCCAGATTCTTTGCAATCTTCCCCAAGCAAATGGTAGTATTCGTCCGGATTCCCGGTTGTTCATCGTTGGCAGTTCGTGCTAGGAATTTGAGTAGTTCGCCGTTGATCGTGCGATCACTCAGTTTGTTGATAATAGGCAAGACAGCTTTTACTGTCTGCTCTCGAACGACGGGTGCTGCATCTGTAAATCCGGAAGTCTGCATACAAAGTCAGTCTGGGAAGGCTAAACTCGGAGAGTAGACTGACCATCTGAGGGAAGATCTTATCATTGACCACCTTCTGAGTAAGGTTATCGGCCATCACCGGCAGGTGATCGAGAAGACAGACTCGAATAGCTCGATCAGGGTTGCTGAACAGGCGAACAATAACCGGTGTAAGCTTAGCATTAAACTCGTCCTGCGCCAGCTTCCCTCCGATTTTCAGGATCGCGGACAGAACCTTTGGGCCGCCGCCGCCAAACTCGACCGACTTTAAGAGCTCCGGGAGCACCTTCATCTTAAAGAAGTCCTCAGGAAAGTCTTCCGACAGATTTTCAAGCTCACTAGTCTGTTAGTGCACAGGCTCAAAGTCACAACGATGAAAGCTCACTTGAGAAAATCCTCTCTCTCCTCATCGCTCTTCAGACCTAAACTGTCGATATCGTCCGTCAACCGGATCAGCGGGGTCTCAAAGAACCCGCCGCTTTTCTTTCCTTGTTCCACAAAGTGTGCCGGGCTCAGTCGTAGTTTGGGATTAGCGGTTCCCAGCCGTTTATAGCTCTGTTGCATGCTAGGTGGGATATTCGTTGTCTTGCCAACCTCTCCGGTAAAGTTTCCATTGAAGACTTCAAACACCAGGATCGCAAGCCCGTAAGAGTCGACTGCCGTTAACGGGTGGCGTTTGATTGCATCCCATCCGCCCTTGACGATCTCCGGGGGAGTGTATCGGGCTGTGTCCGGCAGGAGACTGCCATATGTCTGCGCCGACGTCAGTCATGCCATACTAAGCGTAGTTGGGGGGCGAGGTACTGACGTATATAACAGCCTGGTCATCATTCATTGAACTCAGTATATCAAATCCCCCGAGCTTCCATTCGCCGCTTTCACTCGTGTATACTGATGACGCTCTCACAGCACCATGAACAGACGCGGCATCGCCGTTGATGAACTTCAGGGTTGACTAAGACAAGAAACCGCGTTAGCAGTGGCTTGAATCACGAGCATGGCAAACATACCGCAATCGTGTATAGACCCCATTTAGCGGTCTCTTCGCTTAAACTTCTCCGCTTCACATGCCAGGACAGAGGAGCCACCCGTTCCGTCACGATGTATAGCGAGGTCTCGGTCTAGTTACTATGAGCATACCCTCTTGAGAAATAGCCTCTGAGGGCCCACCGAAGACCAAATACCTCAATCGTGTCCAAAACCTTTATCACCCCCGGATGTCTCAATGTCCGTGATTTCCGTACGGCGTTCTTAGCAAGCGGTAGGCGGGACTTATTCGTGGCGATTTCGAACGTGAATACACTGCATGCTGAGCCGTCTTCCTAAGTAACAAACAAAGACATCAGCGCCGTGTTGCTGAACAGATGGCGTTGCGTGGCTTGCATACCCGCTTCGTTGCGTTGTGAAGTGTCCAAATGGACTCGGCGATGTCCACTCGGTCTCCTAGGGAATATGGAAACGAGCTGCCTTTCGCCATCGCTGACGCGACGGCGGATTTGAGGAAATCCATTGCGGCTGCGATCTAGTATTTCTTCCGGTATGGGTTGGTCTTGTCGGACTCGGGAGGCCGCAACTCGGAGGCCAGTTCGGGGACGGAGATGCGAAAGCGGACACGGACGCGGAGGAGAGGTCAGACGGTCAGGAATGTCAATGGACCTGGGAGATTTAGGGAGCTAGGGGTTCATTAACTCGATCCCGAATGATGTACAGAGGTCTTGTCTCTTGGGACCCTGGAGCTGGAAGAATGGATGGGCTCCGTACCCCGCCCCCGATCTGGCTTAGGGCGCCTGTCAGGTCAAGGTTGAAGGGCCATCGCGTCTCTCTTCAAACAAATCTTCTTCCTCTTTCCACACTTCATACGCCATCGCTTCTCCCGGCAGATCGCGCGCACTCAAGCAAACTTTAGCAATAGTCGAACATTCTTCAAGCTAATGTGAGTACTGTCCGCCCTCCCCTTTGTTCATCACCACAAACCCCCAAACACAAGCTCTCCGATGATGCGACACTGGTAAAAGGTCCGACCGCGAGGCCTCGACCGCTTCACCCAAACCGATGGAACTCCCACTCAGCACGCCGACGAGAATCCCGCACCCGACGCGTTCAGAATCCCTCCACCTATCTGTCCTCGAGGAGACGCAGCTCAGCTGAACCACGACGCGATCCGCCGAACCCACGCATCCCAAACGCAGGCACCTTCTTGATAAAGGCAACAAGGTCCTAGTCGCAAGGCCCACGGCTTTGGTTTCTACCTTGGAAAGAAGAGTGTATAACAACCACAAGCTAGCCGCTTTCTGGGGTTTCTGGTCCGCTTTGTCTCCATGAGGAATTGCAGAAACTAATGGCTGCGGCGAACACCGTGTTGGGATCTACGAGGGTTATACTTTTACTGCGGGATGCGTGGGCGGTGGGTTATGTTGGGATACGGCTGGGTTATGTTGAATCGAGGGTTGGGTATGTGTGCTGTGGCATCCGGTGCTTGGGCTGTTGTGGCTCTCTTTGGTTGAGTGAGGACAGTACCGCGGCTGAGTGTTCCGGTCCTGGTTGGATGAAGACCAAAATATAAACTGAAAAGACCTGAGGAGACTATCTTATTGATTCGTGTTGGCCAACTATGTCGAGGTGCGCTTTGCTGACAAGACTACAACAGATCGCTTCGAACGGGACACTCACTACTAGGGATGGTCTACAGAATGTACATTAGCGAATTTCTGTCCAACACGTATAATTAACTTCATGCTTTATTTACTCTTGCGCTCTCCTCATATGACAATCTCCACCTGAACTCAACTTGCCTTCAGTCCCCTCGACAACCTTCGACCTGAACTTCGCCATCTCAAGGGCCTGAAAACCACACGAAGGGTTACATGAAATGTGACAAGATGCAAACCCAACACATAGCATCGACATAAATCGATCCAGATAGTTCATATTCTGGTTAATCATCCATGGTCCCGGTATAGTATACGCAAAAGCGGGAGTGACGGGACGAGCAGAATACTAGTCTTGGAGAGCAAAGGCGACAGCCAACTCAGTTCAACATTTGGGCGCTACCCTGGCACGCTTTGGATCCGACTAGGCTGCTTTGGAGGTATGAGACCGTCAATCTTAGCTGTCTTCGTCAGCAGAAGCTCGACTCCGCGTCACATCTTGTAGACTGACCAACGACAAAGACTGCATCTGCCCCAAAGAGTATATAATTGGCATGTGCAGACCAGCAATATGAGCACAAGCTAATGATAGCTTCTTCTAAGGACGTGGGGCAGGGAACCTGCGGGATGATTCGACTCCAAAGAGTATTGACGAGGCTTCTGTTGCGTCGGGACTCCAACCCTATATTCAAGACTCCGCTCATCTGACTCACGTAGGACAGAGGGGGTCTCTCGCTGTATATGTGATTGCTAGATCATTTGGATTCATCCGGAGTCTCCTGAGCCTGAGAACCAGAAGCCTGAGGGGGTTGAGCCGTCATGGGAGGAGGAACTTGAGGCAGCTGGTTGAAGCCGCTGCTTGGCGTGCGATGCTGGTGGGGCGGGTAGTGATGCGCTTGATGGGGGCTAGATTGGAAGTGTGGTTGCTGCTGGGGATAGTTACCTCGGCCGGGTGGCACTGGGACCTTGTTAGCGAATGTGCGTGGTTTTTTCTTGGGCCCTTGCAACATACTATGACCTGGTTGCTGTCCGGCAAATACTGGCTGCTGATGATGACCAGGAGGCATGTACATAACGTGTTGGGGAGCTTGACCGGGCTGGGAATTTTGATGCATCATCATTGGAGCGCCACGACTGGGACTGGGGTAACCACCGTGTGGCTGAGGCGGTGGCACATGAGGATAAGCATGCGCAGGACTGGGCGAGTACATTGGCACTTGAGGCGTGAACGGAGCCTGAGGAACTCCCATATACGGCCCGCCAGAAGGTTGATGGACCATCATAGGCGCCGACATGGCACCTTGCGGGTTCACAAATTGAGGAGCGCCTCCATAATGCCGCATGTGAGCCGGTTGTGGTCCGCCTTGGTTCACGAAGAATTGAGGCATAGGTTGCTGGCCATAGGCAAGCTGTGCATGTGGCGCCATCGGTGACGGATACCCATGCTGGAGCCTTGGGGATGGGAAGACTCCCGACTGAGAGGCGGACATTTGCATACGGTGGGGGTCATCGAAATGGGGTGGGCCCGATCCATGGTGCTGTTGAGGATGAAGATGCGGTCCATGGGGAGGTCCAGAAGTAGGTGGCATGGTTGGAGTTTGCTGGAATTGATAGGGCAGGTGTGGCTGATGGGGCATCTGGGGATTGGAGGCAGACCGACTCTGTGGAGATGTAGGCGACGATTTGAACATCTGGACATATTTTATCTCTTCGACTCCGTCGGCCGCAGCATTCCACGTAGGAAGGGTGTTGTAAGCAAAAGGAATACCCCCATTGGAAGTAAAATCCCGCTCAGTCTGCTCTGCGCTCTCTTTCTTCATACGCTTAATAGGGTTGAACTGGTCTTTAAGCGATGGACGCTCAGAGATGGGACGCGGCTTTTTCGATCCGAAGAAGTTTGAGGGGCTTCTGGCGCGTGACTCGGGCTTGACGAACGTCGGTACAGTTGATGCGCCGGGCGTGAATGTGCTGGCGGCAGGGTTTGGTTTAAACTCCGTGGCTCGAACGTTGAACTTGGTTGAAACAGACGATGTAGGTGTGAGGACTTTGGTAGGGCTAGACACATTCGACTGATCGGTAGGAGGCCCAGCGCGAGCATCTTGGATTGGCAGCGGGGCCGGAACTGGACCGGCAGTTGCTCCCTTTCGCTGCTGAAGGTTGTCGGCAAGACGATGGCCCAGCATCCCGGTCGCTTGACGTCCCGCATATACGGGTTGGTGTTGGGCTCGTCCTGTGGAACCGCCCTGGGGGCCAGTTGGTGGATATCCTTGACGTCGAGGGTAGGGATAGCGGTCTGTTTGTACTTGTGAAGCCATCGCGCCGCTTTCCTGACGGATTGGCAACTGGGCGTGGTCTGCTGTCTTTTTCGGTTCGACGGGTGCGACAGTGGTATCTTTGGGCGTCTTCTTCTCCTCAGCAGCGTTCTGCTGCGCTCGTTGGATGATTGCTTCCTGCTTATGCGGGTCTTTGGCCAGAATAGGCACTAGGTCTTTCGGTACAGGAGTTGCAAGCTTGAAATTCTGAGAGAACTTCATTAACTCGTTGAGCTTGAGTGACCGGTCCACAGCGGCCGCGTTACGACGATGTTGGTTCAACTTGGATCGCTCGTTGTTTGCAAAAATACGGAAACGATCCAGGACTTCAATCTCGTTGCTATTATCAGGAGCACCCTTGGCAGCAGCAGGAGTGGTGGAGGAAGCTTTGGGAGGGACGGCTTTTCGCTCTGGGTCAGCGGCAGGGCCGGCGTTGACCATGGATGCTGCAGATTGCTGCGCCAAAACGGGCTCCTTTGTTGGCTGCGTTGTGGGGGTGGTCTCTTTTGTGCTAATCGCCCGCTTGACTGAGCCCGTGTAAGGGGGAGCGGTGGCAGTCAGCTGATTGTTAATGTTCCTGAGCGCAGGTGGTGTATATTTGTTCGACTGGCCAGAGGCCAATGGAGGGAAGCTCTTCTCGTCGCGGCGCACACCACTGTACTTGTCTTCTTCATCACCAGCATCAGGCGCTTGAATTCCACGCTCCTCCCGCACGTGTGCATTGTCTGCGTCGCTGTTCTCGATTTCACGGGCAATGCGAGCGGCTTCTGCCTCTTTCCGCTTATACGTTGGATCCGAGCGGTCGATGCGGGTAGTATACATATCCTCGTTATAGCTGCTAGTAGCACCAAAGAGTCGTGCGTTCGTCTCGAACTGGTCCCAGTTGTTGTGGGCAGTCGAAATACTTTCGAGAGCCATGTCAGTGTTTGCATCTGCTCCGGGTTCCCAGCGCTGTAATGTTCGCTCGCGCTTCGCAAGATTTCCAGAGATATCGGCATCCGTCCGAAACCCGGTGGTAGCTCCTAAAAAGGGTTAGGAACCGATGGTTCAGAGGCACTGGATATTGAGACATACCATTAGGCTTCGCTAATACGTCAGTTGTCGTAACATTCGGCACAGAAATGTCCAGAATGTCATTCATAGTGAAAGTCATGGAATGCTCTGGTGCCGAACCGAAAAACGGACTAGCGACATCGCTCACTCCATTAGCCCGCTGCTGTTCCTGTTTCGTCTGTCGCTGCGCCATCTTGAGAGTAACAGTGGACTCGTGGGATTCAAGAGACGAGTAAGAGAATATGCCGGTGAATTGGTCACCATTCTTCGTGGTAACGGTAGTGTTGAGTCCCTAGAACACATGAGCCTTCGTTCGGTAGTACCAACAGCGATACCTCGGTAGTTACGTACAGTAAAGCTAGCAAACAAGAACACCATGCGGTCATGAGCGTGGTTATCTGGGGTATTCGACTCCTTCGCGGGCTTGGGAGAAGGCGATGGTCGTTGGGACATGTTGCCGTTCTGCTGGGGAAAAGACGGACGCTGAGTGATCGGGTTCGTGCCTTGAGTCCAAGCCTTCTGCGAGTTACTGCGTCTGAAGAGAAGGTCGTTAGTGGTACAGTCCGTGGTAGTCAATGTACGAAGGCTCGGTAAATAAGGTAGCGTTGCTGCTGCGGTATAGCTCAAAAAAAAAAAAAAGAAGCAAAGTGGAGGGCAAATTCAGCCATAACAGACTCAAAACATGTACAAATATTCCTCTGGCAGCATGCGGTGATGTATTGAGGCTGTGGTGGTGGAAGTGAAGCAATGGGTAGCAGCCCGAGGCGCAATGGGAGGACAACGCAACGTACCTCTGCCCGGCGTCCGCTGGGCTACCTGTCTGTCGCCGCCCGCCATCCGACGATTTGGTATTTGTGCTGGTCCTCAACGTAGGTCGAGAGCCCGAGTTCTGTGCCGATGCATTGCCGGAGGGATTGTTCGCAATAGGCGCGGAGTTGACGGTGGAAGAAGCCATGGTTCGGCTTAAAAACAACAGAAGCTCACGTCGTGGTACTTGGCCCGACGTCGAGCTTCAAGTATGTCGGAGGGGTCGTAACGATGTAGCAACACACCGCCTGCGCTAAACGGGCGCGAGGAAGCGTTGCAGGACCAAGGGGGGATGGAAAGAGGGGTGGGAGGGGAGGAGTGTGGATGTGGGTGGAGGAAAAGCACACGAGTTAAGCTCAAGGTGCGAAGTCACGGGACCTGGAGAAGCCTCCGGGAGTGGAAAGGAGGGGGTGCTCGACAGCAGGAAAAATGAAGACAATCGTCAATTCAGGCGGCTATGCGAGTACAAATATGGCGAGGAATCCCAAAGCGAAGAACAGAAATCGACAAGCAACAATTGAGGACGAAGAGCTAGAGCTAGACTAAGTGACCTAGACTTCGAGGGTGAAGTTTGGGCGAGAATTGAATTGAATTGAATTGGGTGAGGTGGAGGTGGACAGACTAGGTCGGGGTCCAAGCCAGAGCCTATTCTTAATTTCTTAGTGGGACCACGGCCGGAGTCCAGACATCTTCAACCACTTGGTTCCTGGCTCTGATTCTATCGTGGATTTGTACAGACTCCGAACAGAGATGCTGTCACCGGACGCTTCAGCCTCGCCGTCGCCACCGAGTCATCGAGGCTCAACAAGGCGCCGTGCGTTTGCTTACGGTCAAGGTCAAGTCTGGATGATTTTCGCCCGCCCCGTCTACAAACTCAAGATTATGCCAGGAGCTAGGACAACCATGGTATAGCCCCGATCAGAGTTTGGATCGCTAGTCTTGTGCTATATAGGGCGTGACCCGGATCTAGTTCTCGACAGCAGAAGTAGAGGGATCGAATTGTGCATGGAATTGCCCGTGTTACTCGGCGTAGTTGATGATTGGCGCATGCAAGACAAGGTGCAAGTCACTGCCCGGCGCAGGCCTCAGTAGGGCATTCGATAGGATGCTTCGGCCCCGTGAGATATGACCGAAGAGAGTGATCTGTTCTGCCTGTCTCATGCAGACTGAAACATGTGCTTCCACAAAGTAACATCGCAATACCCCAGCCTCAGAGATACATTGAAGCTGAGCTGAGCTAAGGCAACGAGGTGGCTGGTGTGCCATGTGATTGGGTAGGAGTTCGTCTCGTGCCTCAGGCGCAGATCCCACGTCGACTTCAGCCCAATTAATATGCAATCAGACGCCTATCACGACCTCTTTGGATTCCTTCTTTCTATCGCAGCCAGCTCTTCTAGATCCTGTGCCATATCCGGCCGCTGCAACCTACATTATCATTCTCTTAGCGCTGCGCGTCTATTGTTGTTCAACACCTTATTTCTCCGTCTTAAGCCCAGTCGCTTCTGGCCCTCGCAGTCTCTCTCCCTTACACCATCACGCCTCCCGCACAGTAATCCCGCCCCCTCGGGTCCCCGTTGACTTCTGGCCCCCTGCGTCGATTTCGCAATAAATATCTCCTTCGTCTCTCGTCCGCGCTGGCCCCTATTCTAGGATCATATAATCTTCCGACCTCGTTCGCAACATGCAGTCCACCGGCAGCACCTCCTCGCGGTCCGCCCGAAGCCCCTCCGCCCAGCACTTCCATTCCGGGTCTTCGGGGAGCAGCATAGACACCGCCATGACTTCACAATCTTCTGCGCCACGCAGCTCGTCAAGCTCATCAAGATCTCAGTCCTCAAGGAGCACTGTGGTAAGTTTGCCGTGCCGCTTCTCATCGCGTTGAATAGAGTCTTGGTTAACTGGAATGATCTCCTACAGCCGAACGGACAAATATCCCAGATCGAAAAAAGCGTTACGCATTTACTCGTCGCGACAAAACAACTCTTGGAGACGTTAACACAATGGTCTCGCCGACAGGTTTCTGAGACCGAGGTTTCGGACGTCTATGTTAGGTTGGGATACGAGTTCAATCTTGCTTGTCGTGCCTTCAGCGCGATCGGGGTGGACACTTCAGACCTGGGCCCTGTTCCGGATCTCCTCCGTACGATTCTCGAAGACACGCTGAGTCAGGATGCCTCGCCACAAGCCCTCGACGTCTTTCTGCCTCGCATCCGTGATATCATCATTAACCTCCTCCACGGTCTGAAACGCAAGCAGGCTCGCCTGCGATCGCGACAGCAAAAAGAAGACGGTAGACCGACAGCTGGCCGACATGCAAGCGCGGGCAGTGCGGCGAGTGAATTACCTCCACCGATGGAGGAGACTCCTCCCGGAGCCGTATCCCCAAAACGCCCAAGCCGTACTCGCTACGGCAGCAGTGGATCTTTGGAAGACAACCCGCAGGTTTCTCGATCGTCTCCGGATGTCAAATCGGGCAGCTACTCTGATCGCGAGGCATCTAGGCGAGAAGCGCAGAATGCGCTTGCACAGCCAGCACAGCAGGAGAGTGAGGCGAGCTCAAGGACCTCACAATACCCTCCGCCCCCACCACCGCCACCCAAGCAGGACGATGCCATCGGGGCCCTGCAGCGGAGTGGGGAGCTGGAACGACGTGCGTCTCGGAGATTTTCCGCGTATCAAATCCAAAAGCATCTGGGGGCCTCTTCCAACGGCGTCCCTGTAATCCCAACCCAGAACTCGCCTATTCCTAATCGCGGCCGTGATGTTCGAGAATCGCTGAATGCCGTGCGTCTGCGCGGCTCGTACGCTCACGGACGTCAGCGATCTACACATCGGTCACATGGACTTATTGAGGCTAAGGCTACCCAGTCACAACAACCCTCGAGCAGCGCTTCAGAGGATCCGGTCAAGCCCCGCGTTGAAGCACCCACGGAGCCTTTGTCAGATGGCGTTTCTACTGAGAAAAGTGCCCAGCCCGAAAAGGACATGGCGAATGGCGTCCTCGAGGGACCTCCTGTACTACCTCCAATGCCACAAGAGCCGTCCCTTGCAGACGCTTTCGAACCGGTGAAGGACGCAGGACCTCAGACTAGCCAGGGGCCGGAGACACCAAAAGCAAGCCATCGACAGCCACACGCCGCCGTTTCGACTCCGCCTTCCTCCTCGCAGTACTCACCTGAACAACCCTCTCCGGGCAAGGAGCTTACTTTGTTTCTGCAGTATCGAAGCAAGATCAAGAAATACGTGCTTCCCGAGGGCTCTTCTGGATTAACTATTGGAAGGCTTCAGTTGGCCTTTATTGAGAAGTTTGCATGGAACACCCACAACAACGGCGGCGATCTTCCGGAAATCTACATCCAGGATCCAATTTCGGGCATTAGACACGAGCTGGAGGATCTTGGCGATGTTAAAGATCGATCGGTTCTTGTTCTCAACGTTGACGCTCTTGATGAAGTCAAGAAACATTTCGATGATGAGTTTGGTGGGGTGCGCCGTCTACTAGAGAGTGTCAAAGGAGCATTAGATGGCCAGGGTAACATGATGCAGCGTGTCTCGGATCGGCAGTTGGAAGCTGTCAAAGAAATCGCCCGTCTTGCCGCCGCACCTTCCGTCTCCACCGCCGGCGCCCCTGCCGCGGGCGAGGCGCGGAAAGGCCCCATTTCCGGCAGTGCTAGTCAGGTGGCCGAACTGTCGAGCTTACGGCGCGATCTTGCGGTTCTGCGACAAACTTACACCGACTTTTCCGCAGACATTGCGAGCTCAATGGGTGCGATACGGACCAAGGCAGATACTGTCAAGTCTTCCGCTGTTGATGCCTCCGTGCCGTCTTTCGAAGGTGATGCCGGCCGTGCAAGAGTCAATTCCGGAAAGAAGGAGCTTGCCGAAGAGTCCGAACGACTTGTCGCGCGTGTTGATGATCTTCAGGATCTGATCGAAGATTTGCGGAAAGACGTGGTCAGCCGAGGAGTCAGGCCACTTCCTCGACAGCTCGAGACTGTGGGTAAAGATGTCAGTGCGGTCACTAAGGAGATCAAGAAGATGCAAGAGTTTCTCAAGCGCGAGAAGCCGATATGGACCAAGATCTGGGAGAAGGAACTGCAGCTCGTTTGCGAAGAGCGTGATCAACTCACCATGCAGGAGGACCTTGCAGCTGATTTGCAGGATGATCTGGAAAAGGCAGCGCAGACCTTTGCTCTCGTCGAGCAAGCAACCAAGCAGCAGGCTATGCAAAACGGCAACAGCGGACCAACTCTGCGGAACACCTCGCGGAATGTGGTGATCGATCCGGCAGTTGACCCTGTGAAGGCAAAGGACAGTGTGCTGGGCGAAGTGCGTGCCCTCCAGCCAAACCATGAATCTCGCCTCGAGGCCATTGAGAGAGCAGAAAAGGCCCGCCAGAAGGACCTTGAAACTCGCCGTGACGATCTCTTCAAGAAAGAGCTCGGCAGCTTTGTTCAGGAGGGGAAGCTGAAGAAGAGTGGCGGTTTTGAGGAAACTGAACGACTTCGTCGAGCCAAGGACGAGCGCAACCGCAAGGAGATGTGGAATATAGCTCAAGCCCGTGCAGCCGAGATCGCAAAGGCCGAGGCTGAAGCGGCAGCGGCATCTGCTGCGGAGGCTGCAGAACCATCCGACGATACCGCTCCTGAGGCAGAAGTACCGGGCTCGCCGAAAGGAAACGCTCCAGCTGCTGATGATGACGCCGGCGATGAGAAGAAGGAGGAGGAAGCCCGCCCTGGCAGTGCGGACGACAAGGAAAACCACAAAGCGGACGCGGAGAACTAGACGGTATCTGCTGGCATTCATTTCACCCCCTGGACACCCCTCGTTCGTTGACTTTCTTTCGTACATTAATCATTCTCTTGATGTTTCCTTATTCCTTCTTGTACTTTCTGTACTTTGGATTGACCCCATTCTCCTTGGACATGTTTTGAAAGCCCCGGCAATCTGGGTTGCCGGGTGCTCGTTGCTCACTTGAATATTGACGATACCCTGCCACATCCCGTGGCGTGTTCTGATGGCTGTTATGATGCGGGGACGCCTTGGGCGGATTTGGCCTGTTATCTGCATTCATCCTGGATTTGCGTTTATGCACTTTCATTTCTTGTCATCTTCTGGATCGGGGCTCTTGCGTCTGTTATTAGCCATTCATTGGGAGCGGTTTCAAATGCAGTTATAATCAACACGTCTTCCAGTTTAGTATCACGGGCCAGTGGCCTTAGCCGCGTTACAGTGCATTGTTCGGCTCTATGAACAACAAAAAAAAGCTTGTAATGATAATCGGCCCCTGTTGAGCAGGAGAAGCGCAAAAAAGAAAGTGACCACTGCCGGGCTCGATCCGGCGACCTTGTCGGTGTAAACGACACGTGATAAACCACTACACTAAGCGGCCGGCTTATTAAGATACGGCATAATTGTTTTGTTTTATAAGGGCATTTTGCCGCAGCTGCTAGAGATACTAGGGCTGCATTCTCAACCCTGCTGCCGATGTACACTCTTACGTCTTTTCTTCCCAGTTTATAGGATGACCGTATCTCATAATTGGAATTATTCAGGGTGCTTGTAACACTAGATTCAAGTCCAGTGGATATCTAGCCGAGCCTCACAGCTGAGCGACCGTGGCTGAGCGACAAAGCAATGTCCACTTAGGGCAGATATATTTCCGTACCCTCCGTGACTCACCAGCCTCACCTCTGAGAGCCATATCTTCCCAATCCTGGGCAAGCTCATCCACAGCTCCTCCAGTACATTGAACCACCCTCAAAATACCACAAACCCTAACACCTGCCTCCCTGGCGGCGCTCTCGGCGCAGACCTCCACAACGCGCTACACAGCGCAGCGAGAGTACTGGGAAGACGCCGCCCAGGAAACGCGGGATCGCGCGCCTGCTGCGTTGGAATTACTGGCAGGTGAGGCGGGCTGGGATGTGCATTGCTGCTACGGGCGAGCGCTGGTTATTAGGGTGCGAGGAACCGGCGGGATGGGGTGGTTCCGGAGGCGACGGGGAAGAGCGGAGGCGGGGGATGGCGTGGGCGACTGGGATGTTTGCGCAGGTGCATCGTGGAAGCGAGCACTTGTTTGTTTGATATGGAGCTTGATCGGTGGTTTTAGTACCAGGCTGATATTGTGATTGGACTGGAGTGGATGCTGGGACTGGGATGTGGTTGAAGATCGAGAGTCCGCCGAGGCCGAGTGGGATTTGGGCGGGGATTGGGAGGGATGCTTTTTGGAGGTTGATGGGATGTTTGGAGGATGAGGGGACTTAAGTGGTCATATGTGCCACCAGGGTTATATATATACGCCCATCTAAGTCTTATATCAGTCAAAAGTGCCGGCACTTCTCCGCCCTATACAGGAACCGCCATCGGGGGACCCTTCTTAAGGCCAGTGTTCTTCACAGGGTGAAGTAACATAGGCGGGAAGCAAAGGGGACCATATAGATCCTCTCTCTAAGAACATGTTAGCACTTACCCTGTTGCAAACACAGAAAGGGCTTCTATTGGCCAACTTACCAACTCTCCCCCGTCAAACCAGTTTCTCCCCTGGGGGTCCTGATGCTATAGAGCAAACAGTTAGTCCGGATCACAAAAAGGAGTGACAGATCGAGACAAGATACACATACAAAACTCCCATCCGTATATTGGCCCATATCCACCTCATACCCGAGCCACCGCCGATAAAAGTCCTCCGCCGCCTGCGAAGTAAACATATAGCTCATGCGATAGAGTATATGGTCGAACTTATGATCCCAGTTCCAGATACTATCTGATCCCCCATTCATCTTCTCAGCAGACCCCTTGTTCACAATCCGGTCGATCTCCTTGGGCATCCATTTCCCATCCGCGTAGATCGGGTGCGGGACATGTACGGCCTTCAAGCCATGCCATAGTGCAAACGACGGCGCCGTCATCTCAGAGACAACGGCCAGACCGGCTGTGCTTTGGGCTTCATGAATGGCGCCCAGTAAGAGGCGAGAGTACCGGCCCATTGTCACTGGAGAAACCCGACGTGGCGTATCAGGGGGAAGATCGAAGAGGACATTGTTAAACACCCACGTTGTCTCGGCCGAGTCAAAATGCGGAAGGAAAGTTATTAGATCTGCCTCTTCGTCGACGCCCCAGGTATAGTTGTCGTCTTCGGGGCGGGGGACTGGTGGGATGGGACCGATGGGTGTCTGCGTCTGCTTCCAGGCGTGTGATGGAGGTGCTGGGCCCCATACACTTGGTTTACCGACCATAGCCTTGTCGATATTCTGCTTGAAGACCTCGTAGGTATCATGGGCACCGGGGATATAAAAATGCGCATTGCGTTCCCAGAGATATTTCCGCGGTTGTTTCTTTGCGAAGGCGGCAGCTCGCTCGAGGAAATGGTATGCATGGCCGGTAAATCGGGCGTCCATCTCTAGCTGCCAGACGTAGTCGAACTCTGGGAGTAGTGTGGAGAAGATCTGGACTGGCTGCAGGTGCTGATAGAGGGGCCTTGAACTTGGTCAGTGAGCTGGAAGGAAGATGAGAAGTTTGAAAGCCTACAGATGTTCCTGCACCTTGGGATACCAGGACTTCAGGGTCTCCTCGTTGAAGAAGACAGTCATGTCCCAGAACTCACGAGGGATAAATTGATCCTTCAGATGTTGAGCTGCGTCGGCCGTATGCAATGGGATCTCGTTATCCTTGACATGCGTAAGTAGAAAGATCTCGTACTCGGCGCCTGAATGCAAAGAGAGCTCCATGACAAGAGACCTGATGTATTGCTTCGTGTTCTCTGTCCACGTCATGTCATGCCATGCGCGTAATATAACGGCAGCTCTCTCTTTCACTTTGGAAGAATGTTGCTTGTCATTGTTGTCTGGCGGCGTAGTCTGCTTGAGCGGCAATGTGTCTTTGATTCGGCGCTGTTCAGCAGGCGAGATGTATCGATCTGAATTTCTCTTCCGGCATTGGGATTGCAATGCACCCCAATTAACTCTGTCCCACTTGGCCCTTGCTGGGGCGTCTAGATCGTCGTATCCATATGCGCCCAGGCGTGAGAACCGCGTGGTACATGAAGACCCGTCGAGCCCAAGGGCACTATACGAGCCGAACATCGGATACGGAAAGTCTGAATACGCTGTCAGGGCTTTCAAGCTATCGAGATCAGTCTGATTGTTACCTTTTTGAGTCCCGCGATAGGCCAGGACCATGTCTTCAGGGTTTCGCCGGTCCAAGGTCGTACCCCGGGGACCTTGACAGGCATGGAACGTCCCTTTCCATAAACGCCGCCAGCTCTGACTGTTATAACTTGGATAAGGGTCGTAGATTGAGTGCTTTGGATGGGAATCCTCTATGGTTGAGGTCCCGCCCCGGTAGAAGTTGGCCTCCCTGCAGAGCCATGTTAACTACTAAGCAGAACTAGCGGACGCAGAAGCACGCACCTGACGTCGCGCAGAGTCCCTAGACCTATAGGTTCATGCGCAGGAGGTGCCTGGTCATCCCATGGTTTCCACTCTCGAGGACTCCCAGCGAGATCGGTCGGTCGCAAGATATCTGGCTTGGATAGCAAGACCGGGAATCCATGCGGTCGATTAGGGAGGGCTTGGATAATTAGAAGTAATAACAAGATTAAGAACAGACACGAAAGAAGAATATAACGAAAGGGGAGGCCTGAGAAGCGGCCGTTCAAGATAGATGCGCCATTGAGCATGTTTAGAAGTTGATGGCCATGCCTCGAGCTGCGAGAAGATCAGAAGAAGTCATGATCTAGCTAAGCGCGCACTACAGACAGCCCAAGGGTCTCTGATAAGCCTCGAGCTCGTTGATTACGCAACGAAAGTCGACCCCGAGTGATACCCACCTGAGTCTGCGCATCGCCGCATGGGGACAGGATTGCGGCGCTGCAGGGATCGACTGTCCAGTCACCAAACCCCCAAGGCACGCCATCACACACGTAGCTGGCTGCCACTGGCCAGTGATGATCGAAGTAGCAGGGGGAAGAAGCAAATACTGGCGCTAGACGGTCTTAGGGCTCCTCCGGCTGAGGCCCGGCGCTTAGCGACATGATTCAGGCACACGGCCCATCCAGGCTATCGGGTCCCTGTCGCCAATGGCCGGCCTCGCCCAAGCTTCCTGGTCGAGCCCGTCGCAGGTTGAGGCCAAAAGCCGCTCGAAGCCGTCAAAGCCGATGGCTACGGTACGAGCCGGCGAATGATGACCATGCTCGAGGCTCTCGCTGTTGGTCAGGGGAATGAACCCGGACCCCTGAGCCCTGACGCCAGAATGGCTCTGTCTCTGTCCTCTTGCACTTCACTTCCGGCGGCTCATGTTTGAGTGAAGGCACGATGAAGCCCGTCAACCCGCCTTTGCCCCTGCTCTGGCTGCTCTACGGGCCGTTGCTTCTCAGGGTGTCCACTGCGACATGTTACTATCCCAACGGCAACCCAGCCACCGACGACGTCCAGTGCACGTCTGGCGACAAGAGCGCCTGCTGCGGCAGTGGTTCGATCTGCCTGTCAAACGGTCTCTGCATGGGCATCGTCCAGCCCTTCGGTTTATCTCGCGGAAGCTGCACAGATCCGAGCTTCGAGATTGACGAGTGCACGAATGCCTGCAGTAAAGACCTCTATACAAGAATATAAGGACAAGAAGGGGATGAACTGACTCGTTGCTAGCAAACATCCAACGCAACGGCGGCTGCGCGATCATCCCCTACAACAACACCGAAGAAGGCGTCTACTACTGCTGCAACTCGATCGTCAATAACAGCACCGGACCTCGCCCGAGCTGCGCCTGGGATACCGACCCGTTCACTCTGCAGAGCGCGACTATTATCCCGGGCGCTGCTCTTCTCGAGAACTACGCACAGGTATCGGACTCGGACACCACGAATACAAGCACGGCGGAACAGAACAAGACGGTCGACTGCCTGAACGCTGGCACAAACACGTCCAGCTCGAATTCGAAAGAGGTCGCTATTGGGGCTGGTGTCGGCGTGCCTCTAGGGGTCCTTGCTTTGGCTGGGATAGCTTGGGCGCTTTATGAGAGGAGACAACGGCTGCAGTCTGCGTCCATGGTCTCGAGTACGAGTAATCTCGCCTCTATACCGGCTTATAGCTCGGTCAGCGAGGAATTCCACCGAAAGGGTGTCAATCAGGAGAATCGTCACTCGCAGCCCTTTGAACTGGCAGAGAGCACCCCGGCATTGTCAGGAAACCCCAGGTTCGGCTGAAGCGCTTCTTTCTTCAAATGCTCTTTACATCTATAGATATTTAATTATTCTTCTCTTCTTACTGGCTTCAAGTACTGAGCACCTCCAGCCTTGTTTTCGATATTTACCAGAGATGGGGTTGCGAGGACACTTACTCTAGTACCTACCCCCGTCCACTTAGGGCTAGTTATTTTGTGCCTTAGGGCTACAGGTAACTTGATAAGGTTGTTCCTTTGTTCCCCGCTATGATTCTTCAGGAAAACGTATGATTAATAGATTGGCTAGAGTATCTAGATCTACGCACAGCCCAAAGCCCTAACTACCTGACCAAGATGGAAGCGTGGCTCGAGGATGAAACCGAAACTCCAACTCCGATCGCTCAGCTGAGTTCAGCTACGTGGATGAACCAGCAAATAAAATAAGGGTGGATCGCCATCGGGCATTGTTGAGGGTCCAAAATGCAGCGAGAGTCAGCACTAATGAGGCCAAGTAGGGCTGAGCTGACATGGGACGCCGAACTGGAGTCCATAAAACTCCGGCGCTGGACCTCGAAACCCGAAGCCCTTTGGATCTAATACTTCAAAGAAACAACCCTCTGTTCAGTCCTGACAATGAACCTGCAAGGCTTCCCCCGATTCTATGATCTCCCAGCGGAACTGCGCATCCAGATATGGCGCGAAGCATGTCCAACGCCGGGAATCCATGCCTTTGACGTGTGCATTCCATCTCCTCAGACCGGCTTGCGGATATTCCAGGCTCGAGCCGAAGTGAAAGGAGAGGATGTCCACATGCAGTTCGAGCCCCCGACCAGCGTATTCCTCGACCAAGTCGTGGTGCCACAAACAAAGAACAAACCAGTCCCTCAAAGCGACAGCAACAAGCGAGACCAATCTACCTGCCGCAATGCAAATACCAAATGCAGCCTCACCTCAGACCCATCAGCCTACCTCCTAACTGACTCAATCGCACAAAGCTGCCCCGAGGCCTCCTCATCTTTCAACCCACCCGCATCATCGAATCGAAGCAGCACTACCAACACAAAGATAAACACCGTCAACCTACCCATACGCGGGCCAAAAGGCAAGCAAATCCACTACAACAACCTAACCGACACCCTGCATCTCCGCTTCGGCCCCTCCGTCTTGGCCAACACCCCTTTCGACCCCTGGTTCCTAAACCCCTACGACGGCTCCGAAGACGCCTACATCCGGGTCTTCAAAGGCAGTCTCTCCGACATCCTCCTCTACCCCTGGAGCACGGAGCTCACGGGTACGCTGCAGAGCGCCCGGCGGATCGCGATTGACATTGCAGATCTGCAGATGGAGATGGCGCCTACGCACGCGTTTGCGCTCGAGGCGATTTACCAGGAGGTGGAGTGCTTGGTGGCGCGTTTTGCGAAGGGCTTGGAGGTCCTTTATGCTGTTGATTATTGCATGGGCCAGTGTAGGAGATGTGAGACTGCGGGTGTGAAAGTGAGAGGAGATTTAACGAGGAAGTTGGACTACATTGCTGGTGAAAGAGAGCCGGATGTCATCTACGGGAATGGGGCGACGTATAGTGAAGTGTATGATCTAGAGGCGCTTGGCTGGAGCGAGGAGACGCCGGCGTTCATAGTCCTGAAGATGTTTGCTGAGGCGATTGGCAAGCAGCAGAGGGAGGAGGGCAAGGGAGAGGTGTGCTTCCAGGGAGTTAGGGTTTTGGCTTGCCGGCAGTCAGAGATCTGATATCTACTTGAAGCGCTTTTAGACATGGCAGAGATCAACCGGCGTGCTATGGAACATTGAAGATCGAACCTTAATGTACCATACCATACCTACCAGCCCAGATTTTACCCTACTATACCTGGATATTTACCTACTGCCCTTCACATGGCACACTAATCATCTCGATAGAAACATTTGTAAAGGAAAGGATCATTCGAAACTAGGGCTGAAAATGTATAGTAGATCCATGGTTTCATTGGTGGAGAAATGTCTCCTGAATAACCAACCCAGGCTGAACGCCTCTCGAGGATCGTGCGCATAGTGTAGAATGGCCTTTGATGGTGGAAGCTGAAGCTTGAACAATCATGCTGATAGTTCTTTTTAGGCTGAATTGGTTGGCTAAGCTTGTAGGGCAGAAGCTCCTGTCCCCAACTTACAACGTCTTCAAATATGTATACCTAGAGAACGCAATCGTCCGTTCACGAAGTAACATAACCAAATGGACTGATCTTACGGAAAATGGCCTTTACAAACCCCATAATCACAGGCTTCTACCCAGACCCCTCCTGCATCCGCGTCGGCGACACCTTCTACCTCGCCAACTCCAGCTTCCAGTTCTTCCCCGGCATCCCAATCCACAAGTCAAAAGACCTTGTAAACTGGGAGCACATCGGTACATTTTCCCTTGTCACGTCCAGCTCTCCACTAATTGAGGAAACAGGAAACGCGTTCTCCCGCCCCTCGCAACTCCCCCTCGACCAAGCAACAACAAAAATCAACAATGCAGCCAAGAGCGAGATCTTCACGGGTGGAATCTACGCCCCGACGCTGCGCTATCACGAGAGAGCAAAAACATTCTATATCGTGTGTACAATGCTGACGGGGTCAACGACCATGGCGCCCAGCGATGACTTCCAGCCGCGGAATTTCATCCTCGCCACGACTGATATTGCGAATGACAAATCTTGGAGCAAGCCCGTGTACTTTGACTTCCACGGAATTGATCCGAGTCTCTTCTTCATGGATCTGGAGGACGGGAGTACCAGGGTGTATGTCCAGGGGAGCTGGATGCACGGGTACAACAAGACGCCTGCAACAGTCATTCGACAGGCTGAGATCGATGTTTCGACTGGGGCGCTTCTCTCGCCCTGGAGGGATATCTGGGCCGGTGCTACAGAAAAGGTCCCGGAGGGTCCTCACATCTATCACCGCGAAGACGGGTGGTTCTATCTCCTGATTGCTGAAGGAGGCACGCACGGCCGGCACAAGATCACGATGGCGCGGGCCCGGGACATATGGGGGCCTTATGAGGGGTGTGAGCGGAATCCTATGCTAACGGCGGAGGGGAGTGACGCGGTGGTCCAGTGTGTTGGGCATGGGGATCTCTTCCAAGACGCACAAGGGAAGTGGTGGTGTGTGATGCTTGGAAGACGGCAGTTTAAGGAACACCCGGGGTGCTGGCCGTTGGGGAGGGAGACGTTCATGGTTCCGGTTGAGTGGGAGGAGGGCGAGTTCCCTGTTTTTGGGAGAGTGGAAGTTGAACAGCGTGTTTCAAGGGGACGGCAGGTTGGTCGGATTAAGGTAAAGGAAAGGCAGTGGAGGGGGGTAGAGCTCGCGTCGCCGTTGACTGTCTATCTGAGGACGCCAGATTTGAGACATTACGAACAGCAAGCAGACGAGATATTGCTGTTCCCTACGGAGATGAATCTCGGCGTGGAAAAAGGCACAGTGAGCTTTGTCGGACAGAGGCAGACCTCGCTTGACTCCATTGCCAGGGTCAGCCTCCCCCTGGACAGCGCCGACACTACCGGGCCCTTCTGCGGGTTGACGGTGTACAAAGACACATTCCGATTTGTGGCTCTCGAGTACAGCGCATCGGATTCAAGTCTGAGTCTACAAATCCAACAGGCCGAGAAGCCGCTGACGACTCTGAGCTCCGTCTCCGTCGAGGGCGACATGGCCCTGCAACTGACCATCACTTCAAGGCTGGCTAAATATACGTTTGAGTGCGTTAAGACAGCCTCCAATGGGCAGACAGAGAGCGTTCAACTTGGCGAGGTTCCGTGTTCTGCTCTGAGCGGCGATGATTTCACAGGTTGGTCTGCCTTAGGGTTAGGGCTGGCACTGGGCTAATGAATCTGACAGGGACGGTATACGCTATATACGCTCATGGAGATGGAGGTCCGGCTAGATTTAAGGGATTTGAGATTTTGGATTAGTTGTAAATTCAATCAATCTGTTCTGGTGATACTTCCAACTTTGCGTAGAATTATCTGAGCTGGATACAGGCAACCCGGCACCTGTACCCCATGATTCGATTATACCGGTAGTGTCTTTAACATATACAGCTCTGTGACTGGGAAGACCTGATTGGTGGCAAAGCCTCGATGCTCCGTCGGGTTAAGACGTCTGGTCCCGGCGGGGAATCGAATCACAGTCGGCTCAGGCTTCTGCATTGATATGTGCCAAGGGCTAGGCATGAACTACCTCCACAGAAGTGACTCTATTTAGCCTGATATATCTACATTGAGCTTATAGAATCTGGGCTACCGAAGCCTTAAGGCTGGCGAGCATACCATACCTATCATGTCCAGCGCTTAGGTAGATAGGTCTGCATAGAGAGCTATAATCCATCTCATTAACTGCCCTATCAACTTAGCCCTACTTAGCATGATCAAATATTCCTACAATCTTACTGCATTCCCTGGTCCCCAAGCCTACTGCTTAGCACCAGCATTCTGCTCCGCCGCCGCAACCTCTACTCCCTTATCCCCGTCCCCACCCACCCCCCTCTCCTCACCATCAACCTCAAACTGCCCCTGCTTGGCCTGCTGCATAAGGATCGCCCCGTGCGAAACATGACTCTGCCCACCAAACAACGTATCCATCTCCTCAAGAGCCACCTTCTTCGTCTCCGGGATAAGGAACCACACAAACGCCGCGAGGAAGACATTACAGGTCATGAAGAAGAAGAACGACTTCAGCCCTTCATTCTCGTAGAACGTCGGGAAGAACTGCTGGAAGATCGTGTTCGCAACCCCCTGCATCTGCGAGCACATGCCCACCGCCTGCGCGCGCACATTCATTGGAAACACCTCGGCCGTGTAGATCCACACCGTCGCGCCCCAGGACGGCTTGTAGAAGAAGGCGAAGAGAAACATGAGGAAGACGATGGCGATGCCGACGGGCTGGGTCTTGGCCCCCTCGGCTGTGGACGGCGTCTGCAGGCCGACTAGGGCCGTGATGAGCATGCACACGGCCATCCCGATCGCGCCGACGATGAGCAGGAACTTGCGGCCGAAGCGGTCGACTGTCCAGGTTGCGTTGAGGGTGAAGAGGATCCCGAAGGTTGCGTTCAGCGCGTTGATCAGGTTGATTGTGTCGCCGTCCGGCCAAATCTTCTGGTAGATTGTGGACGAGTACGAGTTGAATGTGCCCTGGCCGGTGAGTTGCTGGCCGATGTTCAGCACGAATGTTAGGAGGAGGCGCTTGCGGATGGAGGCGTCTTTGACGAGCGTCATGTATGCGCGTTTGCCGTGGTCGAGGGCTTCCTTTTCGAACTGGATTGCTTCGCGGATGGTCAGGAGCTCGGACTCGATTTCGTGCTCGGTGTCGCGGACTTGGGCGAGGACTTTGCGGGCGCCGTCGACGTCGTCTCTGCGCTGGATGAGCCAGCGGGGGGACTCGGGCATGAAGGGGAGCTGGCTGATGATGACGATGGGCAGGAGGAGCTGGAAGATCACGACCATCTTCCAGTCCCACTCGCCGAGTTCGTCTCTGTGTTTGCCGGCTGCGTAGTTCACCCAGTAGGCGACGAAGGAGCCGACGGAGTAGAACATCTGCCAGAAGGCCATGACGAGACCGCGGATGTATGAGGGGGTCACCTCGCCGATGTAGATTGGACCGGCAGCTGGAGCTATTAGCTTGTTCTAGAGATTCAGATGGAGAGGCATACCGATAGCAAGAGCCTGGCCCATGCCGATGAGCACTCGACCAGCCATGAACGCAGGCACCGGGTTGCTGGGAGGCGGGAAGCATTGGATGAAGGTGGCGATGATGGTGATAAAGCAGCCGATGCCCATTGCCCAGCGACGACCGAGATAGTCAGCCTGTCCACCTGTTAGCCTCGTTGGGCTGTATTTGCTGGGCGATTTACCAAAGGGCCAGCAAAGAACCATCCCGTGATGATCCCACCGACTGTGTAGACCGTATTCATCAGACCGAGCATGTAGCTGTTCTGCGCGAGTAAGCCAGAGATAATGCTGTTACCCGAATCTTGTGCATACGGGATTCTCGAAGTATGCGTGCCAGTTATCCGAGTTCTGCACCGAGTTGAAGACGGAGGCATCGTAGCCCATCAACACCATGCACCCGGCTGCCACCAGGCAGATGTACCTGAGAAAGTTAGAGCCCTGGAGAGTTCGACGAGACAGCGGCAGACATACCAGTTGTAGACTCGAGTCTTGTGGACCATCTTGTCCGTCGTGAGTATGCTTGGACGCAGGTGAACGAGTTGATCAACAACCTAGGGCTAGGGAGGACTCCGTCTGCTTTATCTACGCCCAGTCTCAGTAATCAACGTCTGCTGCCATCCTGCTGGGACTATATGTCTGAGCTCAATGAGAGCAATGTGAACCATTGGAGGAATATCAAATCAAATTGACACCAATGATGTGAACGAGCGTCAATGATTCCGGGATCAGGCTGAAAAACAACTTGATATCGCCTCTGGATGTATCCCATGAGCCTTTACCCAGGACCCTGTCGGCTGAATAGGCTAAACTCGGCCGCCACAATCCTGGGGTAGAGGCTCACTGTAATCTGGAGGCATGAGGGGTCTGAGCTCTACTCTTATATTGGTGCCGCGGAATATGGAAGCTGGGCGCTGAGGCTGGATTGACGCTTACAGCAATGGCCAGCTCATGAGGACGGATGCATTCATGTGGTAGATCGCCGTCTTCACTCTGAGATGCTTGGTTGCACCTTTTCCTGCCAAACCCTACCAGTACCTAGGGTAGACTGTGCCATCATCCACGTTCAAGTGATCCTTGAAGACAGAAACAGCCTGCAAGTATGGAACGTGATAGTCATCTGGTAGTTGGTACCTTACTTTGATGGTACTTGATGCCATATCATATCTAGGCCTGGATACTACCAGTTGGCTAGGGCTGGTATCCTAGATGCCGTGTTAGGGCTACTACCGCATACATCTGGCAAGTCGTTACAGTCCTTTCCACATCTATTCATAAACAAAAGCTTATTCTCCACAAGAGACAAACCACCGCCTATCCCAGTCCAAGATCTTCGGTCCAACTTCGTCCCCGGAAGTCCTATGGACAAACCATGACTTACATGATTATCTAGCCAACACCTCGAACCGGTTGAGTCTGAATCCCTGCTGCCGCTGCGCCGATATCGCAAATAAACAAATGGTCTGGGAGCATCTTGCATCTATGAATGTAATACGTCATTGAAATGTATCCTACACGGCTTCGATATCGGTTTGATGCGCAAGACATTTCACACCGTATCATTCCCCTCCAAAAACTCCAACAACCTCTCTGCAACAGCAGCAGGCTGCTCCTCAGGAAGAAAATGCCCACAATCCTCAACCACACCCCCATCAACATTCTTCGCAAACTTCCTCGCCAAACCAACCATACCCTCCCCAACAGACCCCACACCCCCAAAAGCCAACACCGGGATCTCAAGCGGCATCTTCGCAAACTCCAGATTCTGCCTCGCACTCGTCTCAAAGGCCCGATAGTACTCGAAGCCCCGACTCATAGCCCCAGGCCTCGAATACGCCTGGATATACCGCTCAAAGTAATCCCTGTGGAAGCGCTGCGCATTCACCGTCTTTAGCTTAAAGAACCAGCCCAGGAGCTCCCTCTCCCTCCCCCGCGTCAGAATCCCAGGTACCTCCGGCAGCGCATTGAACGAGAACCGCCAGAGCCGCAAGTTTGTCTCGCGGGACAGCGGGAACTGGAGCTGCGGCATGAACCCGGGCACCGAGGCGTCCAGGATACTGAGCGATTTGAGGCGACGCTGGAATTGAGCGGCCCAGGGGTAGGCGATCCACCCGCCTACGTCGTGGCCGACGAGATGGTAGGGTTTGTCTTTCACGATGTCGTGGATCGCTTCGGCCATGATTTTGCTTATGTTTGCGGTGTCGTAGCGGTTTGCGAGGGCAGCTGAGTCGCCTAGACCTGGGGGGTCGAGGGCGAAGAACTGATAGCGTTTAGAAAGAGGCTCGAAAATACCGCTGTATGCCTCTGCGGTTTGGGACCAGCCTGGAAGGAGAATTAGGGGAGGGCCGTGGCCGCCGACGATGGCTCAGATGCCGTGGAGGAGACGGGTGGTCTGCTATGTTGGTGTCATTGTGAGTTAGGCACAGGCTCCATGTGCTTGGATTTCGAGAGTTTATATGCCCGGTGCTGTAATGAGTCATTTGCCCTCTCAGCTCTATCCTAGTCGTATCCGTTCACTCCGCTTTTGACGAGCTATCCAATCACCGAGTTATTAAAGGCGTTACTCCAGTGATCCGTAGTGCTCATATAAAAGCTAAGTCAATAGTAAAGCTTATATGGGTTAACGAGGGCTCCGGCATTTAGCCCGATCCCCATCGGGCTCCGGGGAAAGTCTGGGAGGTGCTCCGACTACAGATATGAGCCCAGTAAGCAACGACTATAGGGAAGTTGGGACACGTACGTGACGGAAAAGACGGGCTATAAGCACGAGGGATCTACGGCACTCGGATATTACAGTGGAGATTTACTGTACTTGACACGCGCTAATATACGCATGTAGTTTATGACTGGTTAGAGTCACTTGACTGAAGTGTCTTCCTCATTGCCAAAGCGTGACCATTACGGGGTCAATCCATGATCAGCGGCAATTCTCTTCTGCTCCTGTTCATTGCGTTTCTCAACCCCGGGCGAAATCCCGGAGATGTACAGGGGCAGGAAGTGTACTTAAGCAATTTGCACTTCCTGCGAAATCCCAAATCCGGACTTGGTTGGCCTTATTACACTCACATCATCACAATGCCTGCCAAGTATCTTCTCCTGGCCCCGTTCCTCCTGGACTCAGCCCTAGCAGGAACCCTCTACACAGCCTCCTTCACCTCCTCGCTCTCCCCATTCTCAGCATGCAACCTCAAGTCCCCATCCAGCGTCACCACAAGCGCCGACAACGCGGTCTTCACCTTCGACGAAAGCGACTTCGACGGCACCCGGGACGACAAGGGCGTCGAGATCTGCGTCTTTGAAGAGGGCACCTCCACCAACGTCGCCCAGATGACAAAGGAAGGGTGGCAGGGCTTCAACCTCCATGTCTCTTCAGACTCATTCCCAACTAACAGGAGCACCATTATCGCGCAGCAGTTCTGTCCGGGGGGCTGCTCGTCCTGGTGCGGCGGGTTGCAGATCGTGGATAATGCGCTTGTGGCTGAGCACCGCGCTGCGTGCGGGGATGCGACGACGACCACGCTTGTTGCCGATATTGAGCGCGAGACGTGGCATGGGGTTGTTGTGCATATGAGGGTTTCGCAGAAGGGAGACGGGGTATACGAGGTTTGGTGGGATGGGACGCAGGTGTACGGCGTGGACGGCATCGATGTTGGTTTTGGGACGTGGGACGGAGACGCGCTATCTTCTGGGTGGTACTTTAAGAATGGGATATATGCCTATGGTCAGTATTGATTGGATTGGAGTGGACGCATAAGGGTCAACGAGCTAACTATGGCATGTCAGATACGGAGGATTATGTTGACGGAACGACCAGGGCTTTGTTGCTTGACAATGTAAGCTGGTACGAGACTGACAGTGGTGAAACGGACGGTTATGATACTGTTGTCCCAGGGAGTGCTAGTTAATTGGTATGTCGTTGATGGAACTTTGATGTTGGTTGTTTAGTCCTTTAAGCAATCAACGAGGGTTTAGTGGAAGCAAGGTCTTGCTTAGGGCTACACCATATCAAGAAGTTGGACTTCTTGGAGTATCCTGCACCTCATGGAAAGATTCTCTTACCTGCAAATGACCTTAAGCCAGACCATGGGAATCCGGATTCAGAGCTTCAGTGGAGATACTATTCAATCTGCTATTCCTTACAGAGGCTCATAAGCCTTGGTTATAGTCGCATGATTTGCAACACTGAACTGTAAGTGTACATATGGTAAACAGGACTGATGATGGAAATCAAGCCACATCAACAGCCTCTAATCATTCAACCAATCATGCTCTGGCATTGAAAGAGGCTAGCCTGATTCATTTTGAACAACCCGGTGGGTCAGCGTTGAAGCAAAGGTAGGGTTAGGTATCATAGCTACAACTGGCAGATGGGATAGACATCAGACACATGTAACAGAACTATGCATAACTGTCTATCAAGCAGTATGTTCCCTGTGTGAATTGTAGTTGATGACGTGTTATCTCCTCTTATACCGCTACTGCCACCTCACTGCAAGCATGCCTAAGCCTGTTGTAGTAAGGGCAGCATGCAGGCGCCCAGTCGATCGTGCCACCCCGCTCGGTCGCACTCCAACCCTCCATCTTGCCTCGTCCTCCTCGAGTCCTCCGCTTGGGCAGACCCGAGCGCACAGGCAGGCGATCCGAGTTCAGCATGAGCTTCGGTTTCAGCTGCGATATCCTCAGCACGTTGCAACTCGCCGATGACCTGAAAAAGCGATTCGCCCAGGCCCCCAGTGGATTCAAAGCTATTTATACAGAGTAAGCAATTCCGCCCACTCGGCAATCGTTCACTCAAACCGACCGAGGTTAGTGTGAAGAGCCTCTGGGCCGTCCTCCATGACCTCCATGACCTCCCGAAAGATGGTCTTTGCGCAAACCAGACAATGGAGCTGGACCTGATCGCTCAGCAAGGCCGCGAAGTCTTCTTGGAGATTGATAACAGGCTCAGCAAGCACAATGTTATTGCATATGCGACTCCCGACTGGAAAAGCAGGGCTCTTCGGGCGTGGAGCCGAGTGCATTGGGATCCTGTCGAAATCGAAAGCCTGAGAAGTCGGATCACTTATTGTCTCACGCTCTGGAACTTGGTCATGAGTAGAATCAACTGGTATCCTTTTCCCCTTCAACGTACTGTGAGTGAGCGCTGATACCCTGCTCGACAAGGGACCTTACCTTGCAGAATGGGGGAGATATCCAATCCATCAAAGCCAACCAGAACGTGCAGCTGCGCAATCAGATGCTGGCATCAATCTACACGGTCGATGCCTCGCAACAGCAGCACCGCATCCTCAACATGCGGCATGCCGGGACCGGGAAATGGTTCCTGGAGAGCCAGCAGTTCCTGCTCTGGGTGTCCAGTGCCGAGAAGGGTAACAATACCCTGCTCTGCACTGGATCCCCTGGAGCAGGCAAGACAGTCCTCGCTTCGATCGCGATTTATCATCTCCAAACCGAATTTGCAGGCAAAGGGACTGTCGCCATTGCCTATCATTTCTTTACTCCCCGCGGGCGGCTGGGTTATCCTGACCTTCTTTCCAGCCTGCTGAGACAAATGCTGCAGGGAAACCCAGACCTGTACGCGACGGTCGCCGCAGTTGCCAAATACTCCATGCGTCTACGCAGTGGTCACCCCTTGGCTGCAGAAGAAGCTCAAGACATGCTTGAGTTCGCGGCGTCCAAATGTACTGAGGTCTTTATCGTCGTTGACGCACTAGACGAATGCTGCGACATATACGTACGGCGTCAGTTCCTTACCTGGATAGGCAGGATTCTTGATCTCAATGGCCATACAAAGGTCAGATTCCTTGCAACCACCCGGCACGCCACTGAGCCGGAGAAGCTCTTTCAAAACAACCATATTGCCTTGGACGTCAAAGCCAGCAGGGACGATATGGAAAGCTTTCTCGAAGGAAACCTGGTTTACCTTCCGGAATTTCTGCAGAGGAAGCCCGAGCTTTGGAAAGATATGCGGAACCAGATGCTTGACTTTGCGGACGGCATGTGAGTGATGGCCACAGTCCTGCCGATACTTGAACCACTGACGTACTCTAGATTCCTGCTTGTTTGTCTTTATTACAATCTGGTCATGCACGAAAGAAACGAGAAAAGCGTCCGGGCACTCGGAAACAGGATCAAAACGGGCTCAGGGGCTTACGACCAAGTGTATGACGAGACCATGAAGAGGATTGAGCAGCAGAGCGCCTTTTCCCAAGACCTAGCCAGGAGGATCATTGGCTGGGTGACATTCTCTGCACGAACACTCAGCTCTGTGGAGCTTCAAGAGGCCATTGCTGTGGAAATCGGTGAACCCGAGTTCGACGCAACCAACATCATCGATCTCGGGGAGCTGATTTCTGTCTGCTGTGGCCTGGTCGTGGTGGACTGTAACAGCAACACCACCAGGCTGGTGCATCCTACAGCTCAGGAGTATTTGGAACGGACGTGGCAATCTTGGTTCCCAGGGGTCCACGGATATCTCACGGACACCTGCCTTACCTACCTGTCCTTTGATGATAGGCAGAAGTATCCGTTCTATCAGTACGCGGCTCATGAGATAGGAACCCATCTCCGCCAGGACCCAGGCAATGGCCTGCTGCTCGATGCATTCATCAAGAACGACGCCAAGGTTTCTCGGTGCATGCGGGAGATGCTAGGTCTGTCATCAGCAGACTTCGGATTCTCCGGACTTCATTTCGCCTCGATCATGGACGTCGAGGATTATATAGAAAGGCTGATTAGTCCTGACAGCAGCCTGGTCAATGTCAGAGACCACCTTGGCCGGACGCCACTCACCTGGGCTTCAGGGTATGGCAAAGCAGCAGCAGTCAGGTTCCTCCTCGAACATGGAGCTGATGTTAACCCTGTTACAAAGGAGGGCTCCACGCCACTCCTTTACGCCGCAGCATATGGCCATGTGGAGGTAGTCAGACAACTGATCGATAGCGGTGCAAACGTCCATGTTGAGAATAAACGCATAGAGACCGCCCTTTTCTTCGCTGCAAAAGGGACGACTGCAACTCAGTTCAAGTCTGGCTCACTGTGCAGCAGTGGTAACCACGCCCTCGTCGTCCAAATGTTGCTGGATGCAGGGGCAGAACCCAACAAGAAAAATATACTCCAGGAGACCCCCTTGTATGCCGCAGCAGCCAATGGCCACTTGGACGCCGTCAAACTGCTGCTGGGCCCGAGGGCAGACTCCAAAACCAAAAGTGGGCTTCTTGCTGAAGCGTTGACCGCTGCAGCGCGGAAAGGCTATATCAAAATCACCAGACTCCTCCTCGAGCACGGCACACACCCCGCGCGCATGATGATGGGCACCGACGTCTCGCCCTACTTCTGGGGACTGCGGTGTTTGGCGGCGTCAACGCCCCAGAGTGAGGAGGACATAGATACTTTCACAGGCCTGCTTCGGGACTCTAGCAGCCCCAGCTTCCGCGACGAGTTCCACCGCGCGCCTCTACATTGGGCCTGCTGGGGCGGCGACGTCTCCCTCGTGCAGGGCATCCTGGCAGCCGGATGCAGCCCGAACCCGCGCGACATCTTCGGGCGCACGCCGCTGTTCGCCGCCGTGTGCGCAGGCAGAGTGGACGTGGTGAAAACGCTGCTCGACCATCCCGACATTGAGATCCAGATCCAGGACAAACTCAGATTCACACCCCTGCAAGAGTCATATCGCAGACAGGTATCCTCTACCAACTACCCCTACGCGTCTCAGGCAAAAGCCTGGGCCGATATCACCGACCTCCTCAAAGCCAGGAGTGACTCGCCTGACCAGAATCTCCAGCTCACTATCAATGCCCTCCCCTTCACACAGCATGCTGTGTCACAGGATTCATTTTACGAGCACTGTGATGTTTGCTTGGATACACGGACTCTGTCGCGTGCGTGCCTTTGCAGGAGGTGTAGGGCGGTCTCAAGAAAAGACGGTACTAGGGGAGGCACGGTGATTTATTGCCCAAGCTGCATTCAGGGGAGACCACGCTGTCCCCTGTGCGGTCTACAGTTTTGACAGCAGGGCCTCGATACTAAGAGCAGCACCTGGAGAATAGCTCCTCGTCTGATTTTGAAAGGCAGGAATGGTGACGGGAGAAGTCCAGTCCAATCCCATTACCGTGCTCTCATGGTTTCTATATCATAACGTTCGAGTCTGCAGCATAAAGGATACCGTACTTGGTGGTTTCGAGGCAGAAGAGGCGGGCATGAGGTACAACCTTGGAACTTAAGTTAGTTTCATCATAAGACAGAAGCGACGAATCCACGAAGACACCATGGGTGACAAAATATTGCATTACCAACATCCGACATATAAAAGGCTGATTGTCATTAGCCACATGAGGTTATGAACAAACGCCCTCTTCTTATACCTGCCATACTTTCCTCAGTGGGCTAACGCCGGCGTAAGATAATCCACTGTTCCAATGGACCGTAGTTGAATGTCTGTGATCGAGATCCGAAGCTTTTTGCAGAAGAGCTGCGACTGATGGAGTAGCATGATCGTGCGTGATCTTTGTTCTACGTTTCAGCAGACCCAATGTCAATGTACATATCGATCCATAAGAAATCTAGGTACTCAACCAGCACACACAAGCGAAACTCGTTGTCCAACTCAATCAATCAACAACAGTAAACTCGACCGAATTAGACGACGGGACCACGATAACCGGCCTCCCATCATTATCAACAGGGTCAACGACATGATCATTCAGCCAGCATGGCAATTTCACCACAGTCCCCGCATGCTCTTCGCGATCGCCCCAAACCCACCAGTCCACGCAGCCCCCCCAGTACCGGTACCGATATGTGTCCCCGATCACCGCCTCGGGATGCAAGTCCAGATAACCAAGCGAACGGTGTTTAACCAGGGTTTCCCCGGGCTCGAGGCAGCAGAAGAACGGCGAGTCCGCGACGTGGACCTCGACGTCCGGTTCATCGACAATCATCCAGCCCGGATTCCGCTCGTCGTCGAAATAAGTCTTCCACTGTCCCTGGCAGCGGCGTTGCAGTCGGAAGTTATCGCCAGAGAACGGGTAGCTGTGTATGATGATCGGCTTTGTAGCAGCGCAGCTACTTGCCTCGTGCTCGCCATTCGTTAGACCCTCGTGCGTGATCTTCACTGTGAGACAGATCTTTTCCCGTCGGGAAATCGTCGACGGGCCTTCCAGGATCACACTGATGCAAGGGGTGCCAGGGCTACAAATAGTAAGCAGTATATCAGCCACGGGAAAGACAGAGATATCATGCGAGGACTTCTCACATTCGTTCCTCTTTCTCCACCGGAGGGTCGTCGGGCTCATTAGATTCCAACCGTTCTTCCACCTCGACGCAGGTAAACGAACAGCATGGCCCCCCCGGGATGATAACAGGTGGTAGCCCCGAGGAAGCCCCAATCTCTTGACCCCAATGCTCGCGTAAGGTGCCCCAAGCCCACAAGGCATATTGCGCCCCCGGCCAGAAGAGCTCGTATCGCTCACCAGCGACCATGTGGTCCCAGAAGGGATACGGGTGACCTATATTTCTCCGGAGCGTTTGGCCCGGAAGAAGCTCTTCTGTCTCGACTTCATATCCGGTGAGCTTGTACGTCTGGGGGGGTGATGGCTTGGGCGCCCCCTCCACCCTTTTCAGACCGTCTGGCGTTCGCTGAAAAAGCATGAAGCCGGACGGGCCCCATCCGTCCTGCAGGAAGTTCCAGCGGAAAATGCAAGGCTTGTCGCAGTCATCTACTGCCCGGCGGATAGTGACGATGAACCCGCTCGGGTTATCTAGTGCCATCTGTGGACTGGTGGGCTCAATCTCTATGGATAATTTGGGCGTGTTTGGACTAGGAGGGTTGTTAGTTTGGAACAAGAGCAGGTCGGGAGAATCTCACCGTCGATCATGGTCAGAGAATCTGATATTTGATTCAAGCTCAGGATCCATGGCAGGTTACACCAAGGCAAGTAGAGAAAGAAGAAAAGTGGGAGAGAGGGACTTCAACTAGTACAGGCCCTTGCTTAGTAATCTTCGATTTCACGTACTCGACGTTTACTGAGAGAAATGGCAGAATACGGTACCATATACACTAGAATTTTGAGGAGAGGATGGGGAATAGCCATGGAAAGGATGTCGTGAGCCAAATCAAGGTGAATCATCCCAAAAGCGGCCGTCTTTCTCCTTCGCCTGCCAGTCTGATCTGTCGCAAAGACAGCCACAACAAGATTCCTTGCCCCAGAGCAAAGACTGCGTCGTTGACAGCAACAAACCCAACCATGTGGTACCATGCATTGATAACCAGAATGACCGGGTGTCCGCCATCAAGGTAGAGATCCCATGGAACAGAGACTCTAGGGACCCAGGACAGGGCGGAGAGCAGGAACGCCGCGGTCTGCAGCTTAAGCCCAGGCAGACTTTGAGTTTGCAACAGCATGCGGGCTTGCTTGATGATTCCTACGACCAGTGGGATCGTCGTGAGAAAGGGCAGGAGAACGACGGCATGCAGGCCCTGGAAGAGAGCGATAGGGTCTCGCTCCTGCTCCGGGCAGCTCGGATGGTGTGGAGGACAGAAGATGTCCGACACTGCGTCTGCGATGACTGGGGCTATGGATACCATGAGAAAGCCGAGATAAGTGACAACTGTTGAGGCCTTGCGAAGGCGACTGGTGGGGTTGTGGTAGAGGTTGAGCCCCAGTCTAGAAGCTTTAGTGCGAGTCCGGTCGCTTGTTGACGATGGGTTGGGCTCACAAGAGATTCCACAAGGTCCATACGCCCACCACCTGCACGAAGTTGACCCAGTCAAGTGCGTTCCGCGGATGGTGCGTCCAGTACCCGGTCTCGACCGGGAGATTGATCGTGTAAAAGAAGACAAATAGTAGATGCTCCGTGGAACAAATGACATTGGACAGTAGGTAGCGCAATGAAATGCTTCTAGAGCCCTTGTCCAGCCAGGCGTGATGTATATGAGGGACGAAGGAGGCAAAGACCGAAAGAAGGACAATGCTATTTGGATGTTAGCTTTTTGGGAATATTAACTGATGTAGCTCCAATACACACAAGCTGATAATGACCACCAGCATGCTCGCAATCATATTCGGAACCAGGATTGATTAGGTCAATGAATGAGATATTATGAAAGGTAAGGAGGGGCGTGGATGAAGCGAGGTGCAGAAATATGTTCCCAAAAGTGACTAAACAAGCCACCAGCCTTTAAGCGAGGATCCAGATAAGGGACCATCAGCTCGGACAGGCCGGAGACTAGACATGAGCTTGGGGACACTAGGCTTTAGCCGAGTCCAATCATCCAGTAGACGAGACATCGGTCTCCATTTGCATTTGCTAAGCTCTCCAGGACCAGTTCCGTAGCTGAGAGTGCCACCAACTATACCATATATGTACAGGAGAATTCTATACAAGCACCAAGGCCCTAAACCAACCCAAACAAGACAGCGCCCACAGCAGCAGGCAACACACCCGGCGCAGCAGTCCTCATAGCCGCCGCCCACCCATCCGAAGTCTCCGTCGCGACCGTCTCCGTCGTCGGCGCGGGCGTATATGCCGAAATGGCGTCCGGAAAATCACCCTCAGCACCGGGGAACTGCGGCGCCTCCGTTCCAATCTCCCGTATCTCATCGTCGCCAGGATTCCGGTTCACGGGCGCAAGCCCCACCATCATGCTGTTGTAGTCGACGGCCAGATACAAGTAGCTCAGGATCGTGCTCCCCAGTGTTCCCTTGTAGGGAGAGGGGTACTCGTCGTCGTCGGTGGGGATTGTGATGTGGAAGGAGCATTGGCCTTGACTGGGGATGTTGGCGGGGCTGAGGAAGGCGGTCCAGGGGATATTGAAGGACGCAGAGCCGACGAGGAAGGTGAGGGTGTGGTTCTCGGCGCTGCGGCTGCAGGGGACTTGCGGGGTGGGATAGTACCCGTCGTCGCGGCGGGTGCTGGTCATGTTGAGGGCGGCGTAGATGGCCATTGCGGTGTCGCGCGGGAAGTACGAGGTGATGTATCTGGTCTGGAGGTCGAAGGGGGTTTCGGCGAAGGTGGCGTTGATCGGAGCTGTGGTGGTGCTGTTTGGGGTGGATATAAAGCTGGCGGTGGGATCGACGTGGACTTGGACGCCGCGGACGGGGACGGTCATGGTTGGGGCAGAGTCTTTGAACGAGAAGGCGTGCAGAGGGCCGTTGAACTTGGCCGCGTTGATGCCGCCGAAGATGATGCCGCCGGGGGTGTCGCCTGGGTCTGCTTCCACGTCCAGCTCGGTGACGGGGTCGCGCCACATGCTGAAGGACGGGGTGCTGATCAGACCGCGGTCGACGAGCTGGTAGACGAAGCTGGTGTTGTCGGGACCAATGCCGATGGAGCTGTCTGCGTGATTGTCAGTACGTAGCAGGTCAAAGTGGCTGGGGTGGCCCACAGCTAGAAATGCCATCCACATAGTTCAGTCTCAAAGAGAGATTGGTGGCCCTTGAATCTCCGAGTGTGAGTGTATCCAGGCCAGTGATATATCGTGGGCGGATCTCTCGCCAATGGTCTTCATCCGACGTGAAAGAAGATGAGTTGCGAGGATCGAACTGGCCATAGAACGAGCAGTAACGTTCTTCAGAACATTCCACGCTCTCAGCGCCCGGGTACAGCACAGAAATGCCTGCAGCCTGGGCGTCCACCAGCAAGGCCAGTGGTTGCGGCGGCGTTCCGATCGACACATTCAGCCAGTAGCCGCCCTGTCTGGTCAGGAAGCGAATCTTCGAGACAGATGCGAGAGCATACCAGATCCTTCATGGCCGGTGCTGAGACCACGGCGGGATGATCTCTCTTGACAAGAGGAATCGATCCTTCAGCCGCAGCAGAGGCGAGCAAGCCTGCCGTCCAGACGCTGAGATGATGCGTAAGGTGGCCCATTTTGTCCATCCAACTTGGAAAGACAAGGTGACAGGCAACTCCAGTTTTAAATTGTCAGGGACTCAGGGGCATCAGATGAATATAAAAAGACCCTTGGCTAAAGCAGCTAGTCCCAAGCTAAAGTGCCCGGTCCAGCCCTAATATCCAAATGTGCACGATTACTGGTTGTGATCTCGAACCAGGGTTGCCCGTGCTGTTTGACCAGACTTGGCCCCATGCACCATGGGCTTTAGACTACTAACTACTATAATTGTACTTCTGAAGTCTGAGAAGGGTTCTCCATGGGTGTGGGAATCCTGTCAGGTTTACCCGACAAACAGACACCTTCACAACTCTCTGTGAAATTGGAGTGCCTTGAGGAAGCACTCTATATACTTTAAAATCTTAAAGACCTTTATTTATGTCCTTCTTATTTGATTCTTAACCCTTTTTATGATATTTTTCCATTGGGCTCCAGGCCGGCTGATCCGCCCAGCAAGCCCAGGGTCGAATGGCGAGCTCCTGTTACAATGCAGATAAAACAAAGCTAGTGAGGATAGACATCATACACACCTAAAGCCCTAAACTCCCCGGGTACCTTTAGCATAGATTACTGTCCACTGATAACATTGTCACATTTATAGTGTACATGTCCGAGCCGTCACCCGCCACAAGCACAGCGAGGGCCAACTCACGGCTGAGCACCAGAAGCTCAGTCTCACAGGTTTCTAAGTGTATGACTGTGTGTTAGGCGCTGCGCGAAGAAGGACCTGATGGAGAAGTCACTTACTGTAGCTGCGAATACCATCAATATAAGTGGCTTTGAAAGCACTTCTAGCACATACGACCACAGGGTGTGGAGAACAGGGCTTCCCGTCCGCTCAGCCGTACTTAAACCACACGCCGGCTGGTTAGTAGTATGGTGGGTGACCACATGCGAATCCCAGCTGTTGTATGTTTTTTTGTTTTTGGTGGATGCCAGTACGTTGTAGGGCGATGACGAGGACATGAAAGTGGGAGGGTCGCCCACATTTTTTATAGGCGATGTGTAAGCAATGCCAGACTGGTTTGACGAAGACGAAGACGTGCTAAAATACTTGGGGATGACTATGTTGAGGGATTATATCGTTGGAGTCATCGATGGGTGTCAAATTCAACGTGCATAGATGGCAGGGATTGATGCCAAGTCTTACGGAATAGATGGCCGGAATGAGTCTAAACTTACGGGGAACACGACCGGTGAAATGCGAGGGAAGAACTTCGAGATCTACTGTCAGTGATAGTAGGCACCCTCTTCAAGTAGTTTCTCGCAGTCAAGACGAACCCCTACAAAGCAGAAGAAAGTAATCAATCCAAGTCCAATTCGCTAGCCTAGCAGCTCATTCCCACAACCTAACTAAAGGCCCAGGAGGCATAGCGTAACAAAGATCAAATTTCATCGCCGTCTCCCGAACGGCCCATCCCCGTCTCAAAACATTCTGAAAGCCGGTAGCTTCACCCTCTTAACCCCGATTATAGCAAAGATAACCCATCTAGATCATCAGACGCTCAACCTGAACCTTGATGGCGCGGATCTGGGGCATCAGGTCACTGGCCTCGTTGGTGGTGATGCTGGTGGCGATGACGGGGCGGGAAACACCGGTCGCACGGCCCAGGGCGAGCTTGCTGGGCACGTAGACGTAGGGGACGTTCTTGTCCTCGCAGAGGAGAGGGAGGTGCAGGATGATGGGGAGGGGCGTGGTGTCGGCAGCGAGAATGACGAGCTCGGAGGTACCGCGGTTGAGAGTCTTGGTGGTCCTACGAGATGAACAGTTAGTGTGCTGTCGACGATCGGGGAAAATGAAGGGGACGTACTCGTTGGCACCCTTCTTCAGCTGGCGGTAGTGGGTGGCCGACTGGACGAGGTCGAGGAGCTGCTGGGAGAGCGCCTCATCGGCGATGGGCCAGGCTTTGCGTTGGTCAGTTTCTGCTGTGATGGGTTGCTTTGTGTTGGTCTTACCGGCGTTGGTGTCTTCGGCCATGGTTGATTTTTTTTAGTGATAGTGGCTCACGACTGCGGATCACGGCCGAAGAAACGTTCTGTCGGTAGAGTTGGAGAGAGTGGATGTTGAGGTGGAAGAGTTGCGGAGAGCGTCAGCTTTTTTTTTCTTATCCGTCCGCCCGCGCTAGTCCGGATCCGGGCTGGTCACGTGAAATGACTCTGAAGGCAGTTCTTTGGATAGCCCTAACTCTGTACAGGGAGAGTCTGGGCGGGAGTAGGTCCGCACCGTAACTCAGAGGCTGTAAAGCTTGTTCTATGATCGAATCATGGTTTTGTGATATGTGCCTCCAATCAGGCGGGTGATTGCTGTGGCGGATATCTTCTTCGACGACGATTGCGCGGTCATAGACTGTGAAATCTCTAAAAGTCACGAGTATATATGATCAAGGGTCTTTTGTGCCATATTCATGGCGTACTCGACTTTTATATGCATATTTTCGTCGACTGAGGGTCCAAGTCCAGGCGGGACTAAGGCTGGCATCAGATGCCGCGGTCATTCACGGTGAACCGGTTGATGGCCAAACGCGGGGAAGGAGCCCTGGGCTTTGTGACAGCCGGGTGAGATCTATGTCCATTCTTCAGCGTGGAATTCATTTCCCTCAGCAGGATGATCTTCGCAGAGGTATGGTGGAAGCAAAACAAAAAGCAAAAATCAAATGACCAGTGCCGGGCTCGATCCGGCGACCTTATCGGTGTTAACGATACGTGATAACCAACTACACCAACCGGCCAATTGTTGGAAATCATCTTGAAACTTAAACTTATCAGCAAAACACGCTTTCTCCCTCCGCTACGTACCTGATCCCAGGCTTCGGTGCTGAAAGGACCCCAATAAACTGAGAATCAATCGATGCATTGTGTAGTTGCCGATTTGAGTCTTTTTTGACGATTCCGGCTTTCAGAGCACGCCCCAATAAGCCTTGGCCTCGTATCTAATTGGAGCTGTCAAACATTCGGTGTCAAATCAAGAGGGTGGCAATATATATTCTTGCGGGTCTGCGTTCAACCCTGTCCCATCACACTCACAACCACCCAGTGAAACCACGGAGTAATGCAGAATCCACAAGATTAGCCCATCATCCACAAAATAGTCAATATTCAACAGCAGCACCATGACGATAAACGAGAAATCTATGCATAAGTACGTTGGGGTCCCCGAGACAGCTCCGCCGAAATTCCGCCGTGATCGACCGCAAGCCCTAATTCTCATTCATCAGCAGCACCTCGACATCACGGCCAATCCTTCGGGCGTTTGACTCCGCCGATGTATCCGACAACTGATAGTCCTGCAAGCCGAAGTATATAAGCACCACAATCTCGCCTGAAAACGCCATCTCGCATACATACACCTCATTTAAACACGATTAGAACAGCCAACCCAGCCTCCCGTACAGTCAAAACATTATCTCCATACTCTACCCTTGACCAAAATGTCGGCCCTCCGAAAGATCTTCCACCGCAAAAAGAAGCCCCCGCTGGCCTGCACCGAGATCCCCCTCGAAGAGCTCGACAACCACGTGCATACCTCCGCCTGCTTCATCGACATCCAGCCGCTGACCGTAGTCGAGCTCTACCAATCGCAAGGCTGCAAAGCGTGCATCAAGAACGTGCCCAAGATCCACCAAGCCATCGCCAACCCCAACGTTGCCTTCCTCACGTACAACGTCACGTATTTCGACCGCGCGGAGTGGCAGGATACATTTGGCAAGAAGGGCTGGGATGCACGGCAGCGCGCGTACGTGAGTCGGTGGGGACGGAGCAGTATCTTTACGCCGCAGGTTGTGGTTGACGGGGTCGTTGATGGGACGGGGCAGAACAGCGATGAGACGGTTGGGCTTGTGGGGAGGGCGAGAGAGATACGGAGGGAGAGGGGGTGGAATATCCTGCTTGATGCGAATGACAGCGAGGTGCGGATTGACTCGGATCGGAGCGAGAGTGTGCCGCATGATATCGTGGTCTTGTTTTATGAGCCGCGCTTGCAGACGGTTAAGATTGGGAAGGGGTCTGTGAACAAGGGGAAGAAATTGGGACATCTCAATGTTGTGCAGCGGATCGAGAAGGTTGGGTTCTGGGAGGGCGGAGACCTGACTCTGCCTCTGCCCATTGTGCCCGAGGCCAGAGAGAAGGCGTGGGCGGCGGTTGCGGTTGTGCAGGAGCCTGGGGGTGGTGCTATCGTGGCGGCTCATCAGTTCTAGGTTCGATGTATATGGTGTTCAATAATTAGATGTAATGCACCTGGTGAGCTATAGAGAAAGCATATATCCGCCCCAAGGTTCATCGGTGATCTGGCTGGTATCGAAAATGGTATTGAAGATGGCAGAGTCGACTCCTTGAAAGGCCCAAGTATCTGCACCGGCCATGAGATCTGGCATCCCCGTCTCATACCCTTGGTAGCTTACTGGGAGGTCGGGGAGGGGAAACCCGTTTGTAGACCCAGGCATATGTTGAGATAGTTGACTCTCGTACGAAAACGACGACGAAGATGACGACCAAGTCGGAGCCTGACTCGAGGATGCCGAAGACGCCGTATCAGCCTGGGAAGAACTGTCATCACATGCAAGTTTCACAGTTCCAAAGTAGGGAATCTTCAGGTAAAAGGTCCGCTCGTCCTTGACGCCTTCATCATCTTCAACACTACTGCGGTAAGCTTGGCCTCCTTGAGCGCATTCAGCTTCCAGAACCAGCAATTTCCTTGCTAGCTCGGCAGTCTTGCGCGTCAGCTCGTCCCCATTCAGCCGATTGAGCTCGTCCATGGTCTCCAGAGCAGTCTCAATGAGTGCTCGATCACCCTGACGCTGATGGGTAAGCATCGTTGACGCCTGCTTGCTGCTATTGAGATATGCCAAAAGAAGAGTCAAGCAGGCCGTGAACGCGCAAAAGTCCACCGGACGGCAGCAAAGAACGACTTTCACAATGGAGCGGAAGGCAACCCACCGCGTCAGAACCTCTCTGCTTGCATAGACGCATGTCACCTTGCTGTAGTTGAATCTGTCGTCAGTGGCGTCCCACTGGAGATACGGTAAATGAAGAATGGTGAGAAGGTTATAGTGCATAATTTGCAGCTGGGCACTGATGACCTTCACCAGAATGTCCTTGCTGCTCGTGCTCTGGCTCAGATCCAATGGCGCCCACCACTTGGCCGACATCACGCTTGCCGCTTTGTTCAGGTCACGGTCAATGTCTTGTGTTAGGGCCAGATCGTGGTAGTTGCGTTCCTGGCTCCTCTCAATCATCCGCTCGAGAATAGCAGTTTGCTGCATTTCAAACAAGTCCGCGCTACTTCCGCCAGGTGCACCAGATGCCAGAGCCCGGGGTATGGCCGATGGCATGCCAAGGAAAAGAGAAAGGTACCTCTCCAGATGAGAGATGCGTGCCCATAGGACTGCACAAGAGACATTGGTCGTCGGATCATACTGCTTCACCTCATACGGCGCTGCACGATCTAGGCCCATAAACTGGGCCAAGGTAGAAGCTCGTCGGAGCGATACCAACGCCCTCCGCAGGTTTCCAGAGTTCATTAGGTAGACAGACTGGTAGAGGAGACACTCGACACCTTCAATCGAATCAAGGAGCTCCTCGTGGCAAGTGACCGTATTAGAGGCGAGATTGAAGTACATCCACATGGCGTCCGCTGGGCTCTGGCCCAAATAAAGAACACCTTCACTCAATGACGGGTCGAGACGTTGGATGCAAAGCGACAGCTGGAGGAATTTTCTCGCGAGGAGAACTGGGTGCGCGGTAGCCGGTGGAAGAGCGGACAGTACTGAAGTGGGTTGGAGCTTCTCGCCGTAATGGTTGCAAATGCCTTGGACGAAGACTATTGCCATGCCCCTGCCGATAATCAAACTGGCGTCTTCTTGAGACGGGAGGCGATGGTGCAAGGCTTTGGATATTTCCAAGTGCTGAATGTGGCCGCCAAAGACGTCAACTTTGGTCTGCTGCTGTAGTGGTATCTGAGCCTGTCAACTATGTACCGACATCAGGATTGGAATAGAGGTAAATGGACTTACATCTAGAACAACACCAGAAACGTTGTCACTGGCATCATCATCAACCCTGAGCTCTGTGGCCTCAGGCACGACCTCCTTCTCCAAAGACTGCCTCGTACTCGCACTGCTCGAACTCTTGTCCGACGAAATATCCCTCGAGATAGTATCCAGAAGAATCTCAGCCCGTTTCAACCGCTCAACAACTGTCTTCTCCCCTTCAAGATCATCTAAGGGTACGTCGACAAACTCCTGCCCAAAGCACGGCATGCCGCGGCGCTGACAGGCGACACATGCAGCATCCATTGGTCGAGAATAAAAGCATCGCGTTTTGCGTCGCTTGCCTGGACAGATATTAGTGTAATTAGAGAAAGGAAGCTTGAGGGTGCCAACATTCTGCGCAACTGCGGGTGCCCTTTCGCAATGCGCGTCTTGGAAGCGGCGATGAAGCGAGGTGTTGGCGTAAAGGGCTCATTGCGCTTCGTGTGGGATAGCAACTAAATCATCTATCTAGGTAGCTCCGGGAGAGGGCTATCGAGAGATAAATAGCCTTAAGCACAGGAGCCAAGGGGCAAAAATACGAGTGATAGGGCTGAACGAGGCCGCTCTTAATGAAGTTCATCGTTGTGATTGGCTCGTATACCAGGAGCTGAAACCGTAACTCTGCAGCTAGACGAGACTCAAGGCTCAAAATGTGTCCATCGATGCTGTCAGGAGTAGCAATGTGGCTGTGTCATCGAACGAGCCTATCTCTAGTCTCACTGGACAGGCAGATTGTCCGATTGGCAAAAGATGCCTGGGCCGTCGCAGCATTGAACCTTTTTAGGGATTCCAAGAAGGCCCAGACGGACGCCAGTTTCGTCCGCCCGTGCGAGATGACGAATCTTCCTCTTAGGGCTAGCTCGTATCAGCGTAGCCTCCTGCAGCCCAGCCTCAGCTGTAAGGCTGAACCCTGGATTTGAGGCAGGCTAAGGTGCCAAGTGCACCTGTCTACGCTTCGGACAGCAATCTACTCCGTATTTCAGGCGTCCTGCATGCTTCGGACATGGATGAGTTGTACAACACTTCCCCTCAAGTCATGAGCAGTGCTATCACCAGCGCATACCGTAAATGGCTACCGCTCGTTCAGCTCCTGGCCAGAATATACGAGGTAGTTGACGACTACTTGATACCTCTACCTACCATATCTTTCGTTGTGGGCCTTCACCCCACAAAGCTTACATACCATAGAGTACTATGGTAGTTGCCACTACCACCATAATGCCATGTCTTACAGCGCAAGACTAGTATGAATACTACCTACCATAATACTTACCCAACCACGCGCAGCTATCAAGTCCGCCGCGAGCGCAATAAAACTCAAAGAACCGAGCATGCCCTCAGCCGCCTCATCACCAAGCAGCGCTCGGACCTCAGCACATGTGAGATGAAGAACTACTGCGGGAAGACGCGCCGTCCCTGCAGGATGGCTTAGAGCTGCTTAGTAGTTTCTTATTGATAAGGGGAGATATATTAAAGCTGGGCGTGCCAACCTCGGAGAGTGTGAGTGAGATATGTGCTTCTAGAGATTGAATTAGGGCTAATCTTGGACCATGAAACTGACTGCTCGTACGTGGAAGGATTTCAAGAAGAATATTTTCCTCAAAAAGAAACATCTTTCTTGATACTTGAAACTGCAGTAATCCCATTGGACTACTCTCTTTTCTCGAATCTCTCCAGATCTGTCTTGACCCTCGAAGTTGCGATCTTTCTTCAACTTTGAAGGTCGTCGCCAAGCCCTAAGTCAGCGACCCTGCCGACTCCAGCTTATGAATCTTCTTTGTAAGACAGAACAATGCAGCTAAGTGTCCTAGAGTTGCATCATAGATGCTTAGTAGCTGATGAGTTAAGAATTGCAAAGCATCCAAGAGTTGGAGATGCGAGAGAACGACCAGGTATAAATAGGTGGACGCGAACGGGCAATGCGACTATCAACCAGACCAAGCAGCCGTTGCAAAGCAAGCAGAGACAGAAACCCGAAGACAGTTAACATTTCAACCAACACCAGCAAGATGCGCTGTATCCAAGCTCTTCAAACCACCCTCCAGCTCATCCTGGCCTCGTCCGTCTGCGTCAACGCCTGGAACAGACTGGACAAGGACAATGCCGTACTACCCTCTCTCTTTTCTCATAACCTGAATGCCATCTCCCTCGCAACCAAGTAGCTAACACTAAAATACGGCCAGGCCCTCCTAATCGTCGACCACCAAGTCGGCCTCGCCCAACTCGTCCGCGACTACAGCGCCAACGACTTCTACAACAACATGCTCGCGCACGCCGCCATCGGTACGACTTTCAACTTGCCAGTTGTAATGACGACTTCCACAGAAGACGGCCCCAATGGTCCACTCTTCCAGGAGATTATAGACATGCATCCCAATGCCACCCTGATCCGCCGCGAGGGTGAGGTGAATGCGTGGGATAACGAGGACTTCCGCAATGCAGTACGGGCGACGGGGAAGCAGCAGTTTATTATTGGCGGGATTGTTACAGAGGTTTGTATGTTATCCCAGCCTCTTCTTTTCCATTTCCTATCCAAGTTGTTTTTTTGTCGTTCCGTGCTGTATAGATGTACTAATAACCACAGGCACCGCCTTCCTAGCCCTCTCCCTCGCGGACGAAGGGTACGAAGTCTACGCCAACACCGAAGCAAGCGGGACAGCGGACGCTCGCCTCGCCGAGGACGCAAACAGACGGATGGAGAAAGCGGGCGTGACGCTGATGGGCTTCTTTGCTATCGTCGGGGACCTCATGCGGGACTGGAGGAATACGCCTGGAACGCCAGAGATTCTTCCGCCCATGGACAAGTATGTGCCCCTTTTCTGGATTCTGTCATTGTGTTTTCCGGTCAATTTGGGAGGCTGGCCCTGACTGCTTGGTAGATATAATCCCTTGTTTAGGCCTGTATGGCGTGCCTATACTGCGGCGAGGGAGAATGGAACCGTTGAGGCTTAAATAGATTTGTTTGTTTTAAGAGGTAGGGGATGCGTTTGATGGTAATTGTGAGGGGAAGAGCTAGGCAAGGTTGATTGGGCCTGACGTTGGCCGAGAAGATTGAGATTGAGTGGTGGGCAGGGTGATATAAAGAGGAAAAAAGATCTTGACCAGAAGCCTAGAGAGACCACTTTCGATCTATATGTGAGATAGCTAGCTCAATGGGTAATCTACCGGTTAAGAGAAGAGAGATCCATGGCGTAAATTGAAGTGCCCGGGTGTCTAACTATCTCGATGATCACTGAGTAATCGACGGGAGCTCTATAGGTATCCTCTTCAAACTTCCAAATTGGTTCATCATTATGAAGGCTCATCCCAGGGCTGGAGCGTGGAGATGACGCTTGTTTCCGTGGGTGGGTGTCCTTCCAGGCAGGGCAGGGATGAAGTAACTGTGGCTAAGGAGACATATGGAGGAGGAGAACGAGACGGCAATGTGTGCATCGCTGTATACCGGGAGTATTGAGTGAATTGAAGCTGATAACCTTGATTGGCTTCTGGGAGAAGCCCAGATGGCGAAAGAAAAAGAGAGGTATCGACAAGGCCACCCTTGGACTCTTGAGCACATGGTGGTAAGCCCCAATGCCCCAGGAAGTAATCTGGATTCAACAAGTAAAGTCAAAGGAGGTTGATTGCTTCGTTTGGAGGGCACCTACCTAACGTAAATAAACCCAGGCCTGGCTCAACTGTCCAAGATTCAAACCAAGTCTAATTGAACAGCGCCGTCGCGAGACGAAGGCCAAGATTCCATGTCATCCTCTTCCTCCAGCGAGTCTGAATAGTCTGATGAATGTGACGACCACCAGGGATCATCATTTTCAGAATCGCTTTCGGTTCCAGAGTCGGGAATGTCCGTGAATGTGTGCTTGGCCAGCACCTCCAGCACAGCTGTATGCCCTCCGTCCTTAGCTAGCCAGATGGCCTCTCGCGCCGTCTGTAGGCCTACATTGCATTGGTCCAAGATCGACTGCACTCTTTCCGGGTCACCTCCTCCTGCCGCCCATGTTAGCAGTCGCGAAGCGTACCTCGTCAAATAACGTTTATCCACAAGCTCAACCACGTCTTGGTGCCCTCTCTTTCTAGCTAGTTCCCTCAGGCCTTCTGCCTTTGGCAACCCTACCTCGAGTTTATCCAGAAGCAGTCGCATCGTTTCCACGTCACCTTGGCGTGCTGCCCATGCCAGCATCCTCCGAAGATAGCGATATTTCGGGTTGTAGTCGGAGCCCCAAGTGAAATCGTCCATTCCCCGCCTTGTGGTCTCACCTGAGTGATCATGCGGCCGCCGCCCATTCGCGTCTTGTAGTTCTGTCTGGGCGTACGAGGATAGAACTGTGGCTTTTCCCGTTACATCAACGCCGTCTGCTCGGAGTAGGAGGGTCACCATTTCTTCATGTCTGTTCATCGCCGCTTCGATGAATGCTCGTCGCGGAATGCTGATACTGGCTGCGAGGTTGTTCTGGGCGTGTTCTAAGAGCATCGCCACAATCTCTATGCTGCCTTGTGCTGCTGCCTTGCATATGGGACTGCATCCAGCTTCGTCTTCAATGTAGCTAAGATCGAAGCCCGCAGCTAGGAAAGATTTGACCATCACCCGCGAATCATTTGCCACGGCGAGCAACAGGGCAGTTCGACCCTGTTCATCCCTGTCATTAGGTGAAGCCCCGCGGGAAAGTAGGAGAGAGACAGCTGATGCGTTGCCGACCTCCACGGCTAAAGAAAGCGGCGTCTGACAGCGGTTGTCGGAAGCGTTTATGTCAGCCCCGCTGTCAAGCAGCGACTTTATAATCGAAAGAGTGCATGATTTCTGAGGGTCCCTGAATGACTCTTTGACTGAGCGCATCAGCGGTGTCACGCCGTCATGGTCTGCACTGTTCGGGTCCGCCCCGAACTCCAACAAAGCACGAACCACGGCTTTTTGTTGGCTCCCAACAGCGTACCAAATTGCGCTTCTCCCATATTGATCTCTTGTATTCGGAGAAACTCCCCTTTCGAGTAGAGCGATCACTGTATTTTCCCATTCGTAAAGGCAAGCTTGCATCAAGGGCGTTCCAGCATCATGGCCAATGTCCGCATCAGCATCATACCCAAGCAGGGTTCGGACGATCTCCGGCGTATTATCGTAATCGGTCGCGAGTAATATTGGAGACTTTCCACTGACAGTTCGAGTATTGACATCAGCGCCGTTGGCCAGAAGCATCCTGCAAATCGCTATATAGCCCCTCTCAGCGGCAGATGATAAAGGTGTCCAGCCCTCAAGAGTGGAGATATTAGGGTCAGCGCCCTTGCTTAACAGGAGCTCAACCATCCTTGTATGTCCCATTTCAGCTGCGAATGATAGAGGTGTCCTACCGTCATGAGCGGCAACATCTGGTTTGGCGCCATACTTTAGAAGGAGTTCAGATACAGTTCTGTGGCCGTTTGCAGCCGCCAATGACAAAGGCGTCCGGTAGCTGCCTTCGCAGTTAGCGCTTGGTAACCGAAAATCGGGATCACAACCGTTGCCCAGGAGAAACTCGACAACTGTTGTGTGTCCGTTCTCAGAGGCGTAGGACAATGGAGTGCGGCCGCTATGGTCAATACATTGCACGGCGGCTCCATGCTCCGAAAATAGAGTTACCAGCTCCAAGCATCCATTTCCAACTGCGTATGAGAGCGGAGTCCGGCCAGTTGGATCTGATGGTGCCGGTTCATCTGAGCAAACACCATCTGCCAGCAGCGCTTCTACAACCTCTTTACACCCGTATGTAGCTGCGGCTGAGAGAGCGCCACGCGCATCTGCATCATGATGCAGCAGCATCTCAGCAGCATTCGTACAACCATCCTTCAGGGCGTAGTAAAGGGCTTCGCCACGAACGCTGATAGCTGATTTGTTGAGGAGTAGTTCAAGCACGGCGGTATCATTTCTTTTGGCAGCATTTGTAATGATTTCAGAGAAGCTGCCTGCGAGCCAATCCAAAGAACCATACGTGGATAACAGCCTGACTGTCGCCAGATCGCCCGTTTGTGCAGCAAGCTCCAAGGGCAACTGTACTTCCTCGTCTTCAGAGATTGGCTCGGCTCCATTCTCGAGTAATGTTGCAGTCGCTGCCACATGGCCCCCTCGAGCGGCACACATAAGAGGGGTTTCACCATATCCATCCCTGATGTTCGGCTTGACGCCACCCTCGAGCAATAGCCTAATCAGATCGACATCGCCTTCCACTGCTGCGGAAGATAGAGCGGTTCTGTGGTACCAATCCGTCATATCAAAGTCGAAATCAATCTCGAGCAACAGCTTAATCATGGCCGGATTATCGCCAATTGCACTCTTCCATTGGCCCACATTGAAGCACGGGTCCTGCACACGAGCACCGTGTGATATCAAAAGACCTGCCACTTCAGTACGACCACGCCAGATCGCATTTACAAGAGATCTCGAATGCCCATGAAAGTTTGTTCGTGCACCTTTCTCAAGCAGTAGTTGAATCGTGGTTACCTCCCCATGCTCTGCAGCCCAGTTGAGAGGCGTTCGCGACTGGCTGTCTAGCGAATCTATATGAGCACCCTTGTCGAGCAGTGCTCGCACAACGCTTCTCTGTCCTTTGGATGCAGCGTAAGAAAGCGACGAACGATGCGTCGTGTCCTTGAGGTGCATGTCGGCACCTTTATCCAGCAGTAAACAGGATAGGGCGTCGTGTCCATTCTCTGCAGCAAAGGAGAGAGGTGTGCGTTTGTTATTGTCCATGAGATTCACGTCGGCGCCTGCATCTATCAGCAGTTGAACCATGGCCTTGTCCCCCTTGTAGACCGCACATGACAACGGAGTCATTCCCAGAAATTTATCACCATTTGTCATCGTAGTCAAGACGTAGTTGGTATCTCCGAAACGTCTCATCATCATAGTTTGGTTTGAAATTTACGTCAGCGCCATGAGCCAGTAGGAGTCCCGCAATGGCCTCATTACCATGCTGAACCGCCCATGCCAGGGGTGCTCGAGGTGTTCCCTTTAGATCAGGGTAGGACAAGTCTAGGTCAGCGCCTTCGTTCAACAGGTACTGCAATATCGATAAACTGTTGCCCACGACTGCCGGTAATACCGGAATCTGTGCTGAGAATCCCTCGTTGTTCGTGCATCGTATCGCTGGGAGGAGGAGTCGAACAATATCTTCGTGACATTTGAAGGCCGCATGTGCCAGTGGTGTGTGGCCGTTATCGTCCGGCGCCGTGGCATCGGCCTTATGTCCCAATAACAACTCCACAATGCTTGCGTTGCCATTCTCTGCGGCCCACGACAGAGCGCTTCGGTTGTCGTCGTCCAGGGCATCAACGTCAGCACCATGCTTCAGCAGTAACCGAACCGCACCCTCTTCCAGGCCGTTGTTAGCTGCCCATATTAAGGCTGTTCTTCCAAATTCATAATCCTTGGCGTTCACATTGTTTGCTTTTGGCAAGAGCTGGGCTACGACATCTGCATTTCCACACCTTGCTGCCCATAGCAGTGGTGTATTGCCGGTACCATCTTTCGCATTCGCGTCCGCACCTCTTTCCAACAGGATGTGAGCCCCTTCTGCTGAACCATTGTGTGCGGCACATATCAGGGGAGTTCGCCAGTGAATGTCTCTCGGGTCTGGTGGGTGGCCGTTTTCCAGCAAGCGCAACAAGATGGGCTCCAGCCCAGGCTTGGCAGCATAGTGCAGGCTTGTCGTCCCATAGAAGTGCCTTTGACTGTACTCGTCACGATCATAACGATCAAATCCCTCCGCTTCGAATGTCATACTGGCCTGAATACTTGCGGTAAATCGAGGTTCGTCGCATAGGAACTCCAGGACGTGTTCGTCATTCCCTTCGCCCGGTCGGTAATGACTCTGCCAATGGTTTGCTGCATACTCATATAGCGGATAGGACTCCAGGCGCGATTCATACTCTTCGTCAGTTATGCAGATTCCGGTCCTGAAGGTGTCAAATAACAGATATGTCAGGCAGACAACTGTAAGTTGGGACTGGGCATGGGGAAACCATCTCCTCCAGGCCCCCTTAAAGTACTCTTGCGTGGTATAATGAACCAAGCGTATAATATCCGTTTCTTGGTCAACCGTTACCAGTCCAGAACATACAGTAACCATATCCTGCACATCTGGAAGGCTTTCATCATCTATTTCGGTGTCCCCTTCCTCAACAGCTAGCGCATTCTGAAGCTGGGATACTGTAAGTGGTTGTTGTGCGGACGTAATCCACATTAGGACATCTAGCGCAAGCTGTCGTCGGGATTGAGGGAGCTGCTGGATTCGACCCATAGTGTCGTCGTATGCCTTGCTCAGCATCTCTAATTTTCGATCTTCTCCCGGTTGGAGCGAAGACTGCCTTTGAAACTGAGCCAGCAAAGTTCTCACTTCTCGAGCTGTAACTGCACATTCTAAGGCTTGAAGATACAGTTGAGCCAAGAGAAACCTACTAGCAGTCAGCAGGGTATAGGTCATGATGCTCAACAGGAAACGCACATTCCCTCTGCAGCATTTGAGATTAAGGACGTGATCTCTTGTTGCAGATCCGAACTTCTTTGGATAACACGGGGCAGCAGTTTTAGATTGCTGTGTACATAGACTTCAATGTCTTCCTTTGTTGCTTGGATCTCGATGTGAACTTCCCCGCTGAATATCTCCAGAATGTCTGGGCTAGGCCGAGAGGTTATGAAGAGATTGACGGATTTGGTTGCCCGGAGCTTGAGCAGCTCGTCCACTACCATATTTCGGTAGTCTTTGCCTTCTGGACACTCGTCAAGTGCGTCGACAACAATAAATACCTTTGGAAATGTCGCTGCGACGGAACGGTTGGCTTCAGAGATCTCCCAGCCTAGGGGTCGCGTTGCTCTGTCTTTGTGCTGGCGATGAAGATCCTTCACCCTTTCTGGGAACTCAGTCTTCCGAGAAGTCAACTGCATGAGGAGGTTCATAAATAGCTCTTCATGTCTGTAGACCTCTCTGAAATTGAAATAGATGCATGCTGTGGCGACGCTCTCGTCATTGCCAAACCGCGTTGCCAAATAGTCGACAACGACCGCAGCTGTGATTGTCTTGCCAGCCCCAGGGATTCCGTGACAGAAGAGCAGTGCTCCCGGGGTATCAACCCAATGCTTGAATTCAGCGGTTTGCAATATCCACTCGCTCGTTCCGGGCTGACGCCGCCGGATATAGTCGGTCTGTTTGGCCCCGAAATCGACATCGGTAAGCCACTGAAGAACCTTTTCTTCCTCCTGTGTCCGCTGGCTCTGGTGTATCTTTTCGAGGGTGGCGTTCTGCGAGATGTTCATTTCCCTAATCAGCCAAGTTAGCTCCAAGGAACGCGAGGGATATCAAGGTTCTCACGCATTAAGCGAGCCGAAGAATAAATTGAAAGATTCAATCCGGCTCTGGAGCTGCCGCTGGATATCCTGCGCAGGGGCCGGGTCCCATTTCAGCCGTTTCCATACCTGGCGCCGCCTACTTATGGGCCTCGAGCCGACCGTCTCTATCTCCTGGTATTGATCCAGCAATGTGCTCAGGGAGTCTAGCGTTTCTCTGCAGGCTTCGGTATTCGCATTGAGGCGTTTCTTCTGTTTATCGTTCAAATCGTCATCGAGATCAAAGTCATTGATATTCTGCAGAGCGACCGAGAGGTGTTTCACCCTGTCGTAATTGTTCCAAGGTCAGTGTCTTTCCCGGAACGTTTGGAAGCATTCTTACTCGTCCGAGAGCGACTTGAATTCGACCGGTGCATTGACGAAGCGCTTTCGCAGCTTGCTGACGAGCTCGATGACGGCGAGGAAGTCACCGACGCTGAATCCGAAACTCATGACGTGCTGAGGTGCTGTTGCTGTTGCTGTTGCTGCAGGTGCTATCGCGTGACTGCCCCAGACGCTCTTTCCTCGAAATTCGCGCAGGACATGGACGGATCCGCACCTCAGCTATGGAATTCAGCGATGCGAGGAAGTCTGACTTTCAAAATCTCTCATGGCTGAGAAGAGGGGTAGGCGTTTGGCCTCTGTCGAATGATGTCCGTGAAGTATGGGATGGTGACACGGCAGCCAGCCTCGCTCCGAACTGCGACAAATGAGAGCATTGGGACCCTGTCTCTGTTGGCTCGACTGCCGTAGCTACAGTTTCCACTCGAAGTGGATTCGAAGAGCTCAACCAGCCCGACGCTATCCACCAGGATTACTTCGACGTTCGTGGGGCCGTCGAGAAATGCAGTACCCTACGTCCATATTCCCATCGAGGTTTCCTTGTCTTGAGCCGATCTTCATGCGACCCTTTGCAAGCCCCGTAGGTCTGAGGTAAGCCTGGCGGTTGAGCCCACCAATCCTTATGCACCGTTCATATAAATCGTCCACGTATCAGGCCGCCTGCCGCAAGCAATGCGCAGTCACTTGAAACGAACCGACAATCCACTTAAGTTCTTTCTGCCTCCCATTGGAGGACGGCTCTCAACCATATCTTGACAGCTTTTATCGAGATCGCTCAGCACGGTAGGGGTGGCCAAGAGCATCATCGTGGCTGCTCACATTCCGCACGTTGACTCGAGTTCATCAGCAATTCCGCTCTGGACCCTGCAGTTGGCTCGTTATGGCTCAATTGGCATTTCATTGGTGAAGGAGGAGAGATATCTGATAAGGCCACGAGTATGAGGATGAAGTTGACAGCATGTCTCCCACGTCCTCTCCGGAGGGAGCGCAACAAGACACGAAAACAACGTCAAAAGGCAGAACGACATCGATTTTATCGGGCTCATCATCGGTAATGGCTCCACTGAAGAAGCTTTCGCGCCTGAAAAACTCTCTAGTCGACTTTATAGTTCTGAGGGTGAAAGCTCTCTGGCCCTCGAAAGGATGTAGAGGGGAGAATGTGCGTCATGTGACATGGCATCTGACATGGCTAACCCCGAACCCCAAGCCCTAAAGAATCAACATGCCTGTCGGCTCAAGTCTGCGGCATAGACCTACTGGAAGGAAAAGAACGGTTAGAATATGATAAGGTATACACCAGTCCTTCTTTCGAAGAGTATCTACGCCATATAGAACCAGATTGCCGGGATTAGGGTATACCCTTCACATCTCCATGGACATGCCCATGCCATGACGATTCATAACTGCATGCCATAAGTCACAATCACATAACACCTCAGATCGAATACGTCAGGAACCGATCCAACTCGGGCGTCCAGTTCCGCTGCGGATCATCAAGCGCCAGCGCAATCCCATGCGCCGCATCAGGCAGAATCAGCGACTGATAAGGCCTGCTTTTCTCGGTCAGAGCACCAATGAACCGAAGCGCATTCTCAACGGGCACAGTAGCGTCATTCGCCGAGTGATAGATGAAGATCGGCGGCGTCGAGTTCGTAACCCTAGTCTCCGCAGACATTTCTTTCACTAACTCTTCTGATGGATGATCCCCCAGTAAATTCGTCCGCGAGCCCGCGTGCGTAATCAAAGCATCCATTGATATAACCGGGTACGTAAGGATCCCAAAATCAAGATCAGCCCTGGGATCTGTCACCGTAACCGCAGCGAGATGCCCGCCCGCCGAGTACCCCCAGATCCCGAGTTTCTCGACTTGCCTCAGACCGCGGATGTACCGGACGGCGCCAAGGGCCTCCTCCTGAGGGACGGGGTACAGCGGTGTCGAAGCCGTTGCGGCCGTGGAGTAATTCAGGACCCAGGCGTCGTAGCCATGCGCGTTGAGGTAGAAGGTCGAGTTGCTTTCTTCCCGGGGCGAGACGTACGAGTAGCCGCCGCCGGGGAGAACGAGGAAGCCGACGCCCAGACCGTTGCTTTCCGGGGCGGGGTAGTAGGTTAGCTTGGAAGTGTCGAAGCTGGACGTGTTAGCCGTTTGAATCAGAATAGTAGTGCAGGGGACAAACCTGGAGTTGCTGGCATGCGGGAGGCCGGCCACCATCGTTAGGCAGAGCGAAGCTGCAGCTGCGAGGAGGTTCATTCTGACCAACAGTTTGCAATTTGGATTTGATTTCTTCCGTAGACATCGTGTTCATTATATATGGGCATTCCCCGCACTGGCAAACAATCCAACTGCGGGGAATTGCACAAGCGCCGGCATAATTCAGGCCGAGCCCTTCCATTAACCCGGACAATGTCACCCTGATGACCGATACTGCTGGAAGCGGTTAATCTGCAATAGCCTGATGATATTTGGAGGCATTTTGTTGAAATAGCGGGGCATGGGTGAGACCCTCACTTCCCCGGCCCATTTACTCAAATGCCACTGTTTCCCCTTGGCGTATATGGAGCACAGTTAGCAATTACTAGGGAATGTTTGTCCCGCTTCAAGACCATTCTAGTGTGCCTAGATGATTACCAGTGAATTCCCAGATGCGTAAAAGTGCACTGCGTCAGTCCCCTCCACACCTCGCCCTGACGTCTTCTGCAGCGCCTACCTGCAGCAAACACTACAGCCTCACCGTCTGTGGATATTTTGGCTCTCTGGACGCGAAAGAGATGCCTCAGGCGGATGTACATATTTCAAAGGCAGAACAGGCAGTTGAAGAATTACAAGAACGTATAATTCAGGCATTAGGTGCTTGCCGTTGATGCGACTGGAAGGCCGTGGGGAAAGCCCTTCTTACGGTAAATAAACTTGTATGCCATCTCTTACAAAGAAACCAGACGACCTATATTATAAAGCACTCTGCAGCCCTAACAATCCTTCACAGCCGACACGTACCCTTCAAGCGCTGGACGGTATCCAAATTCTTCGACACGGTCCCTCCCAGCGTCGCCAGCTGGTCAGCCGACATACCCCGGCGGACCTGCGCAGCCTTGGAGATAGCCACCACATCCGAGAGAGCCAGAGGGGCCAGCACCAAGCTGAAGATCGCCAGCGGCGCGTTCTCCGGATCATCGACAATCGTGTACACGTCAAACGCGGCATTGCCCACGGCGCCGAGAAGCGAGATCACGCGGCCGATGGTCGCCAGCGAGGACACCGCGCTGGCAATCTCGCCGATGACCGGCACGAAGAAGAGGATGGCGCTGAGGAAGGCCAGGATGATGGCCTTGCGCTCCGCCTCGCGGATCTCCTCGGCGATGTCGACGATCTCCTCCATGTTGGCGACGGCGTCGGTCACCATGTAGATGGGCAGGGAGAGCGCGTCGACCAGGTCCGCTGCGTCGCCGAGGTAGACCCGGTCGTGGACGTCCTTGATGACCTGCGTCATCTGCGGGCTGAGGTCGGTCAGGTTCTTGCGGGCCTCGCTGACCACGTCCTCCGGGTTGATGACGTCCTCTTTCTCGTACCCCTCGGGCACGGGGAAGTCGTAGTCCCAGTACCAGTTGGGGCCGCACGAGTCGCTGTTGTCGCTGCCGCAGGTGATGTGGTGGACGTCTTTGAACGCGATGTTCTCCTTGTCGATGCCGACGTTCGTGTAGAGGTCCGCGAAGAACTGGTCGGCCTTGCTGTCCCGCAGCGTCCAGTACACGGACTCGGAGTACAGATCGCCCTTGGGCGGCTTGGACTGGCCGCGCAGGGAGTAGTCCGGCGGGCAGGGCTGGGTCATGTTGAGGTACTCGTAGTTGGGGGGGTCGCAGTGCACCTCGGGGTTCTCGCAGACGCCCTCCCAGCCGCAGTCGAAGTCGCCGCAGTACCGGCAGTCGAGCGAGTCCTTGCCGCTGTCATCGTAGCACATCTCGCAGCAGCGGATCCACTCGGTCACGATGCAGGTGAAGTAGTCGTTTCCGGTGTTCATGGTGAAGTTGCGCACTTGCTTCTCGCCGCTGTCGACGACGGCCCCGGCGTAGACGTCGAAGCTCTTGTCGTAGCCGTCTTCCATCAGGGCATCGTAGCGGCTGAGCGTGTCGTCCAGCTGTTTCTGTAGCGCGACGAGGAGGTACTCGGAGATGCATTCCTCGGGGATGTCGCCAATGTTGTCCTCAATCTCCTCGATGGAGGAGAAGGTTTGGTCGCAGTCTGCCAGCGTCTTGGATGGCATAGGCTCAATGACACCCTCATCGCCCAGGGGGCCCAGATAGTCATCGTCAGTAAAGGCCTGCAGGTCAACCGCCCAGTCGATTGTGCCGGCAAAGTTGAGGCCTTTCCAATGGTCCCGTCGAGTGGACTTTGTGGTCTCCGACATGTACGCAACCCATTCCAGATCTGAGACGCAATCAGCAGAGTCTTAAAAGGGTTGAAAAGAAAACATACCATCCCAAACCATAATGTCAGAATTGGAGGCGCCATCATGCCACGATTTCACGTTGTCCTCAAGGGTAAGAATCTGATCGATCTCGGCATTTGAGATGTATCCAGCAGTGTCGGTGCACGAGCCCTTCTGAGCATCGGAGTTTAATCGATCTCCAGTAAAGCCACACATAGGACCGGTGCACCCTTCCTCGGCCATGTGGAATGATCGGCCGTAGCTGGACTCGCCGACGAAGATCTTGTTGGACGGCACGCCGGCCTTGGTGACTGCTGCTGTTAGCCTGATCTCAAACTTGAGTCGGGCACCTACTCATGGACAATGTGTACGTTGTTTCAGTCAGGTTGACTGTTGGAAGTATCATGTCAGTATATGAGAGAACAAGGTATTGACGGCATACCGTGACTGCGTAGACAGTTTCCTGTAGGACAGCCTTCCATGGAGTACTGATTGCCTGCATCCCATTGACCTGGATAGTTGTCAGACAGAACATATATTGGTGGTAGATAGTAATTCTCACCGTGCAAATCGTATGTCATGTAGACAATGTAGTCGAGCTCCTCGGCCATGTTCTTGATGGGAAATGCTTTGAGATACCAATACGAAGCAGGAGCAGCAATGGAGAGCGACATGTCATCGGCCAGCTTGCGTCTCATCACAATCAGAAATTTGTAATAGTTGGCGCCATCCGAAGCTTGACCTGGAGGTGTATCAGGAATGTCCGTTGCCTGGTCGGGCAATGCATGTTAGTGCGTATTCGGTTCAAGCGATACAGAAAGAAGAGGACGTACGCCAGGATACTCCCAATCAAAGTCCACCCCGTCCAGCCCTTCATCGCTCAGAAACTTGGCCACGTTTGTAGCAAAGGTTGCCCGGTTGGCAGGGCTCATGGCCTGTCGCAGCACATCGTAGGTCTCGGGCTCGGTTGAGAACCCCCAGCCGCCAAAGGAGATGATCCGCTTCACATTCAGAGACTTGAAGTCCTCCCATTGCCCGTAGCTGTCGTTGATAGAAACGGTCCAATCCTCAGTATTGACGCCAGCAAACGCCCAGTGCATGTGCGTATAGCTGGAATCAGTGTTGGCATTGGTCGCCCGCAGGTTCAGGCAGTCGCGGTCAAAGTTCCACGACTCGTAGTATCCCACACGGCCGTAGGAAGACGGACCCTCGTCGTTGTTCTTGATGTCCACACCGCAGCTGGACACGCATCCATTCTTGCCGACTGGGGACGTGCCAGGGTTGTCGGCCGGGCCGCGCTCTTCCAGGCAGAAGTCCTCGGTGATTCCACATTGGCCCCAGATGTTGCAGCACACATTCAAGGGACAGGGATTCAAGTCCTCCAGGGCACTGCCGTCGGTTGGTTGCTGCGTGCCGGGCTTGGTAGGACCGCAGATGGCATTCGACACTGGTGCTGGCATCGGCGGGTCGCCCTTGCTGAGGCAGATATTGATGCCCGCGTCGAGATCGTTGCACCCATTCCATCCCCAGGTCGTGCCGTTGTTGAACTTTTCAATATCTCTGATGGTCAGGCCGTTGGCTGCTGCGAGATCAGAGCAGTTGTCTCCGATTTCGACAAAGTGAGTGGCGCAGGTCCCGCTTGCAATTGACATTGGGCGAATATCAGGGAGCGTGCCGGAGGAGCAGCAAACCGGCTGGCCAGCTGGAGGCTTCACAGTCTTGCTGCACAGATCGGCGTCGGAGTTGTACTTGATGAAATCGGAGTCAGAGATGCCACAGCGAGCGGCCAGCATTCCACAGTCGTCGCCGCTGACAACACGGATGGTTGAGCATTCGCCACGGCGCTGTAAGGAAGATTTCGTAGAAGAAGACATAGAAGAAGCAAAAGGCGTAGGCGATGCAACGGGCGAAGAAACGGCAATAGGCTTCATGTCGACGACCGACTCGTGCACTTGAACATTATCCCAGGTTTCAGTTGCATCAAACGAATCAATACACTCAGCGCTCTTCCAGGAGCGGAGGGCACGCTGGACGGCAGCGACATTGGACGTCGTGTCGACCGCAACACCAAGAACATGGTGGGCATTCCGGCCCTTGCCACAAACCTGAGCAGCCATGGTATCCGACGAGCCTTCGTCCTTGACGTGGTCCGTGAGGCGAGAGACAATCGAGGCGATTGTTGCTTGGCCAAAGGAAGGGCCAACATAAGCTCCAGCAACGGTGCCATTGACGTGCGCAAAGACAATAGACTCGCCGCAGTGACGCTTGTGACTGAGGTACCTCTGCAGCTCGTCCAGGGCAGCAGAGACAGCGCCTGTCGTCTCGCGATCCGTGCGAATAGCGCCGGCTGTGCCAAACTCGACAGGGATGCGGCGCTCTTCGGCGGTAGGCAGACAGCTTGCAGCTGCATCTTCTGCGCGCTTGGTCGGGGCGGAGCTGGCTTGCTGGAAGAGTGCGTTGACGGTGGAGTTGGCATTACCGCTGGCTCCAGGGGTACAAGCACGCAGCTTGACCCGCGCGTTGGGAGTATCGACCGGATTGTAGATTGCAAGATCAAAGAGTACCGGCTCGGCACAGAGGGCTAGACGGTCGGCTGAAGAGTAGACGGTCCAATTCGCTGGCTTGCTGCCTGCACAAGATGCAGGGCAAGGATGCAAGTCCGAGTAGAAAGTGCCAGGGCTATCGATGGGGACGACATCGCCCAGGGTAAGAACCGGGTTCCCTTCGACGTCCTGGGCAGCCAGCACTCCGCGCGAGAAGGGCGCCAGGAGAAGGAGCGCCCATTGCGCAAGTGCAACCATGAGGGATGAAAGGAATGACTGAAAAGAAAGACAAAGAGAAAAGAGAGGGAGGGTGGTGAACGAAAGACTTGGTTAACGGAACACCTGTAGAGAGGGAGGATGAGAGTATTTATCTCCCGACTGTCCATACTGGCTCTTCCAGCTCCTTGACTGGATCCATATCGCCTATGACTTTAGTCTAGAGAAGTCAGTAGACACAAAATGGCAACAGAGAAATAAGGGTCTGTGCCTTCCGGACAGCGAGAAAAGCCCAAGCGAGATGATAGTCCCTGATGCCCAGGCCACAGGCGGTTTCATGCTGAGCCGCCATCAGTTCGTTGGAATGCCGGCTTTCTTTCCTGATGTAGACTACTCTGATCCAGCTCGCAGTAGTGGAGGCAGGGTAGCATTGGATAGTGCTAACTAGTACTTAGGGCATCCTCCAGCAAAGCTAACGCAGGGGCTAGCACTAGGGCTCCATCGGCAATCTCCTGTACTTGGCACGGAGTAGGCCAGCAAGATACGAGGATGCAATGTCCCTGGAAGGCAGGCCAGATGCGAAGGATGGAATAAATACATTAGTGGTCCTTCGGAGGGTAGCTCGTAGAACCCGAGACTCGTCCTTCCCTCGCGGCCTATCTTTCTGCCCAGAAACAGAAAAATGAGGCTTTCTATTCTGACCACAGGATTCATGCTCCTGGTGCGCGCACTGGGCGATGGCGAACGAGGTGCAGCAGAACGGTAAGGCCTCCATTCCCTCGGAGCCCCGGCAGTCCTCTGACCTCACAGCACATTGATCTTTGCGACATATGTCATGGAGGAGATTTACGATTCAGACGACTACGACTCCAAAGTTGCCAGCGGATGCCAGGGCTCTAGAACAGGGCTCCGTGGGCAGACAGGCCGGTGCACGCTCAAGGAGCTGTGCGAACATCTGTGGATGCAGTCCGATTGGGAGGTAACCCAGCTGGGAGAGGACGGCAAGCCAATGAAGGACGACGAAGGCAAGACCATCACCGTCCCCCAAAGCGACAGCAGACCCGATCCCAGTCAGACCGGGTGGAACGTGAACGCGGAGAAGGGCAACCTGCTCGACAAGCTCGAGCCGAAAAAGATGATCCAGGCCATCCTGGCAGTCACAGACAAGACCACCAAGAAGAAACTAGACAAGAAGGGCTACTATGGGAACCTGAACGTGGGCAATGCGATCGAGGGCGCGACCGACTACTACGAGACGATGGCCGACTTCGGCCGCAATACCTGGGACTTCCGGCAGGAGGCTCTGAAGGTCGAATCCGAGCTAACTCCTGCCGTCCAGAACCGGTTCAAAAAGTGGTATGATCACGCAGATATTGCTGCAAAGGTGGTGGTGGACTTGAGGATGAAGGACAAGTACAAGATGGAAGAGCTTGCCATCAAGGACGGACTGAAGAGACTCTTCGATCCCAACACCGAGGACGGGAGGCAGAAGCGGAATGCAGTGCGCCTGGTCAAAACGGACGCAGGTCAGCTCATTACGAACAAACCCAAAGAGCTCTTAGGAGTGGACAAGCTCCAGATGGTGGACGTGGGTGCGACGGCCCAGGCACTGGCAGGACCGCTGGAGATGAGCGAGCAGGAGCTGGAAGACAAAATGAAACAGATCAAGCAGGCAGGCATGGCCTCGGAGGTTGGCATCACCCATCAGGCGGCCATTGACGCGGCCCAGCGCAGCCAGAAGCTGGTGGCGGGGGGCACATGCGGTTAGCTGAGGGTTCTGGGGATTGCTGGGGATGGGGCTGGTTGCCCTAGGTTAGGGTTAGCATTGTAGTTGCTTCTAGAAATAACACTTGTAGGCATCAATTGATGCCACCTGTCCTTCCAGTTTCTGTTCCATCACAATACACCACCACAATGCTCGCTTCCCTCCCCCAAGAACTCCTAGACGAGATCACCGCTCTCCTCCGACCGGGCGACCTCGCCCGGCTGATGGCCGTCAACCACCAGCTCTTTCTCCGCATCGAGCCCCTGGTGTACAGCCTGCCTGATGCCGCCAACCAGGCCATGTTCTGGGCCTGCCGCACCGGCCAAGCGCACTTCATCCAGCGCCTGGTTCTCGTGCACGGCGCCCCTGTGAGCACCGTCCTGGTTCATGGTGCCCCACTGCTCACCCTGGATATTGCCGCTGCACGAGGCCATCTCGAGGCCTTTCGCCTGCTCCTCAATCTCGGAGCCCGCGTCGACGTCCCCGGTCAGGCCAAACGGAACCACCGGATGCTCATCAAGCACGTTTCCTGTGCCGCCACCAGCCGGGATCTTCTCCGCTTGTTCTTCGAGGCCGGGCTGGACGCCCAGCTGCGCCCGGCACATCACCCGTCCTTCATCCTCGGAAAGCCGCTGATGTGGTTGGTGCGTACTGCGAGACAGTCTCCACTGGAACAGGTTAGACTGCTTCTGCAACGTGGGGCAGGGGTCTTTGCCAACGAGCCGTACGAGGCTTACCGGCACTACTTTCTCACGCCATTCACTGCGGCCATGTACCAGCGGCACTATGACCCAATCCCACTGCTAGACCTACTAGTCTCTGCCGGTGTTTCAGTACGGGGACCGGAGATTGCGGCACCTGTGGCAAGGCCAACCCATGTTCCCATCTTTGTTGCGGTGGAGGCCATGGCCACTACCGGAAATACAGCTCTCGTTGAGTGGTGCTTGAGGAATGGAGCCAACATCAACCAGCAGGTTCCACTCATCGACCATGAGATCGACAATGTCTACTACTACGGCAACCCCGCGCTATTCTATATCGAGCGCATCCGGCTCTGGAACTTCACTGGGAAAGTGGCAGCTGGCACAAACAACCTGGACATAGAGAGCAAGGTCAGCAACCCCTTGCAAGGACTGATGTATCTGGTGGAGCGCGGGGCATTGATCGACCCAGCACGAGATGCCCACGACGGAAGACCAAGGACGAGGACACCGACGGAATACACCAACAAGCCGACTCCTTGGTGCCTCGAGCGACTCCTGCGGAACTGCGGCCTCGACTGCATCCGAACAACCCCAACGTTTCGCTCGACGGTGGAGTACCTCCTGCGCCGCAGCATCCACCGTGGCGATGTAGCTGAACTGCTAGTCCGGTGCGAGTACGCCCTCCGTCCAGGCTACGAGCAATGGTCTAAATGGTCTACCCCGACAGGATACAAAGCGCAGTCCGAGCAGACCATTGAATCCTGGCGCGACCTGCTCCAACTCGTGGACAGTCTGCTAGACGAGCAGCGCTCCGAGTCCACCCCAACCCGCCTTCTAGCGGAGTACATCACATGCAAGGCCCAGCGCCTCGATGCACTCCACGAGATTGGACATCTGACCATCGACCATCTCCTCGCCCACGGAGCCGACATCAACGCCCCAGCCGGCGAGCCCGACGGGGCAACCCCACTCCACCAACTCTGCCGGGCGTACAATGCACATGGACGCACGCGCTCGGCTCTATGGTATACCCGCCAGACGACAGTAGACACAGACATGCAGGAGTTGGTGCGGCATCTGCTCAGCAAGGGGGCGGATCCTTTGCGGACAGCGCAGGGTTACACCCCGAGGGAGCTGCTAGTTGCTGATATCCGCTCGGAGGGGTGCAGTAGCAGCGAGAGTACGGTCCTTGGCGTCGCAGAGATATTCTAGCTTGCGGATTCTATAGGTGTAAGGCGAAAATGACAGAAATTTCAATCTGAGTCTATCAGCCAAGCTTGCCAAGGGCGCAGACTGTCCAGCGTAAAGCGGCTCTGGCCGACAGCAGTAAGCCAATTAATTGAATCCAGGGACTGACCCGGTCATCCGATCAGAGCACACAATGCCATTATTTGATTTACTTCATTTGCGCCCGCAGGATCTCCACACGTACAGGAACGAGCCGGCCGTTCCCATCCGAGCCCTAAGTCCAAGAGGAGAGTGTGCTCCGGGCCTAGGGAGATTGCCACGAACCGTTCCTGCGCTAACCTCTAGCCCAGGGTCTTGGCCGATGGGGCTTCAGTGAATTAGCTGCTTTAGGAAGGAGTCTTCGGGTTTCGGGCCTCGGGTTATTCGGAGATGAATCGAGCCTCTGGAGATTGCCCTGGGGTCGGATCTAGATGAGGTTGCATTGCTTTCAATCCTGGAGAACGGTGGGTGCTTGGCAATCATACCTGGCTATCAGGAAACCAAGAGATAATGTCAGAAAAATTGATTGTCAATGTCAGAGATTCGATGTGTCGGGTGTCCTAGTCAAGTCCTTGGACTCTACTATGGTAGTGTTGTTGTATAAAGCCTCAACCGCCCATCATGGACCTTTGGTAGTTCAGCATACACCTGGCCTGTATTGCAAGATGCTAAACACTCCCCTTCTCCTTGCCGGCGCTCTGAGCCTTTCCCCCTGTCTTGCCCTACCCGGGCATGGCCAGGGTCAAACCCACGTCCGTCGCGACGAGACGCCCCAGATGCCGTATGACCCGGACACCACTTCATACTGTACCTGATGGGTTGACTATGACGGCTCGACCTCTTGCGCTGACCTGCTCGATGTCTGGGCTATCACGATCGACGATCTCATGCGCTGGGTATGCAGTCCGCCCTGTCCTCTGCACCATCAGCTAACGTCCGCAGAACCCATCTGTCTCTGAAGGCTGCGCGGGCATGCAGGCAGGAAACTCGTACTGCGTTGAGGCCTTTGGGGAGCCCGACCCGGGTGAGATCACGTCCACCACGACCACTGTCCCCGTCACCACCACGACAACCAAGACAAGTACCTCAACTACGACCACGACCGGCGGTGCCCCCGGCGCCACTCAATCCGGCCAGATCACAACATGCAACCGCTGGGACCTCGTCCAGCCCGGCGATACCTGCTCCGTCTACCTCGACAAGTACCCCGGCCTTACCCTTGCAAAGCTGGTTGAGTGGAACCCGGCCATTGGATCCCAGTGCCAGTCTCTCTGGGTTGATACCTACGTATGCTACTCCCCCTAGCCCCTATGTAAATGCCACAGCTAACAATCGTCGCAAAGCTCTGCACCGGCGTAGAAGGCTACACCGCACCAACGACTACCACCACGGCCGCTCCAACAACCACCGCCCCCAGCAACGGCGTCACCACGCCCTCACCCATCCAACCGGGCATGACGACCTCGTGCGCCTCCTTCCACGAAGTCCAATCCGGCGACACCTGCGCCTCGATCGCCCAGAGCAACGGGATCTCCCTCTCGCAGTTCAACGCCTGGAACACCGGCGTCGGCAGCGGCTGCTCGTCCCTCTGGCTGGGATACTACGTCTGCGTGTCCGAGATCGGGGCCACGACGACGACCAAGGCACCCAGCACAACAACCAACCCAGGCAACGGCATCGCAACACCCACCCCCACACTCCCGGGCATGGTCTCCACCTGCGACGCGTTCTACCTCGTCTCCGAAGGCGACACGTGCGCGGGCATCACGAAGAAGAAGGGCCTCAGCCTGTCGCAGCTGTACAAATGGAACACTGCATTGGATTCAACCTGCTCGGGGCTGTGGACGGGGTACTATGTCTGTGTTTCTGTGCAGGGGGTGAACCCGACCACCACGACGAAAGCCACGACAACCACCACAAAGCCAGGGAATGAGATTGCGACGCCGACGCCAATCCAGCCGGGGATGACGGCCTCGTGCAAGAAGTTCCACAAGGTTGTTTCGGGCGACCAGTGCGGGACGATTGCGAAGAAGGCCGGGATCTCGCTGGCCAACTTTAACAAGTGGAATCCCGGCGTCGGCAGCTCGTGTGCGTCGTTGTGGTTGGGGTATTATGTTTGTATCGGGGTGTAGGTGTTGATACCTGCGAGGATGGATTATGCAGGTGGTATCTTGTACATTAACTGTGGATAGAGAAGCTGAGTTTGGCACGAACTGCCTAGTGGCAATGTATGATACCAGGCAGTACCATAGATGTATAAGCTGCCAATGGAATGTATGGATTGGACTACAAACTCTTCTTCCTCACTTCGCTGATAAACACCAGCTGTCACCTGCCTGCGCCAGCTAAGACCAAAGCCGATAAGCCTACCTATATCCAGGTCCGTCCAAGTAAGCCCGAACCGGGAATGGCATCCTGTCAGCATCCCTGCTCGGCTTCTCCAGAAATACCCAGCAAGGCCGGTGGCTACAGATCGTACTTGCTTCCTGAAAAGCACGGGACCATACAACCGGGCAAAACGCTCGCAACCTGACACTTGAACCGCCAGCCCGTACAGTGCCCGGCGAGCAGGACCTTGGGTTCAAACCTCCTCAAGTCCTCCATCGTCGCGTTCAGTTTGGCGTCATCGGCATCGGCCAGGTGGTACCCGCCCACGACACTATACAGAGCGCCGTTTCCTCGCCTGGTTGCGTCTCTGCAGGTATTGACGATGCCGGCATGGCCGCAGCCGGTGAAGACAACGAGTCCTTTACCTGTGGCACACGGGGCATCAGTTCCGATCATCTAGATATAAGGATTCTGGTTAATACCCTTAAGCTTGCACATCACGTAGCGTTCCTCCATGATAAGGGTATCTTCCTCCCATTTCCCTGTCGATTCATGGAAGCGCAGTCCCCCGTAGATGCCATCCTCGTAGGCCGTCTCGCGCGGGATCTCGCCCGAAACAAAGAAGAAGCCATCCAGCACTGTATGCGGCTGATCTGTTTTCAGCAGCGTGGCCCCGGCAGCTTCCAGCTCTTCGAACGAGGGGTCGGCTTCGAGCGAGATCGGTCGGTCGGCCTGGACGCCTCGGAAGGCAGGCCGGTCTGGGTGCACGTCCACCGTGACCTGTTTTGGGGCAGCGGCGTTGCTGTTGATGAGTTCGATTGCTTTGGTTAGGCCGCCTGTGGGTTGGATCAGTGACGTTCGTTCAGAGAGACATAGTCTGTGTACCGGAGTGGTCTCGATGGTAGTGAGATAGGACGACGTGTTCGATGCGGCCAATCTCTGCGCGGAGCCGGCGGGAGTTGCGCTCCCAGACCTCGCCTTCTGGGCCGGCGTCGAAGAGGAGGTAGTGCTTTTGGTTGCCTTTGGTGGCAATCTGGGCTTGGTCGTCAGACTTGTCGAACACGGTGGTGGAAGCTTACGAGGAGGAGAGAGATCCCGTGCGCCGCGCAGCAGATGTTGTCCATGCGCATTTCCATGGCCGCTCCGCCGCGGCGTGCACCTGCATCCGAGTCCAGCGGGGTGAGTGGGATGCCCATGAAGCGGCTGGCCACCTTCACGGCCGGGTTGGGGGAGGGAGAGATGGGGTCGAGCTCATCGTTGACGATGACGTGGATTTCGAGGTCGTCGAGTTCGGCCAGCATCATGAAGGAGTTATTCTGGCCGAAGGCTCAGCAGTGTGACGAGTACATGGTTAAATAGACCCAGCTCCACTGATGTCATGAGACGACCATTGGGACTGCTCTCGGTCTCGGTCTCGGCCTACTTCTCGAACAGGAAACATGCCGAATCCTCTCCATGCCGTATTTATAGATTTCGCACCGAGTACTCCATCCCAGGCAGCAGTTTATATATCATCCTCCAACCCAAGGCCGAGAAAACAAACCAGACAAGCTTTCCAAGCCACCAAGATGACTACCGCCGATGAGAGCCTGGCCATCTTGGAAGTCGCCTTCTATGCCCTAGTGGTCCTCCCCGCTGTGTACTGTCTGATCATGCACGGCCGACCGGGCCTCACGGGTTGGGCTTACCTGCTCATCCTGTGTGCTCTTCGTCTGGCCGGCAATGGGATGTTCCTGCAGGCGTATCAGGACGGAACTCTCAGTATAACGGCTATGGTGCTGAACGGTATTGGTCTTTCACCGCTCCTGGGTGCAGGGTTAGGGGTGCTACATGAAGCGTATGTTGATGGCCCTCTGATCCATATCGTACGAGGGTGAGATCAAGAATCAGCGTTGACTCCTCGTAGAAACCTCACCATCAGTCCAAGGCTACCCGACTTCCTCGGCCGGAGAGGAATCCTGATCACGCACGCAGTGACCTTGGCCGGAGTGGCCTTGGCAGCTTCAAGTGTGAACAACCGGTCGCTGCTCAAAATCGGAATGGTACTATTCACGGTCGGCTGGGTCCTGGTGTTGGCCTCGGTGGCCCTGTCCCACAGCAAAGGCAAGCCCAGTCAGCGATTACCGGGCGAGGAGAAGGTGAGTGAATAGAACTCCAGTCGAACTCCGCTGACGCTCGCTTTCCCCAGCTCTTATGGACTGTTACTGTTGCCGTGCCGTTGACCGGAGTTCGCCTGATCTATGCGCTGGTGACTGTGTTTGCTACTTCGCGTGTCAACGGGGGGAGTCTTGCCGCCAGGGTGATATTCGGGACGCTGGTGGAGTTTGCGGTGGTGGCTCTTTATCTCGGGGCAGGGATCATGACGAGGTCTTTGAACAGGACTCGCATTGCAGGCCATTCTGTGCCTTTGATTGATTAGTCTCCGAGTGGTCTCCGTGTAAGGTACCTAGGGCAGCTCGGAAAGCCGACCCGATGGGGAAGACCTCCGAACGCCTCCACCACCACCAACTGGACAGCCTCGATGTAGAATTTTCTTCAGAAATCGGCGAGTGGACCATACTTGGGGCAGATCTGGTTGAGTTGGCCATGGCATATCTTAAGATGACTTCGTTTCTTCCGCCCTAGTAGACGGTATCTCCTCCTTGCCTGAAACTGCAATGCGTGAACTGCTTCGGGACACGGCCTTTGGGAAGCTGGTTCGCATCCTGAGCGGCCACCGGCTTCTTCGCTATCCCGAGGAGTGCGATGCTTCCATCGCCTCAGAGTACATACGCACCGAGCCAGGTCAGGAGAAGACCATCGTCGTTGGCTGGCGCGCGAATGACAGCGATGTAAGTCTTCAAGCTGTTTGGTACCCTAGGCTCCAAGCCCTAAATAACAGTAACAGGATCCCCAGAATTGGGGCTTCGGCAAGAAGCTCCTGGCTAGCTCGTTGGTGTGGCTTTTGACCTTTGCCGTGTACATTGGCTCGGCGATCTACAGTCCCGGCATCCCAGGGGTTGCGACCGAGTTTGGGGTCAGTACTGTGGCCTCGACGCTGGGTCTGACGTTGTTTGTGCTGGGTTATGGAATCGGTGTGCTTTCCTGTCCTTCTCGACTATCCCTCCATTTCTCTCGTCTTTCTAACGTTTAGATCACTCTAGGCCCCTTGATCTGGTCCCCGCTTTCTGAACTCGCGAATATCGGAAGAAACCCCATCTACATCCTCACGCTGTTTGCCTTTCTGTGTCTGAATTTCGCGGTGGTGTATGCCCAGAACTTTGGCATGCTGCTGGCCTTTCGATTCCTAACCGGGTTTATCGGGTCGCCGGCTCTGGCAACAGGGGGTGCCTCCATGGGCGATATCTGGAGCCCTAACACGCGGGATTATATGATTGTAGTATGGGGCACTTTCGCCATTGCAGCGCCGGTTCTAGGGCCCATGGTTGGCGGATTTGCCTCGTCGGCCAACGGCTGGACGTGGACCATGTGGCAGTTGATTTGGGTGTCCGCATTCGCGCTGGTGGCACTCTTCTTTCTCTTACCTGAGACATACGGGCCGAATATTCTGTATAGACGGGCTCGGCGGTTGCGCAGGATTACAGAACAGCCGTTCTATTGCGAGGCTGAGCTCGAGCTTGAGACTATCACTTCCACGGTATGCCCTCTAACATAACCCAACACTTCCAAGATTCTCATGTGAAACCCTAACACCTTATTAGGAGATGCTTTTCGAGGCCCTAGTCCGCCCCTTCCAGCTATGCTTCCTCGAGCCAATTGTCCTCGTGATGAACATCTACATCTCTCTCGTATACGGCATCCTGTACATCTGGTTCGAGGCATTCCCCATCGTGTTCCAAGAGATCCACGGCTTCAACCCAGGTGAGAGCGGCATGTCGTTCCTAGGCATCATCACCGGAACCCTCGTCTTCGCCATCCCCGGCTACTTCTCCTGGAAGTACTTCCACCAGTCCCAGCAGAAGGTGCCCACGCCCGAGTCGCAGCTCCCCCCCGCCATCGTCGGCAGCATCTGCCTCCCCGTCTCGCTATTCTGGTTTGGCTGGACCGGCAACGCGTCCGTGCACTGGGTCGTGCCCATCATGGCATCCGCCCTGTTCTCCGTGGGCGGATGTCTGATTTTCAACCCGATCTTCTGCTACCTGGCGCATGCGTACCCGCGGTATGCCGCCTCCGTACTGGCCGGGAATGACTTCATGCGGTCTTCGTTTGGGGCTGGGTTCCCGCTCTTTGCTGCGGCGATGTTTCATAAGCTGGGGGTGGGCTGGGCGTGTACGTTGCTGGGCTGCTTGACTTGTCTTTTTGTGCCGTTTCCGATTGTGCTGTACTGGCGTGGGAGGAGACTTCGCTTGGCGAGCAGATTTGCCAGGCATGATATTTGATGTAGATTCAACTCGGCGAAGCTGGACTTGGAGTGTGTATACAACTATGTGATGGAATCGAGGGAGATCCCTGACGGGCTACTTGTGCGGTAATCGTGAATCATCTCGGGCTTTTTCCTACGATCCCTCGCCCTTCTTAATATTCTTCTCTTGAGGAATACCATCACATGCGACATTGGTCTTGGAAACTAGACATAGACTATCCAGAGACTCCGTTGAACATCTAGTGCAATGGCACCTCAGCAATGATAACGACCCAGACTACATATTAAGAACGCCCTGTATATAATCCTGTGAATTCATGCCGGCAAACTAAGCTTCCAACTCTAACGCTTGCAAGAGCGATCTCAGCCATTGCATGAATCGACAGCAATCAAGGCGCAATCGGGAACCTCATCCGAAGCGCCTCCCCATACCTGAAAAACACAACCGGAAGCGGCAGCATGGCCAGGGAAATGAAGGCCAACAAGGTGTTGCCCCAACCCAGCCCAAGCGCGCTGTACATTGACGGCCCAGCCAGAGGCAGCACCGCGCCCATGAGCGATCGCAGGACGGTATTCGCCGCCGCTGCCGACGCTGCCTGTGCGGTAAATGCCTCGACAAGATAGGCTTGGATAGCGGTCTATATGTAAGAGTTGTTAGTTCCCTTGGACAGTGAAAAGCAGCTGGCTGACAGAATACAATGCGCACGTACAAAAGAGGCCACCACGCCAACACCGATCCAGCCTGTCCCAATGATGGGCAGGATCCAATGCACTTTTTCGCCGGCGGTCCAGCCGTACCAGACCAGCCCGATCGGCAGGCACACACTCAGCGGGATCATGAGGGCCAGGCGGAACTCGGGCTTCCGTTCGCCCTTGGCTCGTCGGGCGGCCAGACGGTGTGAGATGGGGTCGGAGAAACGGCCTGTGACGAGGAGGCCGAGGGCAGAGCCTAGCCCTAGCCCGATGTAGGTGAGGCCGACTGTGCTTGCGGAGAAATGGTATTGGTCGCGGTAGACCTGCGACATGGTGGTGAAGAGGAGGTAGAGGAAGCCGTAGACCACGGCGACGTAGAGGGAGAGGAGGGAGACGATGGGAGAGAAGATCAGCAGTTTCAGCGGCAGGATGATGGATCTCGCGAAGAGAGCTGTTGGCGTCAACCCTGTGGAGAGGGCAGACTGGAAGTTGGGATTGCCTGTTTCTCGACGCAGGCGCTTTGCCCGCCGTGCGAGGAGGACCGGAGCGTAGGTTTCACGAAGGACGGCGAATGAGATGCATGTTACGACGCCTGCCTGGATGGTTGTCTTAGACTGCAGGGTCTGGATTTATCGTAGAGGGGGGGAGTATTTACTGCAATCGCAATCACCCAGAAGACCCAGCGCCACGACACGTCTTCGGCCAGGAAACCACCACAAACACTGGAATAAGAAATGATCAGGTCAGTGAGCGCAAAGGGAGATCGAATGACCACATACGGGCCAACAACGGGACCAACAACAGGGCCAACAGCCCAAACAGCAATTGCAAATCCGCGGCGATCGGGGGCGATGATATCGGCGATTGTTCCAGCTCCAAGGGCCAGGGGCGCGCTCCCGAATGACCCGGCCAGGAACCGAAATGCGACGAGGGAGGACAGACTGGGAGCCAGAGCACAGGCTACACTGAAGAGTGCAAAGCCGATGTTACAGGCGTGGTAGAGCGGCAGTCGCCCGTAGAGCTCGGAAAGGGGCGCCACGACCAGAGGGCCAAAGGCAAAGCCTAGAAGGTAGACCGAGACCACAAAGGACGACATGGGCTTGCTTGTCGAGTCGAACTGGGCCATGACCTGCGCAACCCCCGGTGCAAACATGGCCGACCCCAGCGGGCTTGACCTGTTGTCAGCAGCTATACTAGGGACCGTCACTCCGCAGGCCTTGACGTACGTGAGGAAGTTGAAGATCGACACGGTGCCAACCGTCATGATCTTCTTGCTCGTGCTCCAGTCCATTGGATTGGTCTCATCGCCGGCTTCATCCCAGTCAACGAGGTCGGGGGATCGCGTTTCGGGGCCATTCTTCAGAACTGAAGCCATAGTGTATGCGCCTCAATTCCAGATTCCCAGGTATGGATATGCGTGAGAGCACAGGGGTTTTATCTGTTGGATACCGAGGTAGTGATTCTGCAGGCTGCATAGGGCATGCATAAATCCCAGCAGAGACTCCGAATCCATGGGGAAGGTGGGCCTGCAGATCGTCTTTCCTGCTGCTGTCCGAACTACCGATCCAGTGCTGTTTATGACGGGTATGCACAAAAGATCGGTAGCAACCTCTGTATAAGGATCAGCCACGGCTCAGAAGTCATTCCTCGGCAAAGGGAACGGTCATACTACGACTACTAAACTTCTACTGCATCTTAGAGCTGCGTCTGATACTATCCAGATAGAATTCAACTATTACAATCTATCCTCCTGCTCTGTCCCTCCGCCATGTATCTCCTCTCCCACAACTTCATGCCCCGATAGCCCCCTTGAATCTCCCACTGGGATCAAACCGCGCCCGCAGACTCTGCAGCTTCTCGTAATGAGCCCCCCAGACCTGCGCCGCTTTGTCAGTAGCTGAACATCGGTGCACGGAAGTTGGTGTAGCCATACCTCTCTCCGATCATGATACTCCTCAAGCCCATTCGGCAGGACTTGGAATCTTGCATTATCCCCCAGGACCCGTGAGGGAGCCTCGATTGCCAGATCCCGAGCCAGCTTCTCCTTGTATGGCCCGGCGTCCGAGGGACACCCGGTGCCGAGAAGCAGAATATGCTTGAGCCCATCTTGTCGTGGCCACGCTGAGCTCGCGGCGCCACCAGCTTGATCGCGCTGTTTTTGCAAAGACGGACGTTTAGTATCTGAGACTTGCTGGAACTGCTGGATAACACCTACCGAGCTCAATAACTCGAAGATCAGATAGGTGCACTCGCCGAACGAGGGATCAACGTCCTTGATCTCTTCGAACCACTGGACCGCTTTGATCACCGTCTCTTGCGAGATGTCGCTTAGCATGAGCGGCTGCCAAAACTGCTTCATGGTGCCCTTGACGGTCCCCGCCTTGTCTGGCGCCGGGGTCATTAGTGGCTATTGCAGATGCTGGGACAATCGGGAGTTTCTTGCTTACTTTGTAGAGCAGCCACGCCAGCGAGCGTCTTGAGCTTTGTCTGATCAACCGCACCAGGGATATCCAACGCCCATGCGAAGCTTTCCCGCCCATGCTCTTCCCCGTTGGCGTCGAATGCATGGACCACTAACATATCCGAGTCGCTCCCGATCGATTCAAGCAGCCGCCCAGTTACCACGTACAGAAACATGGTGATTTTGGGGTCAACCGGTCCCGCAAGAAAGCTTTCAATGCCCTTTGCAACTTGTTCCAGCGCTTCACGGGGGAGGAGGATCGGACCAGCCCAGATGTCTTGTGGGTAGCGGAACACTCGGAGTTTGACCTGGACCAGCACTACACCGGGATGAGAACAACATTAGCGGTTTTACAGTGATGAGAAAGACTCGAACACCTACCACCAAAGCCACCGCCTCCACCCCGGAGTGCCCACAGCAACTCGGGCTCTGTGGACGCCCATACGACCGAGCCGTCGAACTTGACGACCTTTGCGTCGAGCATGTTCGCCGGGTCGGAGATGCACCCGTACTCGCTCGAAAGCCACGAGTACCCCCCGCTGAGGATGGTGCCGGCCACCCCAACACAGGGCGTGCGCGCCCCGACCACTACATGTGCAATCCAGTCAGCACTATACCACAACGTCGAACAGAGAGTCCGCCGCGGGGTAGGCTTGAAGGCTTAAACGCGGACATAGTCTTACCTCCGTATTCAGGCGCCACCTCCTCGAGCTTGCGGTAAACCTCGGACCATGCCTGTCCGGCACCAATGGTGATCGTTTCGGCCTGGGGGTCAAAGGAGAAGTCGTCAAAGGCGGAGGTGTTGACTAGGACGTCTCTGGCCGAGGCGGAGCTGAACCCCTGTCCGTAGATGGCAAAGTCCAGCTTCGTGGTGTACAGGTGGGCGATGACCTTGCTCAACGCCTCGATCGAGGCCGGTCTGATCACCAGGCCGGGATTCTCTTGCTTCTGGGCCGCCCATGTTTGCGCGCTTGGGCGGTACTCGGGAGAGTCGGGGGAGATGATGTCGTCGGGGCGCACGAGTGAGCGGAGGGTGGCGAAGGGGTCTGTATCTGGGGCTGACTCGGCCATGCTGGTTCACGTCCTCAAGACGGTAGACTGGGAGGGGACGGATTTGAATGAAGGTTATCACATTGGGCTGGCAGGGTTACTTGATCTTGGAACTGATGTCAAGAAAGGAGCAGTGGGGCAGCTGTTTGCCGTTTGCGTTCGGCAGTCCGAAGCCTGTTCCAAACCCATTAAATTCTGCTAATCTTTGATCAACTGTGCGGCAGACGCATGGAAATGTTGCTCTATACCTATATGGAATGTCAACCTTGTCAAGGTGACTGGTAGCACAATGTGCTGCGGTGGTCTCCTTATGCAGAAGAGCCATGTCCAGAAAAGGAAACTGCAGCATGTAAGGAATTATCTTATCAAAGCACGTGCAGTGGGACGCTTGTTCTAGTTTTCCGCCCGCTCCGGCTTCTCCACGTGTCGTCACCAGGACTTCAAGCTTGGTCACCACAGCATGGCATCTGCTGCCGAACCTCTCCCAGCTGTATGACAGCCCTCGCCTGATTCATCCGGACTGAGGCTGATATAGATTCCAATCCAGTGCGATCTATGCCATTCCAGAAAGGTTCTCGATCAAAGGACTTTCAGCCATACCGTGTACACTGACACTGTATCCGTAGGTCAAGTGTGATAGGCGAGCTCCCTGCGCCAACTGTGCCGATGCTGGTGCCGAGTGCCGCCGCTTGCGCCGCCCACGCTCGTTGAGGAAGAGATCATTTCACAGGTCTGTCAACCCGAGAATAATGGAAACTCCGTCTTGACTCTGCGTCTAGCTTTCTAGGGCCGCAGGAGAGCATAGTAGACTTTGAGGGGAACTTGTCCGGTGCCCAAAGGTATGTACGAATGACAATAACCATCGGATTCTAACCCAGCCGGCGCCAGATGCTCCCCGGGCACTGCATCTTCTGCGAGAGATAATAGTCCTAGACCGCTCGGGAATCATGCTTCCAACGCAGAAGGGAGATCTCCCAGCCCTGCTGCTCCCTCGACCCCAAGCGATGACGGCTCAGACTACCTTGCGATCCAGGCGCGAAAGGTGATCCAAATAGATCTTCACAACCCTCGTTCTGTTAGCCGCGAACGACAGGCGTTGCTCAAGTCGGCGCTCCAGCTGGTGGGCAGCATTGCCGACAGTGAGCCTCGTCATGGCTTTCCTGGAGTCGAGGGAGAGTTCAGGCCATCCGGTTCGCCCTGGCCAGTCCTACAGGCGCCGCCTCGCGAGCTGCTATTCATGCTTCTCCCTGGTAATCATACCGGTCTACCGACGCTGAGACGCAGCTGACGGAGTGCAGGCCCGCCAGAGTCTATGCGCATTCAGTGGCCCGATCACATATCCGACCGGACGTACGCGAGAATGGCGGCGGATTTGCTCCGAGATCAAGCTGATCGCGCCAACCAGAAGTTTCATCAGTTCTGTGTCTGCATCTATGTAAAGGCGATTTTCCATCTTTATCAGATTGCACGCACGGTGGACGAAGGCCTTCTGAGAGGGGAGATGTCAAAGTCTAGAGCCGCCTACATTGCAGCGGCGATGCGCAGCATTGAGTGTTTCAACATATGCAGCCCGCCGGATCTTTCATCCATACAGTGTCTGATTTCAAGTGTAAGTCTCCCATGAGAAGCCAAAGCGACTGGATTCATTGACTACGTCGCGCTCCTCCAGGCGTTGCTCATGCAGCACTTGGGAAGATTCAATCAATGTTGGCTCTTCGTCTCATACGCTGCTCGGCAGATCACTGCTCTTAACTACCACAAGATCCATAGACTACAGGCCAGCTCTGATTCAAAGCAGGAAATCCACAGCGCTGTTTACTGGTGCTATTATCTAGACCGGACTTTGAGTTCTCTTCTATGTCGACCTCCTTCGCTGCCAGACTTCGGAGCTTCCCCTACGGATCTTATAGTCCTGGAGCCTTCATCGCCTTACAATGGTCTCTTACGTGTTCTGCTCGATCTCGCACAGGTCCAGAGCAAGCTGCATTCCTTGTCATGTAGTTGCAGAACTGAATCTCCTGGTCAGGCTCGCGAGATATGCCGAGAGCTCGAATCGACAATGCGTACGGCCATCCTCCCACTTCTGCAGTCGGTACGTTGCTGAGCCCCAGGCCTACTGCAACTCATGCCCTAAACAGGCCTTACGTAGAACCGCGACCTGCACCCCAAGATGGTCCAGTACGACTGGGTCTGCGTCGACTTCTGCTACCACGCCATCTTCGTCGAGATCCACCGCACCCGCCTGAAGAGCGATTTCAGCCCAGCCATCCATCAGGAGTGTCTTCTGTTCGCTCGCAAGTCGCTCCGCGCCTTCCACTTCCTTCAGCAGCATTCTGCCGCAATGCCCGGCTTCGACGACCCGTATCCGTCCTTTCTGACCTGGTGCAGTGATCCTGCCCTCCATCCCCGCGGCTCCGACTGATCTTGATTCTTCCACAGGACGCTGTTGCTCTACCCCCTCAGCGCCTTCTTCGTTGTCTTCTGCAACATCATTGCAACGGTGGATCAGGACGACTACAAACTCATGGCGCAGATTATTCAGCGCTTGGAACCGTTCAGCCAGGATCCGCATCTGTGCAAACTGTTGAATCTGCTACAACGGCTCCAGCGTCTTTGCCAGCCCTTGTTTCAACAACACCTCCCCAGCGCTGTCTCCGACGATGTTCCCACCTACAGCGACGCACCGGCCACCGAGATTGCGTCGATTGATCCTGCCATCAACCCGGCTACTACCGGCGCCCTGCCCTCGATGGTCGGATTCGGAGATAACATGGGGCTTGCCCAGGACACCGCGGTCGACAATTCGGCAGACTGGCTCATGTGGCAGCTCTTCAATAGCCAGGTTCCAGCCGGGTGGTTCAGTCAAGAGGCTGGCTCTTTTGATGTATGAAAGAAAAAATAAGAGACTATAGGCGGCGGATTAGAAAATTCTCGATGTGCCTAAGATTCCCGTAGCGACCGTTGATGGACTCCAGGGCTCGGAACAGAATTGCCCTTTCTGGTCGGACTCCCGACCCAACCCTAAGTCCTGACTCTCCTCATCCATTTAAATCGCCCCCGCAACCCAGTTTCTCTACTGCCCTAACTAACTCACCCAATCTCTGTAAGTAAGGGTATTCTCCAACCCCCTTTCTCACCTCAGCACCTGACATCCAAAACTCAAGCACAACGCCCAAACCAGCCCACCATGCACACCGACCACGACGCCGGCTTCACCGTCCAGTGCTCCGCCCTGCCCTGGCTCCCGCTCGCCCCCGGCGTGACCATCAAAGTCGTCAAGCTGGTCCCCGAATCCGGCGAATACACAATCATGGTGCACGCCGAGCCGGGCGCTGTCCTCCCGCGCCACCGCCACGTCGACAGCGCCGAGATCTACGTGCTGAAGGGGAGCGGCGCCCATCCGCAGACAGGGGCGTTCGTGGAGGGCGACTACGTCTCCGAAAGTAAGGGCGCGGTGCACGACCCGCTGCCTTTCGACTGTGAGACCGAACTGTTGATGCTGGCCCGCGGGCCCTCGGTGTTCTTGGCGGACGATGGGTCGGACCTGTATACTATGGATGTGGAGATGTTGCAGGGGATGGTCAGGAGGGCGGGGGGCGCTTAGGGCTAGGGAATGTATTCATTCATGGATGGGGATCAACAGAGCTTTTGATCTTACTTGCTTTCGCGCATGATCCATGCCCCGGGGTGGGTTGGTAGTATCCATATTCCCGCAAGTTGAATGAGTTGGACTGGATCGACCCCTTGACCTTTGACCATGTAGGGGTAGAGCCTCCGGAACTCCTTTGCTCCCTGGCTAAGTGCTGCTGAATGCAGACGCCCAGAAGTTGCACAGGCTCCTTGAGGAACGGATAGAACATCCATCCATGCCCGAGGCAGCCACCAACGCAGGCAATGAGCTTCATGTACCTGCTGCCTGGCCTCCTCGCCACTGACAGACTGGAAGGTCCGCATTATGGTCGGAAATGTATAAGGCCCAGCCCCAGATCATCGCACATGATGTGTGTCCAAACTGTCAACAAAAGCTTTCAAGGCTTCGTGACAATGACTGGTTGACTTGTAACATTCCATGCGCGTCTTTTTTAAATCTATGTCCGGAGACGCGCGCTAGGTCCTATTGTTATTGTTTCCAGCATACGGGACATTAATGGTGAGGGCTTCAAGTGTCACGTACCGCAGTCGTCACAGCAGCCGGCAATCAGGTCGCGTTTGATGGCGTCAGACGGACTTCCATTATAGGGTAAAGTTCATCAAATGAAGCCTCTGTAGTTCACTACCGTAGTTCATAGTACCGCAGCACACACGGCCACCCTCCCATCCAGTATACCATGAATCCCAACATTTGGAAAGCCTTGAAGCAAACCCAAGAATGCCATTCTTGTTTGTTGAGATCACCAGCTGATCCTTCGAAGCCAACTCTGAAGGTGTGGGTTCCTGCAGCGGTAAATATAGTGCAAGTTGGTGTATTCACCATTGGAGGTTTTGTTGGCGATGTCTCGGCTGATAAAACCTTGCCTCTAATGTGTGCATTTGTTACGAATATGCCCGACAGTAAAGGCTCGAAGGGTAGAGGATTGAGTGTAGGAGCCATTGAATTAGCATGTTATGCAAGAAATAATGGTAAAGACAACAGGTCAAAAAAATAGATCAAGGCTAGTCTGAGCCTATCATAGTATTGAGAGACGAGCAATGCTGGGCGAAGCTTCTGTTGTAGAATTGTCTGAAGATTCATGTACTCGTTGCTATGTCCTGGGTTACGACAAGATGAGTATAGGGTACATGTACTGTGAATATAGGTACGGAGTAGCCTCACACAACATAAGGTTTTTTTATCCCACTTTACTTACTCGCTTATTCCTGTTCTTCTCATGCCATGGCAGCGTAGCCCTATATATGGTTGGACGAGTTTCTGCTGACGCAAAGGGTTCAGCGGTTGAGAAGCCCTGGGGCGTGCGGTACAGCCAGCTCCCTTGTTATCAGTTTATCTTAGTTGAGATGAGAGAAAGCGTTACTAGTTCATATGCGTGAGGTCGATATGAATCTATAATATTGCGTGATATCCGACCAGCGTTTGGCTCTAGCCACCGAGACCTTCCCCCTCACAAGGGTTGTATATACTATACACATTGATCGCTAACCAAGAGAGAGTTAAGCCTGCCATATCTTGTACCTATAGTATCGTAGGCTACGTACGTGTGGCCGATACAGCTTCAACCACTTAAAGACTGTTAAATCCCTTGACTTCCCGCATATAATGGATACTAAAGTACTAAAAAGCAGTGCGCTGTTCCGATTACAGGTAGATCTCAACAGAAACTTCCAGTTTGCTGAGCTTGGACCAATAAAAGATCCACGTCTGTGGTTCCTGATCCAATGCCACGGTCAGGATATGCCACTTCTCGACTTGCTTCTATATCTATCCCCTTACCGGTATCTGTCAATAGCTAACTCCAAGATCCTGAAATCCGTACACTCAAATAAGGAACAACCCTAACCTCCCCAACCAACCCATTATCCTGGATATCCGGCACCGGCAATCCCTTGGTAAGTAACCCCGGCAGACGCCCCTGGTCCCGTATATCCGGCAGGATACTGCGAATATAGTTCCACATGGTCGTCGGCACGACCGCAAGGACTTCGTTTGTGCCGTTACTTATGTAGAGAGATATATCTGCTTTGGGGTCCGTGTAATCTAGCGCCGGTACTCTGTGCCCGTTGATATACACCTGTATTGCGTGTAGGATGCGCGGGAAATAGATGTATGCGCCGTCTGCTTTTAGTTCGGCTGGTGGCCACTGGAAGGTTGTAGTATAATAGCCCAGTCCGGATACATTCCTGAGAACTGGGATCTCGGTCCATGAGACAAGGGTCGGAAGTTGGTGGGTTGTGTTGTACTTGCGCGCGATTGTTGATGCGTCGCTGAGGTTCGTTGGGGCTTCCCAGTGCTCAGCGGTTAGGGTCCAGTTGGTTAGATTGAATGGGCGAGGAATCTGTTTATACTGAGGCAGCTTAATGGTTCTGTTGTTTGAAAGCCGGATTGGCTCCAACAATCCAGTGCCGGCAGACCCCTGGTTGGCGACATGGGCAACCCAGCTGTCTCGCTCGTCGAAGCTTGTGCCAATCACTGAAGAAGGGGTATCGATGGCATGTATATTGGGTACTTCGCCTTTAGTCAACGAATGGTGAGAGAATGCAACGATCATTGTCTGGTTGCCTTGCAGCGATACGGGCATGGTCAAGCCCTGGTCTGTCACACTGTACGTGAAAACAGGCGAGACAGCACCCGTCCATGCATTGAGGTAGAAAGGAATCTTCTTGCTGGCTGGCCCAGTCACAGTAATGTATCCAGAAGAAGCGTTTGTGTCGCAGAAGATCAAGGCGTAGTCGACTCCGCTCGAGGCGTCCTCTCTCCAGGTCGTCCACCATTTCCCGTTGGTTTGGACTTTAATATTGGGCGCGAGTCCAAGGGATGCTAGCTTTTTGGCGGCGCTCCCAGTATCAACAAGGTACACATTCTCAGATGAGGATGCCAGATCTGTGAGCGCTGTCTGGATGAGCGCGGTTTCAGTTCCGTTACCTCTCGCAGAGTCATAGATGCCTGGCAAGCCTCCAGTAAATAAGACTGGGAGTCCATGGTTTGCATATTCCTGGATTCTTTGCACCCCGGATAACGTCATATTGCTGGTGCTTGTCACGATGAGGGCTTTGAACCGCGGCCCATCTGGGCCCAGGACACCGTTCTTCACTGTAGCTTCTGGGAGGGCAAAGTTGTCTGGGGAAAGGTATGTCCACGACCATCCTGGTATCAATCAGCTTTTGGATATGCCTTAAACAGAGGCGGGAATGTATACCTTCATTAACCAAGTCATCCCCTTTGTATATTGGAGGGAAGTTGACCGAATCCGTGGCGGACACTTTATTATAAACAGCCACATCCACCCTCGGAACACCCCGTCTCTGAGTCCATTGAACCCTCGCAAAGAAGTTCAGCACGTCCTCCAACCCATGATTCCACGAGGGTTGCTTATCCGAATAAAGCTCCGAGGTCGTATACGAGAACGCCGTATATCCCGGCCAGGTGGTCTCCCAGTAATCTCCACTATAGCTCTGCCCATGGAGAACCAACTGATTGACACCCCCAACAACAGCACGAGCAACCGAAAACAGCAGTTGCGGGAATGAATACCCATACGCAGCCGTCGTCGCACCCATCTCGTTCGAAACCACGTCCTTTCCCGCCAGCAACGCCGGGCCTGAAAACTGGCGGTATGCGTCGACGCTGTCGGCGAACTGGAGACTTTCGCACTCGGGTGCGTCGACGTAGGGGATGTTTACTTCCATGTCCATGGGGAGGTTGTAGGAGACTTGTGCTGAGAATTCGAGACCGAGCTCATTATGGGCCCAGTTGGTGAGGGTTTGCAGATACTCCCTGTAGCAGTCTTCCAGGACGCTGCGGAAGTCGTTGATGTAACTGGCTCCGGCATCGGGTGTATTCAGGATGCTTTGGATTGCTCCGGGTCGGAATTGCTGGATGTTGACGTTGTTGTTTGGCCAGAGGGTGCCGAAGTTCAGTACAGGGAGGTATCGGTGAAGGCTGTAGCCGAGCTTGTCTTCGAACTTCTTGGGCAGGGATGGCGTCCAGGATGTGTTGGAGGTTAGTTCCATGCTGTCTTCCCATGCTATAGAGGCGTCAGTAGCTGCTAGGTCTTGACGCAGGGCAAATGGGACGCATACCGTAGTGCCCTACTTCCTTCACCAGCTCTTTAATCCCATCGATGAGAATATGCTCCTCCCAGAAATGAATGACCGTCTGGGCACCTCGCGCACTATAATGATCCACAGCATACGATCCATTATCCCAGATTGTCGCGGTGGCATTATTTTCGAAAACCAAGTTCTTGTGCAAGGTTCGTTTCTGATAGTAGGCGAACACCCGGTGCCCAACGGCATCTGTGTAAGTAGGGAATGTTACTGAAAGCTGTCCATCTCTAGAGACTTGGTTGGTAATGTCGGTCAGGCTCTCGTGGTCAAGTACAACTCTGAGATAGCCATCCTGGCCGCTAAGGAAAGGCGAGTTGATCTCTGGTAGAGAAACGTTCGTCTGTGAGAGGACGCGCGCTGATACACATGCGATTAGTTCTCCATCTCCCCAGCCAGGAATTTGGCCCTGGAATGTTCCATTCGTATCAATTTCGATGGAGTATGGGACCTGAGTATCAAAAAAATTAGTTCGTAGACCTCATTTGCGATCTGCTACCTACCAAATCCCACTGCAATCCGTCATCATCAACAGAAGCAGGAACGCCCTGCCCCTGATTCGGGCCAAGAGCAAAATCCATCAGCAAGCCTGCATCCTTGTGCGCCTGCAACGCAGTCCGAAACACCTCACGAAAAGCCGGTGTCCCAAACCCATTGGTAACCCAGTCGGCTTGGGGTGCCGGGCCGTCAAGCTCACCACCGTAGTTGTAGAAGGGCACGAATTCGACGCCTCCGGCACCGCGCGCCCCGCTTTCTTTGATGTTGGCGGCTACGGTCTCCTTGTCGACACCTGCGTCTGGGAGCCAGTAGCGGAAGCGGGGGCGGGTATGAACGGAGGGGGTTTCGAATGTCCCTAGAAGCGGGGAGGACTGCGAAGGGACAGGGAATGCTAGCCCTAATACGACTAGGGTGTGGAGCAGCAGCAAAAGCATTAATCGCACCATTGTTGATTTGCTTTTGCATGGAAGGGGGAGTCAAAGAAGGCGCCCGTGGACATCTCATTAGGTCACCGGGGCAATGCTCCATCATATGTACTGTAGTCTCCTTGATACCTCCGCATTGCCGCATGGCGTCTCGGGGTATCATTGCCCGGAACTCGGTATAACATTAGCAGATAATGACTTCAATTCCGAACTTGTAGATCCGGGGTATACCCGAACGTGGGGACAGTTGGGTCTCACTACACCGGCACTGCGGTCCACATCGGGTCAAGTAGGTACTATGGTAGGTAGCACGGCAGAGAGCATCGAAATGTGAGTCCTGCTATGCCGGCTCAGTGGAGAAAGTTCAAAGCAGACTTGACATTATACTGACTGGCACAGTCCAACTGTACCCATGAACCACTTGGGACTGTATAAGCCGGAGTTTTTTCTTTTAGGAGGCTTCTTCGGTCGATATGCCCAAGTTAAGATGCATGGAGTATTTGCGGTTGTAACTCAGGAAGGACTAGGCATCTCTAGGTGTAGGGACCTGGGTCGTCCGTCGGCGGATTGGCATGCAGGACCATGTCCATTCTGAATGTGCAAACCAACTTGAATGCTTTGTTCAAGGGACAAAGGCCTGTATTATGTCTATACCGAGACCAACCGGCATTCCTTGCGCATCACCAGACCTCTGCATAGCTTCCACAATTCTCAAATCTTCCAGGCACTCCTCGCTCGACAATCTGGAATCCAGGCTGCCCGCAGTGATACCCTCAGAAAACGCAGCGACCTCTTCTTTAACGCCCCACATCGACGGCGCGTACTATGATAGATCCTCCCACTTGGCATCTTGGTCTCTCTTCCTAGTTGCGATCTCCATCAGGAAAGGGCGATATATGACGGATCCTTGTCTGTCACGATCTCTAACTCCGTGCCTGAAGAGAACACCGCCGTCGAGCAGATAGCCCCCTTGAAAGATGGGGTTCTGACGCCCAATATGGACGTTTAGCAGGATAGTCGTTAAGTCTAAATGTAGGCTCTACCAGTCATAATGATAGGGTGGATTATTTGCGTCCGTGAACGAATACGCAGTGACCAGGAAGGCGACCAGACTTCCACCCATTTAGTTAAGTATATCAGCAGCCCTATAAACCGAGTCCCAGAAGCGAAAGTCCTCGCCGATACCCCAAAGAACGTCTCTTGTTTGTCGCTAGTGGCTATAATAGTCCATCAACTTTCCCGCCGTCTTAACATCCGGAGCAATCGGCTTCTCACTCCAAACATGTCTACCCGCGGCCAGTGATTTCCTGATGAGATCTGGTGCAGCAGGGATAGCGACGGCAATAATTATGGCATGGATATCGTCTCGCTGTAAGAAATTGTCTAGAGACTTGGACGTCCCGGGACGTCTAGTAAGTCAAAATAGGCTGCAGCGTCCTGGCCGGCTTCGGGCAGACTAAGTAAAGGACCCGATTCTCTGGCTGGAAGGTGCTCTGTGGTTCTTAACTATTAGTGTTTGCGGATCAAACATATAAACACCTACCCTTCTCTGCGAAGATGCCGGCCCCGAGCAACTCTACTCCAATAGACATTGTGGGCATGGGTGTGTGCTATGGAAAGCCGATCTTCTCTGTCTATCCAGGAAGAGATAGATGTATACGTTGCGGACAGTTCCGATGTTTGTATCCGAAGATGCCGCTGAGAGAGCCTGGAGCCCAACGTTTATGGCTCAAGGATTCCTGCTAATGGTTAGGTAGTACAGATGTCCGTATTTATATATCCTGGCTTTCGGTCCGTTAGGTTAACCAGGTAGCATTTTTTAGGGTTTACATAAACTAAATGTACTGTATCTCGCCGACATAATGGCCCGTGTCCGCCCACATGTTCCAAACCTTGAGAGTGGACCTCCATCCATGGATTGATTGATCGACGGCCGCAAACACAATCTGAATCCTGCTGTAGCTCCCTAGAACGTGTAAGATACTGTCCAAGATACTGACCAGCAACCCCTCCAGAAAGGAAAGCCTACTTTGCCCCGTTGCGTGAATCAGTGCCTAGGCGGTATCGGTACCGCGTAGTGAGGGCTTCAAAAGGCAGCAGCTGGCAATCAGGTTGTGTTTCTGGGCGTCACACGGGATCAGGTTAACTTGAAACCGCGGGACCTCAGTTGACATGCTTAACCTTCCCTGTTGGGTTGACAGATTTTGGGAGAAGTGGAAGAGGCCTGGTATATACCATGACTAACGCCCCCAGTTGTTTGTCTCAGGACCGGGATCTGCGTATCAAAGCAGATCAAATGTTCTGGATCTACAGATCTGCGACCAATGACTTGACTGCTCGTTATGCGTCTGGTACGGAAAGCGACAACTCCCTGAGGGCGAGTGCACCCTTCAAGCTCGACCCCATGCTAAAAGCCCTAGGAATCAAGGCATCCATATGCCGTTGAAGGCACATGAACCCCACAAGACAACTTAAACACCCATTCTTAAAATTCAAGATTCATCAATAGTCATGTAGCAGCTTAAAACCCCCGGGCACAGCCCTCTGAAATATTCCCTCAGGATCATACTTCCTACTAACAGCCCTCAGCGCCCCATCAACCTGGCCGCCATATCCAGCTACCGGATTCTGACTCGAATCCGCGTAGTTTAGATACTTAAAGGGGCGGTACAGCCCAGCGTCTTCGGTGAGTTTCTCGATTGCTGCAATCAGTCGCTTGCCCTCTTTCCGCACTAACCGGCTATCCATGGGATCGGAGAAGAAAGCATCCAGAACTAGGATGTTCAGCCGTTGTCCTGGGGGTCCAGGCCGAGACTGTTTTGCCCGTGCAATGCTGGGCTTGGCTGGAAGGCCATGTACCAGTTCAGATTCTTGACGGAGGAGATGGCGGGGATGGAGCTGTTGAATTTGGATACGATCGAGGCGTAGATGGAGGGGCTGTGGACGAATGTTGTGGTGAAGAAGATGTAGCTAACTGGGTTTTAGATAGATATATATGTAGACAAGAGGGCAGGGGCCATACTTTAGACCAGGAGGTTGCGAGCCGCTTTGTTCCTGTACGTAGTCGGCCATGCTTATTATCTGCGACGTAAGGGAAACAGCGGCTGAGCTGTTCATGAAAGGCTGCAGGACAGGTGGATCAAGCCGCGGCTCCGTATAGAGAAGTATATTTGTCACGAACAGCGTCTTCTGCTCAGCGGTCCACCCATACCCCTGGACCGGGTCCGCGCGGGGATCAAAGTTGGCAGGGTCCATAAAGCCCGAGTAGGCCTCTGACTGGCGCGGTATCTCGCTGTCAGGATAGAGAGCGCCGCCAACCCAGACGCCGCGGGAGGGATATGTCTTCATGGTGAACTTTGTGACGATGCCAAAATTGTTGGAACCCCCCTTGAGCGCGAGGAAGAGATCCGCGTGCGATGTTCCGCTCACGTTGAGGATACCGCCGCTTGCCAGGACAACCTCGTACTCGAGCACGCTGTCGCACCCCCATCCTGTCGCTGGACCGAGGGCGGACAGTCCGCCTCCCGTCAAAAACCCCCCGACGCCTATTGATGCGGCTCTTCCCCCAGCTACAGTGAGGTTGAGCGGAGAGAGCACTTTGTAGACCTCCCCCCAGGACACGCCTGTTCCAATGACGACCGTCTCCCGATCCTCGCTTACCTGCACGCCGGAGAGAGCGCGGAGATCGACCGTCACTCCACCCTGAATGTTTGCAGCCCCGGCGTGCGGCATGTGGCCTCCGCTGCGGATGGCGAATTACTCGTCATATTCACGGTGTGCGCGTGCCAGAGTGACTATGGCGGTGGAAACCTCGTCTACGGTTGTTGGCTGGACAATGCAGGCTGGCTGGAGGGTCCGCTCTTGGTGGCTGAAATACGACGAGACGGACTGCATGTACGTCTGGCTGCGCGGGGTAGAGACTCGGTCTGGAAGGAGGGACGTGAGCTCTTCGCAGGATGGGTGAGTCTGTCCCGGAGGAAACTGGCTGGCGGCTGCCCACACACCCAGGGCGCCGAGGGCGTAGAAGGTGAAGGTATCCATACCAATGGTGGCTTGGAATCAACGAGGAGAGAGCTTGGAAATTCAAGGAATCATGAGAAAGAGGGAATATCCAGTCGCAAAATGAAGTCCCTAAATAATGAAGTCTATACAGCCATCCCTGCTGGGTTGCCACTGGGGAACCCTGGACGCAAACCCTTGCGGAGTACCGATGGTTGTCCAGCCAGCACAATGGTGCCCTATGGTGATCATCGACAAAGACACTGTCGATTGGCCCATTCTATCTGGTGTAACCATCCATGATGGTCAGGCAATGTCAGGACTAACCCCCTGCCTATCAAATGCAATCTCACCCTCTGTCTGTGTTATATCAGGCCAGTAAATCCTTGGAAGCTCAGCACAGCTGACCCCACCAGCACCAGGACCATTATTTGAGCCAGGCCAGTTTAAAAGGAGAGACAAATGAACATGCCGGGGACTGACAATCCATAAATGCATCCCAGACTCACACTACCAGCAATTTCTGGCTCAACAAAACGAAGACGAACTCCACAAATAGAACAGATGATCATTTTTTCAGCACAGCAGCGGGGCTGGGACGCATCAAAATGCAAGGCAACAGGTCCTTAAAGAAATCGGCCTTACCAAGCACTTTCAGACCGAAGATACCAAATCCTTTATGCCCCGATTCCAATGGCCAAGAATCAATGTAGTACGCCCGAGTAGGCCACCAGTTCCGCCGATTCCCACTGGGCCTCAGTGGTCTTTACTCCGCAATGAAATGCCTATCAAACCGAAGCAGACAGATCCAAGTTCATCAGCTGGCGCCGGAGAACATACAACAGACAAGACCCCCAGCATAAACAGACACCAAAGCCCAAACAATCCAGTTCCTCCTGCAGTTGCCCCTTTCATAGCGCGCAACAGCATCCGTGTACCTCTTTGGCAACGGCAGCCGATCCACATTTTCACTGCCCATTGTGTTATTAACAATAAGACGAAAGATCAAGCTCTGCCCGAACGGGAGAAAAAGGTAATCGACGACGATCTTCGAGAAGAACGTTTCCTTGATCGAGGCCGCGTTTGTGTGTCGACCCTGGTTCAGCGCGTCCACGGCGCGTGGGAACCGTTTTGCTTGGACTTCGGCGAAGAGGGCCTCGATGGCGCTTTCCGTCAGCGGTTCCTGACCCTCTAAAGCCGGGAGAAGCGTGTAGACTAAGACGGCTGCGGTTTCCATGGCACTGCTTCCTCCCTGTGCGCTGATGGGATGGAGCTGTTTGCGTCTAGTTAGTGCCAATTCGGAGCCATCTGTTTTCTGGCCGGAGCCGACATTCGACGTACCTTGTGCGCTGCGTCTCCGATTGCGATTATCCTTCGATAGTACCAGCGGGGAAAGACGTGGTCTTCTATGCTCACCAGGGCCGTTTGCAAGCGGTGTATGTAGAGGTCTTTGAATGTCGTTGTTTCCGTCAACTGGTCCCCGATATGCTGCTCCGCGAGCTGGCGTTCGTCTTCCTCTGTATACCTGGGAATATCCTTGGTATGGGCTTTCTTGGCTTCCGTGAACATGAACCAGTAGTATCTGTCCTCGGGTGCGGAGATGATCATGTAGTTGCAGTTCGTGAAGAAGGCGTTGATCTGCTGGGGTTCCTTGGGTAAGCTGGGGGGTCTTTTGGAGATGCCGAAGATGCATTTCGATTCGCATTGGAGGTCTGTACAGTAGATGTCAGGAGGATGGAAGGCGTGACAGGCAGGTATGGAAGCAGGGACGCACCAGAGAGGGGATCTGCCTGAAAGACATCGGATTCCGCAGCATGTGCAATCCGCCACATTTCCTGCCTGATGGTGCTATGGATGCCGTCGGCGCCGACGACAATATCCCCCGTGTACACGGGGCCATCTTTCGTGTGTACATTGATGTGATCCTTTTCGTGCTCAACATAATGGACGCGTTTGCTCGTGAGGACCCGGTCCTTGTGGTTGAGGCTGTCGAACAGGACTTGAATAACCATCCGGCGATCGATGAAAATTTTCGGATATCCGATTGTAAGAGACAGCATGAGCTGAGTACCATTCTGCAAGCTTTCTTATTCCCCGGAGACGTGAGCGGCGTACCTCTCCTCCAGCTTCTCCGAGAACGTCGTAGCTTCCGGGTCAATCCAGTGCTTCCCACTGAACAAGCGCATCCTCGTGCGGTAGTAGGTGTCACCGGCCAATTCACGAATCTTGTCATAGCACCCGAGTTGCTCCAGAATGCGCAGACCGCTTGGGAGCAATCCGAGGCTTGCGCCGAGCTGCGGCGCAATGTTGGCGTGTCCTTCCAGGAGAATATAGTTGATGTTGAATTTCTCCAGCATGCAGGCCAGAGACAGACCTGAGACGCTGCCTCCAACGATGATGACGGTGACTCCCATGGCGCTGTTTAGAGTGTGATTGAAGGCATATACTGTTTTGGGGGCAAGAGAGGAGACTTATATAACGTGTTAGGGCATAGCGCCGGGCCCGGACATCACGGCCCCCGAGTTGAGCAGAAAAAAGGAACCATTTGCTTGCCCTAGTTTGTTAGCGCTGCCACTGGACTCATGCAGCCTTCACCGGCCCCTGTTCCTGGTCAACTCTATGGATACCATAGGTAGATCTTTTGAACTTCATCAACCCCAATTTTATAAACATTCCACCATACAATTCCAAAAATCCATCCCAAGGTTTCCCTGTGGGGGACTACGTAAACGCTTTGCTTGGTTTAGGAAAGTTCAAGGGATACATGCAGCGGAGTGCAAGACCAGGACACAAACCACCCTGGCCTAAGCCCGTAATCTCCCAGAGAAGCACTCCTACGTGGCCAATGAACTGGCGGAGATGCAAGCAGCCGTGAATCACAAACTTGACATAAGCGGTCGCAGCCACTCTCAAATCTTGCTCGCGTGTGCTGCCCCCGGGTCCTGGTATTCAGAACTGAATTGTTATCACGGTTCTTTTGGCTTCTCCAAGATCTCACGGGGTATGGTATGTACCCATTACTCACCGTTTAGGTGGACGTCACGGCCGGGAAAAATGGCCAGCGATATGTCCATAAAACAACACACTATAACAAAAGTCTTAGGTATTAGATCTCTGGTGTTTGAATAATGGGTAGCTGTCGGGCACTTTATCCGTCTTTGGCACAGCCATGAATTAACCCTTTAGCCCAGTGTCAAAATGCCCTAGTCGACCCAGCTGATAACAGAGCGAATGGATAAATATCTTGATCGGCCCTCCAGGTCCGGTGTATCTAGCAGTGTACGGACCTACAGGTAAAATATTCCAAGAAAACCAGGTATCCTGGTACAGAATACCCCAAGATGCTTAACCCAAGACGAACATCATGCATTATACCCACCAAGAATCAAGGAAAAACCAACACTTATAACCGATCTATCTCGACGCCCAGTCATCGCGTAAGCATGGGTTAGAGCTAATACCGCGTGAATACGCACAATCTGATCAAGGCTGTTCAGACTGCCGCTAAAACAAAGTCTCCTGTTAATCTGGGCATTGACGGATGCTGATAAAATGGTAGGTACACCTTTCAATCCCAGGCGAACTCTTCTATAGACAGCCTTTGGGCATGCTCGAAGTGCAGCGACGTGGGCTCTATGATGAACGGTCCCCAGTCAGTACCCTACTGGCAGAGCTACCTATGGATCTTGGAGCCCTCAGACTCATGGTTGCGCGCGAGAAACTGACCTGTCTACCCACTACTAGGATCCCATATCTCAATATCGCAGTGACTGACTCTTAGTTCCCCTCCCAGTTCCCGTGTCGCAAAGTTAAACAGCCCAAAGCGATAGCCCACGTAGCCCGCGGTAGACTTGGTCAATTGATATGCCGGGCCTAGCTGGCTAAATGCCGCGCCATCATAACTGAACTCAAACGTGGCATTCCTCGTCTGCGTTGCGTATTCATCGACGTGCGCTGCTCTCAAGTCTACCTTGATGCGCAGCCACACTTGGTTCACACGCAACGGCATCTGCGCTTTCACTGCGCCACTCGATATGCATTTCCAATCAAGAGCTACAGGACGCCCGTTCAGCCATCCCACGGGTACATTGATGGGGCCGACCTTTGCCCCATCTACGTAGACGAGCATGGGGCTACCTGCATCCTTGTGGATACCGATGTAGGCGCTCTCATCGCGGAACATGGACACACCCGCTCTGTCGCCGTCTGTGAGTTTTGAAGTGTCCATGCAGAACGTGGCGATGCTCCCGGGTCCGACGGTGCGGAGGGTGAGCGTGTTTGCAGCGAGATGGAGACTTTGCGTCACCGTCGCTGTGCCCAGGACCAGCTGGCCAGCTTGAAGCCTCCACCTGGAGTTATCGGGATTGTGGTTCCACTCCCAGCAGTGCTCCAGGCTGGATTGGGTGAAGGCGTACCGTCGGAAGCGCGGCTTTGCTTCGGCGGAATCGCGCAGAGACGCATTCGGACGGGAATACTCAAGAAGCCACTGCCCTTTTGCGTCCGTGTAATCCGCCGCAACACGGGGCCATCCTTCGCTATCGAATTCTACCGGCGCTAACAAGGGTATCCGCCCCGTGGGGTAGGCATCGGTGAATGACATGTAGTACCACTGCCCGTCCGGAGTATCGACGAGACCTCCTTGATGAGGAGGGCCGGAGCCCGGCAGTGGAGAGCGCATGGCTGTGATGATATCCCGCGCTTCAAAAGGCCCGAACGGTCCGGCCGTGGACTTGAGCAGACACTGCGTATCGCCGCATTTCGTGACCCAGATGTAATATGCGCCGTGGATCTTGTACATCCGGGCGCCTTCAAGGTAGTCGTCCGACGTGTAGACGACCTGGCGGCAATGAATGTGAGAGTCTGCAAAGCCAACTTATTGGTCGCTTACCTTGCTACTTGCCTCACTCAGCCCATCTGGGGAAAGCTGAGCGACCTCAATCGTCTTTGTTCCGTAGGCAATATACATAGTATCATTGTCATCAATCAGCAAGCCAAGGTCGTAGTAGAACCTCTCAATCGGGGGGTGAGCTGTCCAGGCATCGCTGGGAGACTTGGCGGTATAGATGTATGTCTTGTCGGTTCCTTGGATGGCGCTGTAGAAGTAGAAGAGGCTGTTGCTCTCGCGGTATTTCAACGTCGAGGCCCATACGCCCTTTCCGTACGCGTTGGGTCCTCTGCCATCGAGAGCGAATCGACTACTCGGCGGCAGCTCGGGGACTGAGTGGCCAGTATACTCCCAGTTGATCAGATCGGAGGATTGCAGGATCGGTGCGCCTGGCGAAAAATGGAACGAGGAGGCGCTCATGAAGTAAACCTTACCGACTCGGAGCACTTCGGGATCCGGGAGGTCCTCCCACAACACGGGGTTCGTAAAGCTTGACATCGATGAGACCATAAGTATGGAAAATATAGCAGGCTCAGTCGTCCAGTGGAAATGAGACAGCCTTAATATAGGCATGTGGCATGACAGCTCATGAGTAGAAGTGAGCAAGTAACCAGCAATGCTGGTCTTTATAAAAACAGCTGTCACAGTCCCTCGGCGCAAGGATAAGCCGAGTTCTATACATGCGTAGGCTTGGGCATAGCATTTACGCCCAAGCATTGTCTAGTATGGTAGACGGGTATTCAGTCGCGGCCATTGTACCAGCAGACCCTTAGAAAGTACAGGATGACAAAGCCGTAAGAGTCTGGATTCCATCTCCATCGGAGAATCTCCAAATAAGGTTATATCTCCAAGGGTGAAGTTGCTACTGCTTCGAGGCTTGCATTCCATCTCCTGAGGTTGGCGGTTAGGGTTTCCTTTCTGTCGGCCAAAACAGACTTCTTACGGCAGTTCCAGCATCCCCAGGCTAGTAGAGGTAGATATTCAGGCAAATCTGGAAATCTCCGTTTTAGCTTAGAATTCCTTCCCCGGATGACTCTGGTTCGGCCGGAGTGTCAGATGAATAGCCACTTTAGCCTATAGCCCTGTTCCCCAGATTGCTCGGCCAGGATTCACCCGATGCAGACTTCAGTTGCTCTACAGCTGATGGACACGCAAGGTACCGCACAGTTTGTTCTATAAAGTACACTATCAATCTCCAAGAAGATCTTGAATTATACCACCATTGATCCAACCCGCCATCATCCTGCCTGCCTCTCTTTCCGTGAAATACTCGGATACTGACACAATGCCCGCGGCCACCCCCGAGCACGAGAGAATCCAGCAGCTAATCAAGGATGCCCCTCCATGGTACAAGTCGCCCAACCTGGTCAAGCTGTACCTCCTCCTCATTGCTCCCCTCCTGACCTCAACGGCCTGGGGGTTCGACAATAGCATGACGAACGGCCTCCAATCCATCAACGCCTTCATGGATACCTTCGGCCACCCAACCGGCTCCCGACTCGGCTTCTTCGGTGCCTCCATGTCGGTGGGCGGAATCGCCGCATGTCTTGTTGCGGGCCCTTTAGTGGATCGATTTGGCCGCCGGCTCATGTGCTCTGTCGGCGCTGCCCTTGTTGCCGGCATGGCAATTATGGAGACATTCTCGACCAGCTTCGCCATGTTCACTGGAGGCAAAGTCATACTGGGGTTTGGAGCGTTCCTGCAGCAGGTCGCTGCCCCCGTGCTGATTACCGAGCTGGCGCATCCTAAGCAGCGAGTCACCATTACTTCCCTGTACAACACCAGCATCTTCATCGGGCTTATCATCGGGAGCTGGATCACCTTTGCCACGTATAGGATGGAGTCCCAGTGGTCGTGGAAGCTGCCGTGTCTCCTGCAAGTCGCGATCCCCGCGTACCAAACCGTCATGATCTGGTTTGTCCCGGAAAGTCCGCGGTGGCTTGTTTCGAAGGGTCGCACGGACGAGGCCAGACAGATCTTGATCAGGTATCACGGCAACGGCGTTGAAGATGACATCGTTGCGTTTGAGCTGCAGGAGATCATCGCCGGCGTGGAGGCGGACAAGACAGTCATGAAATTCAGCTGGGAGGCTGTGAGAACCACACTCGGCTCCAAGGGCAACCGATACCGTCTCTGGCTTTGTCTCTGGACCGCAGTCGGATCTCAGACTGTCGGTGGCGGGTTCACCGCGAGCTATCTCCCTCTGATCCTCGACCAGATTGGCATGACCTCCGAGAAGGACAAGACGCTGATCAACGCCTGCATCAACATTTTCAACTGGGTGTGTGCGTTCATCGCGGCGTTTGTTATCCCGCGTGTAGGCCGGCGTTCGATCTTCCTCTTCTCCACGCTCGGAACCAACATTACGTTCCTGATCTGGACGGTTCTCTCGGAACGGTATATCGCAACAAACAAAGTTGGGCTGGGAGTTGGTGTCCTTGTCATGATCTTTGCCGGCAGCTTCTTTGTCGTCCTATGCTGGGTACCGCTGGTGATTGCGTATCCGCTTGAGACTGTGACAACGAAGCAGCGTGGTGTGTACTTCGCCATTACCATGTTCACCATCAATGTCACGGCCTTTTTCACCACCTATGTTACACCCATCGGACTCGAGAACATTGGCTGGCGGTATTACCTTCCAACTTGTGTTTGGAACGTGATCCTCCTCCTCGTCATCTACTTTACGTTTGTGGAAACTACTGGCATGACCTTGGAGGAGATCGCGGTACTCTTCGATGATCAAGATGACATTTTCAATGCAGCTGTTGCTGCCGGCAAGGAACTCGAGGAGAAAAGGGACAATCACTCCTACCACGTAGAGGACTCCGTGACTGAGACAGAAAAGCGCGTTGAGGCGTAGTCATCCTGCGGTGGGCTTGGGATCAGTGATGGAGCGTTGATTTCGATACCGTGGGATTCCTCTTCGACGCCAAACTGCTCTTCTCACCATTACTTGGTCATGTCTCATCCTGTTTATATTGTTAGGTAGTCAACCTCTGCTATGCACGTATGTAGTGCAGCAACGCTGCTAGATTCGTGAATCAGACATTCATTTTCGCGTGGCCGCAGACCCTGTCTTATACATCACTCGCTTCAAGACCACATCTACCACAGCTTCAAGCAGGATTTCTACAGGTCTAACTACGATCGTCTCGTGCAGTTTAAAGCGAGATATGACCCAAGTTATAGTATCTTCCTTCTATCAGGCGTGGGCAGCGATGAGTGGCATTATGACTTGGATACCGGGAGACTCTGCCAAAGCAACTGACGTAACTACCCCCTCGCCGTGCAGGTGAAGAAGAAGAAGAAGAAGAAGAAGAGGAGGAGGAGGAGGAGGAGGAGGAGGAGGGAAGAGCCCGGCTCTGCACAGACCTTCCTAAAACAGCGAGATGGCCGCAGAATTGTCATTGGACTTCTCAATAGCATCGATAACTCAGCTCTAGGAAATTATAGCTATGCAATAAACTCCTCGCTAGGCTGCCCAAGAAAATCGCGAACAGGCTTCGGTGGCCAAGGCTTGCAGACATGTGGCGTACGAAACGAATGCCGGCCTGATCCCACCCACTGCTCGACAGCATCACCGGGGAGCACCACCAAAGCTTTGGTACTCGGTGGCACGAGGAGATCAAGAACGAAAGTATCTCCAAGGACCTCCCACGAGGACTCCAAGGCGCCGTATGGGGTCTCGTAGGATGCCTTTGCCCAACTTATAGTCCCCCCAGGGACTGGATGTATTTTGATCCTCCTCCAGCCACATTCGAGTGGACTAATCCCCCCGACGGTTGAATGCAGCCAGTTGATCACTGACCCAAGCGCATAATGATTGAAACTCGTCATCTCGCCTCCATTAACAGAGCCGTCAGGTTTCATGCTGTCCCACCGCTCCCAGATTGTGGTGGCGCCCATGGCAATAGGATAAAGCCAGGAGGGACAGCCTCTCTCCAGGAGCATGCGATAGGCAAGCTGTGAGTATCCCGTGCTGCTTAGTGCATACGTTATAATTGGGGTGCCGACGAAGCCTGTTGACACGCGGAACGCTGCAAGACGGACAAGGTATGCAAGGCGCTCTGCGGCAGTGGCTCTCTGCTTCTCTGTCGCATGGAGGGAGAATAGCAGCGCGAGGCTGAGGGCAGTCTGAGAGTCGCCTACAATGAGACCTGACGGGGCTATGTATTTGGCTTGGAAGGTTTCTCTCAGACGGGCGTGGTCGCTGTGATACCTGGCGGCGTTGGCGTCCTCGCCCAGAAGGTCAGACACTTGGGCGATGATTGATGTGACGCGGATCAGGTACACATCTGCCACGAGGGTAGCGTTTGTTCTCGCGTTCCCTGGCTGATCTGGTGGCGCATTCGGATCCAGCCAGTCTCCTAGCTGCCAATGCTCAACATCCCACAGACCATCCGGACCACGGAGGATGCCTTTGTCTACCCATGCTACCATACTCTGGTACTGGCGACGGAGGATCTCCACATCGCCATAGCTCTGATACAGGTCCCACGGTGTGAGCACGGTAACATCATCCCATACCGCCTGGGGGTCCCCGGACCAGAGGTCCCCGATTGCGTTGGGGATCACCAGAGGCGGGATCAAGTTCTCTTGAGACAGATGCTCCAGCGCGACGTCCTGCAGCCAATCGCCAAGTATACCGGCAGTATTGTAGAGGAAGCTGGCGGATGGGCAGAATATCTGAATGTCCCCTGTCCACCCCAAGCGCTCGTCTCTCTGTGGACAGTCCGTCGGGACGGAGAGGAAATTACCACGCATACTCCATACAGCATTCTCATGTAGCTGGTTCACCATGGCGTGCGAGCAGGAGAAGTGCCCGGTGCGCACCATATCCGTATGCATTACCAGAGCACTAACGCTCGATGTCGTCAGGGGGCAGGGGTCTGTTGCAGTCCACCCATCTACCTGCACATACCGGAACCCATGGAAAGTGTACCGCGGGGACCAATCTCGCAGAGGCCTGTCAGAGGTGATAACCCCATCCGTGCATTTTGCGTCTCGAAGCGGACGCACCCCAAGCTCGCCATCTTCAAGCACCTCGGCGTGGGTGAACTTCACCCTACTCCCTGGCGGTTTCTGCAGTAGGTGGATACACAGTGTACCAACCAGATTCTGCCCAAAGTCAATTATCGTCTTGCCCAGCGGCGTGTTGAAGATCTTGACCGGCTTGATCGTCTCCGTAACCCGGATTGGAGGAGCATTGGGGATCACCAGGCGAGCTGAAGGAAGTGGAAGGGCTCTCGATCCCAGCCAGGAGCTGTCGTCAAAGGGCTGCCCACCCGTCCATCCATCACTCTCCTCTCGCGCATCATAAAGCTCACCATCATAGATCTCACTGCGGATGATGGCGCTGGTGCTGCACTTCCACGACTCGTCCGAAAGAACCTGGAACTCCTCCCCTGCCTCCGACACCACCTCCATCTGCGCCAGCACCGCCAGATCCTCCCCCCAAATACAGCGCCTACCCCCGAAGAACCCTAGCCGGGTTGCGTACCAGCCTTCCCCAACTTCAACGGCAAGGACATTCTCTCCACCAGCATTGATCAGGTCCGCGACATCAAACACCTGGTAGTTGATGCGGTGGTTATAGCTCGTCCAGCCCGGCGCCAGACACTCATCCCCAACCCTCCGCCCGTTCATGTACGCATGATAGCTTCCTAGGCTGGTGATGTAGAGTCTCGCCTTGGCGATAGGCAATGCAAACGGGATCGTGAAGCACTTACGGAATCGCAGCGGTCGCTGGGGGCCGTCGCGCTCGGTCTCAGCCATTGTTGTTATTGGACGCGCGGCCCAGTTTCCTTGATCTAGCAGAGCGCATTCCACAGCTACCCATGGAGACCACTCGGTTGGGTTTCCTTCAGCCCCGTAAGCGCGCACTCGGACACGCGCCCGGCCACGAGGCTGCAGAGGTTGGCTGGGCCAGGGAACCAAGACTGAGTCCGCGCTGGGGACGTGGTGGGATTCCACATTGGAGGTGGGAAGATGGATGATTTCAACGTCGTAGGCAGACTGCTCCCACCCCGAGACCGCGTCTGGCGAGAGAAATCGCCATGAGATACGGGGCGCAGCAACCCCGATTCCGAAGCCGGTGGGATGCTGCTCGAACGAGGGTGCTGTGGGACGGGGCTGCTCTTTGGTCATAATGGAGTGATGCGAGATGGGATACCTACCAAGAAGCAAGGGGTGTCTATTCAGCGGACGTCGCCTGTTCTGTCGAGCTGTGATATAGATAAATAACATGCGCTTTACTTGTGACACCCGCTTCCCTCTAGTATGATCATAACTAGGTATCAACAACTCAATCCTGCGTCTTCCGAATCTCTCCAGTTGGCTGACTTTGCTTTTGCCTAAATTGCAGCGCCTGTCCAGGCGTAGTTCCACTTGCCCTGTACCTGATCTATGGAGAGTGGTACGTGTATCGTATGGGTCAACGGGACCCAACAATTCGGCTTAACATACACCGAGTGCATGGTAGGATGAGGCAACTCTCCACAGTTTCAATGAAGGCATACCAGGCTAAGGTCTTAATCGGGAGATATTGGAGTACTCGTACTGGAATCGCCTTGTTGGGTTAGGGCAGGCGTCCGAGCGTACCCTAACTCTTGGCATCCAATCCTCCTGGCCACATGCCCTCGGTTGCGCTGCTCCAGCTGGTGTTTGGAACTGCCCTTTTCGACTCCTCCACATCTCGATGCATGGACAGTGGACCGTTGACCTGGGGCTTACGTCTTACCCCCGCAAATCCCCGGTTTGACCCCATATCCATGGAGAGACCATAGTGCGGTATTGACAGGTTTCGTTTATTTCCTTTTACCCTACTGTCGTATCGTAACCGAGTTGCATTATTCGTGGAGCATCGGCTCAGCTTGGGCTGAGAAGAGAGTGGAATCGCCTCGCATGTGGTAGGAACAGCCTTTCTGAGACGCTCTTAACCTCTAAGTCATTCAAGAGAGGAAGGTAGTACTAGTCTTCGAATCCTGCTTACAAGAGAGCATCAACTGCTCATCTACTGAGTGTGAGTTGGAAGCAATGCAACAGTTTCAGTGTTTTACGTCTTGCCATTAAATCATCGGGTCCCGGGCTTCGTTCAGGAGAATGCTTCGGCTTGACACGGTAATCGTATGTAGAGTATGGAGTGGAAAGTCTTAGGTCAACCATGCAAAGGCAATCAAGCCAGTTACTCAGTCATAACTCAGCACAAAGATAACATGGACTCAGGCGTATTCAGATATCAACTTCTTCAAAAGTACGCCACTCCTCTTCAGTACCTGTTGCAAATACGCCAATGACCGGCCCCGTGAAGTCATGCCCCGTCATTTCGAGTGTGTCAACAAGACCGCATGAACGCCATCCTTCCCGCCCGACACCTTCGTTCACCCGATAAAGAAAGTGAATCAGCTGCTCCGTATAGAGTATTTGGAACTGCACCCTCGTCGGTGGTGTAAAGTCAACTGCCAGCCTTTTGTTCCTCGAAATAGGTGGATTCTTCGCCCAATTCACCACCTCGAAGGTCACCGTTTTCGCACTAGGCTCATACATAATCCTTGCATAGCGATGCTCATCCTTGTAATAGGCCAGCCCCATTTTCGCATCCCCAGCGTCGTCAGACATCGGCGGATTCACCAGACAAGCTGTCGCAACCCCTTCCAAGCGACGCTGCCGACGCCCAACAAACGAAGTCGGGCACCCAGTGCACTGCCCCAGATCCGTCTGCGACGGGAAAAGAGATATCATCTTCCCGTCGGCCGAAATCCGACACCGTTTGAGATCGGGGTTCCGGACCCAAACCAAGTCCAGCCTTGGTGAGAATGGCGACGGGACGGCCTCGATATGGCGCGACGGTAGGAATCCCTCACTGTCCTTGTCACTTGCTGTTCCGCAAATCGTCCGCGGAATCGGCTGTTGGATTTGCGGCCAGGTTTGATTGCCCGGCCAGTTCACGGGGGTCAGAAAGGTCTCGCGGCCCAGGACCATGCGTCCGGCGCGATCCCTGCGTACGCCCAGACAGACCAGCCACCAGGCACCACTTGGATCCTGGACGAGATCCCCGTGTCCGTTGTAGTGAGCGTAGACAGACGGATCGAGTGCGTTGGTTGGTTTGAGGATGGGGTTCTGGGCACACGATGCGTACGGGCCCCAGATGCTTTCTGCGCGGGCGACGGCGACGCAGTGGCCGTCGTGGGTGCCGCCCTCTGCGATCAGGAGATAGTAGGATCCATTGCGTTTGTAGATATGCGGTCCCTCTGGGATGATTTGGCTGTGGCCGCGCCATAGTGGTCTTTCCTCGCTCAACTTCCGACCCGTGGATACGTTGATCTCAAAGCAGCTGATGCAGCAGGAAGGCGAGGGAGACCAGGAGGAGCCTGCGATGTAGGCGCGTCCGTCGTCGTCGAAGAAGAGATCTGGGTCGATGCCGTGGAAGTCAAAGAAGACGGGGTCGCTCCACTGCCCAACGCATATATCTGGTGTGGAGACAATGAAGTTCTGAAATGAGAGGCCAGAAGCCCAGTCTCCCGTGTCCCTGCTTGCATCGTAGATGACGTTTGTGCAGACGATGTATGCCATACCCTTGTGATGGCGGATTGTCGGCGCGTACAGGCCCCCGGTAGCGGGCGCTTTCTCGCTGGATTCGCCAGGCCCTGGGTTCAGGCTTGTGCCGGATTGCGCGAGGCTGAGCTGTGTTGGCCGGTGGATGGCGTTGCCGATGTGCCTCCAGGAAACAAGATCCCTAGAGGCGAAGATGGGCAGCCCAGGGTAGAGGTGGAAGGAGGAGTTGACGAGGTAGAAGGTCTTGTCGATCCGGACGACCGAGGGGTCCGGGGCAAATCCGGGGATGATGGGATTTCGATGCGCCATTTGATGGTGTGGATGCTGGAAAGGTCTGCTTCATTCATTTATTTAGCGACAGACGGATTCCGACTTGATCCATCCTCGCTATCGGCCCTCGCTCTATATCAAGCCGGCAGCTACGGATTGCTATCGGCTAAAGGGAAAACCAGACCATTTACGGGGATGGAGTCATCATCAGCCTCGAAGTGCCCATCTCGAGTGCCAAAGGCAGCGCTCCGGTCACAAACATACTGGTCATTATCGATGGGGGCATCTGGCAGTGATGAGAAGCCCACCTGGGCATGCTTCTATAATATCCACTCTTATGAAATTTGATCCACAGAGCACGGCCACCAGAACTTGAGTCTTCTCAGATCTGGCCAAGAAGATCTCGGAATACGAGTACGGCCCAAGAAAATTCCCCTTTCGGGAAGTGGGCCTATCCTGGGAACATTTGAACCAAGGTCAGGGAGGCTGTTTTCAGACTATAAATAGGCAAGTCCTGCATACGGGCAGGCCTGTGTGCGTGCGGGACTAGCGGTCATACCTAGGGAGGGGATCACCTGTCTTCTTGATCAATCGTTCACTGAATAGCATCTCAAACTATTCTACTGACCTGGCTGTTGATTCATTCTCTCACTCACTCACTCACCAAACTGCGTCCAGAGAGTACCATACATCATGGACCTCGCCGCCGACAGCCCTCCTCCTCCTCCATACTCCTCCGTCCCTCCCACGCGGCCCAACATCCCCAACGCCGCACCGACGCAAAGCCGACCGGTCGAACACTACTGGCACAAAGACGGAATATACGGTCTCCACGCCAGAGCTCTCCTCCGCGCCTCCCAATTCATCCTCGCCGTCACCGTGTCGGCTCTCTACGGCGTGGACCTCCGCCACGCGACAAGCGTCAACGCCCACGCGCAGGCAGAATGGATCTACGCCGAGTTTGTGGCGGGCGTCTCCGCCATCACATGTCTGGCTCACTTCTTCGTGACGGTCACCCGGGTCGGCTGGTGCGCGTGGGACGGGGTGCTTTTCATCCTGTGGGTTGCGCAGGTCGGGGTGTTCGGGACGATATATTACCCTGCAGTCACCTCGGGATATGGGGACGCGACGCTGTCGGTGCCGCGGATGCGTTCTGCGGTTTGGGTCTGTCTGGTGAATATGGCCTTGTGGCTTTTGACGGCGGTTCTGGGTGTGGGCTGGTGTGTGCGGACTAGACGATTGGTTCGTCGGACTGATGGGGCGGGTAGGTTTAGGCGGATTCTGGTGTGCTCTTGGGAGAGGAATGGCTCACTCGAACGGGGACATGATGTGGCTGGTAGTATGATCATGCGAGAAGAAGGATCCATGGATGTCAAGAGCAAAGAGAAGGTGGAAGACAAGGACGGCGGGGACTAAAGAGAAAAGAAAGGGCGTATAGGGCATGGATTTGGCATCCAAGGAGCAGATGTTAGGGGCTGGCATTACTTATCTTTACGGTCAGGATCGGCTAGGGTAAATTTCACTGTTTCACTTCCAGCAACCATATACATTATATCAAGCGCATTAATTGTACCGAAATGAGTTTATGGACCAGGGTTGAATAAAGTAAAAATAGAGCGGCATTGCAAGGTCAATATTGGCCACGAGAAGCAACAACAGACCACGAAAGCATTGCTTAACCCCATGTGATACAAAACAATGCTCTGGCAGCTTCTGACAGTTCTAGCAAGCAAGTCGCTGAACAGTGACAAGGTCTTGCGCATTTGCCGGAAACGGAATTGTCATATCTAGCCTGTTATTAGGACTGGGCTGGCTGAATGATAACGGACCACTGACCGACAATACTCCCTCGTCCCTTTCTGCGCATGTAGACAGGATCCTCTACTGAGTTCGCCACCCTCTGAATCTGGAGCTCATAACAATCGGTATACTTCCAAGGTAACCCGACCAGGCGAAGATGGTATGCGTTGGCGGTGTTATTTCGGACGGTGGCCTGGACGAATGTCATGCATGCTTCGAGTCATCAGTTACAGCCTGGCACGGAAGATGTGTGCAGCCTACCTCCGGTCACAAAACAGGTGGACTCTCCATTAAGCACTGTATCAATGGTAAGTGGATTGTGTCATTATTGGATATTGCACGGGGTTACTTGCGTCCGTTTTCCTGGAGGAGTGGATAGGCTGAAGCAGAGGTATTCAAAGTAGGCGCCTTTACTTGTGTAAGCAGAAGATAAAAAGCCTATCCAGCATAAACCTACCATGAGAGCCGTAATCTCACGGGCAATATCATAGTCAAACTGGTAGTTATTGAGCAATACATGTACCTTGGTTTCGTCGTCCGAGATGCCCGACAGAACCGCAAACCCATTATCGGAAGTGCCCTGAACCCGGAGTCTAGCAGGAGTTTCGGTGACGAGTTTCCCCTGCAGGAACCATGCCTTTGCCACATTGAGCGGGATCGGACCGGATGGGCTTCGATTGAAAAAGCCTTGGAATGGTTGGTCACCGGCCCCGGTACCATTGTAGCCGAATCCGGGCCACGGCAGGCCTTGCTCGATTGATGTGTCTTGGGCATACATGGACTGTGTCGTTTAGCGCACTCCAGCAGCATGACGGACGAGGCGCTTACGACACCGAGGGTGAAGCTTGCAAAGAAAGCTGGGTCCTTGAATGACTGGAGGGCACTTGGAGATCTGCCAAAGAAAGTCAGCATCAGTAAACGACCTGCGCAGGAAACATCTGGTTTTACCTAGGCTGCACAGGGAATGGGGCTGGTTCATATTCCGTGGCCCAGATGGCGAGGTCTGGCAATCCAGCGGGTACCAGGATCTCAGCACGGAACTTGTCTGTGATTCTGACAATATCGTAGGCTACCAAGCGTTAGCTCCTCTTCGTACGTTTCGAGCATGAAGAGAATACGGTCGAAGGAGAATTGCGAGTTGGTGAAATGGAAGGACGCCGCTTTGATGGGCACCTTCCGGTCATGGCAGTCCTTGTAGAATCGGGAAATGTATGGGTTATACACCTGGGCATTTAGTGATCCTCTCAACTAAAGGTTCAATTCATCCGCACCGTGTAGTTTGTTTTTACGGGATCTAGATGTTGTTAGTATCCGAGTCAGTCCTTCCAAGGTTAGGCCAGAGTCCGACTTACAGAACTGGTTACCACCCCATGCAGACCTAGCGAGTATTGAGAACCCTCACCGTGATCTGATATGGATCTTTCACTTACACTCCAACTTCGGCGCTTCAGTTTGTTAGTGTCTTCTTATACATGTCAGTAAGCAGGTGGTCAACCCACCTGGCCTCTGTCACAGCACGGCTGAACTGAGCAAAGTAGGCAAAGTGCTCTTCGTAACTTTCATCCGAAAAGCCAGTTCGCAACTATCCATAATCAACTCTCGGTACCCCAGTTCAGCGAAGGATCACCTACCAAATCTGTCTCCGGTAGGAATTCAAACATTTCAACGGCATTGCGAAATCCGGAGTCGTACGCTCCGTTCCTAGGCTCCAATTTCACCAGTCTTCCGAAGAGCAGATGAGAAACCCTCACACGTAGCGATCTGTCATCATGTAGCCTATTTGACCCAATATCTCTGGGGAAGAAACGTTGTTGTTGGTCGCATTTGTTGGCTGAGAAGAATGAGTTGGTTATCACACTTGGTGTAGGAGGACAGATGATACCTGGAATTGAATCGTTGCCTACTGGCCGGTTAGCATCGTAGTAAGACGTGTAAGCTCGGGAATACAGCACGTTTGCACCGTTATCAGCCACAAATCGCACATAGTCATCGGCCTGAAGATGGTTCAGTCATCTTCTAGCCACGACAGGGGAAGTCGGCAACTGTCGTACCCCAGTCCAGTTATAATTAACATTCACCATGGGATCGGCATCCACGCCGGTCTTGCCAAACCCTAAAAAGACATCGGGAAAGGTATCTATAGTAGACAATCAGAAATCACATCTTGACAGGATTGGCAATGCATACAGATGAGAACATGTTTGATGCCGTACTCAGGGAACAGAGCCCCGATCTGGGCATCCTTGTTGTAGAAGGTGTCCTGGTTCCAAGGGCCCGGTGGGATATATGCTGGTGAGGCTTATAAGCGCCCTGATGTATCCATACAGCTTGTTGACCCTACCGCTATCTGCACTGTTGATTCCTGGGTTGCCGTTAGATCAAACTGCTAGCTAATTGACCTGGCAAGGGACTCACCTTGGAGGTTCTTCAACCTGCCGACAGGCTTTGACGCGTCAACGACGATCTCTCGGGCCTCACGAACACCTCGTGCAGCACAAGGTGCGATGAGCAACCCAAGGCAGAAAGAAACTCTATTCAGCATGCTTGCAAATGCCGCGCCGTTGATTTCAGAGTGATGAATTTGATACCGTTCTGTCCGGCAGCGAAGGGCGGAGTTCCAAGTTTATATACTGCAAATTAAGAAGCGTATCCCAACTTGGAAGGGCACCTCCATGTTCACGGGTCCCCTTTTCACATAGATAGCTCTCACATCGCGTGTTCATCCTTCCGATACAGCTCAACTTTGGAAGTGTAGCGAACCCAGCCCTGCTCCTGATACTGAAATGGTGCCGAACGTGACACAACAGGCTAAATCCAGACAGCTTATGGCTCGGGAAAGGGACAGAGCAAAGCCCGAGAGGGTGAACTGACCACAGAAGGATATACTTGTCGACGGGATTATAGGTTCACACTGAACATACATTCCACCGGGCCAAAATAACTCGACCAGATCGAGGCTAGCCTCCACACCCCCGGCAGAACACACATTCGGTAGATATATCTCCGATACAGGGGATATCCGGGGTATTCTTCAATCTGGGGTCTGGCGTTTTTAGCCGAGCCTCTGGTTCGGGGCTAGCTAGGTAGTGGAGCAAGACAGAATCCTTTAATATCATTTACTAGCGGCCACGTACGCTGACACGTTATCCCGGTGCTTGGAGATTCCTCAAGTTGGAATGGAACACTGCAGTTGGTGTTGGGATTGCTACCAATCAGCGAATACACCCTGGGGCAGGCTTACAACTGCCATTTTTGGCGGCCAACCTGGAGCCTTGCAAGGGTGAGCCCCTTTTGCCGGAATGCCGTTTAAATAGGGCGGTTATAAGTAAAGTCCAAAGAGTGAGTCGTTACCTACCTAGCCCTTGTCCCCTCTCCGTTGCTCTGAGCGCACAATACGATAATGATGGTCGACCAACGCCAGTTCCGCTTTTGTCCCCACAAGCCGCGCGTCTTTGTAACTTCGGATATAGCCAACGAGCCTGATGATGCCCAGTCACTGGTCCGATTCCTGCTGTATGGGAACGAATTCGACATCAAAGGCCTAGTCGCCTGCACATCGACCTGGATGCGCACGTCCGTGCATCCAGAGCAGATGGAAGAGATCATCAACGCATATGGAAGAGTGGTCTCAAACCTCAACGCCCACGTGCACCCCGACAACCAGTATCCGGCTGTCCAGGAGCTTCTCAGCCTCCTCCGCACCGGGCCATCCACCTACGGCAAGCGCGCCCTGGACCCTAGCGTCCCACTGAGCAGCGGTGCGGAACTGCTGATCGAGCAGCTGGCAGCCTCGGACGAACCCCTCTGGGTCCTCTGCTGGGGTGGAACAAACGTCCTTGCGCAGGCACTCCATCACCTCCACCAGGCCCATTCCGACTCGATGAGCATCAAGCTCCGCGCCCGGCTCCGGGTGTACGCCATTTCCGACCAAGACGACACCGGCCTCTGGATCCGCATCACCTACCCGGATATCTTCTACATTTGCTCTTCGCATGGATGGAACAACTACGCCCTTGCCACGTGGAGCGGCATCTCCGGCGATCTGCAGGGCGACGAATTCCCCGATTTCGGGGGCCCAGATACCAGCAAGGTCACCGCCGGCTGGCTGAACGAGCATATCCAAATCGGGCCCCTGGGCGCAGTATACCCGGATTCCAAATTCATCATGGAAGGCGATACACCGACGTTTCTCTATCTCGTCCAGAACGGACTGGGGTGCCCCGATCATCCTGAAATGGGGAGCTGGGGCGGTCGGTATGTCCCTGTTGACGTGGGGTTCGCGGCGCGACACTACAGCGACGCAGCGGATCGTGTTGTTGGCAAGGATGGGATGAAATATGTCAGCAACAGGGCGACCATTTGGAGATGGCGGGATGCATATCAGAATGATTTTGCGGCGAGGGTGAAGTGGACGTTGAGCCCAGATCAAGCGGCGTCGAACCATGCGCCGGTCGTGGTTGTCAACGGGAGTCGAGGCCCGGAGCCGTTGAGTCTCTCTGTGGAGGCGGGTGCCGCGATCATCCTGGATGCGTCGGACAGCTACGATCCGGATGGTGATCAGTTAACTTTCTCGTGGTTTCAGTATCGTGAGCCGACGAGCGCGCTGGGGGCTGTGATTGACCCTCAGATTGCTGGGCTCGAGATTGTGCCTATGGACTCGGAGGCTGCCAGACCTTCCGGAAGAAAGGTCAAGGTTACTCTGCCAGGACCAGAAAAATGTGCTATTGATTTTGTTTCTGGAAAGGCCGTGGCTCAGGGTCAAGCTCTGCATGTTATTCTAGAGGTGAAGGATGACGGTGCTCCATGTCTATACTCCTACAAACGGGTGATCATTCAGGTGACGAATGAGAAGCTTCTAGGAGGAAGAGACAAGGCCTGTGAAACGGTAATGGAGAGTCTCCAGGCTTGAGTTGTCAAAGCATAGGGTAATTTGCCAACCGTCAATGGAAATGGACCACGTGCATACAAAGTAATCTCTGTTCAAAGTCTGCCTAGACACCGCTAAGGCCGCGACACTGCCCATGACCACGTACCAGATCGACAGTTCACCTGCATCCCCTTGCCATAGTGGCTGACGTCTGTTTCCAGGATGCTGGTTCGCTGCTGAGACGCCATCGGTTACCTAGGTAGTGCAACGGAACTCTTGAACGCTGGAAGTCCCGATCAACGCAGAGTCGTAGCCGTACATTGCAGAGGCCCGTCGCGATTCCATATCACTACTCGTGCTTTCCTTTTTGCGGCAAGCACTCTTCATCGGGGTCCATACCCATGTCGTTGAGAAAGCAACTCTGTCAATCCGATATCCGTATATCTCCTGTGAAGGATAATGGCGAAGCGGCGACCGGGAGAATGGGTTCCTCGTGGTCGGAAGAAAAGGCAGGCTGTCTATTCATTTGACGATAACAAGGTGATTGAATGGGAATTCAGTGAAGCCGGATTTGTAGATGGAGTATGTGTGGTAGATTGTGTACCTGGAAGCTGGTGTTGTGGATTGTGGGCGAGATGCTGAAGGCGATCTTGTTGCTGGAGATGTAGAAGGGCTTGCCGGGGTGCTCTGGGTTGGGCATTTTGTCTGGAAGTAATGGCTGGAAGTGGAAGTAGATGAGAACCCGTAGCTACCCTACGGTTGTCTTTATTTCATAACAAGCACAGAGAGCAGCTTGGAATGGAAATCCCGCCCGTAGACTGGACGGGTTAGGGACACATTCAACATCGCGTGCCAGGCGTGGTGGGATCCCGCGGTGACGGGGGGATAGCGCCCAACGCGGAACGCGAATTAAGCGCGACGCTCGAGTTCATGTGCCGGGAGATTGATCTGCGCAGAGTGTTTTATATCCAGGTTGTTGATGCGGAGCGTCTGGAACGACCGCTTGGCCCGGGGCATGAGTTCTATGTGCCCGGCCAGCCGGCGCGGATGAGCTGGTCGCGGAATGCGAGGACGTTTGCGTATGAGACCGGGCGCGAGGCGTATCTGCCTGTTGAGCGGGTGGCGCGGGAGATCATCTTTGGTCTTGGGTAATGGTATCGGGGTATGTGTCCATAGAGTTGTTTTCGCGGACGATGGGTGAAGAGGGTCCGCTGGTGCCTGGGAATCATGCGGAGAGGGGATGAAGGCGTGGAAGATGTTTGAGGAGAGGCTGCAGTTGAATCAGACCAACTAGATCATTGTGTAGGTTAAATCTATAACCGATGATTGTATCGCTAAGAAAGAGTCCACCTCTTCTTCTCGTCGACCCAGCAAGGCAGACAACCTGGGGATAACAACTAAAATACCTGCAATGGACCAGTTCAAAAAGCTGCACATCGTCGGCGTGGGAGTCACCCACTCCATCGCACCCGCAATGCACAACTACATCGCCGTCACCCTCTCCCTCCCCTGCACCTTCCACGCAACCGAATGCGCAGCCCTCAGCGACCTCCTCGCGCTCGCCCGAGACCCGCAAACCGCCGGCCTCGTCGTGACAATGCAGTACAAAAGCGCCATCATGCCACACCTGGACGAAGCAGACGAGCTCGCAACGTTCATCGGCGCATGCAACAACGTCTATTACAGCGGGAACCGGCTGTGCGGCACCAACACCGACTGGCGCGGGATCAAGGGGTGTCTCCTTCAAAAGGGCGACGGGGCAAGACGCCCTTCAGCCGGGCGTCCCGGCACGGCGCTGGTTGTGGGCGCCGGGGGCGCGAGTCGCGCGGCCGTGTACGCGCTCAGCCAGCACCTGCACTGCGCGACGATCTACGTGCTCAACCGCGACGACGACGAGGTGCGCGCCCTGATCCGCGACGCGGGCAAGCTGCCCGTCGTTCCAGAGATCACCCCCGTGCGGACGCTAGAGCAGGGGCGGGAACTTCAGTCCAAACCCCCGTACTACGTCGTCGGGATAGTGCCGGATCTGGAGCCAACGACGGAGGCAGAGAAGACGGTTGCTGCCATTCTGGAATTGTTCCTCGCGCAGCCGGGTAAAGGCGTCCTGCTTGATATGTGCTTTAATCCGCGGCGGACGAGAATCATCACGCTGGGCGAGAGGCTGGGGTGGGCGACGGTCGAGGGAACGCATGAGATCGGGTATCAGATGGAGGAGCAGTGGCGGCTTTGGGCGGGCGAGAAAGCCGCGGCGTTGGATTGGGAGGGCGCGTGCGCCGTGGAGGGAGCTCCTGCAGGCGGCGGAGGCGAGTCCGGCGATCAACGAGTGGACAAGTCTGCATTGCATGGATAAGTGGGTTCGGCATGGATTTAACCGATCACTTGATTTCCACGTCATTCATAGACTGGACCTTCGCACTTCCAGGGAATGCAATAGAAGAATCAACCAACATGCCAGACCTGCACACTCTGCCCGCGGGCACACGCCCCGACCACGAAATCCGCAACAACGGCCCAGACAGCCTTGTCCTCGAGCGCGCAAAGCTGCGCGAACTGGCCGAAGGGTGGCCCTGCTACCGGTACCTCCCACTCCTCTGACATCCCCAATCCAATCAAGTACGCAATCTAACAGCCTCAGCGACGCCTGCGAGTGGGAGAACTTCGCGTCAATCTTCCACCCCGACGCCATCGTCTACACGACCTGGTCCGGCCGCCTGCACTACAGAGACTTCATCGCGGGGTCGAAAGCAGGCATGGACAAGGGCGCGTTCATCATGCACCGCTGCCACGGGCTCACGAGCGACATCACGCCCGACGCCACGCGCGCCGTCACCAAGCTCAAGGCGACCATCACGCAGCGCTTCGTGATCGACGGCGTCGAGGTCGATGCCGAGGCCGATTGCCGGTTCTGCTTCTTCTTCGAGAAGATCGATGCGGAAACGGGGACGGCCCGCTGGGCTGCGCGGTACGTGCGGCACTGGTACGAGAAGGATAAGCTGCTCCCTGTTGTGCCGGGTCGGTTTCCCGAGATCGATGTGGAGAAGCTGAATTCGTATCCTGAAGGATACAAGTGTCTGGCGTATTGCCAGGAGCGGACCATGGGGGTGGAGGTTCTACGTGATATGCCGGGCCACCGGAGGCATGTTGGCACGGTGAATGGGGAGAAGCATGACCTGCTTTATCGGTTGGCCAAGGAGTGGTTGGATGGAAAGGAGGTGGATATTTAGATAGGTCAAGTTGCATGAAAGTATCCCCGCTTCACGGCCTCCTCATGGATCACCCTTCTCATGACATACACGGGCGCTGGCCGTTTGGTAAACAGCTCGTATTGCGCAATGCCCTGCTCAACAAGAAGGCTGAGCCCATCGACCACAACCCACCCCGTCGACGTTTCCGCCAGCACCTGCTCGAGCAGTGCCGTTCTGCGTGGGCCGTAGGCGATCTAGAATTGTTAACTAATACAAAGACCTAGCCAGTAATCAAATGGAGAGAATACCTCAAGAAAAACACCGCCCGTCGTGCTCTGCAGCCAGTCACGCGAGATCCGCAAGTTCACCAGCGTGGAGCCACCGACCTCTCGTACCGGAAGACACGACACAATGATAGTCGGAAGACGAAAACCCGCCGGCCACGCGTCCGATGCAGACCGTAGGATCTCCAGTCGAAGCGTCTGCCCCTGCTTCGCAGCCAACTGGTGGTAGTACTCAGCAAGCGCCTCCGCATTCGCCGCCGTGCGGTTGTAGATGCAGATTCTGCGGATTCCGAGCACATAACACGCATAGATGGCCGCCCTCGCCATCCCCCCGGCCCCGATGACCAGCGCCGTCGTCCCCTCACGGATCGCGTTGGCGGGCGAAAGGTGTTTCTGGATGCAGTTCCGAAGCCCAATATAGTCCGTATTGTAACCCTTGCGGGTGACTACTTCGGTGTCGCCACCGTCGGCATTGTGCCGACGCTCCAGGACGACAGTATTCACAGCATTGATGTCCCGCGCATCCGGGCTGATTTCGTCCAGGTATTCCAGGATCGCCGTTTTGTGGGGGAGTGAGATGGTCAGGCCGCCGCAGCTTGGGTCAGCGAGTAACCCCTCCACTTCACTGAAATCATCTGGCTTGAACATGCCGTACGAATACGGCATCCCGCAGGCTAAGTATGCCGCATTATGCAAGGTAGGCGATAGACTATTCTGCGTTGCTTGCCCAATAATCACAAAGCGCTTACTGGTTCGCATAAAACAAGCCGTAAGAGCCTGCTGTGCCTCTGGCAGTGTAACACCCGCGGAACCGCTGTCCGGGAGAACCACTGGCGATAATACTGGGTTAAAGCATACTGATGCTCGTCCGGCAAGCCCCGTGTTGTACATACTGAGGGGGATTTCAACGTGCGAAAGAAGGTTGTGCCGGAGGGCAACACAGGCTGAAGTATCGTCTGAGGAGGTCGATCGCCCTGTCAGCCGGACTGCGCCGAAACCGAGGGCTTGCGCCTGTTTGAGGAGAGTGCACAATGTCGATTGTTGGTTCCCGCTCGGTCCGAGGGGCGTCGGCTGATGGTGCGTAGCAATCGCTGTTGTGTTGCCCTTGCTAGCGTTCAGTTTCTCGAGTACGTCCCTGGCACAGGCTATTGGACAGGCCATTGCATCCGGCACCAGCCGCAGGAGCATCTCGAGGGCATCACCACTTCGCCGGTCGGACGGATCCGGGAGTTGGGGTTCGACTATGATCAGAATTCGTGAGTGCATTCTGAGTAAGGCCATACTGCGCGCGAGCCGGCCTTGCAGTCCGACTTGACCGACCGCATCAAAGTCAACAAGCAGGGTCACCGCGTCCGCACCAGAATCCAGCGCTTCAAAGTCCTCTCGTGAATCCAACCAGGAGAGCGGCAGCTGCAGAGTGAAAGTCCTCGAAGAAGACAAGGGATCTGAAGAGAAAAGCGCGCGCTGTGGACGACCATAGATCTGGTTTAGAAAACGCACAAAAACACGTTCTGCCTCTTTGAGCTTCAGGCTTGACGGCAGGATGCGGCCGTGTGTATGCTGCACGTCGCTCAGGGTGAGGTTGAAGAAGTCGAAGTTCGAGCACGCCTCAAAGAAGGCATTTCCGACCAGCAGGAAGCGCTCGAACTTGTTCTGGCTTGCCGTGACGAACTGTCGCAGGTCCGAGTCCTCCCTCCGCACGTAGACCACGGGGTGGTGGCGCGCGAATGCCTGCAGGAGAACGCGTTGCTGGTCGCTTGGTATGCCCCCGAGGCCAACTATGACGTGGCCTTTGTCGCATCGTTTCAGCAGGCCTTCCAACAGCTCCGACTCGACCGCACGATACTTGGCCAGCCCGTTCGCTGCGATATATGCCTGAGGCGAGCCGAGTTCTTGCCGGAACACTGCTTGAAAGTCCACAAACTGGCGACGCAGGGCGACGGAGGCAATGATCCCCAGCGTCTTCTTCCCAGCTCCATGGAAGCCGACTAGCACGAGCGTCGCATCTGCTTCAAAGCGTCGAGTGGTCGATGAGAGCGCCATCCATTCCGTCAAAGATCTCCAAGATGGACTGGCTGTTTGGCTGAGTTGATCTCCGGCGGGAATCAACACGGCAGCCTGTCACGTGCTTTGCTTCGGCGCCTCAATAGCCTGTCACGTGCTCTTTATCGGTTAAGTATCAGCCGCTCACGTGTACTCGGTAAAGCCAATAGCCGCTCACGTGACCCGCCTCAACGCCTCTGCGGCCTCAACTGATTTGGATCGTGCACCATCCATAACTCCATGTCAAGTCCTCGCCCGTCCAAGAGACGGCGTATATGCCGTGCGTGCGACCAATGCCGCCGTCGGAAAAGCAAATGCGACGGGGAACAGCCAGTGTGCAAGATCTGCAGGGCCGCCGGTCGCCCCTGCTCCTACGAGAATGGACGAGGCCGCCGTGGCCTGCCCACTGGCTATGTGCGATGTCTGGAAACTGCACTGGGCCTGGTCTTTTAGCATATGCCCAACAGCCAACCTGCTCTCGTCAGACTCTTCCGCGACCCGCAGACGGACAGAGAGTTAGCATTGGAGACATGGCGGAAGTCGAAAGCAGCGGCGCATATATCAAACTCGACATGCCCGAGTCCGGCGGACACCTCCACGCTTAGTTGCGACGACTGGGATGAGCCTGATCAAGGCGAGGATGTCCCCATGCAGAGTGATCCTCCTGCGACTGTCCCTGTGACTGCCGAACTACCACAACCTCCGTCCATGCTCCAGAGTCCATTAACGCTACTTGGCCTACCTCTGCCTCATGGTACAGCCGGCCTGGTCGACGCTTACTTTACGCACACACATTCCTGGCTCCCCATGGTCGAGCGTCACGAGCTGCTTCGTACCATGTACACATATCCAGGAAACAGCGCATCTCCCAGCTCATCACACCTTCTTCTCTGGTCTGTGGTTGCATATACCGCTGTTGTTAGTGGCCTCGACGACAGCTCTATTCCGAGCTCAATCGAGATCCTTCACGCGCTCCATAAACAAATCCTGGTAGAAACGGACACTCTATCCTTGCGGCACGTGCAAGCATTTGCCATCCTTGTACTTCTGGAGCTCACCAAAGGCAACCTCCACTCGGCCTGGACTCTGTGTGGACAGACCGTACGGCTGTTAGCCTTGGTAGAACCTGCCGATCAAGCCCGATACAAGAATACGTTTCATGCCTGTGCCTTTTTGGATGCTGTCATCTCTGCCTCGATAAATCGAACCCCTAGTATGTCCCTGGAAGAGCAGACCAGCATTGGACCTGTAGACGAAGATGGCATGGAGGAGTGGGACAGCTGGCCCGGACGTGCGCAGGATACTCAATCCCAGCAGAGGACAGCAGGCAATGGTCCATTACGATCGCTGAGCGCCTTCAACCAGCTCCGGCAGCTTGCGCGGATTCTGACCGGGGTACTTTACTGCCCTTCTGATAGCGATAGCGTCACGAGGGACAGTGTTCTCTCTGAGATCCGCGAATTGCGAACAACTATTGAAAATCTGCACCCGTACCACCGTGTGCACTCCGCCCCGTCCATCTTGACACTGTACATGGCATGTGAATTTACGCTCCTATCTGTACTGCGCCGATTCAATGTCACGGACTCGCGCACCACTGAGCTACTGCTCGCCTCCTCCCAACGTCTGCTGGATCTCCTTCATGATTCTGCGGAGATGTCAGGGAACATCAGATCATCACCTCTTCCTGGTGTGTTTGCTCTCCAATGCCAACGCTGTCTCGAGAGACTGATACCTGGCGCTCAGAGTTCTGAGACAATCGCCTTGAAGAGCCGTCTCATCCAGTATCAACAACAGCTCAGTAGGCCGAGCATCACAGCTGCCGAAGTTGACGCGATGAACCGGATGCTAGCCATCCCGCACGCTGGCGACGAGAACAGGATAACAGCCGACCATTCATCATCATCAACTAAACCCACCCCGCTCAATAACACCTCGCAGCCGGGTATAGCAGGGCTTGGGCGTGGCCCATACGCCACTCCGCTTTCCACCGCACCCGACATCTTAGCCTTGCCTCTATCCAAATCTCCTCTCCTCGCGGGAGACGACGGATTCGACGACTTGTTCGAAGAGCTCGTCACGTCAATTCCTAATACCCGGTCCGTCTCTGAAACTTCTCATCGTTGTGTTTGCTTGCTGACTCGTAAGAATATAAACAGGCTTGAACCCGCTTTCGCCCATAATCTCGGGTTTTATGGGGGCGACTTGGACACAGACTTTTTATCCCAGTTGCAGCAGCCGTCGGGAGGTTGAACAATAATTATCCTGGGCATGTCCACTTGTCGTGGATACTATATCTCAATGTCAGCCACCTCGGCATCGCGCCTATTCGATACTGCCTTGAATTACAGGAGCCGACTAACCATGGGACAGCGATACAAACCCATTTCTGCCTATTCCGGCTTTCACAAGACAACTCTAAAGAGATGAGTTGTCTGATATCAACTTTTGACCCCGCGGCACGTCGTACGCTAGGCAAAAGCCGGATTCTATGCGGCCAGGGCGTATCGGCAGCCTCACATCAGACAACCCCAGTGCCGCAATCTCGATGGCGGAGTTCACGCTGAATTAGCGGAGAACTATAATGTAACCCCGCCTTCTCCTTGCTTGGAGCCTAGGGTCAATTGACGCATACTGCTCAGTACAAGCGGTTGCTGGAGTTGTTGACGTATCGCGTTACAACCCGTCAAGCCGCAGATTCTTGAATGGGTAGCTGGGCATGCTTTTGCTCCGTTTTGCGATTGTTACTGGTATTCCACAAACGCCCTCAAGGCGTTCCAGATGGAAATGTATTTAGGGGTGAAGATGATCGATAGATAGCGTACAGATGTTAGAGTCCATATACCATGGTCATCTGTTCAGTGATGTCCTCTGGCAGCATCAAAATGTTGATTGGAACCTCCGGTTCTCCTCTCTCACCCGTACCTGTACCATCTTTCTAATAATCATGTGAGTTGAATGTCCCGCCCATAGAGACGACAATGGGGCGCTGGACTTCAAGGTGGCAGTATGGACGGGCCAAGAGTTTTGCACGCATTGTTCTAATATTCTATTCTCTTCGGGACATGGCGGATTTAGGGACGGGAAAAATTCAAGCTTACTCGGACGGAAAAAAGTATCCGGGAATGAGATGCAGTCTATTTAAGCTATGTAGCTGAGCACCAGACCCTCTGCGGGCCCGGCCCAATCTAGGCACCAACAGACCAACTGGGCAGACTAGCCTGATCTCGTATCCCGATGGCTGATTTCCATAAGGTAGATTGGCAGTTCGGAATCATTGGACGACGGTATCTAGATTCTAGATCATGGACATTGCACCTGTGCAGAAAGTTCCAGCCAGCCAAGCAATCAAAAAGGCTCCTCCGTCCAAGCGTACTCCACGTACACGCCCTCATAGCATCCAAGATCGTTGCTGAGCTTCTTCTGCTCGCGAATCCGCACCATATCGAGCACCTCCTGCTCATCATTAGAATCGAGCAGACACTCCAGGTCCTCATCCTCGCCGTTGCCGAAAACATCCACCAGAAGGCCGACGACGAGACCGATGAGCCTCAATCCAAAATCAAGGCCCTCGTCCGCGGCGGGACACAAAAATGGCAGGCTTCCAAAGGGCAAGAACGATAGGTTCTGCACGACGCTCACTTTCTCCCAGCGGCTGGGCTTGAATTCAGCGGCGTCGCGGCCCCAGATCTTGGTGTCCAGATGGCAGGCTTCGAAGTCTGCGGTCGCGGTGAGGTACTCGAATTCTTCAAAGCAGAACCTATTAGTCGGGAGCTTGAAGGCACGCTTAACCTGCGGGATAGACGGGTAGAGGCGCAGCGCTTCCTTGACGAGGTGTTCGACGGTAACGGTGTCCTTCACATTCTGGGTGCGACCCAGCCGGAATTGCTTCAGGGTAGGCTCCTTGATAAACGCAGCGAAAGCCGCCTTCCAGCTATCCTTGTCACTATGGTAGCCTTGGCAGTGGATTGTCATGAACAGGCGCATGATAACCGGCCAGAGCGATTCAAAGGGGTGCAGGAGGACAGTGAGTGGGTTGGAGCGGGGGTCTCCCGGATTACCTGCAAGCGCATTGATGAGTGCGTCCCATAGTTCGTGGTTGTCGTTGAGCTCCGGCATCTCCTGGTCTTCTGTATCTTCGGCCTTGTCCATACCCATCCGAGTCGAATGCAAAGCCTGAGCGAGTTGATCGAGCTGCTCCAGTCCGATACTGCTCGCACCCTTCATGCCCATGAAAACAAACAGCAGAACTCGCAGTGTAAGAGCCCGCACCATCGGCGCTAGCATCAACCGGATCCGATCTCCCTCAGCGACGGTGTCATTCTTGCCCTCCTCAACGTGCATAATAGCAAGCACAACCCTATACAGCGCCTGCATCACCTCCTCCCAGTATCTAACAGCCTCAGACTCGGCAATAAGCGCCTTGACGTTGTGGACCAGGAACCGCGCTTCGTCTTCGTCGCCGGTCGTGAAGGAGTTTTCGATGCCGAAGACGCGCTGGAGAGTGCGGTTGGGAATCGCGCGCGCGGTTTGCGGCGAGTGGATGTTCTTGCGGGTGTCGACGTACTGCGAGCCATTGAGAATATAGCGGCAGGGGGCAGCAGTCTTGAAGTGATGCTTGTGTTGCGAGCGCGAGGCGTAGAGGCGGTGGCCGAGCAAGACGAGGGGGAGGAGAGGGATGATGGGGAGGAGGCAGTACCAGAGCCAAAGGAGGATGTTGAGTGCGGACATCATGATTGGCAACGCCTTATTGTGTTATCTGTGTTGATTGTGGTGCTTGTGGTGCTTGTGTTTGCAATTGGGAGAGAAGAAGAGAGAGAGTTGAGGTGGAAGTGAGTGGGAGTCGATGTGTTACTCCTCCGCGACTGAAGGAGAGATCACGTTATCCAGTCCAAACCTGGGGCAGTGAATATCAGGGTGTCCAGGATTGGACTAGACAGAAATCCACCACTAGGCACCTGTTTCGAGCGTTCCTTGCGGTATTCCATCATTGGCTCCTCGTTGTCTGCTGCAGTGAATACCTGGATGACCCATGGAGCACTCATACGAAAGTCAACATTACCGACTGATCTTTGGGCACGATACTGCTCCTTGCGCTTCTAATCGAATCTTCGTTTCAAGTCCTGGATTCTTATTGAGAATGTTCGAGGCCTTCAGGAGTGACTATGGCTGGGAGGTCAGCTCATCCAACGATCTCCATCGAGCAACGTGGAACCACTTACATCCATTCCCAGTACTGTTTCCGGTTTCAATAGCCAGGAGCATGAAGAGATCGCAGACAAATCTATATGCGGCCGACTAACCTCTTAGGCATCTCTGCGTGACTCCCTTGCCTCCTTATTTTTTCCACCGGCCGTTATACACTAGATATTGAAACACTCCGCAACTCAACGAGATATAACTATCAAGCACAAAGACACCGGCCTCAATCATCCAGATCATGCCTGAAGGACACACCTAAAAACATAGTAGGACTACCTCGCCATGAAATCCGAGGTACCAGGTATATACAGCTCAGCCCAACGACAAACGGAGAGCGCAAACGCCCAGAGCACCCTCTACTTACTCTCCAGCCTCAATCCATCTCTCTTCGAATCTCCAAGTGACCTTCCTGCTCTCCCTTGCAATCAGCTAAGCTTGCAAAGTACTCCCCAGACACTCTCCATAATCCGCCTCAATCCGGTCTCGAATCAATTCCAACCCGAAACCATGGACTACCTCTTCCTCGTCACCGAAATCCTCGGCACCGTTTTCCTCCTGTGCTGTCTCGTCTTTCTTTTCCTTTCTTTTAGGAGATAGGCCATCATGGAGAGTAAGTATACTGATCGTCGTGATTCCGCAGTACAAGCCCTATGGGTAAATGAGAACTCATGCTAACTATATATTTTTTGATAGCCGGGCCCGCTTACGGAACCCTGAGAATCCATCCACCTGCCTACCGATAATGTCAAGGCGCTCTTCGACCTCGCTAGCGCTGCTTTGCTATATCCAACCGATAGATGAGCATGGAATGCCCAGGCTTTACCTTGGCTAGAGGCGTCGGGATTGTTTGGAAGGGGCTCTGCGGAGGCAGACGGGATGAGAATGGTACCGCAGATATTGGAATACAAAATAACGCAATGACTCCTGGTGTTCTGTTTGTACTCTCCCATCAAGTAGGCTCTGGCAATGGCGGGTTTGGAATGCCGAAGAGCTCAGCTGTAGTTGAGTAGGGCGGAATACTTTTTAGATGCCACATATTCAGACAGTTCCAAAAAACCATAACCTTAGTTTTGACTGACTCTATGCTACCTGTGTATAATCAAATCATATCACATCATTTCATTCATTCCATACTCTATGATCTTAAGTTCCCCCATTCCCCAAGTCGGGGATTCTGGCTGACTTCCTCGCCGACGCCATGATAGACTCCTTGGCCAGTGTCACAATCCGTAAGATAAATCGCTCAGCAATCACATAGGGCGCAAACACCCCACCCTTCTCGGCGATAGCAGCAGCGAGCTTCGTAAAAATAGCGGCTGTCTCCTCCAGTATGTGTAAATCCTCTCGAACATACGGCCCATCGGCGTTGGAGACGGCCACGAGACGCTGATGCAGTGCGAGAACGGCAGTGATGATAAATTGCGCATAGATCCTACTTCTTGTTTAGTGTACGTAATTTTAGTAAGACAACCTTCGGGGAAAACCAACCAAAAGGTCTCTGGGATGATGCAGAACTGAAGGCGGCCCACGTAAAGCAGACTTGAGCGCGCGGCTTGATAGCAAAGCTCTATACTGGATTGTGGTGGTGGTGTCCTACCACCAATGGCGGTAGCTGCATGGATCTTGGTAAGGCAGAAGTAATACTCCAAATGTGTCCCGGCGCCTCGCAGACTCAGATCATGGAAAAGCGTCTCCGGAACAAGCCCTCTGACAAAGTCATCTGGCTGGCAGTTGCGTGGAAAGCTGGCCCTGAGCTCGCCCAATTCATGGTCCAGCTCGCGAATGGTCTGAAGACGCCTTGCTTCGGACTGCTTCTGGGCTTCGACTGAGTAGAGGAGGCGGTAGATGCGTGATTTAAGGAGAACCATTCGCAGGTCCGAAGGGTAGAGCAGGACACACTCAGATAGATCGCTGCCGAAAAAATGATAGTCGGTGTATTTTGGGAGGTATGTTGAAGGAAAGTCTAGGTCACAGTCGCCGTCGTTGATCAACGGTGGCCGAGACCGACGGATGGAGTTTTCCTTATCAAACCCGTAGAAGAGCCAGAAGATGGCTCGTAGGTGGTGATTGTTCCGTTCTGATTGTGCGGTATTAGCCCCTAAATTGAAGAGGATTCGCACGCCCATGGCCATCAGAGCTTCGGCGGTCTGGGGTTCGCCCATGGGAGAGACATAAAGTGCCTATCGCGGTCAGATATGTCGCGTCACGGAGCATAAACTTACTATCATGAGGAGTGCTTCCAGCGCTCGTATATTGGTATCTTGTAGTGCTAGATCTGGTAGTAAAGTCAAAACTGCCCTGGCGTTGGCGATGGGGTCCGCTGCAGCTGCGACGAAGGCGGGCTCGTCCCGACGAAGCCCAGTGATAAGCGCCGTAAACGCCCCTAGACAGGCACGAGTGGAAACGTCAAGTGTGTCATCACTCAAGTCAAGTTCGCTGACATCCAGGATGCGAGCCATCTCGTGTACGTCAACCACTGGAAACAGCGAATATAAGTGAGCATTATTGTAATATTTCAACGCACAACGGACCAGGTGGAGAGACGGCCATTTTGGGGCGATACAAACAGGCTCGCTCGGAGTTTGCAATCTGAATTCCTCAAGAACCTCATGGGAAAACTTGTTTAAGTCAAATGTTCGAGGCAAATCACAGAACCCCAGATGCCACTGAAAACTCGCTATGGCCGTGTCGAAACGGCCCGGGTCGGAAAGACGAGCGCCCGCGGACCTCAAACTGGGCGAGGAGGGTCTTTCTTTCAATTGCTCCTCCAATTTCTGGAGTTGCGCCTCGGTCTCAGCGAGTTTCCTGGCATGTTTTAGCGTCAAACAATTGGCCGGACGGTTCGGGCTTACTGATGGACGGTTTTCCGAGGCCGGTTTGACGGTCCGGTGAAGACACAGGACACACCAGCCAGACAGCAATTCTCGCAAGCAGGCCTGGCTCTGTCGCAACGAACCTGCACGCAAAGTCAATGGCAAACCCGGGTTCGGTCGGTGGTCGGCAAACCTTGCGGAGGCGGCAGAGTTGGCAGGCGTTACCCAGCCCACGTCGGATTGGCCTGCCAGTCGGTGTGGTGCGGGGACTGGACATGCAGTGTAAGAAGATAGCTCAACGAGCTTTGGTAAATATAAAGTTGGTTTAGGTTCTCCATCTCGTACGGAGTATATCCACAGGACTCCGCGTTTCCTGAAACGCCCCTGATTTTGCTGAGTCATCGGGCCTGCTGATTCCGAGCGCACTGGTTGGATGCGCAGATGAGTCAGCGGAAGGTTTTTTTTCCGACAGCCCTACCCCCTTCCCGATTGAGCCAATTCTTCCCACTCCGCCTGTGGCGCTGACGAGTCTCGCAATCTACTCCAGTCTTGACATCTTTTCAACTGCCAGGTACCAGTGTATCTTGGTCGTCACTGTCGTCATTACCCTGTCTACACTTTCTGCACTCGGTCAAGGGCCGGGACACGATGGTAATTGAGCAGTCATCATTGGATGCTGCGCGATGTCGATCACTGCTCCAGCGTGAGCAACGTTTCAAAAAGAGTATAGCCCGTGGTTGATATGTCCAGAGTCTGGCTTCGATGGTGCAAGCTGACGTAGTAGCTGGTGTATAAAAGAGCAGCCTGCTTCGTTCGAATCTCCCTCATCATCCACGATCACTCTTCGCTCAATCGCCTAACTCTTTGTCTTTTGCTATAATGGTTCAGCTCACTCAAGGTTTTCTCTTTGGCCTAGCTGGTCTGGCTAGTATTGCGTCTGCTCATCCCGGTCACGACATTAAAGCCGAAGCCGCTGAGCGCGCCTCTTTCTTGAAGAGCGTGCCCGTCCAGGGCCGTAGTCTGAGCCACTGCGCTAATAAGCTGAAGGCACGAGGGGTTGCTGAGTCCAATGTTGTTCGTCGCGAGAGTGCCGTGCAGCAGCTGCGCCGCGAGAGGAATGGAAACGCTGGTATGTATCCAAGCTCGACAGATCAAGGCATTGACTAACATAGCGCCTCCAGACGCCCGCTACCTCAAAGTCCGCGATCTTGAGACCGCGCTGGACACGGACCACGAGTCGACCAAGAAAATCACTCTTTCAACCGACCCAAGTGTGCTGTTTGCCGACGGCGGGGCTTGCATTGTGCAGCCTGAAGTCACCCAGGGCCCGTACTGTACGTCCTTCCTTGCACACTTGTTTTCATGAACTGTCCTAAATCTTTCAGATGTCGCCGGTGAGCTTGTTAGGCGCAACGTCGCGGAGGACCAGGCGGGAGTGCCGTTGTTCTTGGATATCCAGCTGATTGATGTCAACACCTGCGAGCCGCTGCAGAACGTGTACACCGACATCTGGCACTGCAATGCCACCGGTGTCTACTCCGGCGTCGTCGCTAACGGAAACGGAAACGCCAACGATGAGTCCAACTACGACACCACATTCCTTCGCGGCATCCAGTCCAGCGGATCGGATGGTATTGTGCAGTTCCAGTCCATCTTCCCTGGACACTACACCGGTCGCGCGACTCACATTCACGGTACCTCTATAGCCTTTCTCTGGGTGATAATGTTAGCTAACGCCAGAGCCAATAGTGGTCACTCACCCCGGCGACCAAATTGAGGTCCTCCCTAACAATACTCTCGCTGGTCTCTACGACACCCGCGCCTCCCACGTGGGCCAGATCTTCTTCGACCAAGATCTCATCACCGAGGTTGAAAAGACCAGCCCCTACAACACCAACAACCAGGAGCTCACCGAGAACAGAGGTGACATGATCCTTGAGACCGAGGCTGAGACGACTGACCCGTTCCTTGAATATGTTCTGCTCGGTAATAGTGTGTCGGATGGTATCTTTGCCTGGATTTCTCTCGGTATTAATAGCACCCGCAACGAGTATAACTCGCCCGAGGGTTACTGGACTGAGGATGGCGCCGCTGTGAACGAGAACTTCAGCATGAACATGGCTGGCATGGGCGACCTTCAGATTCCTACCGGCAGCTCTGCCGCGGTTCCTGCCGCCACTTCTGCTGTTTGAGCATTATTAGGGCGCAGGCCGATTCTCAGGAAGGATTAGTGGCGTATATGGAGCAAGGAGATGGTGCTCGGGTGGAAGCTGACAAGGACAGAGAGAGAGTGAGTTGCCTATTTGTAATCTAGTTAGCATAGAGCATGAATTTGAGGTATCCATTCCGAACCTATTTGACAGTAGACCGAAAGAAGCCCGTCCCAGTAGCCGCGGAAAGCGAAAGCTTTGTTCTTAGAGGGGTGCATTGTTGGGATCCAGGGTAGGATAAAGTCACCACCGAATTGTAGATCTTGGGCTTCTTCAAGATATCACTGAATATTGGGTAGTTTAGCTTTGGCTTTGGCGTCAGAGAGGGAGGGACTGGCGTTTGGGACGAAGACGAGCCCCGCAACGTCAAACGAAAGCACTGATCGCCGTGGATGTGAGAATCAGTCATTCCTCTTCTTACACTGGGCACCACTAAACAGAGTAGGTAGATCAGATGAGGCCTCGATTCGGCGGACATCGAAGAGGAGGAAAGTGGTAACAAGGCAGGTGTTGGTCTGCGGCAAACTAGGAAGGAAGGAGGCCCCACGCCAGGACGCCTGAAATATGAGGAACCAAGGCATCAAGGCACCCAGGCACCCAGACTGTCCAGGTCGAGGACAAGGATAAAAGACTAAAGTGCATCATGTCGCCTCTAGAACAGTACCGGAGCTCCCTATCCAGGTACAGCTTCCTGCTCGTTACAATCTGTCATCGCACGGTGTAGGTAGTATCCATGGTTGGCAATCTCACCGGCCAGGAACAGGTGGGGTGGGATCGTGGACTGTGGTGCGAACTCTTGGGAGTGTGCTATGGTTCATACTGCAGCAAAGAATATCCATCTAGATATGCTTTTCTATGTTCTGCGCTAGCAAAAGTGCATAGACTCTTGATAAGCCAGTTTAACTCAATTTGGCCAATTTGCAAACATTGCAGAACAGCAAAATTAACCCCGCGTCAACACTAAGCAACAGCTCGAATGGCAAATTTACCTGCAAAGATCCCTCGCTTACTCGCTAAGCACCTGGTCACTATGGAGTAGTCCTCTGGAGTATAAATAATAGTATACTTCTTCTTTCCCCTTCGTTCCCCTCTTCTTCTCTATCCTTTCCTTTGCCCATCCTTGCCTTACATCCTCTCTTTTTTCCTTCCCCTCCTTTCAAGTCATTGCCTATATCAACCGCCAACCATGTCCACCACCACCGCCAACACCGTCTACCTCATCACCGGCGCCAACAGAGGCCTAGGCCTCGGTCTCGTCAAATCCCTCCTCACCCGCCCCTCAACAACCATCATCGCCTCCGTCCGCAACGAAGAGGCCTCTGCAACCCTCAAATCCGAACTATCCTCCATCACCCCCAGCCAAAACAGCACCGTGCACATCATCCTCCTCTCCTTCTCCGCAGACACCCCAACAACCCCCTCCCAAATCCTCAACACCCTCGCCACCATCCAAAACATAACACACATCGACGTCCTAATCGCAAACGCCGGCTTCGCAGCCCCCATGACACCAGCCCTCCACACAACAGCCCCCGACCTCCGCTCCTCCTTCGAAACCAACACCATCGCCCCCCTCCTCGTCTTCCAAGCCATCTGGCCCCTGCTGAAGTCCGCAAAAAGCGCACCCAAAGCCGTCTTCATGAGCTCGTCCGTCGGCTGCATCAGCGCGCAAGAGCCCTTCCCCGGCGGCGCGTACGGGGCGTCCCGGGCAGCGGGGAACTGGCTTACGCGCGCGATTCACCTCCAGCATGAAGAGGATGGGCTTGTTGCGTTTGCGATGCATCCGGGGTGGGTGCGGACGCGGGCGGGGGAGTTTGTTGCGAGGGAGTGGGGGGTTGAGGGGGGGCCGCCGGAGAGCGTGGAGAATAGTGTCAAGGGGGTGTTGGAGGTTGTGGATGGGGCGACGAGGGAGAGGGTTGGGGGGAGGTTTGTTACGTATAAGGGGGAGGAGTTGCCTTGGTGATCTCACTTGGGCAGGACTGTGCGGGGTGTAGTGAGGGGAGATATATCGAGGTACTATAACACTGTAGGGCAGTGCACAATTAGATAGTGGGAACCATGTTACTTCTCCAAGTTTGTATAAACTTTAACCTTATCTTGTACCACGAGCCCTGGACGCCACTGCCCCATTTGTAAGCACCGTTCCCTATCCATCAGATGGCATCTACAGCATTGGAAATAGTCCATTTCCACAGCTGTGACCCTCGCAGCATAATGAGAGTACCCGAGTGAATCAATGGCACAAGGAAATTGCAGAGACCGCCATGCTCCTCTTCACATCCCACACTCAGATACTTGTGCAGTCCAAGCAACAGGGAACAAGTGCAGTGGTAGATACAAATGAAAGCACACCAATCTCTACAATTTCCTTCCGTCATTAATAACCCACTCGGGTATCCTCAATATGCCACGAGGATCTACCCTGTTGTTTTCTTCCTGGTGTATATATACCTAGGTAGTGAACAAGGTTCGAACTCTCGGTAGAGCAAGCCTTATAGATAGAGCACACACCAAGCAGACGTCATTGGCTAATTTGTAAGCGCCTTACCAATCATAGGGTAGATTCTCATTGCTTCTATCTACTCTATAAGCAAATATAATCCATCTTTGCTCTCCCAGTTTCAACACTCCCCAATGACCCCGCCCGCCATGCAGGCTCCCATCCAGCGTCTCGTCCGTGAAATCAGCCTGGACGAACTTTCCATGCGTATTTCTAGTTGATCGTTCATAGCTTTCTGGAGGACGGTTCTATATATGGTTTCAAATGGGTTGACGGCGTTCCAAGTGGGGATGTTCGTAGTCCGTATGGTCGAGATAACTGTTGACAGTCAGCCAGGGGCAAGCGAGTCCCCCGGTTAGAATATGTCGCCAAAATGTAAGATGGGTCAATTAAAACCAGAAAGACTTTTTACTGTTAAAATGGGAAGAGGAATTAGGTAGTCACACAGCTTTACCGGTCTAATTACTAAGAGAAATTGGTGGAAGTTTCGGGCAGCCGGGTTAGGGTTCGGGTGATATACGGAAAGCCGAGTGATAGGGTCGGGTTGTTCGATGGTTCTGCCGTTAGCTACTCAGTTACGGTACATCCAACTGATTGGTTGGTAGATTTTGAGTTGAGGTCGCTCGTGCTGCCTGCCTCTTCCTCGTTGGTACCCCGGTGTGTGGTCTTAGGGCACTTAGGGTTATATGTACTCGTGCTTCTTAACAAGTTACCATTGTACTAAAGGACTCACAAGCTTAGAGGTGCCGATAAGAGAAGATATACGAGAAGGGTGATTTCCATCAATTTAGACCCTAGCAACTGATTATCACGATACCTTAAGGACAGTGAAGCAAGCAGCAAACGCAAACGCAACATCCCTTCTCGACAGTGCAGCAACGATCCAGTCAAGGCTGGACGCTGGTTCTCAGTTCTCAAGTGGCCGAGAACTACTGCTGCTGGTGCTTATCAGCCGGAGGAAGCGCCTCCTTGCCCTGCTCCCACTTCTGGCTTCCCTTGCCACTGCCGCGGAACATCCACTCCGAGATCGCAGTGACATACCTGCCGTGCTGGAAGTACACGCGGATGTTGCACTGGTTGCTCTTGCCCCAGGACACGGCGGCCACCTGGCTGCCGGCCACGCATTGTTCGTCGAGGTGGCCCTTCTTCCAGTTGTCCTGGTCCTGGTTGCTCTGCACCATCTCCTTCATGCGGTTGTTGTGGTCGACATAGTACAGGCGGAGCTCCACGTTGTTGTCGTTGCCTTTGCCCTCCTGGTCGGTGCAGGTGACGAGGGTCAGGTCGGTGCGCGGGAGGGCCTGCTTGACGATCTCGTTATGCGCCTGCCACTTCTTGTTCTGGTGGCAGCGGGCTTCCATGATGTGTCTGTTGTCGTCTTGGTAGATGAGTCTGGGAGATTGTTAGTTGGAGTTGGCGGATAGGTGTTGCTGGACGTACCTCATGGACATTTCGTTCTGGCCGCCGCCCTGGCCCTGTCCCTGCAAGATGGTGCAGTCCATAGCGGTTCCGGGGAGAGCACGGCCGACGTTGGACTGCTTGCTCCAGCGTCCGCGTTCTGTGGACGTCAGTCATCCAGTACCATTATGTGGTAAGGCCTCAGATGGGGAAGAAGTAACGGCATACCATCGCAGCGGAACTCCTGAATCTCGTTGTTCTGCATCTGGGCAAACAAGCGGATCTCCTCGTGCTCGTTGCCCTGGCCGCCATGCTGGCCGCGTCCGCCAGTAGAGCAGGCAGCCAGCATGGAGTACGGCGCAACGCGGATCTGGGACTGGTCGAGCTCGCCGTGGTGCCATTTGCCGTCGGACTCGCGGCACACTTCGCGGACGACATTGTTGTCGCCGATGTAGAAAACGTGGATCATCTATTGTAAGCATTAGGGATAGCGAAACAAGCGACAAGGTCATGTACATACCTCGTTCCTGTTCCTGCAAACAGCAGCCAGGGGAGTTCCCAGAATGCCGTGGGCAACGATGTCTCGCTCCGAGCCGCCGGACCACTGGCCATTCTGGCAGGTCACTTCGCGGATGCCGCCGTGGATATCCTGGGAGTAGACCCGGATGTTCTCCTCGGAGTTGACTGCGGCGATGGCGCAGCCTATGGTTGATCATCAGCTCAGCTCGACTTGGAGGGGGTTGCAAGAGAAGGGAGCGTACGGAATCGAACTTGCTCAGCTCCAGCGTTGGACATGTTGACTCAGGTGGTTAACTTGGAAGTTTCTTTGATGGGCTTTGTTTTGTGATTGATTGATTGCTTTGGAAGTGAATCGGATGAGGATAGATAGAGTCGATCTGCGAGGAAAGGTGAGGGTTTATATAACTTCCATCCGCACAGTCCCTCCATGGCCACGACGACATTCTGCCTGCTCCGAGGAATCATCTGCTCATTGCTGACGACACTTGCTTGGTCCTTTGAGCTCGGTCTTTACAGGATTGGATCGGCATTTTCTTCATTCTCCAGCGTTGTCGATGGACTCCGAGAGTGGCGTCTGGATGCGAATGGTGATGAAAGAGCTGTGCCTTCCCGGCTTCAACAGATGCTTTCGAGGACCGATTGGAGTGGCCGCTCTCTGCAAGATTGAGTTTGGAATCCGTCTGGGCCCGTCTCTGCTGCGCGCTCTCCGCAATATGCATGAGCAATGCTCTCCGCATTTCATCGACTGCTCCACCATGCCGCATACATCACGCATCCATCAGACGGCCATCAAGCATCCATCAGACATCCGTCTATCTGCTTGCGGGTGGTTCTGTGTGCAAACTCGTACCAGGCAGAAATGACGGTTCCAGCTTATATCAAGCACGCAACGTCTTAAGCACTGGCGATTGTTCCTTTCTTTCTAACGCCGAAACAGTGGTCAAAGCGCCGGTGTGCTACGATGACCAAGTCGCACAGCTCTCTCCTGCCCCCAGATCAATGAGGTGGTCGAATAGGATCGATATCCCCCTCCCCGGAGCTACACGAGGCCGTTACTTCCGGGGATGCCATAGTGTCAAGCTACAGCTCAGAATAGACAGCGTTAGAGCTCTGACTACTCCGGACCCCGCATCTCCGCGTTACACTGCAGCCATGATCCCCATACGGACACAAGGCTGAAGATCCTGTTACACCAAGGCTGGGGTAAGTAGATCCCGAGCCCTTCGGCGTGTGTGGCCTGACTGAGGGAGCTGGAGTGCTCGATGGTGGTCTGGACCGATGACCTGGTACGCATCTTGTGGAACACCTGACTAGAGCGATCGATCCAATTGAAGCTTTCTCGATTCTTGCTAAGACTTGCGAACGTCAGCGTCCCGCCCAAATATCGTCACTCGGCGTCGGCAACAAGTGGATGCCCGGCGTCCGATATTGCCGGCCAACGTCACCAAGTGCACGGCCATTGCTTCGGATGCCTACAGCATCACATGTCCTCATTCAAGCATCCCTAAAGATCTTTGCGGGGCCTGCGTTACGACTCGCCGTCCGGTGCATAGGCGAGGGTGAATCAATTGGCCAATTGCTTCCAGGGTCACCTACCTTCAGTTATATCTAGAGGACCGTTCTTAGCATCTGGACCAAGCGACGGCCCACGTGCTGCTCGAATTGAGCGGCCTTGACGGCCATTGGCTCTGGCTTAACAGCTCAGTATGTAGGAGTAGTCCAATGCCACCGGCGCCGAAGTCAATAGATTGCCGTCAAGCAGCGCCTCTGCATCCAACATCACGGAACTGAGACCTATCATCTTTCTGGAGCTTCTGGAGCTGGCATCAGAAGGCTCGGAAGCCTAAGCGTAACTCTGGAGCTGAAAGAAATGCCTCAGTCCGTTGCAGCAGCCGACAACGGAGGATCCTCGTGCACAGTGAGCCCTGGAGCACCTGCAAGACTGCCGAAACCGCAATTGCCATCCTCCACATGTAGCAGAGGATCTTTCGGGAGATGGCCAGGCTGACACAAGACAGATGTCGGTAGTAGTATGGTGTGATAGAACACATATAGATGAGGCCAAAAACTACTATCAAGAATCAGACTCATGCCCCTTATCCAATCTAAGGAAAGAGTGCACGCGGCCTGGCGCCCTTACCTTTAGCAGACTTTGCCACCCACTCTAATGCAATCTCTTGTCCAACAGTAGACGGGGAATTGAAAAGAGTCTAATAAGAGTTCCTCTAGCTTGCTGTCCATCCAGGATGTCTCAGGGCAAATCACGGGGATCCTGAAGGATTAGCCTTTGACCAGGAGTGGTAAACTTTGCAGTCTGCGACCTCAACTATACGTTCTGCATCGGGAGTTGCTGCCGTCCATATAAACCGCCTGGTTTCCCTGGTTCTTTGTGCCCGGAGGTCTTTGGCTGCTCCCGTCTCAACTTACGAGCTGAGCTGTCTTGGGGGCATTGAGTATATCCAAGATTTCTCTTGCGATGTATGGCATTCGAGACGGCCTCAAGGTCCCCCATACTCTCTTTCAGGACAATGGTATTACCGTCACTGATTGGTTGATTTACTGTGAAACATGCCGTGATCTAGAATATCCAGCGAAAGTCGTACCCCGCAAGAGATGGACCTGATAATCGCAAACGTCCTTCGTCGATGGCAACAGATGCTATGGAGGGTTCCCATAGCCTTGCTAGGCTGGAGCCCAGCAGAGATGGAGTGAGTATCGACTTACCGGCGAGGATGGACACAAACGTTCAGCCAGCACCCGCTTGGCCACTTCCACGTCAGGGCATGATTATGGCAGGGGTACCTTGCTCGGAGTATAGTCTGCCTCGGTCGTTGGGGATTGAATGCTCATACCCTGGCAGCACTAGCATTTAGTACGCATTAGATAGGTTAGGGCTACCACCTACCCCGCCTGCCATACTACGGTATATTAATTGCAGCGATCGCAGCAATCGCTGTTGCATTTTCCAGTCTTTCTTTCCTTTCCGATCTTCGCAACCATGTCGTACCTGTCTGTCGCGTTCGGCCCATGGCTCTCCTGGGCGATTGCGCTTGTGCCGCTTCTCGGACTAGCGAGCATCGTCGGTGTTGACCTCATCATTCAGAAACCAAATGCTGAACCTGTAATAGATAGGACTTAGTATCCACCGTCTTTATTTCAGCCCCTACTCCAAGTACCCAGGCCCCTTTCTCGCTAAGCTCACGAGCTGGTACTCCGTCTACCACACCATCATCGGCGACCTGCACACCGATATCTGGGAATGTCACCAGAAATACGGTACGCTGTTACCGCCCAGTCGATCAGACCAGAACCAGCTCTCCGACCGGGCTGAGCTGACACCGTCCCCTCCCAGGCCCCATCGTCCGCTACGCCCCGAACAGAATCCTCATCGACACCGAGCCAGGCCTAAACGCCATCTACGGCCACGGCGCAAACGTGCAAAAGGCCAAGTCCTACACGCGCCTCACCATGGTCAAAGGCGCGCAGTCAACCATCAGCACCATCGACAATGACCGGCACGGCAAAATCCGACGGGTTCTGAACCAGGGACTATCGGACGGACACATCCGCGCCATGGACGCGGAGATGACGGCAGTTGCGGCGCTCTTTGCCGAGCGGCTAGGTGAGGCAACGGATCGCTTTGATGGGACTCGTTCTGCGCCCGCCAGTGACGGGTGGAGCTGCGCTAAGAATATGGCTGAGTGGTGTATGTCCTCTCCAGTGCCATAGTCTGCGCGCTAGGTATCCTAACGTGACTGGGCAGGCGACTTCTTCACCTTCGACATCATGTCGCAGCTTGTCTTCGGCACATCGTATAACCTCCTCGGCGACGCCGCGAATCACTGGATCATTGACGGCGTGTTGGGCCAGTTGCGACGGATAAGCTACATCACGCAGCTCCCGGAGGCGGAGACACTGAGGCTCGACAAAATGCTATTTCCCAACGCGCGACGCAAGGCGGTCCGGTTCTCGTTGAAGGGTCGGGAGATCATGGAGGCGCGGAAAAACAAGGACGTTAGCAATAGTAAGAACGATGTGTTCAGCAAGCTGCTTGCCGCCAAGGATCCGGAGACAGGAGAAGCTCTGTCGCATAGCCAGTTGTGGGCGGAGGGCAACGTGTTGATCATTGCTGGTCAGTAAAATTCAGGAGAAGGAAAATTGATGCGGATACTAATCACGACACAGGGTCCGATACCTCGTCCACTGGCTTGGCCGCGACCTTCTTCTACCTCACCCGAACCCCATCCGCGTACGCTCGGGTGACAAACGAAGTAAGAAGCGCATTTCCCACCCCAGACGAAGTCTGCCAGGGGCCGAAGCTGTCGTCCTGTGTTTTTATCCGCGCCTGTATCCAAGAAGCACTGCGCCTCGCTCCAGCCGTCAGCGGAGCCATGTGGCGCGAGGTTTTACCGGGAGGGCTGAAGATCAAGATGGAAGAACACGATGTCAAAGAGGAAGATGTTCTGGATATCCCGGCAGGCTATGAAGTCGGCATAGGTGTTTGGTCACTCAATCACAATGAGCGGTACTATCCCGAGCCCTTCAGCTTCCGGCCCGAAAGATGGATATCGCAGGAATCAGGTGAAGAGCCAGTCCGGCTAGCCAAGGCTGCATATGCGACATTCTCCATAGGCCCGCGAAACTGCGTGGGAAAGGGATTGGCCATGACCGAAATGGCCTTGGCCATGGCTGCAGTCATAAGCCGCTATGACTTTCGGAGGGCTGACGGTGCGGATGGACAGATTGGGGAGGGTAAGGGGTCATTCGAGGGGCAGTATCAAACGTTCTACACGTTTACCAGCTTGAAAGACGGACCGATGATTCAGTTCAGGCCTTATCATAAGTCCAACGAGTAAATTGGTTCACACGTCCTATCAAAGACACCGACGGCGAGAATCTAGACTTGCCGGTATCACACAGTATAAGCGCGTTTGACAGGTGCACTACTATCCGGTATCAGCTAGTCAGCATCATGGAACTCGTTATACTTGTCTCATTAAACATACCTTTGCTCTCGTCCTAGCCGTAACAACAGTTTCGTCAAGTCAGTGACAGACGGTAAGGTTGCCACAAGGCCAAAGATCTGACCATATCCCCAGTCATTGCTGGATTTCGTAAGGTTCATGCTAACTGTGCGCTCACAATCAGTAATCAATATCCCGGCAATGACCAGCCCGACTATCATCCGCTGACATCGCGGGACCCGGATAGCAAGTTTCGTGTCGCTGTAAGCCCTGGTGAGCCATGTGCTTTTTGTTGCATTCGCTGGTTGGTTCCTCCATTGCCGCTTCTTGATCCCTTCCCTGGCTGTCGTTTCGTCGTCGTACCAAAGGTATAGGAGAGTCAGGGACCAGAGCCTCTTCTTGCCAAGCTTTGCTCGAACGCGTCGAAGTTCTGTAACTCGCCATTCCGTTAGAGTTCGTTGAGTTTCGTCGACGTACCGTGTCCAAGCCCTGTGGCATGGTTGGGAAAACGGGGTCTTCAAAGAGGCAAAAAGATGAGATGGCCCATACACCCATGCTTGCATCCTGAGCCATAGAAATATGGTGAGCGAAAACACGGCCAGCCTTAAAGATCGGTTGAGCGGGTTGACAACATGGACCGGAATGCTGAAGGTGCTTGCTCGAGTACAGAGATTGCATTGCGGGCTATCTCCAAAGCAGGGCATGTGAAGGGCCACATAGAAGCCCACGACCCACCACAAGATCAGCCGTACTTGCTGCGCTATGAATATACCAGGCGATTTGACCATCCAGGACTCTAGAATGTGCATCGGCAAGAGCGTGATAGTGAGCAGCTGCAGAGCAATAGTCGCATGATGAAGGCTCAGCGCGCCTTGCCAGAGAAATATCGCGGCCGTGACGACCACGGCCAAGGACGTGATGACGAGGGTCCCATATGTAGAGCTGGTCCGGTCTGGGTTCGAAGACAGACCGAAGATGGAGATGTTGCATATCGTTTGCGTATACGCTGCAATGCGCATCTATGTTAAAGGTACGTGGCGTCAGAAGTCTCTTCAGAGTTTCAAGGAGAGAGTGATTTACCCCAATTCCTGCTATGTCGGGATCGGCTTCAATAACACAAGGGTCGCTGCATTCGATGATTTTGGGGCAGTATTTGCGATCAATAAGGGGCCAGGCTCTAAAGAACCAGAAGCAGAGGCACACAGCTATAGCAAAGAATAAGAGAGCCCAAGAACCAGTTTGAACATAAAAGAGAATCCGCAATGCGTAAGTTGGTTGGCCGTCTGGATGGCATAGCCGCCTGTTGCTCGAGTTAGAAAATAATAAAGCCTAGCCGGCGAAAGCAGCTTCAAAACGACTCACGTCTGCTGAAGCCATACCGGGATCCAGAACGGCGTATGTTTCTTTGCGATCGTAGGTGACATTGTGGACAAGATCCCAAAAAAAGAAAACCAGTTTCGACGGGGCAGGCTGGGGCTTCTTAAACGAGCCGACATTCCGAGTCGGCTGCCAATGCCCTCGTTGATTTCAGCGCTTAGGTACATGTCGACGACCGAATGGGGACTGCGCGGCTATATTTGCTTTTCTCCTGAAGAGTAAGACCAAGAGAGCCTGGGAGGGGAGTGAGATGTTGACAGGTGGAATTGTTGGGG